GGCTTCTAAGTAAAACATCTTTTCTGGCGAACCCAATGATTACCCTCCATGCGTTTTTAGATAAAGCATTGCATTTCTTCGTGTTTTGCTTGTTTCTTGCCAGGACCTTCTCTCATGACTTATGTTCTGCTGGACAAATCCATTACTATCTGTCGACCTCCCTCACATGGCAGCTGATAAATTGTCCCCTATATCTTGCTTGATGGCCAAAAACCGATGGCAAAACTTCATGAAATTCGCCTGGCTTCAGAATTTGAAAAACTATTTCCGCAAAATCTCCTACCCTCTGGTTACGTCAAAATAGCTATTGAAAATTGCCATTTATAGTTGATTTACCATGATTTACCCATTAACCATGGTGATTTTCCATATAGTTATGTTAGTTTACCCATCAAAACAGGTCATTGTCATGGGTCATCTCCATTTCAGGCCGAGTCGCCACAAGGGTCGTTGCATTTGGGCCGAAGTGGCCACCAATTCCACATAGCTGCAGCCACCGCGCCCGTGCCCAGCGGTGGCAGGGCCAATCACCCAGAAATCTGCATGGTATAGATTGAAGGCCTCCAGCAGTGATGTGACGAACAAAATCCATTGTTTATATTGTTTTATCACTTCATACGGGAAAGTCATGAAAATTTGCAGGCTTCGATCAGTGATATTGGAAAACTGAACCAATCAAAAGATGAAGCTGCAAACATGTAGGTGCTCACCATCCAACATTGTATTTTGCTACATGTTTGCTGCCTTTATCCAGGGGTGGGCATCTCAGAAAACGGGAACTGTGGCAAAATGATGTCTGTCTTTGCATTTTGCGGCTGAGTCACATAGAGAACTTCCTGACTCTCTCTCTTTGATCCATAGAGTACACACACCTCCACTAATGTTGCCTTCATATTTCTCAAATCCCTGCATTTGCCGAAATTTCGCTGCATGACAGGCCGACCTCGAAAGACAACGGCTGCCCATAGGCCAAGTGATGCGCGTCACACCAACTGGAGGCGATATCCACTATGAAGTCCAGCCTCCAAAGGGATGAACCGCTGAGGTGTTGGGTTGCACCATCCCTTTAATGTGGTTAAAACCTGTTAAAACAATTATAAACCATCCCCAAGTCATCACCATTTTTACGGGTGTTATCAACCATCAAAAATTGGGTGGTTTATTAGTGTTTTAACCGGTTATCCATCTTTATCTATCTTTATCCAATTTTATCTGAAACGGGGATGGGAAAGCACGGCGAATCCATAAGCGGTGCTATGGAGATGTGTCAAAATATTCACAGCTCAAATCTCCCGAAAACAAGACCAACAAAGGCCCCCGAGCCGATATGCCATGCAGAACAATGTGCGCAACACAATTTCTATCCAAGCTGCAGAGATGACAATTGTTCGATTGTAACCCCTCTCAGTTCCGTCGCTGCGATGTGGATTGGAGGCCCAGAACTCAACCACGAATAGTTGGCAAACACCTGAGCGATGCCTGGGGCATCATGGTGCATCCCAAGCCCCAGTCTCCCCATATCATGCCGGCTTGGCCAACAAGAAATCCTCCAACAACAAGTCAACAACTTTTCCACGCCCTCTCACCATGTTCGGAACTCTCAGAAGCACTCAGAAGCACTATCATCCCAAAATCCTCCGAAAATGTCGGCCGAGGCACAAAATCGGCATTGAATTCGCGCAGCTGCTGCGTGGGGTCCAGCTTCTGGGGGCCGCAGGACAGCAGCACGTTGCCATGCGCAGGTTCATCCAACCTGGGGGACCGGCCGTTCAGGGCTCCGAACTTTCCAAAACATTAGGAAGATCTTACCCTCTGGTAAACTGTTACATAACTACGGAAAATCACCATGTTTAATAGGGATGGGAAATCAACTATAAATGGCCATGTTCAATAGCCATGTTAAATTACCAGAGGGTATCCTCATTCATCAGATGGCTATGAACTGCCTGAATCATTGACTGGTGACCAGCTACCCATCAATGAAAATCTGATAGGATCGTCATCCCATGGAAGTTAAAGCGATACCATGAAGCTGGCAAGCCTCAAACCCTGAAGTGACTAGCATCGATGTGTATTGAGGTTGTGACCCTTGGGGCCGTATTTCATGGTATTTCACACCAAGTGTGAACGATGCCAGCTGGATTTGGGGCTGAATTGTCCGAAACCGAGGCCTTCAACTGACGCCTTCAGCAACTCACCTCCTTATACAACCTGCCCAGTGACACTTGTCGCAAATACTCCACCGCCTCCTCCGCGGTGCTGCTGGGACCGCACGTGAAGGTGCCCTTCTTTGGAACGTGAATGCGGGCCATGGCGGGTTGCCACGTGATGTTCTCATCAAAGTGGAAACATGTTTCTGTTTCTCTGCTATGTCGGCAGGCATCTTCAGATTCCACCCCTTTGCATCTTCACTTTGTATGACTCTTCAATGTTGTTCACTTAAAAGTTGGGTGGGTTGCAAAACTCCAGATTGAGAAGTCCAACTGACTGTGCTGGAAATTATCACGAGATATCATGATAGATAAAAATTGGCCCTGGCTGGTCTTCGCAGGTTGGGAGTTTGACTTTACAACTGTCAAATACCTTTCTCTGCCACAAGCTTGGTTTCGGCAACTGGGGCCAAGCCGATATTCAAAAAAAACAACACACTGCTCCAGGCGATGCCAATCTGTGACATGTTGGGTCAAGTCGCTGGGCACAGAATCGGACACATGGGATGGTAGTGAAAAAGCCATGGCCCAAAGCGGCCAAAGCGGCACGAATCTTTCAAAAGGTCGCAGGTTTGTTCATTTCCGCAACTATCGCCCCTAGTGCTTGTCTACGTGCCATCAACTGTCTAGATCTAAGGTAGGGACAAGAAAAGACTTTGGGTTTTCCTGGCTGCTTGCCATCCCATCATTGGCATATTCCCGAAATCCATCGAAATCGCGATTTCCGACCCAGCTCCACCGGATCCGGAAAAAATGGCATCTCAGGAATCTCTCACTGTTTCATGCCACCATTATCGCATTCTATCCTTTTCGCCAGGTGAAACACGGGCTAAACATCCCACATCAAATTGTTCTTTGACAACTCTTCGAAGACTACGCTTCGCTTCAAGGGAGTAAACTTTGAGGCTCAGGAAACCTAACAATTTCCATCAATTTCTGGAGACAGAAGGTAAAAACCTATTCAATCCATCCACAGCTCAACGCAGTTTCGGTGTGGTCTGAAGCATCCACCTGCCGGGTCTAACAAATCCAACCGGGTCGCCTTGGTCAATGGATTTCCACGCAGGTCCAATGTTCTGAGGCTTGAAATGTTGAAGAGCTCGGAATCCAAGGTGCCTTGGTCGTTTTAAAAATTCATACATGCTGCTAAAAATGACACTTGTGAGGAGACATGTGGATCTCAACCCCCCATATGTTGCGCCAAAAATGCATTGAAAGAAGAATTGCCCTTAAAAAACGAAATCATCAGAGTATTCGCGCGTCCTGCGTGCTCAATGGAAATCATTCAACTCCATTCACATTCAAAGTTGCTTGGACAATGGCCAGCCAAGATGCTCAGTTTGTTGTAGCTCAGGTCGATGACTCTCAAGTCTCTGAATTTTCTTCTTCTTGCGTGCCATAGGTATGGTTTGAACTCATGGAAGAGACTGGGAGGAAGTTCTTCCAAGGCATTTCGGCTCAAGTTGAGAATCTGCAAGGAGCCCAGCATCCTGGGTAGAATACACATGTGGGGAAGCAGGGGAAAACGCACAAGTTTGTGTAGCATAGAACTTTCACTAGACCTTCAATTCTCTAGTTCACATGTCCGTTCTAGACAATAGAGAGGAAGGTCAGGATTTGAAGGCACTAAGCAGCGCAAAGCACCCCGCGCAGAATTGAATCATGATTCGAAGATATTCGAAGCATGGGCACAGTCAAGGGGCCGGCCATGCGATCGAAAACGCAAACCAAACGCAACAGAAAATCATCTAAACAAATGGGGGCACAAGTGTGGGCGAACCGAAGCATCATCAGTCAGGTACCCGGTGTTGCAAAAACTTGCGTTCCAACATTGCGGCAAAATGATGCTCGACTGTCCTGGCGCAGTTTTCATTTAGCTTAGGCTGGCTGCGGTGAGAGTAGGTGAACATTAAGTCCCGCTCTCTGATGTATGTGCGCGGATTCATCTCACTGCTAACAGCCCGCTCTTTAGCACTTCTAGGGTTTAAATATATTTTTTGCTGCCACCGAACCACCTAGAACTCACACATGATCTTTAAATATACGCTTTGTTGCAAGATTCAAGGGTTGAAGGTTGCACGAAGGCATCCATCCCTGCCTATGAAACTTGATGTTCACGCCAACTATCCCCCAAAAGCGCGGCTATGAATGAACCACCTGTGAAATTGCAGTCCAGAACACCTGCTGCAGAAGTCTCGGCTGCGAAGTCCCCGCCACTGGCTAAAGGTCGGTCAATGGAGCAAAGGTTTACTGGCCACTGGCCACCGGTTAAAACGTGTCGAAATGTTTCATTGCATTTCATTGCGATAAACTGCTGGTTTTCACACGTGTACGTCTGTACGTGCTAAAACTTGACATGGCTCATAGCATGACTGATCTTGCCATGTCTTGCCAGTCTTCAGCCGCATATCTTTTTGCCAACAGCAGCAGCAGCAGCATTGGTGCCAAACAAGGCGACCGAAGCCCTTGTTCTTAAAAGGATTTCTGATCCGTGCGATCTTGATTTGCTTCCTTTCAATGGTAAGAGGAGGTGTTTTGAAAGAGAGCTGGGGCACGCCACAGTATATGAGCTGTAATCGAATAAGGGGCAAACAGTGCAAATGCCCAAACCCAACCACACCTTCACCAAAAAAATGATAGGAACCAAAAACACGCTGCCAAACACACAAACACCAATAGTCTTTTGACAGTTGTGACAAGATGGAAAAAGATGGAAAAAAAAACAACACCTAGCGGCAGGGTGCCACAATACGACTGGACCAAATCTGGCCCTGGTATAAGCTGAGGATCCCATAAAAGTGCCCTGCAAAGGCGTCCGCAGGGAGACTGGAGATCTCATTGTGGGCCAAGTTAAGGACCCTTATATCCGAATAGTCCCCCCTCTCACCAGAATAGTTCTCGCCGAAGTCAAAGACCTTTGGAGGCAATGTCCGCAGCTTGTTGTGTGACAAGTCCAACTCACCCCCAAAAAAGGACAAGCCTCGAAAGCTTCCTGCATTCAGATGCGTCAACTTGTTGTTCCGTAGAAACAATCGGTTCACTCTCAAACCTTCGAATGCTCCAGCAGGAACTGTGGTCAAGCGGTTCCGCTCCAGATGTATTGTGCCGGCAAGTAGGAAGTGAACCATTTCCCTATTGGTGTTACGAGACCAAAAGGCGCCTGGGGCTAGTGCAGTCAGCTGTCTGTCGCTAAGATCTATGATGAGATACGTTCCAGCCGTATCCTCCCACAAGATGCAGCGTTTCAAAGCAACTGATCCTGGCGACACGGTGAAACACTCGCAAGGTGGGCAAAGCCCGCCCTCCAAAAGGCTCGCCAGGACGTTGTCTCCAAGCAGCATGGCCACCACTGCAAATAATCCACATGCGTACGCAATACTGAAAAGAACACGCTTCCACACTCCCCAAATGGGTGGAGCAGCTGGGACCTGAAAAAGCGCAACCCAATCTGCAGTTTCCAGGGATCGACACACGCACAGCACATGTGCAACGCACACGTACATAGACATGTAAATCCAGAAGTTCTGTAGAAAAATGACTTCAAATCTCGCCAAGTCCATGTACAATGCCAAGGAAGTGATGAGGTAGCCCATGTCCAACGCAGCATCCATCATGGCCGCTCCAACCCGTGAAAAGACGCAATTGGGAAAGCAAAACATGAAAGCTGGAAATGCGATGTTGCAGAAGAGTAGGGCCAGAAAGGCATAGACAGCAATGTGTCCACGCAAGGCCACGGCACCTAAGGTTTCGATAATGTCATGAAACACGCTCGCCTTTGCAAAGGTTTGAATCAAGACAGTGATGCATTGCAAGGCCGCCACCTTGAAGGCATAGTATTTGCCTTGCACACCAAAGAAGGCCCGATAAAAAACCTGCGTTGGCCGTGGCCGCACCCGAAAGCGTCTCCGACGCCAACAACAACGCAGGCAGCAACAACAGCACTGCAGCTCCCACAACAGAATCACACCACAAGTCACCCAAGGCAGAGACATAGCAGCATGCCACAACGAGCAAAATCCCAATCGGATATATGTGATAGGACCGATAGGTGACGTGTAAGAAAGGATAGAAGAGCGGCAGACATTCAATTCAATGAAGAGCGCAAAGAAATAAGAGAAGCCAAAGGCCACAAAGCGCAGGACAGCCGTCGCCAACAATACGCTCCTCGGTGTCTGTGAAAGACCCTCTTGGACTCGCGAAAGCTCCCAGCTTGCAGCCTCTGGCTTCAACCCAGACTGGTCGGGTTCAGACCTTTTTGTTTGAACTTCTATTCTTTCAGACTGATCCAAAAAATGGTGCGAAATATAACGTCTTGGCTCTGTTCATATGATTCCTACGACTTGTCAACGGGGGATGAAGCTGCATTTTGAAAATCAAAGCTTTTTCCAGGGTCCAGGCCTTGGTTTGGTCCAACAAACCCAAGGAATTTGCCACCTCGCTCACCCCTTTCTGTGCCACCTGAAAGGACAAAGACTTTTCCAGGAAAAAGACGGTCGCCAAATAGCCCTCCACCGAAACCACCACCTGAGCAGCACCAGGTGGATCACCTGTCATCAGCTACTGGTTCGCTTGATATCTGTTGAAATGGGATGCTCCCGGGGGGGGGGGGCATTTCTTGGATTCGTGCATGCCACAATGAGACCAACAAGCATAAAACTCATAAAACCCAATAACTAGTGAACACCAACCACCAGGTATCTTTTGTGCATTTCTCACCTGGCAACATTTTCTTGAAGAGGCTATTGCGAAGAAATCACGAGCAGTCACAATCTGGACATCATGCATCTCCTTCAGCATGTGCCATCCATCTTGTACCCGCTGGAGGCTGTCGCAAACGACTTCACAAAATAAAATATCCACATCTCCTCCACGTTCATCTGCCTCTGCCGGGGGCTTGATCTTGGCCACAACTTCAGATCCCAGGCTGGAAAGCGGATCGCACACAGAACGCTGAAAACGACTCATGGAAGATCTTGCACGAGTGAAATTCGTTGTCAAGTCCAGGTCATTCTGCGGAAGCTCTTGCAAGGAGCCGTTTGAAGTGCTTCCTAAAATGGAAGACACGCTGATCAGGGGTTGGCTCCTCTCTTCGCTGGCTTGCAGTACTTCAAAGTAGCTTGCTTCTGTCGCAAGCGCCAATCTGAAGATCCTCTGCTGCATGCCATCCAATCGCTTTGCTGTGTAAAAACAGCTGCCAACTGACACTACCAGCAGCGTGATGCAAATGAAGGTGGCGGACATCCCGGTGCTTTCCTCCAAAAAAATGCAGGTCGCTGGCAGCAGGGACAGCAAAATGATCAGAAGCAACATCCTGCTTTGGATTTCAGCCGCGGCCTGCACGCTCAACAGGAAGATCAGTTCAAGCCAAACGCAAGTCCTAATGATTCCACTGGATGCCATCCTCCAGAAACGAAGTAGGCGATGCTTGTCGCAATAACCATGCAAATTTTGGTGCAACTCCCTGCCTTACGTGTCTTTGCTTCCCATGGTAATGTGAAAAGCAGGCGGGGTTTACGTATGTTTACTGAAAGTCATATAAACTCACTAGTCACTAGACCCCATACTGTATTGGTTCATTCATCATTGTTCTTATTCATTTCCAATGAGAAAACACCTTCACGAAAAAGATTCCTTCCAAACAAACCATCTCCACACCCAGCTGCAGTTCCTTTGGCTGCACGGAAACGGCATGTCCTTTTCCTCGCTCATCTCCGGACAGCTGGCAGGCCCGAAGGTCACCTGGTCGACAGCCGAAGATGTGAAGACGTCCTGGGTGCCGATATAGGGAGACACCGAAGAGAAACAACAGGTGATGCTGGGCGATTTTTCGTAATAGTGGGGGGTGGATGCTTGATTCCTCGATTCGGACACCTTAAAAAACATTCATACACATGTTCACCTGACATTAGCAAACTCAAGCAAAAATAAAAAACCCTCACGAAAGAAAATCTAGGGGGAAAAACTCGGACCGGCTTAGTAATTCCAAGCGTCTTGCTGTTGCGTCTCTTCAATGCTGATCCACCTGTCGGTGCGATGCCATGCCCATGTCGTCTTAACGGAATCGTGGAGAGTTTGCCTCAGTTCCATGGCAAATGATCGAATGACTGTTCACAGATATCCCTTTACGGCTGGTCTGATATAATTGTCTGCGCCCTCCATATAATGTACCGTACCATTTATTGGCAACCGAAGCCATGTTGACTTGTAACTTGCACATGGCCCCCCACACACCACGCTGACCACACCTGAACTTCCAGCGACCCAAGGTGCTTCGCCACTTTCGTCAGCTTGGGACAGCGGTGCACGTGCAAAACCAGCTCCTTCAAGCTCTGTCGACAGCTGGCTCTCGCCACTTCCAGCTGTAGCTCCTCGAGTCTTCGAGCAAATGGGCGGTTTATGTGACATTCACAAGTCATTCGATTTTTTGTTCCAAGGAATGTTATGCCACTCTGAGTCTCATGCCATGACACGGCAGGTATCCATTCACAAGCCATTCACAAGCCATTCACAGAATGAATGGGGGAACAAAACGCTTTAGTTGGTGTGTTGGTCACATGACCCTCCTGACAGGCACATCGTCACTCAGCTTCAGAGCTTGAGCTGCAAGATCCAAAAACCGCCCCACAACAAGTTCCGTCAGTCCTCAAGATCAGGCAAATTGGACAATAAGAGTTGCAAGCATCCTTGGCAACAGTGTGGGGCTGCAAACTGCGCCCGGCCAGTCACAAAACCAGAATACAACTTTCCAAGCTGAAGACAAGTGAAAAAAAAAACATGGAACTACAGAGTCCCTGGACGAAACTGCCCGCACTTCCAACATCTTGCAATGAGCATGAAGATTGGCAAGAGTGATGTGAAGAAATGTATAGTCTCATGGGCAGGACAATCATTTGGGTCCTGAAAATCCTAAGTCCCACAGCAACCCTGCAACAACTACCAAAACACAAAGCTGACTCAATGCAGTTTTGAATAAATCTGGGTAGGATTGCCATGGTTTCCCAAGTGTTCCCGAGAGATCTCTCAAAGTTGTCTCATTTTGTCTCAAAGCTAGCCATCACGTATAATTAAGATACGGTGATCTGCTTTGAACTAAAATTTGCCCAAAACAAATTTCCAACACGTCGCACGGGAAGTCCGAAGTTTTGGGGGGCCCTCCTCCCTCCGCCGTGTGTCGCAGCTTGGGCATGCTACTGCGCAGCAGCTTCACCTGTAGATCAACCCGCGGAAGCATTGCTATGGGCAAGAACCGTGTGGCGATTTTACACCCATCAATTGGGATATAATCCAAATATCTGCGGCGATATCCCCACGCAAAGTAAGTGCAAGCGCACCCCACATATTAAATAACCAGGAAGAAGTGGCATGAACTTCCAAGCACTGGTTGCACTGAGTAGCTGTCAGGTAAGCCAAGATGCTTCCTGTCTGAACAATAGTGTGCCGGATGGCAAGCGGTCAGTTATGGTACCCCGCCTTTTTGGATCGATGGTAGCGAAGTCAAGTGTTTGATTGTTCCTTTTTGTCAAGTCAGATTTTGTTTGCTAAAAAGACTATTGTTTTGTCGAAAACACGTTTGCATCAATCAAACCATCCCTTCTGATGGCCAGTTCGCCCCATAGATCATGTGACCCTCCCATTTGATCCATTTCCTACGGGCCTGAAAATGGTGTATACCTCCACGGGCCTTAAAGGCACCTTTTGAAAAGGAACCCAAAGGCTACGAAACAAGAGTTAAACCAATTTCCAAAAATATCCAAAACTAAACCAAAAAAAACACGCCGACTGTAGCTCCACATGTCACCTGGCGCAGGGGCGTCTTGGTGATGCGCAGGGAGAGCTCATGCAGTTCCAGCAGCTGTGGGAACTCCACATACCGCACGGCTGTGAAGCCCAGGTCCAAACCTTGGTAGCTTTACTCTCCGGAAATCAAATATGGCACATGGCTGGGAAGCCACCTCAAAATGGATGTGTTTCTCGAAAAATCCTTTGTAACATCGGGAATCATCAGGATTTTCCATTGCCGTGCTTGACTAGAGGAAGGTATTCAAAAGTTATATAGCCCCAACACTTTTTCGCCTTATGGCCACTTGCTAAGCGGAAGTGCAGCCCCAAGTAAGGTCCAAACTCATGATGAATTTGTTTGACCTGAAATGGATTCTTTGAACCTTGGACTTGAGCTGTGATTTTTTTTGCTGTACAACGTTGGTATTTGATGGTGTTTGAACATATTTCTTTCTTTACCTTGGCATTGAAAACATTCTCTTGCAGATCCTTTGGCTGCTGGGACCCACAAACTTGATCAAATTTGGTGATCATTTTTGGCCTTGACCACTTCATCCCTTGGTTGTCCCAACCGTGGCCCATACCCAATTTCCTAACAACAGCATGGATTTCATGTCAAAGAAAAACAATTGCAGAAGAGAAAACAACCTAAGAAGAGACCAAGGCAACAAAACTCACGTCATGTGGTGTGAGTTCTGCGATGTTCTGCGGTCATCATCTAAATCAATGCATCTGCCGCTCGATTGTGAAAATTTGGACTCGAATGCGAAGCAAATAGCAAAGTAAATGAAATGTGTTACTATTATATCTTATCATATTCAATAAACATAGATATATATAGATAGAATTATAGGCATGATTCTGAATACTGTATCAACACTTGTATATATTGAAATCTGTTTGATTATATTCATATAGACACGTAAAAACTAATCAATATTACAGTATAATATATTTATGTTACATATAAATATATATATATACACGAATTCAATAAAAGCAAACAAATTGCCAGGGGGCGAAGGATCTGCAGGTGAGCTGGCAAATGTGCAAGAAATCTGCGAAGCTCCAACCACTTAAACTTGCCTTGGCTCAAGCTTATCAATGATGGGGTTTGATGGGGTTGTCTGGGGTCCATAGGGCTAGGGTTGAGCCAATGGGTGTCATGGATTCTTCTGGCGCAAATGGAGAACAGGACAGCTGTTAGATAGACTTTCAGATCAAAACGTCTGAAAATAATTTCTGCATGAGCGGGACCCGTGTTTTTGTCTGCTCTTTTGCGATTGGCAAAGACCTGCAAGTCGCACAAAATGTCCCGCGACATCCGGGAATTGGCTCCCGAACCTCATGTGATTTGTCACTACCAAAGGTGCCTTGACAACCCTTTCTTGCAGCATGATCCCAAAAAAAAAACACAAGACGTGCGAAGCACCCAGCACCCTGAAACACTTGGTTTGCAGCCATTTGAGAGGAAACAAAACTTTCACATAGGCGGAGCCACTTGAATAAACTTGGCTGGAGGACTCCCATCTAGATATACATAGATATACGCTATATTCTGTAATGGATTTCATTGATTTTTTAGCGCCACCATCTACACATAGATTTTCACATCATTTCCATCTGCTTTCAGCCAGGTCTCAGCACCCCGTTAACGAGAGCTGCACTGTACGTCGCTGTGCATCATTCTGCAAGGCCGTAAGGAGCCTCCAATTAACAAGGTGATTCAACCATGATTCAACCATGAAATATGAAGTTCACTGGATTGATTGAAAGGAATGTCACATCTGTATTGCGTTGCCCATCTACGTATGTGGATGCGCGTCCCATGTTTTTTGTGATAACGTACAATACAATCAAATGCAACCTGGGGGAACCCCACAAATAAATAGCTGGTGTTTTCCCATTTTGTTGGCCGCATACCAGCTGCGATGCACATTCACATGTGGAATATCCACATGTAATTTTACAGTCTATGATATGACGTGCATTCCTGACAAATTACAGCTTGCGACGCATGTCCAGGTGAACACAGAAATTTGGTTTGACACCCCGTGACAAAACAATATAAATAGACTTATTGATTTATGTGCTTATGTCTTTATTCATATATCAAATTTATCATATAGATAGATAGATAGATAGATAGATTAATTAGATTAGATTAGATTAGATAGATAGATAGATAGATAGACAGATAGACGGATAGATAGATAGATAGATAGATAGATAGATAGATAGATAGATAGATAGATAGATAGATAGATAGATAAGATAGATAGATAGATAGATAGATAAGAAAGATAGATAGATAGATAAGAAAGATAGATAGATAAGAAAGATAGATAGATAAGAAAGATAGATAGATAAGAAAGATAGATAAGAAAGATAGATAGATAGATGGATAGATAGATAGATAGATGGATAGATAGATAGATAGATATGTGTGTGTATCACGTGTGTGTGTGTGCATGTACATTCTAATATATTGTATACATTATATATACATATGCCCAGCGTCATAACCCCCTACAGCATGTCTTGACGAACAGCGTTTTGACCGGAAGTTAGAAATCGTATCATGTCAATTCTTCGAATCGCATACGCTTACATTGCCATATATATTACCACACAATATCATGGAAAATACAAGCTGGGTCTTGAATTTTAGTGCACTGCCTCCCAGCCCAATCCGCATGTCGCCTGGTATATGTTGTTGGCCTCGACGTGTTCAAACCTTTCGCCACGGAGCAAAACCTGGGGTCTCTGGACTGGCGCCATCCACGCATGACATCCATGGTGATCCCTGTATACTTCGGGAACAAACGGTCTTGGGGCATGGAGTCTAACATGGAACTGCACCAACTAAGGTTCCGGAAGATGTAAACAAATGTGGAAATCGCCAAACATATATAGGGATTCCATGTTCGCTTTCAGCCATGCAAGCGCCCAAACTCGCAAATCAAATCCGGAAGTGAATCGTGGAACCCATACGCATTAGACAAGCATTCGCCTTCCCAGTTGTTGCGTCACATTTTGGCCTTTGGCGTGTACAAAAAAGTATATTGTCCTGTAGAATTGCACTGATATGCCCCGCAAAAAACAATGCTAGTTCGTATGTTGGCTTAGATAAGCGAAATATTGAAGTGCCAAAGTACCCATGCAATCTGTTCCCCCCTTCGTTTGATGCTGAGTTCCGCGTATTTTGGTTAAATTTTGATACATCCTTATCCATCCACGTGGATTCCCATGGTTTCCCCAACCTCCTCCCGGTGGTAAAACCATGACCCTGGGAGTCTGGGACCCTTCAAATCCCAGGCGCAGGTTGGCTAAGGCAAAGTGCCCGGCCAACGCACGGCCCACCGCGTCATAGCCTGGATATCTCACCAACATGGCGTGCAAACGCGTGCAATGGAAAGAGACAAGGGGAATCCGACTGTTGAACTAAGACAACGCACTACGATGGCCTCAGAAGGTGTTCCTCATGTAGGCTAAGGGTGATTTATGGTGATGATTATTTAGTGGAGCTTACTTACCTGTTGAACATGGGGTAAGCTTGAGGCATGTTGAAAGCGTGAGTATTGAGAGTATTTGCGTCACGATACTCTTGTGAATTTACCCTTTTTTGCTCCTGTTTACCACCGGTCCTTTTGTTCGCTGCCCTAGCACTCTAAAACATGAGGCTGGCCAGGGGTTGTTTTAAAATGTTCAAAAGACTTTTCCGACTTCACCGCACAACAATCCGGAAGTGACATGGGGACGTATGCGACTGCCCTACGACACACGTCGGCATCCTACAGCCGCATACGGTTCAAATCCGAAGGTTCTCGCTCCCGACCTCTTAAGTTCTTGCCTCTTGAGAAATCCGGTCGGGGTGCTGCACAGCAGAAGGGCAAAGGAGAGTGAGACATGGAAACTGGTTTCAAACTTAACAAGAGACTGACCGAACCTCATATCTCCAACCAGGTGGCTTTCGTGCGTGGTTTGGAATTCCTGTAGAAGAGTTTGTGTCCTCGCCCGCGGAAAGGCTATGCTATTTAGGATCTTTTTCTTGTCGGCCTCTTTGCTTGCCATAGCACTGGCAATATCAACATCTAATCCTTTCCTTAGCAGGGCGAAGCTGCTGCGTAAGCATGGTTATCATGGATGGGTTCAGTTCAGGCCACCAGCTTGTGCGTTGAGCTTTACACCGGCATCAGGCATCAAGTGACACATTGCAAACACTCCCAAATCCCAGCTGGTTCAGCCATCTACCCAAAAATATGAAAGTCACTTTGGCCTGTCTTGGAATTCAACATAGGACATCACCAAGATTCAAGAATCTTCATTAAAAACATACCCGCAAAAATTGACCTGGTGGAGTTGGGGCTTCAGATTTGTAGACACATTTCTGGAAAACACCAAAGCGGCCTCTACAAAACCAAAAACATAGCATTTGAGCAGGAAACTTCCAGGCCTACAAAATCCAAACACTCAACCCCACGTTTGCTGGGGCCTGGGGCACCCGGCGCTTCTACAAAATCCAAATCATGGAAATCCACTTGCTATATATAGGCGCTAAAAATTTGGTTCAAATACGCCCTCAAAAGCTATCCCAGAAACAATTGCATTTTGTAAAGAAACGTTTGTTTTGGCTCTAAAAATCAACAAAAATCACTGTTGGATTTTGTAAAGGTGTAGAGGCCCGATTTCTGATTCTTTGTCGTGGATTCAACTTTTCTGCCGCTTCGTTGTCGCACTTGTCTATATATATATATATGTAGTTGCTATGAAAGACTATGAAAAACAATGTAGATAATATCAAGAACATGATGAAAAACTATGAAAAACAATGCCAAGATTCATGCAAACAAGACTATGATATATATATATATATGTGTGTGTGCAATGATGTGCATACTTAAATTCTTAGATGGTCAAGAATTAGTACCAAGAAATTGTTTTGTTGGTAGTTATATCTTTTGGAACATTAAAATCAGCAAGATATACATATGTGGTGCATTAAAACCACATATAGACGATAAAAATCTTATCATCTGTATCACTTTGTGATGATTTTAACGGTTCCCAAACTTTGCATAACACAATTTAATGGGGCACAACAACATTTACATACTAAACATATACATTTTAAAAAATAGTGTTATACAGGAACTTTTTCCTATTTACCCACCATCTACTCACCATTTCTAATTTTCTCGTTTCGTCCTCCCGTTGTGGTTATCCCGTGTTATCTCCTTCGAAACCCTGGGTGCGGAGGTCCATTTCACCAGGTGTAATGTAACGAGAAAACTTAAAGGAAAAATTGAAAAAATGGTGGGTAGATGTCAACTAATTATGAAAACCAATTAAAACCAGATGAAATCAAATAAAATCATGGTTCAACCAATGTCTTTACAAAACCAAAAATACCTCATAAAATCTAAAGCATGACCTTAATATCCTAAAAATCCAAAAGATATCAAAAGATTACAAAATAAAAAAATGCTTAAGGTGTCCTCTAAAATGATCCCAAAAATGTCCCTCTACAAAATCAAAAACCTGCTTGGAAATAATTCAAAATACTCAACCATCTCCCATAAAAAAATGCTTTGTGCCAAACGTTAACGTGTTAGATTTTGTAAGAGATTTTTTGGAAATATTTCAAGACACCAACCAATAGCACCACATTAGCAGCACGCCCAGCACAGCACCATCAGAAGCATCTCCACCCAGCCGGGACTCAGTAGGATTTCCGTGGGAAACTCGGCCTCGCGGCGGCTCTTGGCCAAGAACCCAAGCAGCGGCATCATTTTCTGCTCCTCGCCCGCCAGGCCGTCTGTGATGACGTGCGCGCGGCCCTGCTCTGTGGCCGCCACGTCCAGCAACAATGGGGACCTGGCGAGATAGGGGGAACTGGGATGAGGAGGGGAACATCAGCACACCCACTAAATCCATGATAGTCAATGGGAGTTAACACAACACATGATGCCCATGCAAAAAGATGGGGCCAACGCTATGTTGCCAAGAGTCCCTTTGTTGCGCTCTTCTACCGCAATCGATTCTTCGAAGCAGCACCAGATCCTCACGGAGCCACCCGTGGATGGATTGAAGACAGGAAAGCGAAGTGGAACCCTATGGTTCCAACTACGCAACAAACTAGATATTGTAATCAATATATGTTATCTATATGTAAAATATATATATATACATATTTGTTCATATGTACTTATGGCATCATATGTGCATGTTGTGGCTCTTGTGTCCCAAAACCCTGGACTCACTGTTGCCGTTGGGGGTTGCCACTTGGAGGGCCGGGGGCGGTTATAAGTACATAGCAAGGTTAGAGCACTTTTATAACCTACTTACTAAGTGCTGTAACCTACCTTATAAGTGGTGCTAAGTTACCTTATAAGTTATAAGTGGTGCTAAGCGGTCTGCTGTCTCTAAGTCACTTACGTAAGTAGTTACAGTTTTCGGCTAACTATATATTATGTTCCATAAATGATTACGCAACTTATGGCACTTGGCTAACCACTTGGCGTATGTGGGCTAAGTGAGATAGGCACCTTGCGCCCTAAGTGGCCTAAGTCCTGTGAAGGACTTACACTACTTACGTATCTAGGCTAAGTGCACTTACAAAAATTTGCGGAAACACAAAATCCCGTTTCTTATTTGGTGGAAACACAAAATTCTGAATGGGGTTTTGGTGGAAACACAAAATTCCGTTGCAAGTTTTCGTGGAAGCGCAAAAACCCAAATCGCGTGTTGCGGAAACACAAAAGCGCTCGCAGACTTAGGAAAGTGCTGCCACTTATGTAAGTGCGCTAAGTGCTGTCCCAGTAAGTCCACTAAGTGACATACTGTAAGCGCTGTATCCAAATAGTAAGTGCCGTATGTACCTAGTATGTCCCCTATGTGCTTATAACCGCCCCCGAGCCTCCAAGCAGTTTGGCTTTGATCCCTCAACATGTGCTTCGCTCACCTTGGCCAATCCTGGCGCCGGCCACGGAGCCCGTGTCCTTGCCGGAGGCCTTCGGTGGTAACTGAAGGTTATAGGCGCTGCCTGCTCCGCTGCCGACCCACCCCCGGTTCACCCCGTGTCGACCAAACGACCTGTAATTTACGGTGTTTCGTGTGTGTGTGTGTGGGGTCACAAAAACATTGTTTTTCACTGTGTTTCGTAGCCTCGGCCGATCCGAATTTTTTTGTTGGCGAAAGTAAAAAAAAACGTTGTTTTTACGTGGTTTTTGGTTCTGCGGCGGAGGGGTCCGAGAAGGAAAAATTATGAAAAATTTGCATCTTGGAAGTCTTTCAACAGAGATGGTCTCACATATCGCCAACATAGCCTCAACATAGGCCCCAAGATGGGCCAGCATGGGGCCAACATAGGCCAACGTAGGGCCAACATAGGGCCAAGACAGGGCCAACATGGGCCAAGATAGGGCTAACATAGGCCAACACAGGGCCAACATAGAGCCAACATAGGCCAACGTAGGCCCAACCTGGGCCCAAGATGGGCCCAAAACAGCCTCAAGACGGCCCAACCTTGCTGCGCCACTCAACATGGGCCAACATAGGCCCAACATAGGGCCAACATGGTGCCAAGCTTGCTTGGCCGGCGCCCGGCTGTCAGGCGTAAGCCTTTAAATCATGGGTGCAATCAAGGGCAAAAAAAAACTTCCCCCACTGGCCGCTGGCCCGAATACTTACACTCATTCTTGGCTATGCTTAAATACTATGCCCAAGATATTGCTGGCCAGTGTTTGCCCCCACGTATTGCAAGACCATGCGCAATGAAACCTTCACAAACTCTCAATTGTCGGCAAAGCTCCGCGTGAAGGGCGTGGCATTGTGGTCCAAGACCAACAAAACTCCAGCACACATCTTGATAGCACGGTAGAAAGAGGTCTTGCGAGGATTGTGGCAAATCTCTGCTTTCAACTGGTGCTGGTTGTTGGCATAGGCACAGACCCAATAGGCCGTCTGCTCCGACAACTGTCGCAAGGAGGCATGACGCTTCAGACACGCCACGAAATTGCAGACCGGCTCCAGCCAAGCATGGGAGACGAACCTCAAGTCGCGTGCGATGACGGAAATCCCTTCACAAGATCCCTTCAATTGCGGAGATGTCTAGAGTCTAGACTCTAGACACCCTTCTTGCTAACAGAGCCCTTCACAAGATAGACCCCCACAAGTTGTTGTTCCAAAACCGCGCTGTTGTTGATGGCCAATCCGTGCCAATTACAAATTGGCACCTTTGTCTTTGTCGGTCAGTCCTTGTATATCTAATACATTAATATTTCACCCCCCACCCGATGTTCGAATAAAATGTCCCCGGATACAGGCTTCTAAGTAAAACATCTTTTCTGGCGATGGATTGCCTACGTTTGACGTTAAAATCTTTATTTCGTCCATTTGCTTTTTCGATTGATAACCCAATGATTACCCTCCATGCGTTTTTAGATCTCTCTCTCTCTCTCTCTCTCCATCAAATCATTGCATTTCTTCGTGTTTTGCTTGTTTCTTGCCAGGACCTTCTCTCATGACTTATGTTCTGCTGGACAAATCCAGTACTATCTGTCGACCTCCCTCACATGGCAGCTGATAAATTGTCCCCTATATCTTGCTTGATGGCCAAAAACCGATGGCAAAACTTCATGAAATTCGCCTGGCTTCAGAATTTGAAAAACTATTTCCGCAAAATCTCCTACCCTCTGGTTACGTCAAAATAGCTATTGAAAATTGCCATTTATAGTTGATTTACCATGATTTACCCATTAACCATGGTGATTTTCCATATAGTTATGTTAGTTTACCCATCAAAACAGGTCATTGTCATGGGTCATCTCCATTTCAGGCCGAGTCGCCACAAGGGTCGTTGCATTTGGGCCGAAGTGGCCACCAATTCCACATAGCTGCAGCCACCGCGCCCGTGCCCAGCGGTGGCAGGGCCAATCACCCAGAAATCTGCATGGTATAGATTGAAGGCCTCCAGCAGCGATGTGACGAACAAAATCCATTGTTTATATTGTTTTATCACTTCATACGGGAAAGTCATGAAAATTTGCAGGCTTCGATCAGTGATATTGGAAAACTGAACCAATCAAAAGATGAAGCTGCAAACATGTAGGTGCTCACCATCCAACATTGTATTTTGCTACATGTTTGCTGCCTTTATCCAGGGGTGGGCATCTCAGAAAACGGGAACTGTGGCAAAATGATGTCTGTCTTTGCATTTTGCGGCTGAGTCACATAGAGAACTTCCTGACTCTCTCTCTCTTTCATCCATAGAGTACACACACCTCCACTAATGTTGCCTTCATATTTCTCAAATTTCTTGCATTTGCCGAAATTTCGGTGCATGACAGGCCGACCTCGAAAGACAACGGCTGCCCATAGGCCAAGTGATGCGCGTCACACCAACTGGAGGCGATATCCACTATGAAGTCCAGCCTCCAGAGGGATGAACCGCTGAGGTGTTGGGTCGCACCATCCCTTTAATGTGGTTAAAACAATTATAAACCATCCCCAAGTCATCACCATTTTTACGGGTGGTATCAACGATCAAAAATTGGGTGGTTTATTATTGTTTTAACCACATTATCCATCTTTGTCTATCTTTATCCAATTTTATCTGAAACAGGGATGGGAAAGCACGGCGAATCCATAAGCGGTGCTATGGAGGTGTGTAAAAATATTCATAGCTCAAATCTCCCGAAAACAAGACCAACAAAGGCCCCCGAGCCGACATGCCATGCAGAACAATGTGCGCAACACAATTTCTATCCAAGCTGCAGAGATGACAATTGTTCAATTGTAACCCCTCTCAGTTCCGTTGCTGCGATGTGGATTGGAGGCCCAGAACTCAACCACGAATAGTTGGCAAACACCTGAGCGATGGCTGGGGCATCATGGTGCATCCCAAGCCCCAGTCTCCCCATATCATGCCGGCTTTGCCAACAAGAAATCCTCCAACAACAAGTCAACAACTTTTCCACGCCCTCTCACCATGTTCGGAACTCTCAGAAGCACTCAGAAGCACTGCCTACCCGCTGGTAATTTGTTACATAGCTATTGAAAATGGCCATAGAAATAGTGGATTTCCCTATTAAACATGGTGATTTTCCACAGTTGTGTAACAGTTTACCATGGTAAATCATCCCAAAATCCTCCGAAAATGTCGGCCGAGGCACAAAATCGGCATTGAATTCGCGCAGCTGCTGCGTGGGGTCCAGCTTCTGTGGGCCGCAGGACAGCAGCACGTTGCCGTGCGCAGGTTCATCCAACCTGGGGGACCGGCCGCTCAGGGCTCCGAACTTTCCAAAACATTAGGGGATTTGATGGGATTTAATGGGATTTTATGGTATTTTAATGGGATTTAATGGGATATATGATGGTTACCCTCCGGTAAACTGTTACATAACTACGGAAAATCACCATGTTTAATAGGGAAATCATGGGAAATCAACTATAATAATGGCCATGTTCAATAGCCATGTTAGTCATTACCAGAGGGTATCCTCATTCATCAGATGGCTATGAACTGCCTCAATCATTGACCGGTGACCCATGGAAGTTAAAGCGATACCATGAAGCTGGCAAGCCTCAAACCCTGAAGTGACTAGCATCGATGTGTATTGAGGTTGTGACCCTTGGGGCCGTATTTCATGGTATTTCACACCAAGTGTGAACGATGCCAGCTGGATTTGGGGCTGAATTTTCCGAAACCGAGGCCTTCAACTGACGCCTTCAGCAACTCACCTCGTTAAATCTGCCTGGTGACACTTGTCGCAAATACTCCACAGCCTCCTCCGCCGTGCTGCTGTCGCACGTGAAGGTGCCCTTCTTTGGAACTTGAATGCGGGCCATGGCGGGTGTTGCGATTGGTGGCTTTAACATGCTTTAACAGTGTCCACTTTTTAAAGCAGGGTTGGTTCACCGTCCACCCGTAGGAGTTACCGAAGTCCCGGTTCAAATGGGGTTTGTATAAAGATGTATAAAGGTTTAAAAGGCTTAACTGCATGTGTGCGTGTGTGATTTATGTGGTGTTTCCCTATTGTTTGACCTTGAATGTTGGAATTTGTCAGTGAATGTTATAATTGGCCGTGACTGCTCTGCAGAGCTTGGGCACTTGACTTTACAATCAAAGTCTGCCACAAGCCTGGCTTCGGCAACACAAGCCAAAAACGGTATAGAACACATGGATCATGGCGATGCCAATCTGTGGTGGCAATTTCTCTGCGCTTTCCACAGTTCTTTAATCGTTGAAACACGTGGATGCACGTTGCCAACAGGATGACACAGGATGACGCAGGTCTCAGGGGCGGACTGTGCCACCAGTCATGCATTTTTTTGCCACCAAAGTCATGGCAAACGATGGAGTAACCACTGGTAAACTAACAGTTTGCTATTGAAAATAGCCATAGAAATAGTGGATTTACCCATTAAAAATAGTGATTTTCCATAGCTATGTTAGTTTACCAGAGGGTAACCACCAATCAGTCCACGCAAGTCATCCCGAAAACAAACACCGTTGTTTTCACGCATGGCGAACCACAAGTCGCAGAGTGAGACCGACTGCCGGCGGCAAACAGGTGAAACTGCGAGATTTTGTACCAGGAGTTATCCCCCCAGAAAAATGCGGAACTGCCCAAAACATGGGGCTAGTATGAGGGAGCACCTAGAGGACTGCAGGTGAGTACCAACATATGTTTTTACTGCTTGGATGCTCCGTTCAATTCCAGGAAAGAATGACCCGTTCAAAAGAAACGTGTCTTTTTGGCCCGCAAATATAAGAGTTTTTGTGCAGATGCGCCCTTACATCCGGATCAATTCTAGGACCAATGATCGTATTCAAAACACATGCACATATAATGCACACATCTATTATATATATATTGTACATATATATATACACATAATGCATATATATATATATATCCTCTTACTGAAATCCTATGATATCACCATGTTTTGTAGTTTGATTAATACAGTTCAACAATATCCCATAAAGTCACCAGTTACATCAAACCAAGGATGGCTGTATCCCACCAAATCCCGCATTGAACTATGGTAAACCACCACTAAATCACATTGAATCTCAATGTTCAATGGTTGAACATGCTTGAACCACCATTAAGCCTCCATTAACCCCCATGAAATCAGATTAAACCACATTAAACCCCACTAAATCCCACCAAATCCCATATTAAACCTCCATTCATATCCCATTCATTGGGGAAGAAAGGACATCTTCACCTTGAACCTCACCGGCGTGACTGGTAGCTGGGGCGAGCTACAGCCGAATTCCCACGGATCTGAGACGCAGCTATCGTCTGTCGGTCGATGTCACTTTGTCTACACTGACATACATATTATCTATATACCTGTAAACATATATATGTTTATTTATTTATTTATTTCTATCTATCTATCTATCTATCTAAATATATATATATATATGTGTGTGTGTATCGATATGATTCAATAGATATATCTACATGTTTGTCTTTGTCTATTCATTTTTCATACGTGACGAATCTCCTCCAATCTCCGCTTTTTCGAATCGATCATCCAGTGGCCCCATCCCCATGGCCTGAATTCATAGCCTCAGAGTCCGTTCTCCGATGTGGGGCAAGTTATGGATCCCCATGACTAAAAAATACTAAAAATAGTGGACTAAAATATCTAAATGATTCTAAATGCTGGAGGAATGGCAAAATTTAGGCAAAATGAAAAAACATCAACAAGAATCAACTTCAACAAATCCATTGGTAGAAAAATTGGCCCATACCTAGGACCTATGAATATCCTCCAAAGCCATCCTCAGATCAGTGGCTGAAGAAGGTCATCGTTCACCTTCTTCCGTGCAGGTGGAAACGGATTCGATCTGGATGTGGCGCTTGGATGCTACCAGATCAAAGCCTCAAAGCATAAAGTGGTACTTCAATGATCTGGTGAAATGTTGAGAGGATGGCCCAACATAGCTATTAGACATGGCCATTTATAGTTGATTTACACATGTATAGTTTCATTTCAGTAAGGGCCAAACAAAATACAAAAAAGCATGACAAGCCATCGAAAGAGGAGGAAAGGTGGGTCTGACCATCCACACGAATCGAAGAGCTGGTAGGTGAAGCCCTCGACTGAGAATCATGAGCAATTTGTTGGAATTTCGGAATCCCAATTCAGTATTCATCATGGTTTAATGGGATTTAATGGGATTTTAATGGGATTTAATGGGATATATGATGGTTACCCTCTGGTAAACTGTTACATAACTATTGAAAATCACCATTCTATTAATGGGTAAATCAACTATAATAAATGGCAATTTTCAATAGCAAACTGTTAGTTTACCAGAGGGTATTCATCATGGTGTTCACAACCAGTTGCCACAAGTTGCCACTATCCATCTGCCATAGCATACAGCTGTTGGGAGCTGTTCTCCCAGCGCAGAAACTGCGCGCAGAAACTGCGCTCCGGCACCATCGCCCCGCGCGAAACTTCGTTCCCGAAAAGCTGGGATGGCACCTAGAACGACGAGATGTTGCGGCAAGCCACATGGCAGGATAATGCCGCCAAACCATCCCAAACCTCAGATTCAAATCTTACCCGTCCTAAAATAAAAAAACACACCCTAGAAACCATGGTTTATGGGAAAAATATATGCATAAATCTACATAGACCATACAATTGGGGCTGTAAACCATATCAGGGGGATGGGATTTTCTATAACTTATAGAACCCACCTGATCCCATTGTCCCCATTTCAATCCCACGATCTTCGCGCCTCACTTGGTCGGACTCGGGGACCGACTCGAGGGTCGCCCTTGGGAGCGGTTGCCACGGGTAGGGACAGACCAAGACCATGAAAAACACACCGAGTGAGTTTTCAGGTGGAACCCCCTGCCAAAAAAAGAGGCCACCTTAAACGGCAAGAACCGCGTAAACGGCAAGAACCGCGAGTTTTGTGGCTGCTGTTACCAACTATTTGGGCAACTATGACCAACTCATTTCCATGATGTAGATGGGCTGAACACATGCGAATAACTTGTAGGAGTCCAGAAAAAATGATGGGGGCTGAGGAATCCAAGGGACAGGAAATCCACTGTACTTCACTTCAGGGATGGTTCCTGAAGTTTCCCCTTAAACCACATGCGGTATAATATGACCTGATGCGTTCAAGAATAGCGGGCAACCAAACATGTTTGCGAACCACTTTGGCGTGCTTACGAACCAATCAGTGGGAGACACATCCAAGCACATCCTACTTCAATGACACTTCGCAAAGGGGTCTCGAAAATCTGCGTCCATAACAGTGCCTTTGTTGGGGTTTCTGCCTAGTTACTGCCAACCTCAAATGAATGAATCGGCGGTTCTTCCTGGCTCCTAAGGTCCTAATCCGAGGATTTCGGGTTTCGGAGGTGGATGTCTACTAATCCGGAAATGCCCACAATACACCCCCTATGTGTCCAGGTTTGCGAACGAAAACCAAGGCCCAAAATGGTGAAACTACTGAAAGTATGGTTCATTCCTGGCTTTCCCACATTCCAGCCTTCACACCTGTCATGTCAACCCAGGGCCCCCGGCCGTCTCCTCCACCCTCCAACCTTTTTGGGACCGTTGACGAGGGGACCGAGGGGATGCCAATGGCATGGGTCCCATCGACAAACGACCGGGAGAGTGTTGATTCATGTGGTACCATCTGGTTATGACATAGCCATGGAAAATCCACAATTTTTTAATAGGTAAACCATCTATAAATGGGCCATTTTCCATGGCTATGTTAAATAACCAGAGGGTAAACGTTGCACCATTTCAGAGCTATGAAACGGATTAAGCTATCATGTTTATACTGCATGTGCCCATGCAGACCGGTTTTTTTTGTTAATTCCACAACCGAAGCAAAACAACGGCAGCCCTCCGATTTGGACGGTGAAAGCTGCAAAAATGAGGACACCCCGAATCTGGCTATAACTATAAATCATTATTAAATTATTGCGACATTATGCATATATATATAATAGTGGGTATCAATGAGTAGTTGTATCCATGGCATCATTATAGTATATCCCTCGGGCATCAAATTAATTCATAATATGTCTGATATGCCCCATGTTTGTTGATCAAGATCACACAACATCACTGCTGGGTTTCTCCCCATGTTGCTTCTTAGATCAGAAAAACATCGAAAAACACAAATTTATGCCTGTGAAATCCAACATTGACTCAACTCCTGAACCCCAAACAAACAACTTCCCCCCGAAAAAACTCGTGTTTTTGCCGTGTCAATTTCCATCTTTGCCCCTGAAATCCCCACGGTTTGTTCATGACACAACAACCGCCACAGCAGACCGACGGCTGTTAGCCACGCCTCACCGAGGGCCGACGCAGCTCCGGCTCGGTGCCCGGGGCATCCTTGGCAGGTCATGTGATGGACATATAGATAGATATAGATATAGATCTAGAGATATTGATTTAGGTATAGATAGATATATAGATAGATATATAGATAGATATATAGATAGATATGTAGACATATAGAGGTATGTAGATATGTAGATATGTCAAAATATAGATGATATCTATAAATAGATGTAGAGCATTAGATATGTGTCTTAAGATAGTTGGTGTTAGATATGTATAAGTTTTGGTATAGATGTGCATTAGATAAATAAATTCGATAGATAGGTAGATAGATATCGGTGTATAAATGTCGACATGCATACATTTGGATCGATGGGATTTATTCTTATTTATATATATATATATATCTCTCTCTCTCCATCGCTTTCCATGATCAACTGCCCAGAAGAAAGCGCAAATTGTTTTGCAGCAACAGTTGAGTGGTCCCAATCGTGATTTGCATTGGCCATTTCGAAATGTGTTGAGCTTCGCTTCAAATTGGTGATGCGAACAGCTCATCAAAGTAAATCCCCTACCATGAAATCCCAGGTCTTTGTACCCGGGTGGTTCGAGGGATGGGTAGACAGAATTCTTGAGAATGGAAAAAGTCATGGGGCATCCATCATGTGCACAAATGAGACTCTTTGTAAACTGCATCATCTCCATCGCTTTCCATGATCAACTGCCCAGAAGAAAGCGCAAATTGTTTTGCAGCAACAGTTGAGTGGTCCCAATCGTGATTTGCATTGGCCATTTCGAAATGTGTTGAGCTTCGCTTCAAATTGGTGATGCGAACAGCTCATCAAAGTAAATCCCCTACCATGAAATCCCAGGTCTTTGTACCCAAAGCCCATAGAGTGGAAGTGTTCGTTCTTACGTAAGGCGAAAAGAATCTAATGCCTTGGCACGAGCTGATCTGGTTCGTTTCCACAAGGCAGGAGGGATCTTCTGATGTGTCAACAACATTCGGCCAGGTTTCTTGTACTGAGCAACGCTGGATAAGGCTCTCCAACGTCCACGCTGCTGAATTTCTTCTAGTGTTCTCACTTTGTGATAGCAGTCAGAGGATGGTCCTGAATGTCGCAAACAATGAGGTGTTAAATGCAACTGTGCCAAGCCTAACCGCTCACAAGACTGTGTGAGGGCAACATTGTATGCTTTTAGGGTAAGACCACCAAAAAGCAAGTCATTCTCACTCGAGCATCTTTTGAAGAGAAATTTCAGCACCAGTGCAAGATCCGTTCGACTTGGCGTATCAAGCAAAATGCAATCATCAAATGTGCCAGTCTTTGTGGCATGTTTGTTCTCTTGCAATCCCACGACAACACCCCAAAAGCGGGAGCGAGCTTTGGAAGGTTGCAAAACCGATTTCCGCTGTAGCTTCAAGAGCTCATTAGGTCGTAGATACAGGTCCCCTTGCAACAAAATCGCAGCTCCTACAAGTGGATCTTTGTGTTGAATGCAGTCATAGGCGATTACATCCCAAATTGACAAATCCACTCCAGATTTTGAATGTATGGGAAATCTTGTAGCCCAACCTTTCATAAAGCAGACTTCGATTGAGAAAGCAAAAAACGTTCTGGTCCATCTGAAACCATTCTGAGCATGATGAAGCCATAAACCACACTGCGTGCTTCCACTAATGAGTGACCCAGCTCACACAACTCATGCAAATAAAGGACAATGTTTGAATCAGCTTGCCGGAATGACAAGGAGCGTCGACGTTTCAGTGCCCACTGCTCGAGGTTATGTACAGCTTGAGTGTATCTACCCAAAGTGACAGGCTTCACTTGACTGACTCTAAGCCGCTTGGAAGGGTGCACATACACGGATGAGCTAAGGTCTCGGGATCCCCTGTTTGAAGATCTGAGAGACTGCCCTCCACTTGTCTTGTTTTTTACGGTTGCGAGCCTTTTTGGCTTCCTTTGTGGCTGCAGAGTCTTGCCCAAAAAGGATGTGCTCACTGAGCTTGGGAAAAAACGTGTTGACTTGACCTGTGAGCTCGAAACACTGATTGGCATACTTGGCTTTGGGGAGAGTTGCTCCTTTGAGCAATTCTTCAAGTTCCCGAGCAACTGCGAAAGGCTCCGTTTCAACATGATTCAACTCGTGGGAACGCATAGCCAGTGAGGCCCATGTTTCAGCCAACAACTGCGGATAAGCCCCTGCAAGCTCTGTGAGGTTTGTATACATGACTGACCCATCAGGTAGTGTCACTTTTGTTCTACCACACAACGTTTGCGCATGACGGGAGTGACCACATGACCTATGCAGACTCTGGAGACATGACAGGTTGGTGAGAATTCTGGTGTTCTTCTTATAGTCGGTGCCGTAGGCACACATTGGAAATTCCACAGTGAAAACATCATCTCGCATGGCAAGGTGTTTGAATGGCACCAGTTCCCACAACATGGATGTAGAAGGATTCTCAATACTCCAACGTGTTCCAACTGCCATTGCAGCTTCAATCAAACGAAGTGTGAAAAAAGCCAACTCACAAGCGACCCTTTCTTTAGTCCGGGCTTTCCCATGGTTTCTGATGCCCTTCCTAGCAATCGAAAAAACAGTGCAAGGTGTGCCAAGGTGAATGTATGACAAACGTCCCTGTAAAACAAAATCCAACAAAGCACGTTGAGTGGACTTGCGTGTGAGGTCATGCGTAATTCCATGTTGAATGTCCAGCTCCCCAGCAACGAGTGCACCCTTTGATCGAAGGGCTGAGCTCAAACGTCCGGAACCAGAAAAGACTTCAAGAGTCACAAGCTTGCGGTCACCACACTTCCTGCTAGCATCGCCACGGAATTGGCGCGAGCTCGAGGCCGAGCCACAACCAGAGAGTGCGTGTAAACCATTCTTATGTTCTGAAGCCTCAAAAGGAGCTGTCTCAACTTTGCCATCGTCAACACATGGTGGCTCCAAACCGGGAGGAGCCATTCTGATTCCAAGTTTTCGAGACCCTTTGAAAATCAGGTCACACAAGTCTAGGCGGGCTTTGCCTCGCAGGGGAGGAAATTGAATCCATTTGGTAGCATCACTTCGAACTTTTTCGAACCATCTGGAAGGTTCATCTGCCACATTACGGGACGACTCAACATGTCGAAGGCGCCACTGAATGTCAAGACCAAGTTGAAAAGCTGCGCAACCCTACAAAGCCGATTCAAACCAGGTGAGCTGGACCTGCCTTTTTCAAAAGCCAAAACAACTGCCAAATTGTCACACAAGGTCAGTTTGAGACTGTGCACGAGAGAAGCGACCCTCCCAGTGCGTTTCAAACTACTCAAAGCAACTAAGGCCTCTTTCAAGTTGATGTGTTGGCCAGAATCCCGCCAACGCTTCGCCCAGAGTAACGAAAACTTCTCAGGATTCAACAGGGACGAAGAAATCGGCTCAACCAAGGCAGGATAATCCAGATCAAGGCGTTTCTTCCCTCGGGCCCGTTGTTGAGCCCGAATAGCACTTGTCTTAAGCCAGTCACCATCAGAAAGAGCTTGTTGTAACCATTGCCCGTACCCTGTATTAACACCCAAGCTGTAACCAACATGACCATCATCCCTTGCCAAAGGTTCAGTCTCACGCTGTGGGTCCGCACCTGTCTTGCTTGCAAGAAGTGCACAAAGCCGCTCTTTGTCTTGGAATGTCAATGCCTCTTTCAGATCATCAGGCAGAGGGATGTACCTCCATTTTTCTCGAAACCTCAAGGCACGACGAATCTCCCACTCAGCTGCAGCTCTGCACATCAAGGCATAACCATGGTCTGCCGAATCACCAGCATCGACTTGCAGAACAGTTTCGGCACGCATGTTCACACGGGCCAGCCAGAGCAAGTGACACATCTGACGGATCTCGCGCCGAACGCTCGGCCAAAGGGGATAGCGCCTACCACGCTCCAGCTCAGTGAATCGATATATCTTATCGAAAACCGACAGCAGACAGGGTCGTAAACGACAAAGGGATGTTGCGTGACCAAGCCAAATCTCAACGTGTTCCACGCGCACTTTGCTACGGCCAGCCAACTCAAGCCCAGCCAAATGGGTGCGCCACACACGGGATGGTTTATTGCGAACCACCCCTTCCGAAAAGTCAACCACGCATCCAACTGTTTCGATGACAGGTGTAGGTTCATCCTGTGACCAAACAATAGGAATGTCAAGGGCTTTGAAGGCGGCATCGACCTTTTCAGCTCGGATTTTCACGGCTTCTGCAGTAGACCCCATGATAGTGACATTGTCAACATAGGTGGAGGAGATAGTTTCAAACTCATCCAGTTGAGGACAAACCTGGCGTTCTCGAAGCTCAGCTTTAGGGTGTGGGGCTGATGCTCCCACAATGCTTGCCACAATCTCATTTGCAAGAAAAAGGGCCCAGCTCCAGCCCATTGACATCGCACTGACAACAGGAAAAAGCATCTCCGAGTCGCAGGTGGGTCTACGCCTACCCAAGTTGTAATCATACACAGAATCTACAAAGAAACCATCTTGTTTCCAGGCAGAAAAAGGCCGAGCACCGTCAAGCGCGAAAAATGCACCTGCTTGGTCGATCCGGAATTGATAAAAACAGTCTGACACGTCACACTCTTGGGCAAAACCTAGAGGGGTTGAACCAGCTGAGCTAGGTAAACGAAGCTCAGCGAGGCAAGCACTGGAACCAAGGCGAGTGGTTGGCGGTCGCCTATGCATGAAGTTCGCTTGGCGCCCATCGATAATCAGTCGCACAAACCGTGGATCCTTCTTCTTGACGCAGAAGATGCCGGCCTTGGCTTTGATCACGGGCTGTAAGTCAAGCAAGCCAATCTGAAACATGCGTTTAAACAGTTGGTGCCGCAGTTGTGTGTCATTCTTCAGCTTGGGATCCCAGTATGGAATTTTGGGCATGGCTGTTGGATCGGCATCAAGCTCCGTCTGAATTTGCATCGGATCACGAACCACATGTTGACGAAAATTCTCAACCAGAGGTTTGAGCTTCTCTGGAAGTAGGCCTACAACATCTTTTGGCCTGACTGTGCTTCTCAAAATCTTCACCTTATCAAAGTCGTAGTCAGCCAAATGGTTGGGCGTCCCTTCATACGGGGTGAAAGACCTTGTCAATTCAGCCAGTGCAGATTTTCCATTCAAAGCATCTGGGGGCCCTCCATTCTCATCAAGGCAAGTCTGAACATGTTGGACCATCAAGTTTTGTACCTTGGTGGGAGGTCGACAAGGTGGCTGCGAAAGGTTATCAAATTTGATGCCTGCAAGGTGATTCAAAGCTTTGATCGAATCGGCAGCTTGCCTAGGCAGCGGCATGCACTTTACATCAAAAGGAAAGGGAGAACCATGCTTTCGAAGGTCCTCAGGTCCTGCAGAAAATCCGCCCAAAAATGAAGTCATCGCAGCAAAGCCAAAAAGGCAGGACAACGTCTCCTAGTGACACCTCCCCGGGCCCAATAAGCCAGGGAAGGTTTCCCCTCCGGCCTGAGGTAGAAGAGCTAGGCACAGGGCGATGCCACCAGGACGTGTCGGCTGCGGAACCCAGCTGAGTCGGCCACAAAACACCCAACCAATCTGTAAGTTGAGAGCTGTCACCAACAAGCCAGAAGGGCAGAAATCAAAGCCCCCGAATTGAATAAAACCAAAGGCCTGCTGGGGGGCAAACAGACCTTGAAAAAACCCGACTAGTTCTGAGCGCCGGCTCCAGCTGTCTGAGCTGGTGAACCGGCCTGGGCTTTGGGCTGTCCACGGCCTTTGCCTTTGCCGCGGCCTCGACCGCGGGGATTCGGCTCAGTCTGAGCCGGAGGGCCCGCAGCAGATGTTCCACGGAACTCTTCCTTGTATAGCCGGGCTTGCTTTGCAATGTTGGCCTTCTCTTTCAATTTCGAAGCAATCCAAGTATTGAAAGTAGTTGTCACAGCCTCACCACCAACACCAACACTCTCCTCAAGCATAAGCTCAAGCCCAGAAAAATCGGGATTCTGACTGTTTCTGGCGACGGCCGTCTCCATCTGCACCAAGCGTCTCACCAATAATTCAAAAGCGAGTGAATTCACAACCGCAATCTGATCAGTTTCCAGAGCGCTGCGAAGGATGCTGCAAAGGACCTTGTGATCATGAGCAACCATGCTGTAGCTGTTGACACCACTGCTCTTGATCCATGTCAGGTGATAGGTGGTGAGATCACCAGGGCCACTGCGAATTGCACGAAGGAATTCCAGCACGACTCTTGGCCCCTGGAGGGGCCAATCCGGCATAGGTTCTTCAGTCATGTGGGTCAAGGCATCATTGAAACTTAGGAACCGTTTGTTCTGACCATCTCTGTAGTCCCCAATGATACGACAATCACCACGAGACTTGTCAAGTCTCAAAATTTCCTCAGCCTTTTTGGAGGTCAACACCCGTTTGATAAAAGTGTCAGCCCCATCCAACGTGACAATCCCAGAATCACCAAGCGTCACCCCTGTCGCAACCAAATCTTCAGGAACCTGCTGACCAAATTCATTACTAGTGGTATCACACACAATCCACTGATAGTCTTCCATGTCTTCATATGGAGCATCGTTAAACAAAGCCGCCATGGTCTGTGCCCTACGCCTATGTCTATCCAGATCAGCCCTGGAGAGGTCATCAAAAGCATAGGTATATGGGGCTTGTGGTGCCGGGAAATCTGACCGGCGTTCCAATGGAAGGTGGTCCACTACATGCAAATCTAATCGTTCCAGGTCTTCGTCGGGGGTTAGCCCAATCCAGACACCCGGAGCAACTTTGTGCAACAAAACCCTGCGATGCCAGTAAAAGGCATTGGCGTCAGCCGGGAAATGCCGCAAGATTTGTGGTTCGCGGATGTCAAGGGTGCGGGGATGTGCAAGAGCCATTCCTACTTGGTTTTCTTCAAGTCGGACGGACGCACTGGACCGGATCGGGTCACACGGTTCGTCACTTCACTGCCTGAGGTCCGGTTGGTATCTGCAGACACCGAGCTCTGAGGGCTGACAGGACCCTCGATGGAAGGGAATTGCACTATACGAGTGACTGGACGTTTGATCACCAAAAGGTAAGAAATCCAAATCAGCAAAAGCAACTCTGAGAATGCCAGCAGTTTCAAGACGTAAGTCAAAAATGATGAGTAGCTAGTGCAATGTTCCAATACCAAGGAGGTCTGCTTCAATGTCCCTTCAACCCGTTGGACTTCAGTCCGAAACTCAACCAACTCCAATCTAATGCTCTCTGAAGTCTCGGGAGTATACCAAGATCGGAGCAAGTGCGAGGCGACGATGGCTGCACCGACCCGTCTAAGATCCATACTAGACAGAATTCTTGAGAATGGAAAAAGTCATGGGGCATCCATCATGTGCACAAATGAGACTCTTTGTAAACTGCATCATGTGTGTGTGTGTGCGTGTGTATTTATAGAGAGGGAGAGGGTGGTTTATGGCATTGGGTTTACCACATTATTGGGTATAGATGTGGATATGTAGATATGTAGATATGTATCTTTTGTATATATATGTTATATATATGTGTGTGTGTGTTCAGATAGATAGATGGATGAATCAAATTGCCATTTGGTGCTGCTTGTTTTGTTTAATTATGTGTGGATAGTGTTGGATTGGATATGTTTGCACATATGATATGTGCGTATATTTGTGTGTGTGTGAGCTGTACCCTGGGTATGCCCAGAAAAGAGAAAGAGATGGATAGGTAGATATAGGCAGATAGATAGACAGACAAACAAATTGGTCAAAATATGTTTCTGCTATGGTCCTACCATTAGGATTCTTTGGAATGGGGGCAACAAAAGTGGGGATGAAAATCCCAATTTGTTAATCTCATCCAACTTTTGATAAGAGGTCACAATTTTTCCATTCCATCCACATGTATCCACATGTCATATCCTTATTGAGCCCCCATGTTTAATAGCCAAACCGTGAAAAACCCTCATGAAATCCATGACTGTCATGGTTCATGCCCTCCATTTCCTCCATTTAATGGTTTGATCCGTCCTAGAACGTCGTTTGATCAAGGACCCTATTCGACCATCCACTCGGAAACCATGATTTTCCAAGGTCGCGACGTGAGGTCGTGATGAAATTTACCCGGAAGTTTTGACTGTGACACATCTGGCACCGGAAGATTCAGATCTCGCCACCACCAAAGCTATCCAAGCAACGGTGCTCTTGGCAGGACGCGGATGGCTCTTGGGCCTGGGGAAGACGTGACATCAACGGCAAATTTGCGAAAAAAAAACCTCTGGTTAAATGGGATACAACTGGCATACCAATAAATGGGATGTAACTAACTTATCAATGGATTTAATGGGATATATATTTTTTTTTAAATAGCCAATGACTACCCAATCCACTAGGCTTACACTTAGGGCACTTGCTAAGCTTTATATTATGGAGATTTAATGGGATGTATTGAGACTTTTTGGGGGATTTGTATGGCAGCTATGGAAATCTGTGGTTGATCCCCTTGGAAATGATTTTCCATATGTAGTCTACTGGGTAAACGTGAGGAATTCTTGGATGATTTGGATGGGTCCGATGAAAATTTAAGGAGGAAACTCAGTGGAAACTATCTCTAAATCAGTTGGTCTATGGAACCAACTGCCAATTCGTTAGGCTAAGATCAACCCAGGGAACTTACAACTTCTAAGGGGAGAACCCTGGCGCAGGAAAAAGTTGATGTTTTCGGGTTGGTGGTATGACAACTAACGGTCCAACGGTTAAAGTCATCTTCCCAGCTATACCAACCATTCTTGTTGCCTTCCGCGATCCCTTCAGGTGCGATCCCTTGGCTGCTTTACTTCTTCAGTTCGCCATTCCGCTTCAACAAGGCCAAGCCAATGATTTCCTGGTAGTTGAGCCTACCCCTCCTTGAAAAATATGCTCGTCAGTTGGGATGATTTTAGGTTTCCCAACATATGGAAAATATATAAAATTCATCTTCCAAAACACAAACCAGTTTCAGTAAGACGACACCATAATCAGCCACCAGGGTGACTCGGTATAGTGTGGGCGAAACTTGACACCAATCAGCCATCATCAGCCGATGTGTTCGATGTTTGACTGTGACGAATCCAAAGAAAATCATGACAGTTGCTGGTCATATCTGGTGTTGACTATTTTCCATTTACAAAAAAATGAAGGATTATATACCCTCTGTTAATTTAACATAGCTATTGAAAATGGTGATAGAAATAGTGGATTTACCCATTGATAGCATGGTGATTTTCCATAATGTAACAGTTTACCAGAGGGTAACCATCATATATCCCACTAAATCCCATTAAAATACATAAAATCCCATTAAATCCCATAAAATCCCATTAAAATCCCATAAAATCCAATTAAAATACCATTAAAATACCATAAAATCCAATTAAAATCCCATTAAACTCCCATCCAAGGTTGTGGATGGTTGATTCGTGCTTCCTCCACACCAAGTGACACTGAGCCATGGGGCATGGTGTGCAAAGGCAACGACGAGTCCTCGGTTCCAGGCTTCCAGGCGGAAGTTCAGAACATCGCTACACGTTGGGGCCGGCCCAGTTCTCCGAGTTTCCGTGGGTACCTCTTTTCATATCAAATCCAGCCACCAAAAACAATGGGTGCAGAATTGTTTTTGGCATTTTTTTTTTTACAGTTTTGGAATTTTTTTTGGGGTTCGTGCCTCTTCAATTTTTCCATGGTTTTCTTCAATTTTTCCATGGTTTTCTTCAATGTTTCCATAGTTTTCTTCAATTGTTCCATGGTTTTCTTCAATTTTCCATGGTTTTCTTCAATTTTCCATTGTTTTCTGCAAGTTTTCCATGGTGTTCTTCAATTTTTCCATTGGTTTCTTCAATTTTTCCCGGGTTTTCTTCAATTTTTCCATGGTTTTCCAATGGTTTTCTGCAAGTTTTCCATGGTTTTCTTCAATTTTTCCATAGTGTTCTTCAATTGTTCCATGGTTTTCTTCAATTTTCCATCGTTTTCTGCAAGGTTTCTTTGGTTTTCTTCAATCAATCAATCTATATATATATATGTGTATGTGTGTATGTATGTATGTATGTATGTATGTATGTATGTATGTATGTAGGTAGGTAGGTAGGTAGGTAGGTAGGTAGGTATGTATGTATGTATGTATGTAATGTATGTATGTATGTATGTATGTACGTAGGTAGGTAGGTATGTATGCATGCATGTATGTATGTATATGCAGGGTGTGGTTTAGGGTTTAGGGATACAACATGTAATTAGGTATAATTACATGATTATTTGTTGTTTATGTTGGGATCAAAGTTGTGTATAAAAACAACCACAAATATGTCATATATATATATGTATACGTCTGTATATCTATAAGTAAATATGTATGTGTATTTATAATATATATATATACTTATAGTTATATAATTATATAAATATATATACATTGATATGTATATACATATTAATATGTATGTATATATATATACATTTATATAAGTACATTAATATATATAAATATAAGTGTATATATAAATGCAAATATATACATATACATATACATATATATATATGTATACGTGTGTCTATATGTATATATATATATATATATGTCTAGATATATATATATATAATGTTTAACAAAATATTAATATAGTCGAATCAAACAAGTGTATTGAAAAGTGTGCAAGTTTGAATTTAAATAATTAAAAAAAGCGGGAGGGGGGGGATTGGGGGGAGGGCGCAGCGCCTCCCCGCCAAAGCAGATTGGAAACACCTATTTTACATGCAAGGTGCTGGGTTGAATGTGATACTCAAGGTGTATAGACTACACGACATGCACCCTGGAAACATGTGGAATACAGTACATATACTTATAGATACATACTTCTTTATATATATATATACACATTTATATGATTTATATGTATATACATATGAATGTATATATATATATAGGTACATAAATATATATTTATATGTAAATATAAATAATATATAAAAAATATATATATATAAATATAAATATAAATATATAAAATATCAATATGAATATGTAAATATAAATATATCAATATAATATATATTTAAGTGTATATATACATGCATAAATATAAATATATAAATATATTTACATATACATATGTATATATATATGTAAATATATATATATGTAAATATATGTAAATATATATATATGTAAATATATATATATATGTAAATATATATATATGTAAATATATATATATGTAAATATATATATATATGTGTAAATATATATATATATTTGAATTTGAACATAAATAGTAATAATATGTATATATAAAAAAATATATATAAGTAGAAAATATAAATAATATAAATATATCTAGATATAAATATACAAGTGTGTATATAAATGCATATATATATATACATATACATATATATATATGTAAATATATATATATATTATGATTTTAATTGAAACATAAATATATATATATGAATATAGTCGATTCAAACTAGTGTATTGAAAAATGTGCAAGTTTGACATGCTAAAAATACCACCAAAAGCCATGGAAAGCAAGCCAAAAGCCAAAAGCAAACAAGCAAAAAACAAAAAAGCAAAAAAGGCAAAAATAACAAAAAGCAAAAAAACAAAAAGCAAACAAGCAAAAAAGCAAAAAGGCAAAAAAGCAAAAACGCAAAAAATCAAAAAAGCAAAAAAAGCAAAAAAAAGCAAAAACGCAAAAAAGCAAAAAAGCAAAAAAAGCAAACGAGCAAAAAAGCAAAAAAGCAAAAAAAGCAAAAAAAAGCAAAAACGCAAAAAAAAAAGGAGAAAGCAAGATAAAACAAGAAACCAAAAAAAAAATCCAAAAACGTAAAAGAAAAAAATTCCAAAAAAAAATAGGCCTCCAAAAACAATTGGCCTTGCGGGATGACAACCAGTATAATGATGTCCGATCTCGGTCCTTTAGCATCTCGAATTGGAACACTTTCCGGACGGTCTTCATTTAGACGGGATTCCAGGTTGGATATGTTTGCAGGTCGAACCTTCCTTGGGTGGGATTTGACTAATTAATGAGATTGCATGCAATGTCTTGTTAAACATCCCCCATGCCTGTTGGCGCTGGATGAAAGCCCATGTCAAACTTGGAGGCCGACAAGACTTTGGATGGTTATTTGATTTGACTATCGCATCATATGCATAGTCAACATATGTCAACAATATTCTGTAACATGCGCTGGCAAAAAGATTGAAGTGTCTATGCTCAAAGATGCATAGTAAGATGCATCTTAGTGAACCCATGGAATCCCCAGTTCAGATCATTTCAGGATATGTCAAACCCGTGTTACACCCTAAGTTTTGATGGTAAGCAGTTGGCTTTAGCCCCCTATTCACATCACTTCTCCAACCACCTGCCATGGCCATGCGCAGCCAGGCGGCACTTTCTCGCGGCAGCGGTGCTGATGTCGCCGTGGAGGCTGTGGGGTCCAGCGGCCTTGGTGCAACAGAAATGGTGAGTATTTACTCTGGAAAAATGATGCCTTGAAGCAATAAGAAATGCTGGGATTTATCAAATGATCGACTTATTCACCAAAAATCATGCTTTTTGAAACGCCAAGCATGGTTTCTACATGTTTTTTCAACACAAATATACCAGAATAAGATTTCAGCGACCAAAATGCGGATGTAAGCAAGAAATGTCGGGATTTGAACACAACACCTGGCACCATGTAGCGGGTTGCGTCCCAAAGTTCGGGTGGAGCTGAATTGATGGGTTTAAAGGAAAACCAACAGGATGCAGCCGAAAACGGCGCAGGCCGCATCCAAAACTTGTCCAATCTTTCCTGTTATTTGAGTGAGATCACCATTTTTCATGGATAAATCAGCTTCGATCTATTTAAGGACCTTCAGCTCAACTATGATAACTATGAAAATAATTAATGTTGTCTGACCAATAGTGATATCTTGTCGATAGTAGAAACTTTTTTCCGCAACTCCAGTTTTATCTCCAATGCTAAAAGTCAATTAGCTCCTTTACTTTTAGTATTGCCAAAAGAGTCATGTTCAGACCTTGTCCAGAGGGCATGGCCAATAGTGGACCCAACATGGCAATAGTGGAAACTTTTTTCCCAACTCCAATTTTTTCTCCAATACTAAAAGTCAATTAGCTCCATTTACTTTTAGTATTGCCAAAAAACTCATGCAGAATCTAACAGAAACTAACCCTAATCCATGCAAAATCCATACTCTATCTATAAGAAACCCAACCAAATCCATTCAGAATCCATCAGAAACCCAACAAAACCATGGAGAATCTATCAGATACATATCAGATACATATCATGATCCCAGCCAAAGGGTTCCAAAAATTTACTATTGGAATGCTGAACCCCCCCTAAAAAAAAAATAGGGGGGGATTTACTATTGTGCAGCCAACATTATGATAAATCCTAGTCAGTTGCCAAAATCCACCTAGGTTCTTCCCCCCAAACCTTTCCAACCCTCCAAGCGTCCCCACTTCGCTTTCGCCTTGGACATGGCCGACTTCGGCACCGGCGACTTTTCCCGCGCCACGGCGCCCGCGGCGCTGGACACCACGCTGCCCCCAGACGTGGTGGGCGGCGCAGCCGGCCGCGCGGTGGGGGAGGCCGGGTGGGACCCGGGCGGACGGGTACCGGCCTGGCTGGCGATGGTCTGAACGGCGCGGTGCTGCACCTGGCGTCCCAACAGCGCGATTTGGTGAACAAATGATGGCCATTTCAGCTACCTAGAGCTGTACCAAAGCCATAGAACTTGGGGGGGTTGGAATTTAACAAAAAAAAACCTTGGACATGGTAGGTACCCCAATTTAGGGTTCTGAAATGGCCACGGCAACTGTTGGGTTTGAGGTATAAACGTACTGGGAGGTTGTTATGAACCAACTTATAACTGGGTGGCGCCACCTTAGGGAGAAAATCTCTTCCAATTTCGATGGTTAAAAGGAAAACTCTGCGGAAAAGCATGGTTTTTGCATCTATTGATGTCTTCCTAGGCGAAAAAGTATCATCCAATTCGAGGATAAGTGGATGGCAGGTGGGAAGTGAAGTGGGGTGGTAAGACTCTTGTGTGCTACTCGGCAGTTGCTGACCTGTTTCTGAATGTTTTAGTTACTGTAGCTATTTTAATATTGGGATAGATGGATGATCGTAATGAGTACTGAGGGAATCCAATACATTTAAGATCATTTAAGTGGGCAAATGATGGAAAATGACGGAAAATGATGATCAACCCTGATTTTTTCATATGTTTTCCATTTTTTGGGGGCTTCCGAACACTTTGACACAACGTGACACAACCCCAAGCAAAGTTTGCTGCGTGCCTGCGGCTCTGTCTGCACCTCCACCTGGTCGGTGGAAACCCAAGGGGGTTGAAATTGGTCAAAGCTCACCACCTACCCTCTGGTATTTTAACAGTTTGCTATGGAAAATGGCCCAGTTCTATTAGATTTACCATGATTTACCTATTAAAAGTGGTGATGTTCAATAATTTCTTTGTATGTTGACCGGAGGCTATTCACCTGGATTACAACCCAAAAATGCCAATCTGGATGCCCTGCCCAACCTCCGCCCTGTTGGCGGATGGAACCTTGGGGCGCACCTGGCGACAGAAATGGGATGTTTACCCTCTGGTAATTTGTTACAGTTTGCTATATGAAAATGGCCATTTAGAGTGGATTTACCAATTGAAAATTGTGATTTTCCATAGTTATGTTAGTTTACCAGAGGGTATCAGCAAAATGAAAGGGTTGAAATATGTTGACATTGATTTCATCAAGATGGGGCTGACCTTTGAAACCCCTGAGGGCCATGTTCGAGCAAAAGAACAGCTTTCTAATAAGTAAAAACCCGCAGAGCAACAAACACCCTTTGCCAAAGGAGTCAATCACGGTGGGAAGATCAGAGAAAAAGAAATCCTTCAATGAGCTGTGGTATTAGATAGAACATGAATGAACATGATAAAACTATATGGAACTATAAAATGGAAATGAAGTTGTTTTTACATGCGAATGGTGGGGGGAGAATTCACCTGAAACGACATGTCCTGCAGCTCCTCCACCGAGACATTTCTTGCCCGGGCCATGTGACTATGAACAGAAAACCAGCTTCACCTGGATGTCCATTCCCCCATGGTACCCTCTGGTAAACTAACATAGCTATTGAAAATGGCCATAGAAATAGTGGATTTTTCCATCAATAGCATGGTGATTTTCCATAGTTATGTAACAGTTTACCAGAGGGTAAATTGAGCTTTGACCCCATCCAAAACCCATCCCCTTGTTCTTTTCCAGTCTCCACATGTGAGGTGACTTGTGCTTGGAGGATAATCATCACCCTGTTAAACGTGGCTGATAGCTGTGGTTTCTAACCAGTTAAACGATCAGTAGGATGATCATCCAAGGATGATGAGTTTCTATGTTTCATGATCTGTCTAGTTATATGCATTATCCCTATTATCATAGATGATCTCTACTTTTTCTGACTACAAAAAAGGTGGCTAAACATGGTCAAACCATGTTAAACCCATCTAGTTTCATGCAATCCCATCCTATTTATCCGCCTTGCCACGGCTCAGAACACCTGAGCCTGGGCGCGTCACCTGGAGGTCAAGTTCAGCAGCCAGAAACGACCAAGTCTGTGGCAAGATCAATGAGAACTGGTTGGTTCAATGGATTGGTTTAAGGGAAAATCTACAGGAAACCATGGTTTTTACCACCAAATATAGGGTTTTCCTGTAAAATTTCCCTTAAACCAATTCTATGGTTGGTGGCTTTAAACCATCTTGAAACATATGAAAGTCAATGGGAAGGATGAAATCCCATATATGAAATGGAAAATAAAATTCATGTTCCAAACCACCATTTTGCATCATTTTGGGTAGCGCACTGTCTTGGGGTGAGAAGACAGTACTTTGACTGGAGTGACACGACGGTCAAGGTGGCTTCAAAGCCTGGGATAACAGCAGCCGGCCAAGCCTGGAAGAGAGGCCTCCCCAATCCGGCAAACAATGATGAAACTCAACAGCACAAACAGCCAAGGCTTGGCACGTCGGCAGGCTCTGACTGGAAGGGCGGTTGACACAAACCCCAAAAGCTGGATAAAAAATGGGCACCAGAGCAGCAATCACCCACACGGCACAACAAGACCCCATCATCATCGTACCACTGTGAGAGCAAGGCAGCTCATGCCCACCCCATCTTTCACCGTCATCTCTCGGGCGCTTCTGCAACAAGCCACGTATGTGAGAAAGCTGATTCTCTAACATAGCCTGTTTGTTCTGGTTCTGAGTCTTGATCTGGCCGTGAAGTTGTGGAGACTGAGCTTGCCTTTGGGCCTGGAGATTCAACACCTGTTGAGACTGATGGTGGGTGAACTCCCGGAACTGCCCATCAATCTGTGTTTGTTTCTGCATCAACTCAAGGTTGATGTTCTCCTTCACAATGCCAGACAATTCCACAAACCGATCAAGGTGTTGTGAGACAAACGGATCACTGCATGCTGGGACAACGCATTCCAGTACCAATACTTGGATACACAGAAACAGTGCTGCTCTGAGGATGTTGGGGAGGGACAGAGCACGAGGGTCTGCCCCCCCTTTACGAGCACCCAATTGAGAACACGGCTGACATGAAACTCCTGCACTCATCACGGCAGCATGATTGCGCTTGGACCACACTTCGGCAATCACTTGTGGACAGCCAACATCACCGATCACATACTCACATCCTCCATGAACCATGTGTAAGTCCACCAGAGGGGCATCTGAGTCAACAGCAACCATGGTCTGCATCCCAATGGCATGGGCACCATGTGTCATTTCAACTAACCCGCAGCAAGCATCGACCAGTTTGAAGAAGTCCTCCCATGCATGCTGTACGTGATACAAGACCCTAGTAACATCATCCACCTTCAGCGACGGAATAGAGAAAAGCTGCACCAGGACAACATCCAGAAGGGTGAGCACATCAGAAGCACCATCAAAGAGGCCACCAAGCACCAGAATGGAACCAGTGAGAACTGATCTGACCAAATGGCGCTCATGCACAGGACCAAAGACATCAACCTTGACCACATCGGAGAACCTACCTCCAGTGTCGACAACTGCAAGATCCATGATGAGATCCATGGCACGAAACGGTGAACAAAACGCTCTACGATCGGCAGGGCACGGCCGCACCTGCTGGTAGGTGTAGAGCCCACGGCTGTTCCAAACCACCAACCAGAGAAATTTGGGATGTTCCATTCCTGGAATTCACATTCAAGATTTACCAAAAAAAATTTGCCAAATGAAATGGGAAATCATCAGAAATCCCGGGGAAATTCCAGCCATTCATATACGTTCAAGAGATGTGCCAGCAGATTTAACATGTTCAAAATGAAAGCATCGGAAAGATGGTGGATTTTCCCTCAGATGTCAAATATATTCAATTGATCATCGGAGTGTCCGGCCATGCTCAAGAAGTAATTCATCAGAGAAGTGGTGGTTTTCCAGAAAGCTGCGGCATGCTGGGGATCAAGCCTGGCAGCCCTGGCAATGGAAAATCATGGGGAAACCAAGAATTCAAGGATTTCTTCCATCAGGATCCAACTACCTATCCAAGGTTACGGATGCATTCGCCTTCCAAAAGATTTCAAGGCGTGGATTTCGCCATCTCCAGTCCAACCAGGGCGCGGGCGTGCAGCCTGTTCCCTGAGCCCCACACCCACTTGTTCTTTTGCGCATCCCACTCGCGCCAGTTGGTCCTAGGCTTCAACTTGGATTTGTCGCCATCGGAAACCAAAAAAGTCCGGAAACAACAAATGAGAACATGGCTGTATCCTCCTCTTCCTGATGGCCATATCTGAGATCCGGACTTTTGTGTTGCACCTTGCCCTTCATTCACTTCTAGCCACAGTTCATACCTCGAGGGAATACGAAGGCCGTCTGTTCATGCCGTGAATACAACTTGGAAGCTACAGTATGTGTTGCCATGTTTCATAATTTAGGTACGAGTAGCCTGATATCCGCTGCTTGCGCGTTGTTTTCTTGTAGCTTGCTGAAGCTTGCCGCTGCATAAGGGTACAAATCAAGGTCTCCTTTTGAAAACTGCAAAGCCCTGACCATTCCTGGCCCCAACACTTTCAATACAATACAAGCATTTGAACATCTTCTTACTGGTGGGAAACGTAGGGGATGGAGGTTGGGATGATTGTGAAAATAGATGAAAATTGGATCAATGGATTGGTTCAAGGGGAACAAAATCTTAACCGGAAACCATGGCTTTTCCCACCAAATATGGGTTTCTCCTGTAGATTTTCCCTTAAACCAATCCATGGATCCATGGATTGGATCATTCCGCCCTTTCCCTAGCAATTAATTAAGCACCAGCATACGGCCAACCTGAGTTTCCGGCCCCTCTGGACTATGCGCCACACCATTGCTTCGTGCCTCCTAGGAGGTACCGGGAGCCCTGTCTTTCCCCCCCAAAAAAAGGGGGATGGGAAGATGACTCTCCACCTGGAAAATGAAAAACATTGGCTTTGGAAGATCATTTTTCCATATTGTTCCTACTGGAAAATGATGAAACTCGTCGTTTTTTTGGATTCCACGGTGGATTCCTTGAGTAATCACAAAACTGGTGGTTTTCTCGAAAACAGAATGACACCAAACTGCAGGTGTCGTGGTAAGAGTTTCGAGGCATCCCCAAGATTCAAGCCACCCCACCAAACAGTGAATGGATGGGAAAAATCTACCGGACAATCACATGTTTTCAATGTTTCCCACCAGATATGGGTGATAAACCCTGCCCATTTCACCAACGAACCAGCCGCAGTCGTCAGGAAGCCTTGACTGCTTGGAAGCGCTTGGCTTTCGCAATGCCCCAGGTGTTGGTACTGAGACCTTGGAAGGACACCATTGGGGGCCCCTTTTGGGATCAGGTTGGGCATTTAACACATGCCTCAAAATTTGCGTTTGACCCATCCCTAGAAATGTGAGTGAAGATTTTTGGGGGGACATTTGAGCCATAATGAGCCATAGCCAGTGAGTTCAGGCTTTATGATCTATGCAGGTTCCATGAAGGAGGAATACTGAATACCCCACGAAAGTAAGGCCATATCCAGTGACTGGCCGTGGCCGTGGTTAGCCATGGTCAGGCACATGGCCACTGTCCGCAGCCCCAGAACTCGGGATGACTTAGTCCACTTTGACGCCCTGGGCTCCAAAATGCTCCCTATTTTGTATCGAAGATCAAGATCCAACCATCATCCAACCACCCCGGCCGCGATCTCGCGGCCCCCAACTGCGGTAGATGAAATATGCGCCGGAGGCAGGCCAGTAGGTCTCACCTGCGCCATGTCTCGTCACTGCTGGGCGGCGGTTAGGGCTCTAGATATAGATATATAAATAAAGGTGTATATATATATATATATCAATTATATATGTGTGTGTGTACAACTTAGAATTTAGAATCAAAATAGTTGCAGCTATAACTCTGTTTTTCAATGGGAATCCCAACAAAGACATGACAAAGACATCGAAGAGTGTTTTGAGGATGGTTTAAATGGTATCACCTCAGGAATTGAAGGTTTCCAGCAATTCTGCTGCGCAAGTCTGGGGAATGGGTGAATAATTAATTACCGGGCACCCTGCTGTTAATATTCAAACATATTGACAGAATGGTTATTGGGAGGTTCATCTAGCTGTGTTTGGCACTTTGCAGGGAAAAAGTGCCAGATCGATTTCGGCGCCAACTGGTTTCTAAGGTCCGAAAAAAACAGTATAACATCTCCATTGGAGAGGTTGCACCGGATTAGTTGCTGACCTGTTCAAACGAAACATCCGAGTGCTTCCAAAAAAAACGGGCATAAACACACATCGTTCGAACCCAAAGAATGGCCATAATCTATCCTGCAAGATAGTGCCCGCAGTTATAAGTTGGTTTGTAAACCTTAGTAACTATAGTTCGATATCTAACCCTAGTGACTTCGTGAAATTGGAGTTATGTTCACCAACTCTGCGATTCCGAACTGGGGCATGGTGAAACAATAGTCCAAACATGGTGGAGATCATTGGCACAGCGGCTGGCCCCTCCATGTGTTGGCCATCCTTTCAACCTCCACTTGGAACTGATAATATGATAGTATGGGAATAATATGATAATATATGATAATATCATAATATGATAATATTATATTATATACTCTAAGATCTCAGGCTGTCTCTGCAAAAATATCTCAGCCATTACTGCTAAGCCCAGCCATCACCGGTGGTTTCCGGGTCACCGCACGTTGGTTCACTCGGAACTGCGGCGCCAGACGCTCCACGAAGAGAACGTTCAGCCAATCGTTCTGGAAACCGCCCAGCTTCACCGCCCGGAGGTGGCGCCTCAAAAACCGCGAACGAAGACCACAGCGTCGTTGGAAAACCATAGGAAAACCATAGGAAAACCATGGGAAAATGCGGATTTAACGGGGAGTTTATATGTTCAACGGCAAGCCGTTTATAATCTTCATGGGAAAATCGATGGTTTCCGGTGACGATTTTCCCCAACAAAACAATCCATTGAATAGTGTGAGATTAATATATAATAACAAAATGATACTAAATGTAACTAACCAACTCCAATTTGGGGTCTGACTTAACATGGGGGATAGCTCCAATTCTGTCAGTGTTGGACAAGTGATGTGTAAACATCGAATTTTGGCTACCTACTGGCTACTCTTGATCTACCTCAACCCATGGCAGTTTTTTGAGGTTTTAGGCAAAATGAGGTGTTGAACTCTTGGATTTATAATGTTAAGGGGCGCCCCATTTTTGGGCACTCTCTGCTGACTTACAGTATATATCAATATATATCAGTATATACGTGAATACCAGAATTGGGAAATCATCATGCAACATCAGTCTGTGAAAATGACCTCTGAATTGTGTACATCTTCTCAGTTGTGTTTGGAAAAACACCCAACTAAAAACCCATGAAACCTGCTGTCAGGACCAGCCAGAAACTGTAACATAGCGAAATGATGCGAAATTGAATCATAAGCAGCAGAATGATGATATGATCTCCAGCTCAACGTGATCAAACTCCACCATGGTCTTCTTTCTACACCCTAGTCATCATAATCCCCGAGAAATCCCAAGTGTCAAATGGCATCACCATGTGTCACCAAATGTCCATCAGCCCCATCCCGCAAGCGTCCCCTGGGTCCCCTGGGTCCATCTGGGTCCCCTGCCATGCTGCTGGACTGCCACTACTGGCCGGCGAGCCGGGCAGGGTGCCCGTGGGCGATCCTGGGAAAGGCCTCGGAACTTCCGCATCCAGTGAGGAATGGCCATATCCCATCAAATGGCCATGAAAAATCTTGGAAATCTATAAAAATCATACAAAAATCTCAGAAATTGGGAGACATCGATGTCATAGATTTATATATATATATATACATATGTATATTATATATATATATAGAGATGTTATCGATTTTCAGCATGAAATGGCCAGTTGTTGGTATCCCAGCAACCACTGGGTGACCCTGCAAGGAGCCAAGGCTCTCGTTGGTGGTTTGAATCGACAACCTAGGCTGACCACCTGGCTGCAGGGTGGACTCGTAGACCCCATGGTGGCTAATTCATGGCTAATTCATGGTTAATTAATTAGTAGTTACTTGATTGTTAATGATTAATCTAATGGTTAACAATGACTGATGAACGGTCAGCTTAATCTCGCTATTTCGAGGATGCTGAGATTTGACGGTGGCACCCCATCTGAGTTACCCATGAAAAATGGGTGGATTTTCCATCGTTTTTGTAACACGTTACCAGAGGGTAAACATCAAGTCAAACAATCTTAAACATCAGTTGAGTAGTGGAACTGGAGAGAAAATTCATGCACACCTGCAGTTGGCTGCTGGCTGGGCAGGAAAAACGGCAGCTCAACGCAGAATCAGGCCCTGATTCTCCTAGAACTTGATGAAGCGAGGGCAAACCAGTGAAACCATCCGGAGAAATTACATGAAATTACAGTGATTCACTAACCTGAAAAGTTCGACCATCTTGGGGCCCAGTTACCCATGTTACCCCAACTTCAATCACCGATCACCTGGGATGCCCTCCCTGATGATCCTGATCCCCCAAAACTCGCCACCTGTTTCCAGATCTTTCCTGAGATTTGGCGCCAGCGAAAACGATGGAATGTTGGAAGGTCAGCATGTGAGACATTGTTCAGGGTACGTGGTGGCAAAATTACCATTTAGAGTCGTTGGGAAAGACCAAGCATTAGGCTAAGTCCTTGAGTGGAAGGATTGCATGGTGATTGGTTGAGATCAAAAACAGCACCAACCAACAGTGAGCCACGAAAAGTGGCACAAGTTAATGATGTTAATGTGCTGATGTGCTGTAATGAGTATACCAACCCCGTTTTCATCACTCTATCAATGAATCAAACATCACTTGCCGTGAGGCCGATCGCTAGTGGAAAACAGCGATCAGGGAATCTCAGGGGCCACATGTGACCCAAAGGTTTTGTTTGCCACAAAAAAGGGGACCCAAAAAACGTCCAAAAAACAATGGTTTCCCATGGTTTCCCATGGTTTCCCATGGTTTCCCATGGTTTCCCATGGTTTCCCTATCAAAACAGACCAATTTGGATCAATTTGGATCAGTGCACGGTGGCTTCTCCCGCGACTCCCGCGGGTCTGCCTTTTGTCTTTCACCATCAGACCGGCTTGCGCAGTGAATCATCGGTGCCGTCTTGGCACCAGTGGTGAAACGGCCGCAGCCGCTAAGCCTCACGACTTCGAAAAAATGGGAGGTGGTTTGTGGCATTGGATAACCATGGTAACATATGGTAACCTTTTGCTAAGTTGAAGGATCACACAACTTAGATGCCCACCCATATTTTTTCAAGGAAAAACTCTCCGAAGCCGCTGGGAATTGCAGAGACACCAGGCGTGATGATGGCATGCAATGTCAGTGTGGCTGCGAAGTGTTCCGAAGATTTCATCACACCAAAACTAACCGCAGCTTAAAAGGCTTTTACTAAACCCCCAGATCATCCTAAAATCCAGTTAAATCATCAGAGGTTTCCCCCTCTTCTGGTTAAACCCGGTTAAACCACCACTTTTCTGCTTCGTAAATCCACCCTTTTTTTGGGGTCTAAGAAGGTCCCTTTCACCTGCACCAGTGCGCCACAGGAGATGCAGCAGGCACTCCGGGGCCTGGCGAGGTTCACCGAACAATGGGGATGGAGCTTGGAAAGTTAGGTTTTTTTTTCAAATTGACCATTGAAACAATATGGATCTAACTGGGAAAATCATGGAAAATCGGGATTTGACTAGGATATATATACTAGGATATTTCAGAATTTTGTCATTGGAAAAATGGTGACTTAACCTAGGTGAAAAAATGTTGGTGAATCATCTGGTGGAATGGGGCGCCGGAAACCCCATGGTTTATCCCCAAAATCCAATGGTCTGTCTAAGAATAGGGATTTCAGATGTGGAAATAATGACATATAACTATCCAACAATATGAGACGGGTGTGTGATGGTATATACATTATGTACAGTAACCATAAGAAAAAACCGTGTGACCTTAATTGGGAATAGAATAGGAATGAATAGGATACATTATGTAACCAAGTATATCCATTTTCTTAATGGATAGTGTGGATGCATCCCCCACCCACTGGCTGGCGACATCCTGGTGTTGACTGGCAATGCGGCCGGGGGATAATCCGAAGTTTTTGGCAACGACCCAAAAACAGAGAAAGAGAAAGTGCCAACCAAGATATCTCAAATAGCAAAAAACAGTGGTGATTTCTATCTTTTTGAATCTTTTTGTGTGTTAAACCATCAGAACTGAAACTAAATTGTGACCTATATAACCAACCAAGATTTTTGAACTCAAAAAAGAAACTTAGGTGTTTATAATTTATAAATAAATATATATATATATACAAACCATAATAACAAATTCTTAACCCAGTCAAGGGGGGGGTTCTGATTATCCACCTTCCTGCGGCGCCGCCGGCCTAGCCCTGGTACCGGGGGCTGACCAGGCACGTCGCAAACCTGAACACTTTGGGAGTCCATGAGTTTCCCGGGGAAAATCATACAGTGAAATGGTGTGGTTTTCCAGGAGGGTCTGCCAAAAAGAGTCCGAAGGAGAAAGGCAAGGAACAAGAACTGGGATCTTAGAAACCGACTGAGATTTATGATCAGCCACAAGTCATATATTTGATGATGGTTGTTGGTGTTTCAGAAACAGAACCATAGATTTAAAGAACGAAATCCCGAACGGAAAGAATCTAAAAGTTTGGGGGCCCTGGACGGTGATCAAAGTTGGGCCTGAGAAACACCACAACGGTTGGTAGTGTTCCCCTCTGGGGATGGTACCAAAATATACGACCAATTGGATGTAAGAAAAGAGAGAGAGAGAGAGTATATGGATGCATATGGATCCATTGTTCTTCGTAAGGAATTCCACCTTCCTCCATTTCATCACCCATAATGATGCTATTAAATCATACTAAATCTCGCATGTCTTACCTTTCAAAACATCCACTCTTTGACTCCTTGAGCTCGCAAGATTTCCGCCAGGGTGCCTGTGGCCGACTTGGGTCGCGAAGAACCCGAGTAGTGCCCATGTGCTGAATCCAAGCTTGCCGCAAAGTGAGAAAGACCTTGGCGCGGATGACACATCCCAGTGGGAGCCCTCTATAAGGACAGTCCCCAACTCGACTCAAGGTGTTTAATTTTTTCTGTCCAAGAAAATACTTGAAGATACACCCAAAAAAAACATCAAAAAATTGATTCTACTAGTTCGTTAGTATCAGGTCTAAGAGTCTCTTCAAAAATAATAAATAACAACATGCCAAAAACATCCAAAAACGGTTTGAGGCCGCCAAGCTCATCTGCATCCAACCCTGGATCCCCCATCTCCCCCACCACAGTGGCCTTGCTGCCGCGCCCGCGCTGCACCGTCCAAGCGCCCCGCCGGCGCCGTGGCCGGGCGCCGCTTGGGCGGCGCCGTGGCGACCGCCGCGTCCAGCGCCAGGGCGCGCTGCTCAGCGGAGGCGCGGAGCTGGGCGCGCCTGCGGAACCACATTTAGATGTGGACGTTTACCCTCTGGTAAGCTAACATAGCGAACTGGAAAATCACCATCTTTGTAACTGAAGGAAGTTTAGAAGTGAAACTTCCGACAATATGGACAGTTGAAAAGCAGAGGTGAGAAGAGTCAGAAGAGAAAGAGTAAGAGGACAGAAGATACAGATGCGCGAAAAGGTAGGAAAGTCGCGAAACACTGTGTTTTTCCAATGATTTGTGGCTCCGGAGGGTCGAAAAGTAGGCTCGCTAAAGCGGCGGGTGCGGAGCCAGCTGGCCAGATGAGAGATGAAAAGTTGCACGCCGTTGTGGCGCGAAGCACATTTCCAAGTCAAAATGTACAAAACACCTCAGCTCCGGACCACTTTTGGAAGTTGCGATGTCGAAAAAGTGCACGCCGTTGTGGCGCGAAGCACATTTCGAAGTCAAAATGTACAAAACACACCATGGTCGGAGCACTTTTGGAAGTTGCGATGTCGAAAAAGTGCACGCCGCTGTGGCGCGAAGCACATTTCCAAGTCAAAATGTACAAAACACACCAGGTCCGGACACTTTTGGAAGTTGCGATGTCGAAAAAGTGCACGCCGTTGTGGCGCGAAGCACATTTCCAAGTCAAAAGTGAAAAAAATTGACGGTCTCGGACCACTTTTTGAAGTTCAGATGTCGAAAAAGTGCACGCCGTTGTGGCGCGAAGTACATTTCCAAGTCAAAATGTTAAAAACACTAGGGGTTTGGACCACTTTTGGAGGTTCAGATGTGCTTCCCTTCGCTTCGCTTAACTACACTACACTACATTACACTCCACTGCACTACATTACACTACACTACACTCCACAACACTACAACTACGACTACACAACTACACAACGACACAACTACACTCCACTACACTCCACTACACTAAATTACACTCCACTACACTACATTACACTACACTACACTTCACTACATTACACTACACTACACTCCACTACACTACACTACACTACAACTACAACTACACAACTACACTCCACTACACTCCACTACACTAAATTACACTACACTACATTACACTACACTACACTCCACTACACTACACTACATTAGACTACACTACCCTCCACTACACTTCACTACAACTACAACTACACAACTACACAACTACACTCCACTACACTCCACTACACACCATTACACTAAATTTCACTACACTACACTCCACTACACCACACTAAATTACACTACACTACACTCCACTACACTACACTCCACTACACCACACCACATTACACTACACTACCTTCCATTACACTTCACTACATTACACTACACTACACTCCACTACACTACAACTACAACTACACAACTACGCTCCACTACACTCCACTACACTAAATTACACTACACTACACTACATTCCACTACACTCCACTACACCACACTACATTGCACTACACTACATTACACTGAATGACAGTGCACCACAGATAGACAGGTAGACAGATAGATAGATAGACAGATAGGCAGCTAGACAGCTAGACAGATGAAGGAGAGAGAGAGAGAGAGAGACAGAGACAGAGACAGAGAGAGAGAGAGATAGATAGATAGATAGATAGATAGATAGGTAGATAAGTAGGTAAGTAGGTAATTAGATGAAAGAGAGAGAGAGAGAGATGGATAGATCGATAGATAGATAGATACATAGCTAGAGAGATAGGTAGGTAGGTAGATAGTCAGAGAAAGAGTGAGAGAGATCAATCGTCTTTCGATCCATCAGTGGCTTCGCTCTGCCATCCCTGATTCACAACAACCAATCTCTCCTATAGGTTTCCTATTTCTGAAACTTCCGCCACCGCCTTGTGCGGTACTACTGGTAGGTATAATATATGTCAACTATAAATGTGCCATTTTCAATAGCTATGTTAAATTACCAGAGGGTACCCAGCATTTTTCGATCAAAGTAACATCTATGTTTGTTTACCCTAGGGTATCATCTGAAAAACAGTTTCTTGGGGAAGATTTTCGGTTGTTTAGATCCCAGTTACAATGGGAATGCCGCGGTTGATATACCAGAGTTGAATACCATTTAAGGAATTTTCCAAGAAACTTCAGGATTTCAACTGTGGTATATCAACCTGTGGGATTTCTTGCTACCTCCCAAGTTACCATCTATAACCCAGCTGATCCTGGCAACATCTAAGTGGGTGCCCGGGCCTCTGCCGGGCCGCCGCGTCCGCTTCCATCTGAAGCTGCCGGTGCCGCGCCAGGCGTCGCGACTGCAGCTGCAGGCGTCTCTCCTCAGCCAACTTGGCCGCCTCGGCTGCCTGCTGGTCCTGGGGACTCTGGGGGACTCAGAACCCCATAGGAACCCCTGGGTGAACCTTAAAATTGCTGGGATTTTCTATGGATTTATGGATGTTCATCTCAAGTTTGATGGCTAGGAATGTTTGACCCATCCCCACATAGTACCCATGAACCATACTTTATTAGTATTTATTATAGTTGTTTCAAGTATATGGTGGTATTTAGAAGACACTTGTTTGGGTTTCCAGACCAATTACTGTATTCTGGCGACTGTTTTTGTTAGAAACTTGCATTTTTTCCCAACTTTATTGCTAGCTTACTTACAGTACTAACCACCCCAAAAGATTCAGCAACGGTCATGCATGTTGATTCTATCTTATGGCCGATTGCTGTAAACCATCGTGAGCCCAATATAGCCCAATGAGACACCATTTCCATCCATGTCCAACTTTGCCAATGTGAGTCTGCTGACGGGCTGACCTCATCGCCCCTGCAAATGCCGTTCCTGCTCACTAATCCTGCTCCAGCAGCTCCAAAATTAAACAATATTCTGGCATATTCCGGCCATTTCCTCAACAATTGGATAGCTCAGACTTGCTAAGGCCCATATCTTAGATAACCAGCCCTCCCCAAGCAAATTACTTACTTCGAGTGATCCCCACCAAAACATTCTATTTGACATATATTCTGGCATTCTATCCGGCATTCTATCCGGCATTCTATCTGGCATATATTTTAACATTTTTTCTGGCAAAACTTTCTGGCAGCGAAGAGGGGGAGAGGACAACTCTGATGAGATTTCATCAAAGTTGTCCTCTCCTCCTCTTCCTCCTGGCATTCTACCTGGCAAATCTTCTGACATTTTTTTTGGCATATGCACAGTATCTGGCATATCTTCTGACATTCTTTCTGGCATCCTATCTGATATATCTTCGGAGGTTCTTTGTGATCGAGGTCCGGCAGGGGTCATTTTGATCCAGAGGTTGCTGTTCGGGCCCGGCGCGGACCACTGCGATCAAGAGCTTGCAGTTGAGGTCCAGCAGGGACCACTGCGAACACGAGCTTGCAGTTGAGGTCCGGCGGGGAGGACTGCGAACACGAGCTTGCAGTTGAGGTCCGGCGGAGGAGGCAGAGGAGCAGGAGGCGGAGGAGGCGGGAGGCGGGCGGGACAGCTGACATAAAATCTAACAACCCTCACCTGACAGGTGGGGAAAAAAAATCAAAAGATTATGGATCGAGAAACATATGGATTAATTAGTCCAACTTGCTTACAGTAATATCTTCACGAAATCCTCGTCATATGTTACCCCTCTCTCTCTCCATCGCCCTCTCCATGTTACCTGTGTTTATCTATGTTTCATAAGTTGAACCCATGAAATCCACCATTTTTCACGGTTGAACTCCTCCTTCCCCTGCCACGTTTCCCCCGTGGCTCCTTCCGCCGCAGCTCCGCTACCAGCTCCTCCGCCTGGCGGTCCTTCTCGCGCGCCTCGCGCTGCGCCCGCCGCGCGAAGACCTCGAAGGCATCGGCGCTGCGGCGCAGGCGCTCCTGGGGGGTCGGGGAACCACCAAGGCGCCTGGAGGAGCCGGATTCTTCAGCGGGAAATTGGAGGGTTTCTACCGTTTATACCAGACATGTCTGGTAATCTTGGTGTTTTTTGGCAAAATTACCACACTTTGACATTGAAAATTGTGGATGAAAATTTGGAGGAGCTGTATACATCCATACCCATTTCTGGTAATTCTCGGTTTTAGTGGTTTCCCTCCGGTAAAATCCAGTAAATCAACACTTTGACATCCTCAAAATTTAGCATTGGGAAGTAATTTTCCGATCTCCTATTTGGCGGGGCCTATGCCAGCGTCCGGGATGGTAATAAGTCCTGATAAGTCCTGAAAAATCCTGGGGATTGTCTTATATTGATTAGTAGGGATTCTGATCTGCGCCCCACTTGGTCAACAAACATGCAAGCGCGATTTTGTTAAAAATCTTGTGCGAGGAACATCCTTGAAAATTTGTGTTCCTTTTCCTCATGGTCAGGGGTGAAGTACGTGAGAACATCCGGGGATATCTCATGTTGTTATATGCTTTTGCATATACCTATATAATTACTCTTTTTGTTGTTTTCCCAAAGTCTATCCAAAATTCAATCTGCTTCTTCTGGCACTTGCTTGAGTTTTCTCACCCCACGTCCTCACGGTGCTTTTGCCGCTGCTCCTCCTGTCAGAAACATCAGGGATCCTTGGGGGAAGATCGGGAAACCCATGGTTTTTTTATCATCAAATTGTGTATGGAAGGACCGGCGCCTCTACTCCCTGGAAATTCATCCTCACGAGATAAGATGCAAAGATCTTTTGGACAACGGGAACGCGTTTTTTCCCTGGCCCTACAAACCACCAAGCACAGAACCATTTTCTGGTTAAAAAATGCTCATCATTGGGATCCTCATCCCAAATCGGATGGGTTTTTTAATAGAAAAGCAATCAAATCACCAAGCAGCAGATGCTGCTGGTTGGTTATCTCCCCGGTTGCCGTGACTTGCAAACTGAGAGCGTCCTCCTCCTTCGCCCAGAGGAAAGCCTCCTGCGCCTGCTGTTCCTCTTTGAGCGCTCTCAGGGCAAACTTCTCGTTGAGACCCTGCGTCAAGCCATAGACTGCACTTGGCCAGTTGGGCCACGGTCGGTGATTTTGAGGGGAAGGAAAAACAAAACGCATGGGAAATTGAATAAAAGTTCTTTACCATGAAAAAATGATGACTTCTGATGTTCATGGGATGATCATGGGGATCAACCATCAATTATTGGGGTGATGATTATATCGTTGACCATGATGGTTTTAGCTACCAGGTGAGTTTACCATGGCACTAACCAAGGCCTACAGATCTGCCTGGATCTTGCGAATGCGTTCCGTAAGGATGTCGTTCACGATCGCCTGAGGCCATCTGAGGCCATTCTGCAAAATCCCACTCCCATTAAGGGATGGAAGTCATTACGGGTGGTTGATATATATATATATATATCTATCTATCTATCTATCTATCTATCTATCTATCTCTCTCTCTCTCTCTCTATCTATCTATCTCTCTGTCTGTCTGTCTATCTATCTATCTATCTCTCTGTCTGTCTGTCTATCTATCTATCTATCTATCTATCTATCTATCTATCTATATATATGCGTGCGCTATATTATATATATATAGATATATTGATATATTATAATTTATAAACTTAAATATATATATATAGTGTATATATATATATATGTGTGTGTGTGTCTCTCTCTCTCTCTCTCTGTTTGTTTACCACGTTACTTGCCCGCGGGCCGATGAAGATAATGCCCCCTGCGACAAATCAGGCGCATGATTTCCTTGAACATATCCCGATACAGAATGCATACAACAAAACATCATAGTGTATACTGTAAATAGCATGTGTAGTCCCAAGAAAGATAGGAAAAGACGGAACCATTAATATCCCACTTAAATCTATAGAATATATTCGTATATATATATATATATTCTACAGTTCGTCTCCATCTTTGGGGGTTACTACATTTTTAACTGTACCCCAGCATTTCCATCCGGCATCGGCCAAACTTTTTCGCCGGCAACTTCGTTGCCTTGGAAAGGCCCTTCAGCTTGTTTGGGACCGGGGGTTGGCTGGCAGGGTTGCGATATGCTTTGACAAAGACACAGCCGAAATTGTCAATAGTTGGCAAATGTATTCCAAACTTATTACAACACTGCCTATGACATTTTACTGGAAAATGATAGGCCTTTAGCCATGAATCAAGAACGACCTTGGCAGAATTTTTCCACCAAATATCAGGGTGGAACTATCAGAAATGATCATATACCTCCCCGAAAACACACATTGAACCCCAAACAAATTCAGGCTTTGAGCTTGGAACAGCATTTCCTGAAAATGACCCCCTGTGACATCCACTTTAAATCTGCAAAATTCTGATCTGCGCCATGTAGCACCATAGTCCCATGTTTAAATATGTTTAATGCCTTCCGTGCCACGAATTTAGGATTGAACGTGGCAGTATCAGTACCTTTAAGGCTCCGCAAACATTTGTTGCTGAAATCTGCTGACCGAACTGCCAGCCAAATCATCGATCGTCTCACTTCAGCCGTGCCAATGCCTGCAACGCGACAACTCAGACCTTCTTGTCCACGGCATCTGTTGCTGGGACACCTTCTACCTGCGACAGTGCCAAAGATCGGCAAACAGACGGAGATGGTTGCTTGATCAATCAGCTGTATATTACGATCTTGAGTATGTTTGCGTATCTATCTGTTTTTAATATCCTTCTAGCATTACGTGGGTGTTTCGTACAATGGCGGACCCCAAACCATTTGTTTCCCAATTCGAAATGACCAATCTGGGATGAAATTGGGTCCTCCATTTTAACCGACATCATGTCATGAAAACATGCCTGGAACCAAACAAAATAGAAAAGGAACGTCTCACTACTCTACAGGATGGGGCCCCCAACATAGCGTTCAGTTGCCTTAAAAATGGCTGAATTCCATGGTTTATGGTAGATATAACTATAGTTCATGGGGTTCATAAACCAACATTCACATCTGGGGGCACCATCCTGTAGGGATTGACATCTTCTCTGGGGCGTGTCCCAAACTTGTCATCCCCAGTGGAAGCCCAGTTTGGCGGCCTTGTCCTCGATGATGCCCTTGATCAAGGGCTTCTTTTCGGACTTGCTTCCTTCCAACATGGCTGCGATCCTGGGCTCCGTTGTTGCAATCATCAACTTCGACTGGGGATATTTATGCATCAAAAATGGAGGTTTCAGATAATTTAACTACCAATTCATTACCAAAAAATGGGTATACGGTATAACTACTGTATAACTAGAAAAATGGAAACTGGAAGATCACTCCACAGATCGTAACTGGTCAGCAGGCATTGCTATAAGCAATGTGTAGATGGGATAACCCACTTGAGGGACTTGCGATCACCAGGGTTATTAACCAAGTACTAAGTGGGATGAGCTTTCAAGTAGGCTGGAAAGCCCAAGGAAAATGATTGGAAAAGTTTGGAGTCAAGAGTCGAGAATTCTCTTCTAGAAAATCAGGTGTCAGTGGCATTTTTGGTGGAAAAACCCTGGAAAAATCCTGGAAACACAGATGTTTTAACAGGAGCCGGCAGAATGTCGGCTGAATGAACAATGGAGGTGAAACTGGGCACAACATGGGAGGAAATTCATGGCTAAATTGGGCATCGACTTGACAAACAATGAGGTCATCCAGCATTTGTGAAGTAGTGAAATGAGAAATAATCATGCATGGATGGTAGCCCGCGCAACAAAAAAATATATGTCATCCATCCCATAATAGCAATCCTTATAATATAGATATTTAACTCCCTACGAATCGTTTGATGACTCGATGACCATCCCCAAATATGGTAAAGTAACCCTTTTTTTTGACCGTGACACATATGGGCCTGAGGATCTTACGCTGCCAATCTGAGCACCAGTTGCTGACATGGCCATGAAGTTCCATAGGTCATAGATGTATTTTTGTGTGTCACGTGTTCCAGTGCGAAATGATCTCAAAAAGGGGCTTCTGCCGGATACAAAAAAAAGAAAAAAGATGAAACAAGTGGATCTTGGGTTGTTGGATTCGATGGTGTTTACCAAGGTTTTAAGGCCCAAAGAGGCTCAAAAAGGAACCGTCTTAACCGCCAGGTCAACCCCAGCCACCCATCGACGCACCAGGGCACGATTTGAAGAATAAGGCCGCAAAAATGAGGAGAAGACCCAAGATTTGCAGCGCGGTCACTGGGTTGTGATACTTCACCTCAACTGATGCTGTTTGCCCTGCGGAGTGGCAAAGGGGTGGTAGCTATTGGTTGGAATGATGGAGGGTTATGAGCCGAAAAGAACACACCATACCTCAGCTTTAACATTCTGAAACGTTTGGATGACTTTGAACCCTTGAAATGCATTAGCTTCACAAGAATGATGGTAGAATCAACCATCATGGCCGGGCAAAACGTCATCACACACCCAAAAATTACGGCAAGACCCTGAGGTTGCAAGGATTCGCAACGAGCGTCAAGGCAAGCCAAGATGAAGATGACGACGACGATTAGAATGACGATGATGATGTTGATGATGATGATGATGATGATTTGTTTTAATATCTTCTTGAAATCCTATAAGAGAGCCTAATGACTGTATGGTTAATTGTTCAATGGGGCCGAGGGATTTTGATATCTTCTTGAAACCCTTGTAAAAACCTAATGATTGTATGATTAATTGTTCCATGGGGCCGGGGGATTTTGATATCTTCTTGAAACCCAAAAAGGAACCCTGATGACTGTATGACTAAATTGTTCCATGGGTCCGAGGGATTTTGATATCTTCTTGAAATCCTGAAAGAAACCCTAAAATTTGTATGGTTAGTTGTTCCAAGGGGGCGGGGGATTTTGATATCTTCTGGAAACCCTATAAGAGACCCTGATGACTGTATAGTTAATTGTTCCATGGGGCCGAGGAATTTTGATATCTTCTTGAAACCCTATAAGACACCCTAATGACTGTATGGTTTGTTCCATATGATATGTAGAAGCAACATGTTCTGGTTGTATGAAATGTAGAAGCGACATGTTTTGGTTAACACCCTAGCAACATGATTGAACATAAAATCCTTCCCATTGTTTGACGTCGTACAGAAATCCCTGGTATTTACGCTATTCTGGGTTGGGCAAACCCCTGGGTCTGTATGTAAAATTACGCATATTGGAGATGTGATCGCCAAAACAATAATATCACATGTACGCATATGTATATCTACATATATATATATCTCATATATACACCTGCATGTATGTCTGTATGTCTGTATGTCCGTATGTCTGTATGACTGTATGTCTGTATGTCTGTATGTCTGTATGTCTGTATCTATCGTATCTATCTATGTATCTATATATCTATGTCTCTATGTATCTTTGTATCTATGTATCTATGTATCTATGTATGTGTGTATCTATGTATGTATTTATCTATGTATCTATGTTTCTATGTATCTATGTATCTATGTATCTATGTATGTATGTATCTATCTATCTATCTATCTATCTATGTATGTATGTATGTATGTAATTAATGTAATTAATGTATGTATGTATGTATGTATGTATGTATGTATGTATGTATGTATGTATGTATGTATGTAATTAATGTATGCAATTAATGTATGCATGTATACATATACATGTCTGTATGTATACATGTATGTATGTATGTACGTACGTATGTATGTATGTATGTAACTAATATATGTATGTGATTAATATATGTATGCAATTAATGTATGTATGTAATTAATGTATGTATGTAATTAGGGTATGTATGTAATTAATGTATGTATGTAATTGATGTATGTACGTAATTAATGTAGGTATGTATGTGATTAATATATGTATGCAATTAATGTATGTATGTAATTAATGTATGTACATAATTAATGTATGTATGTATGTATGTATGTATGTATGTATGTATGTATGTATGTATGTATGTATGTATGTATGTATGTATGTACGTAATTTATCTATGTATGTATGTATGTATGTATGTATGTATGTATGTATGTACGTAATTTATCTATGTATGTATGTATGTATGTATGTATGCATGCTTGACTCATGAAGACCTAAAACCCATGTGACTCGGGTTACGGGGGCTCAGGGACACCAGCGCTCGGCTTGGGGCTCCCACGTAGGACACCAAGATGGAGACCACCTGCCGGACGTTCATCGTGGCGGCGAAAACCAGGGCACCGAACTCCTTGATCTGCGAGTAGATACACCACCTGCCCCGGAGCTAAGCGCTGGCTAAGTTTCTCAGTTTTATATATATATATATAGTTTTATAGGATTTGGATGGATTTTATATACCATGAATGTTATGTTGGGATATGTTGGGAATATTGCAGTTAGAATTTCTGAAAGTTGAAGATTCATCGAAGTGAGTTCTTGCAGTTCTTGCCAGCAACAACTTGGCGGGAGGAAACTGCAGTACTACTGATCGAAGATTCCAGGAAAAAAACCCTCTGGATCCCTCTGGCAATTCAACATAGCAATGTGAAATCACCATAAATCACCATAAATCACCATAAATCACCATAAATCACCATAAATCACCATAAATCACCATAAATCACCATATTCAATAGATATATAAATCATCTGGAAATGGGCCATGTTCAAGTTCGCCAACTGTTCAAAAAAACCGGAGAGGGATGGGGACCTGCAGGTTCAGACGCTCTGCCGTGCTGAAACTACACCATTTATAATGGTTACCCTCTGGTAAATTAACATAGACCCTGGCAGATAGGGGTTGGAAGATTAGTTTCCATTGAAACTAGGCTATTTTCAGGGTCTATGTTAATTTACCAGGGGGTAATAGTGGTTAATAGTGGTGATTTTACTGTGGAAAAGGAGGATTTGATATGAATTTTAATGGGAAAATTGCACTCACCAACCACTTAGGCTTTCTGGCATCATCTGCCGCAAGAACAAAGATGAAATCATGTCACCATGTCATACCTAGTCCCTCTCCCTTTGTGACTAGCGGAAATATTGCCACCGTTAGAAGGTACCACCATCAAAGAAGAAGACGTTCCCTTCTTCAAGATATTTCTGGTCTGACTTATCTGTCGGGTGTCATGCTGGATCTTGGCGGCAACGATAAAGATATATCAAGAACATCTAATTTCTCAAGCTGAATTTGGGATGCTCCGTCTTGGTCAATCGAACTCTGCAAAAAAAATGTAAATTAAACGAAAAATGGTGCAAACATATCAAACCAAAAAAATGGTGCAAACATATTACAAACATATTAAACAAACATGTCACATATAATGTCTTCATCATTCTCCATGATTCTTTCGCGATTTCTTCAAATTTCCGTACCAGGCCACTGGCTCGCCACTGCCGACCCACTCAGAAGGGCGCAGTCGGCCAAGAACTTGGGGTGCTCCTGGCGAAAATCTTCTGTGAATGGAGGTTCATAGTTGGGAAAATCATGGGAAAATCAGCTGGGAAAAATATGGGAAAATCATAGGAAACCTATAGGAAAAATAGATGGGTTTCATCCACTAGAAATGGAGGTTTATAGTTTATGGCTGGGAAAATCATCAAACTAATTATATTGTCGGATTTCCAAGCAATATCTTTAGTGGCAATGGAGGGTATGCCCCAAGTTAACCCATACAGGAAATTCTAATCAACGAAGTTCGTCTGGGGGGGCTCACCTTCTATCAATGCCAGTGGTTAATAAAAAATTAATCACACCATGGGTCTGTTTCGCAGTGACTAAATTGACTAAATGTTTCTTTGCCAACCGGGAGGTACTGAAAACCAGGCATAAAAAGAATAAACATCGATAAACCTGGGCTTATCATTGGGTTTAACATGGTTTCACACCATGATTTGGAGATTTTCGTCCATCAAATGTGCTTAATTATTGCTGATATGATTATGTCTTGTCTTTCAAAGTGTTCGAAATTCACAACTGGAATCCAGAAAATCCACACTCCTCGAGAACGGTTCGGCCTCTCAAATCAGACCGAGACGCAGCATGAAACGAACATAGCTATGGGAAATTCATCTTCAAGTTCGGTAAGTCAACGAACTAAATGGGCCATTTTCAATAGCTAAGCGTGAAATACCAGAGGGTATGTCTGGCAGAACTTTTCTGGAAAAGTGGTTACAACGATCCAAGCGACTCTTGGAACAACGATCCAAACGGGACGCGCCCGCCGCAAGGCTCTCAAAAAATTATATAGGCATGATCCCGTCCTTTCCTTTCCGCAAAAGAACACATACCATTTTTTTGATGGGTACATTATGGGTAAATGAATCCCATTGTAGACTGAGAAAAGTCATGAATCAACACATTCCAGAATTCTCATGAAACAACAAAGTCTGTGAGGAACCTGTTGAGGAACCTGTTGAACTAAGAAAACGGGTTTTGGGAATGTTTACTTAGTATCAACTGCTGTTTTTTTCGGACTCTTCCTGGATAGCATTGTTGGATTCTTTGTTGGTTGAACTCTGAGCAGAAACCAACGACAGCGCTATGTTTCGGCATCCGTCCATACTGAAGGTGATGGCTGGCAAGAAGTTGCCGGTGGCCTTGGATGTTCTCCATCGGATAACTCGTCTGGGTCGGGGAATCCCGGTGTCTGTGCCGAGGATTTTTTTTCTGAAACAACCGGCCATGTCCTTATTGACCAATATATGTCCTAACATTCTTTGACCAATATATTGAAATATGGAGGAAATTGAGGTCAGATTCCATTTGAATGCGGGGATTACTTGCCAGAAGGAATTCAAATTCTGCTTTCGGTAATTGAAAACGTGTATGCGCGTACATCTACATTACCAATCCAGTACCAATCTTCGAGAAACTGGCACAAGAACTGGTAAACATTCCCATCAAAATGGCAGTTGGTGAAAAACCCCTCCATTTTTTTAATGTTTCGCCCCATAATTTTGATGGTGTTTACCCCCCATTTTCCATATTCTGGTGGTAAACCTGCCCCCCATTTTGGATCGTGACATCCTCAGCCAAGGGTCCAATGACCACTGACTTGGATGATTTTGAACCCCGTTCCCTGAGCCCAAGACCAGCAGTGTCACGAAGGAGACCGCAGCGGACCTGAGCGATTCATGGTTATATTATATTTTTATTATAATATGTTGTGATGTTATTTGATGATGATTATTATTATTTCTATGTTTGTTATGTTTAATTAATTAGTATTATCAATAGTGCTACTATTATTATTATCACTGTCATACATGTACACGTATATTAGATTGTTATCATTATTATGATTGATGACGATTATTACGATGATGATGATGATGATGAGGAGGAGGAGGATGACAATTAATGATAGTCAGCATTCGTATTAAAAGCCAATTGGCACTATGTTTGTTGTTGGATCACAATAATCCGTGTAGTTGTTGAGATGTCTTTTATTTAAAATATATTTATATAATCATTATAATGAATATATGTTTATGATGATGACTATCATATATTAATAATCCTTATGCATTCTGGTAATGTAGGGTTACATGTTTATGTAAATATTCACGTATTTGCCACGCTAGCTATGCTGTAAAAATGGGAATATCGAGGGAAAAAATGGATAGCTATGTTAGCAGCGTCCTTTTTTGATAAATCTATGTTATACATGCGATGGAGAACAAAATGATAGCCATGTTAGTGGGCTTCCAATAGCTAGTGGTCTACGCAAAATGCTAGTCTGGCAGCCCATTCTGATAGCTAGGTTAGCATAGCTAAATTCGAAAAACAGTCGCTACGTTAGATTACCGGAGAGTAACCTGATGGTTGGAACAATAACAGTTAACATTTATGTATATATATATAACACCGATAGTTTTTGAATAAAAACAACATGACAGTTATATGTATAATATACATAATGAGTATCATAAATTTTGATCCGTGTCACAATGATGATGGTGATGGTGGCTATCATAGTTAATAAACAATATGCGTATGTGAATAAGAATGATAATAATAATAATATATAATATAATATAATAATACAATAAAATATAATATAATACAATAAAATATAATATAATATAACATAATAGAACCCAATATAACATAATATATATCATAAAAAATAATATAATATAATACAATATAATATATATATATATATACTGTATGATGTTTAATTATATATATACATGTGTGCGTGATCATACCTATCTGATCTATAAAACCATTAAAGAATCACAAGAATCCATAGCGACCCATTTCCAAAAGAGGCTGAACAGTTGGAAAACTGGAGGGAACACATCATCTTTGTCATATCCTGGAAGCACTTTTCGGCACCTGTTCTGGTGGAATAATTGTGGTTGTTAGAATGATCTACGGTGAGAATTGTGGTGAACCTTAGATAGGGAGGAAAAAACAACTTGTAATGGTTTCCCCATCATTTCCAAGTGTCCAACTGTTCTATCGCCTTGGGGGTTGCCATAATTTATCGCAGATGATGGATTTGAATGGTTATACTGCTATGGAATTTTGATGGATATAAATATAAATTTAAATCATATCATACTGGTTCTGGCCATCATTTGATGCAATGGTTCCAACTTGTTCTCATGGTCTACGGAGCATAATGGCCTGCAATGGTATGATTGGGGGCTTGCACCAAATGGATCCCTACGGGCTTGTCTCAACATGGTGGGTATCCCTTTTTTTGTGTCCATTGAAAAGTGAAACTTTAGTTTCTCATGATAGGATGGAAGAGGATGAAACATATTTTGAGACAACCCTACATCTCACCCAGAAATTGTCAGTCTTCAATCAGAAAATGGCGTCTTCCCGAGCCTTTTTCCTTCCCTCAAACCAGCAAAGCAAAAAACCAAGGGCTGTGTTCGAGGGGGCCCAGCAATTGTGAGATCGTCTATTTCCAAACCATGGGCTCGTGACGGCTAGTGGCATAGATCCAATAAGTCAGCCATGACATGACTAATTCACACCCAACCCCATAAAGCCCCAACCCATAAAGCCCCGATTTTTCAAGAAACTTCAGGAATACCCTCCGGTACTTGAACTTAGCTAATTCAAGTCAAGTCGTGTTTGGTAGGTAAATCATCTATAAAGCCCACACGCAGTCAAAAAATGGGCCATGTTCAATTCAATTGCAAACTGTTATATACCCTCTGGTTATTTAACATAGCCATGGAAGCCATGGCCCATAGAAATAGATGGTTTACCGTTCTTAAAAATGGATGGATTTTCCATGGCTATGTTCAATAACCAGAGGGTAACTTTCAAAGGGTACCAGCCAGTGGTTCAATAATCCCCGCCCATCGCCAAGTGGCAGGAGGTTGATGTACAACATCTGGTTGTACTTGGTGGTCTGATGTTCCTAAACACGGTCGAACACGCATCGCGATGCGTGTTTTCTATATCTGTTTGCACTGAGATGTTCATGGAAATTTATGGCTGTATGCATATGCATGACGTGTATGTCAAGAGTCCTCGACCATAAAATATGTGTATCTCTCATAAATTGGAAATTCTACATGTGTAAATTATATTATATATATATATATACATATTCTATCCATATATATATATATGTGTGTGTAATATCTGTATGTGTTTTCCATGTCTTTTCGCCAAAAAAAAACAACGATTCGTTCCCGGTCGATCGTCTCCCGCCTTGAAGAGCTTCTCCTGAAAGGTGGAGGTCAACCCATCCAACGCCAGGAATCCGCCCAGGAGAAGGAAGCCCTGACGACACGGATGCGATGCGCGCGACGGACGACACGGGGGACACCGGGGACACGGGGTTGACGGGGACAGGTGGCTGTCCCAAAAATGTGGTCGTGTTTTGAGGTCATTCTAAACAGACAACATCCAATTTTTTTGGGTGATGTTTAAGGTCTAAAGGGTTCCAAAGCGGTTTTTTGTCTCTAAATCCGAGTTTCTTGATTATTGTTTGGCTATTTCACCAAAGATTATGTTTTATGCTCGTAACCATGGATATTAGGCAGTTTTTTTTGTGGGATATATCCAGCTTCTCGCTGCGATGAACCCCCCAATTTCTGTTTTTGATGTTGGTTTTACATGGGTTTTACCATGAATTAACATGAACTATGGGTTTTTACCATGGTTTTGATGCTGGTTTTTACCATTTCCCCATGGATTTCCCCAATCCACGGGATTTTCCCGCCTTCATGGAGTTGGTGGCGTCCACCTTGGAATGGGTCGGTCCTGGCATCACAAGACAATTGCATGTACATTATGTGATACTATATATACATCTAGATAGATAGATACATAGATAGATTAGATTAGATTAGATTAGATTAGATTAGATTTAGATTAGATTTAGATTAGATTAGATTAGATTAGATAGATAGATAGATACATAGATATATGCATGTATATATATATAATTATATATATGTATATATTATGGTACCCCTATGGTGAATCACGATATATGTATATGTGTAGATAGATAATGGTACCCCCCCTCCAATAACGATAGTTTTGGAAAAAAAAATGTTACATATAATATATATATACACACACACACCTCTCTCTCCCCATTTCTTGTCTTGTTTCCTGTCGCCATTCTCAATGGAATCATCATGTGTGATGCTTAAATCCCAAGCGGGTGGATCGTCATTCACCAATCCAAATAGGATATTCCAACGGTTACATGTTTCAATATATGTCCATTATCCTCATGAAAAAATCCCATGAAACCCAAGTTCTTCTGCTTAAATCTCGTTACCCTCTGGCAATGACTAACATAGCTATTAAAAATGACCATCGAAATAGTGGATGATTTACCCATTAAAAATTAAAAATGGTGATTTTCCATAGTTATGTGACAGTTTACCAGATGGTAAATCCCCCATGTGTATCAGTTGCATCCCCAATTGGGGTGTCCCCTTTTGGGGATGACTCACCCAGCATCCCAGGCCTGTCATCAGGAACTCGGTACATCCCGCCGTCACGGTGAGAGCTACCATCCAATCTCTGAGGCCTTGGAATCCAGGGTGAGGTCTCAGCTGAATCACTGGAAAAAAATGCTGGAAGCCATGGCCCAGTCGAAATAGTGGATTTACCCATTTTCATGGTAAATGGTGGATCTTTCCATGGTAAATGATAGTTCACCTGGTTGGTGGTTCGGCCGCCCTACCCCTCTGAAAAATGATGGAGTAAAGTCATAAAATTCCATGGTTCCAGTCACCACCAAGCTGTTTCAGATTTGGAATTTTATGGGGGTTCACCACTGGGTCCTGGATTCTTGATTCGATCGATGTAATCTGACCGAATCTAAATCTAATCAAATCTTATGTATCTATCTTATGTATCTACATTTCTTGGTCAAATAGGTAAAATAGGTAAACTAGATGGAATGGAACCAACCCTGAGGTAAACTGTCACATAACATCACATAACTATGGAAAATCACCATGCTATTCATGGCTAAATCCACTATTTCTATCCCCATGTTGACCATTTTCAATAGCTTTTTGTATGTTTACCAGGGGTATAACATCCATTTCTTTTGTTGGACAGCCAGTCATGCCATCCATTTCCACCCAAATCCCTGGATTCATGGAGGTCCAGGAGCTGTAGGACTTGCCGGAAATGATGATGCCCCAAATCATCACAGGCATCCTCGGTACCGGGATGCCATGCCACGCCATGCCACCGTGATGGAAACAACCATCCGTAGTGATGGATGTTTTTGTGTTTATATCTAGTTAATCTAAATAAGATCTTATAAGATATAAATACTGTGTTTTTATATAAATACTTATTAAAATCTTACAAGGGGTCACCCAAAAACTGCATTCGTTCTGAGATTTCGGAGTGATTCTCGGTTCACGAAGAAGTCGGCAAGAGGCAAGACCACTGGCTGAGATCCCCCATGGATACAATGTGGCCCCCGCGGGTTATAAGTTGGTTTATAAACCCCAGTAACTATAGTTATAAGTATCATAAATCATAGTTATTGGAGTTAAAACCAACCTAGCTATCCAGGGGGGGCACTTTGTACCTTCATCTTCATTTACTTAGAGGGTATAAATAAATCGGAATCATCATGCCAAGCAGGGAAGCAACAGAAATATGGAATCCCTCTGAACGGAATGCGTTGGAGATGTGCGTAGATATTTCCCGCAACTACGTCCCAGAATTTTCAAGTCAAAGCTTCAAAGTAGGAATCTTGGTATCTCACTATATCTGACTCATGTCCCATCCCCCACGATTTCATCATGGTTGATCATCATATTGTGGTTTCCAATGATTTCCTATGATTTCCCTTTGAAATTGTCATCATTTGGGGGGCTGATTCCTCCCACATCTCCTGCAATTCGCGCCAGGTGGCATTTTGAAGCTCTTGCCTAACATCTGCACGGCAAAGGAGACATATTTCAAAGCCTGGCCGAAAGACAGAGGGGTTACACACTTTCAGCATAGTTATGGATAGCTATGGGGATTATATCATTTTATATCATTTTATATCCCAACTTGTGGGGGTTAGAATCCCATGGTAGATGTCCAACTGTTCATTATAGCCAATGCAATGGGACTTGACGACGATTTGGTGCCCCACCTCAGCACTCATACCAAGTTGATCCCAGGATCGCAACTGGCAACCATCGTCGGGTTTTGTTCTACGGCTACTACGGCACTTTTGGGCTCCCCAGTCAAGTGGCTAATAATCATTGTCATATGATATCATATGACATACCCTCTGGTAATTTAACATAGCTATGGAAAATCACCATGTTTAATGGGAAAATCCACTATTTAAATGGCCATTTTCAATAGCTATGTTAGTTTACCAGAGGGTATGGAATATTGATGAATATGGTGAAACTTGATGAAATCCCCCACTTAGATGGGCGATTTCAAGTATCCATAACCGCCATAACCATCTGGTTATTTCACATACATAGCCGGCTGGAAAATCCCCAAAATCAATGGAGTCCATTCGTTCGCTGGGAAAAATCATCTATTTCGGCTATGGACTCCCTGGACATTCAACTTACCCAGCCATATATAGCCCCACCTCGTACTGGCAGCTACTGGCGTAGACGTTGGACAAGGAAACGATCAGGTACTTCCAGATGGGTGCCTGGCGGAATCATTTCCCTTTTCCATAGCTCAGACATCCCATGACATCTTGGGATATCTTGGGCAGATCTACCTCAACCAACCCCCCCCAAAAAAAAAACGCGAAATGTCCAACATGTTTCGTCGAAAAGGTTGCTGCGGTAGCACCTGATTGCCCATGGACTCGCCTTTCACTTGCGCCTAACAGCGGCAGAGCAATCCGAATGTTACCTTTTGGATCTTTTACCATGAAAATCTCCCAACAAGTTTGATCGCAACTTTCAACGTGTAAAATCACCTACTGTATGTTGGTGGCTTAATTCACCATATTTCATCATGTGTCATCATTGTTATTGGTGAAATCACTATAAATTCACCTTGTTTCGCCATTTTTATTGGTTTGAATCACCATGTTGGGTGGTCAAACACCCTGTTGTCCTTGCTTGAAGTCACAAATTTGTGCCGCTTTACTACCAGTCACCAGTAGCCGCTAGCCCGCCATGATCACGGCAAAGAGGACTGCAGCGAGGCGATTGCAGAGAACTAGGAAGACCTGGAGCTGACGCTTTTCCAAAGGGAGGCTACTTAAGTTGGGGGAAACCCCAATCCTTAGCTAAGTTCTTAGTAGATCTAACTTTATAACGAATGATGTTTATAAACCAACTTACAAGTATGGTGCATCACCTTGTATAAGGATGTGGTGGATTTCACTTATCCCAACGTAACAAAAACGAACATGATGGTCATTTCACTTAACCAAAACCTGCAGAGATTGAAACCGAAACCAAAATGGTCGCCGTTTTGCCAACCCAGGGCTTAATTCAAAAAAATAGAGCTTAACCACTCAATGGGGTTGTGAACGAACTATAATTCACAACAAATAAAGGTCGATCCAATGATTACAAACCCGGATCAGCCGTGACAGACAAGTCTTCGTCCATCTTCCATCACGAATTGGCCGTAGAAACTGGATCCTACTTATCTCAGTGCACATGCGAGTCATGGCAACGAGCAAACTGGAAGTATGGTCTACAGCACACAAATAAGCCATCAAGTATTCTTAAGCGATCACTAGCTGGTGCTTTGAACCCCTTCTGGAAAAAATATACATATATATATATGAGAATATTAGTCAATTTGAATCATCCGAAAGAAATCTTAAAAAATAGAACCACCAACCTGATACAACCTGATCAAGATTGGGTGGTACGATCAACTCCCTGCTGGGTCCCCTGGGTAGTCATCTGACGCTACATCTGGTCGAGCATCTGAGAAGGTGAAGAGAGATCCATCATACGGGACCGTCATGATGCCTTCCTGCGACGGATGGACATTCCACATGTTGAAGCTGGCAGGTCTTGGGGCCACGCGATAAGACCTTCTTGCGGATTTCCAGCAAACAACTTGGAGGTTTTAAACATTTTAAAACACCATGTGTTTTACCACGACTTGCCAGCTTTTGCTTTTGAAGTCCAAACGTTCATCTCAACCTGGCCTGAAGTTTTCCGGAAAAAAATCTGGTTCTGCCAGACCTACCCTTCACCCTCCACCAGGCTCTCCGCCTGAAAAATTCCATAGAGCACCAGGCTCCCAATGATCCCTACGCCATAGAAGACGCACCAAGCTGGGTTGGTGGCGCGCTGAGGGCCTCGCAGCTCAGGGAGTGCTTTCTGGTGATTTCTGCCATACTAAGCTACTGCAGGGCTTTCCTAAAAAGGGGGGAACCCCCAAATCATCCATTTTTCATATTTTTTAATAGGATTTTCCATTATAAACAATCCGTTTTTGGGGGTAACCCCATTTTAGGAAACCTGCATAAACACGGCCACCACATCTGTCTAGCCAGCCTTCCATTGCTTCAATTTTCACCTCAGCCGATGTCCGATGCGAACATGATCTGAGACTAGGGAGTCACAAAGTGGTTCATGAAATTAGGTACAGCGTATACCATGGTATGTGCCTAACATCCCTTTAATGGTTGATAGTTGGGCTGGTTATCGTTGTGCATCGCACATGCACTTCGAAAATCACGTTCGATGCCCAAGTGCCCCATTTTCTGTGCTGAACAAATAGATACTCCCGGCGGCCCAGCCCCCAAAAAGGAAGTGTCATCTGCTAGTAGCTTCGGGTGTGACAGATCCACCCAAGCCCTGAATGGCCCAAGGGACACTATCGGATATGGACAGCCCCTCGGATACGGCTAGCTGAGGGGTCCAAGCGGTCAACGTTGCACCCCGTCAGGGTGCAAGGGTAGTTTTGAGGGCTTGAGCCCTAAACGTCAGCGAGAAATGGCCATGTGCATGTCTGTTTCCTGACATAGTTCTTTTTCAAACCCCAGCAAAATGGCCACAAAATTTTAACAGGAACATCTTCTTCCAGGCCCCTAAAACGACCTTCTCCGCCCTGAAAACGGACGTTCCGTTTACGCAGAAAGGTTCGCCCATGGTCCCTGGGTACTTCAAACTGGATGGGTTTGTCCCAAAGAAGATGATACCTATGAATACGGAGGGGCATCCCATGCTTGAACAAAGTCATCATGTGGCTAACATCATGTGGCTATGGCTGTGACGACCCAAGATGTTGTACCATGCGACAGACCCATGTTTTTATCACCAGGCTTGGTTAAATCACCATGGTGCGGCTGAAACTTGTGCAATTTCAGGGTCCCACACCTAAAACAAAAACAAAAACAATCGTTTTTACCAGTTAAGTTCCTGGCTTTTGCTGGTGAAATGCCAACAGTATGTTTCTTGTCAAAGGAAGTTTAGGGGGAGAAACTTCCGTGTTACGGACTTTTAGAATGTCAGGGAAAGAGTTAGTCAAAGAAAGAGTTAGCAAAGAAAGAGTTCGTCAGGGAAAGAGTTAGTCAAAGAAAGAGTTAGTCAAAGAAAGAGTTAGTCAGGGAAAGAGTTATCAAAGAAAGAGTTAGTCAAAGAAAGAGTTAGTCAAAGAAACAGTTAGTCAGGGAAAGAGTTAGTCAAAGAAAGAGTTAGTGAGGGAAAGAGTTAGTCAAAGAAAGAGTTAGTGAGGGAAAGAGTTAGTCAAAGAAAGAGTTAGCAAAGAAACAGTTAGTCAGGGAAAGAGTTAGTCAAAGAAAGAGTTAGTGAGGGAAAGAGTTAGTCACAGAAAGAGTTAGCAAAGAAAGAGTTCGTCAGGGAAAGAGTTAGTCAAAGAAAGAGTTAGTCAAAGAAACAGTTAGTCAGGGAAAGAGTTAGTCAAAGAAAGAGTTAGTGAGGGAAAGAGTTAGTCAAAGAAAGAGTTAGTGAGGAAAAGAGTCAGTCAAAGAAAGAGTTAGTGAGGGAAAGAGTTAGTCAAAGAAAGAGTTAGTCAGGATATATGAGGTAGTCAAAGAAAGAGTTAGCAAAGAAACAAGTTAGTCAAAGAAAGAGTTAGTGAGGGAAAGAGTTAGTCAAAGAAAGAGTTAGCAAAGAAACAAGTAGTCAGGGAAAGAGTTAGTCAAAGAAAGAGTTAGTGAGGGAAAGAGCTATTCAAAGAAAGAGATAGCAAAGAAACAGTTAGTCACAGAAAGAGTTAGTCAAAGAAAGAGTTCGTCAAAGAAACAGTTAGTCAGGGAAAGAGTTAGTCAAAGAAAGAGTTAGTGAGGGAAAGAGTTAGTCAAAGAAAGAGTTCGTGAGGGAAAGAGTCAGTCAAAGAAAGAGTTAGTGAGGGAAAGAGTTAGTCAAAGAAAGAGTTAGTCAGGATATATGAGGTAGTCAAAGAAAGAGTTAGCAAAGAAACAAGTTAGTCAGGGAAAGAGTTAGTCAAAGAAAGAGTTAGTGAGGGAAAGAGTTAGTCACAGAAAGAGTTAGCAAAGAAATTGTTCCCTCACTGTAAATGGGATTGCAAGTGGTGCTGGTGGAGGAGTTGCCGATGGAGTTTTGCAGAAAGTCTCGCACGAAATGCGTTTTTGAGAGATAGCAGATGCACGAAACCCTATGTTTTTCCATACAAAGTCCGTCCCCGAACCTCGATGATCTACCTCTGCGGTGCGACGGTTGCGAGACGGTCTCGTGTGTGGTCGGATCATGGGCGGATCATGGTCGGATCGGTCTCGGATCATGTTCGGATCGGTTCCGCATTGTAAATGGGGTTTCACCTGTGTTTCGTGCATGTGCGGTCGACAGAATTCCATTGTGATTTGCAACTGTAGGATAGTTCCCGCAATGTAAATGGGATTGCAAGTGGTGCTGGTGGATGAGTTGCCGATGGAATTCCATTGTGATTTGCAACTCTAGGATCGTTCCCTCACTGTAAATGGGATTGCAAGTGGTGCTGGTGGAGGAGTTGCCGATGGAGTTTTGAAGGAAGTCTCGCACGAAATGCGTTTTTGAGAGATAGCAGATGCACGAAACCCTATGTTTTTCCATACAAAGTCCGTCCCCGAACCTCGATGATCTACCTCTGCGGTGCGACGGGTGCGAGACGGTCTCGTGTGTGGTCGGATCATGGTCGGATCGGTCTCGGATGGTCGGATCGGTTCCGCATTGTAAATGGGGTTCACCTGTGTTTCGTGCATTTGCGGTCGACAGAATTCCATTGTGATTTGCAACTGTAGGATCGTTCCCGCAATGTAAATGGGATTGCAAGTGGTGCTGGTGGATGAGTTGCCGATGGAATTCCATTGTGATTTGCAACTGTAGGATCGTTTCCGCAATGCAAATGGCATTGCGAGTGGTGCTGGTGGAGGAGTTGCCGATGGAATTCCATTGTGCTTTGCAACTGTAGGATCGTTCCCGCAATGTCTAGAAGGTTTCAAATGGTTCGGTGGACGAGCTGAGGACATAATACCATTGTGTTTTGTTAGGGATTGTTGCTAATCGCATTGTAATGGCTGCGTGAACTTGCTGCAGCTTGATTCTTTCAGATTTTGCCTGCTTTCATTTTTTATTTACATTCTTTATAAAAACGCTTCAAAACTCAACTTTTTCTGCTCTGGCGTCGAGATCCGGTTTTGGAGCTACAATTTCCGACGCCGTTGCGCGTAGTTCTATTGCGTTTTGCAACTGAGTCTCTGCAGATCGCATTGTAATGGCTGCGTCAAGGTTGCTTCGTGCTGTGGCTGCATTCGTAATACTATTGTCTTTTGCAGCTGGATCTCGTAAATCGTATTGGAGTGGCTGCATGAAGGCTGCGACAGTGATTTGTCAGCAGATTTTCTCCATTTTGGCACTAGCGATTTTCCTTCTAAAAATCCTTTTAAAAAGTGCTTCAAAATCGTCTTTTTTTTGCTCTGGCGTCGAGATCCGGTTTTGGAGCTACAATTTCCGACGCCGTTGCGCGTAGTTCTATTGTGTTTTGCAACTCAGTCTCTGCAGATCGCATTGTAATGGCTGCGTCAAGGTTGCTTCGTGCTGCGGCTGCATTCGTAATACTATTGTCTTTTGCAGCTGGATCTCGTAAATCGTATTGGAGTGGCTGCATGAAGGCTGCGACAGTGATTTCTCAGCAGATTTTCTCCATTTTGGCGCTAGTGATTTTCCTTCTAAAAATCCTTTTAAAAAGTGCTTCAAAATCGTCTTTTTTTCGCTCTGGCGTCGAGATCCGGTTTTGGAGCTACAATTTCCGACGCCGTTGCGCGTAGTTCTATTGTGTTTTGCAACTCAGTCTCTGCAGATCCTATTGCAATGGCTGCGTCAAAGTGCTGTGGCTGCATTTGTAATACTATTGTCTTTTGCAGCTGGATCTCGGAAATCGTCTTGGAGTGGCTGCATGAAGGCTACGAAATAAATTTGTTAGCAGATTTTCTCCATTTTGGCACTAGTGTTGTTTTTGTTGCACGTAGGTTTAGAGCAGTGTGAAGTGTGGGGCGTAAAGAGTGCAGTGTGAAGTGTGAAGTGTGAAGGAATCAGTGGGAAGTGAGGAGTGTGAAGTGTGAAGTGTGGAGTGTGAAGTTTAAGTTTGGAGTGCGAAGCGCGCAGTGTGAAGTGTGAAGTGTGAAGTGTGAGGTTTGGAGTGTGAAGGAAGCAGTGGGAAGTGAGAAGTGCGAAGTGTGAAGTGTGAAGTGTGGAGTGTGAAGTTTCAAGTTTGGAGTGCGAAAAGTGCAGTGTGAAGTGTGGAGTGTGGAGTGCGAAGACTTTGCTTCGTCTCTCGCTGAAAAAATCAAACGGTTGTCGAGGGAAGGACACGGTCGGGACAGGTTGTCTTTGAACTATAGGTCATTTATGTTTGGGAAACTTCCGCCGCCGGCTTGCCCGGGTCTATGTGATAAATTACGATGTTTTCCTACAAACAGCTATACACTTTGCGGTGCTTGAGATCGCACCTGCTGATGGTGTTTGCTCCACCTTCTGCTTCACTCCACCCTTGTTTCTTCGCCATACCACCAGTTTGAGTCTGGTTAGCTCCACCATTTCCATTTTTCTGGCTACCACTGGCTACCACCATTTTTATCATTTTTGGTTGGATTATGCACCACGGTTGCTCGTTTTTTATGGTTTTTTTCCCCATTGGCTCCACCAGAAAGCCATGGTATCACCCGTCATGGTGAAGTCACCAACTCTGCCGAGCTTTGTGCCTCCTGATCTGCTTCGCTGAGGTCTTCCAGTCTCGTCACCTGGTGATATGTCGAGGCTGAAGGGTCATTTCTTCTTGAAAGATGACACCACTCGTTGAAAAGATAGAGTTCAGTGATTTACCACTGTTTCTAAGGATTGGATTTCACTTTTCTGCATCTTTTTGGTCATCGAAATAAGGAATAATGGGTGGAAATTCTGGATGAACTGTGGCAATTTGATCATGGGGAGCCAACCATGCCAAAATCAGAAGTTACCCACCCAAGAGTAAAGGTGAATCTTAACAAGTTACTGTATTGTTGGCTGACTGACTGAGGGGTGGTTGGTTAAATAAGGAAACATGTGGGGAATCATGGGTTCATTTCAAGTTTAGGCCTTAATCATGGTTTGATGATAAAATTAAAAAACAAACAAATTAAGCATAGAATGAATAAATGAAAACTGTTGGTATGCATAATATATTAGAATGATCGATGGGGATTATTAGAATGCGCGGCAACCAAAATTCAACTGGTACAACAGCCGGAGATCCCATCCATTGATGCTTCGAACGACTCATTCATGAAGTGATACTTGGAATGAACACATGTTGTTTGATAGAAATTAGATACAGGATGTAACATCCTAACCGGTCCTAACCTCTAACTCATTCTGAATGACTATAATGAATAAATTTGGGGGGATAGGATCAACGGCTTGTCACTGAAAAAATGGGCTTTCTGACTTGTTTTTGTTCAATCCCCTTTCCCCGTACGATGGACAGTTCGAGGCTATTTGGCAGTTAGCAGCTACCAGAAAGTGTTTACATAAGAGTCGATGATAAGTAGGAGCGCTGGAGGCGCTGCAGGCGCTGGAGGCGCTGAAGGCGCTGAAGGCGCTGAGGGCGCTGAGGGCGCTGAGGGCGTTGAAACCGCTGAGGGCGCTGGAGGCGCTGAAGGCGCTGAGGGCGCTGAAGGCGCTGAAGGCGCTGAGGGCGCTGAGGGCGCTGAGAGCGCTGAGGGCGTTGAGGCGCTGAGGGCGCTGAAGGCGCTGAGGGCGCTGAAGGCGCTGAGGGCGCTGAAGGCGCTGAGGGTGCTGAGGGCGCTGAGGGCGCTGAGGGCGCTGAAGGTGCTGAGGGCGCTAAAGGCGCTGGAGGCGCTGAGGGCGCTCAAGGCCCTGAGGGCGCTGAGGGCGCTGAAGGCGCTGAAGGCACTGAGGGCGCTGAAGGGGCTGAAGGCCCTGAGGGCGTTGAGGGCGCTGAGGGCGCTGAAGGCGCTGAGGGCGCTGGAGGCGCTGAGGGCGCTGAAGGCGCTGAAGGCGCTGAAGGCGCTGAGGGCGCTGAAGGCGCTGAAGGCGCTGAGGGCGCTGAGGGCGGTGAAGGCGCTGAGGGCGCTGAGGGCGTTGAGGGCGCTGAGGGCGTTGAGGCGCTGAGGGCGCTGAAGGCGCTGAGGGCGCTGAGGGCGCTGAGGGCGCGGAGGGCGCTGAGGGCGCTGAAGGCGCTGAAGGCGCTAAGGGCGCTGGAGGCGCTGAGGGCGCTGAAGGCGCTGAGGGCGCTGAAGGCGCTGAGGGCGCTGAAGGCGCTGAGGGCGCTGAAGGCGCTGAAGGCGCTGAGGGCACTGGAGGCGCTGAGGGCGCTGAGGGCGCTGAGGGCGCTGGAGGCGCTGAGGGCGCTCAAGGCCCTGAGGGCGCTGAGGGCGCTGAAGGCGCTAAGGGCGCTGAGGGCGCTGAGGGCGCTGAGGGCGCTGGAGGCGCTGGAGGCGTGGAGGCGTTGAGGGCGCTGAGGCTGGCGCTGGAGGCGCTGAGGCTGGCGCTGGAGGCGCTGGAGGCGCAGAAGGCGCTGAGGTCGCTGAGGTCGCTGGAGGCTAAAGAAGGCGCTGAAGGCGCTGAGGGCGCTGAGGGCGCTGAGGGCGCTGAGGGCGCGGAGGGCGCTGAGGGCGCGGAGGGCGCTGAGGGCGCTGAGGGCGCTGAAGGCGCTGAGGGCGCTGAGGGCGCTGAGGGCGCTGAAGGCGCTGAGGGCGCTGAGGGCGCTGAAGGCGCTGAGGGCGCTGAAGGCGCTGAGGGCGCTGAGGGCGCTGAGGGCGCTGGAGGCATGGAGGTGCTGGAGGCGCTGGAGGCGTTCGAGAAATTCTTTATCAAGCCGATCTGCTTGATTATCTTTCTCATATTGCGTTTCTTGGCCTTCGCTACTGATGTTGTGCTTCTTGATTTTCTTGATGTTCGAAGTTGTTATGCCATATGCTCTTTGGTCTTGTCTTTCTGATGATACGTTGCTTGATCTTCTCTGCCTCATGCTACGCTGCTTGACCTTCCCTGCCTCATGATGCTTGATGTCTTCTTCACCGCGTTATTCTTTTTGATCTTGTCTTTGTGTTTTTTACGCTGCTTGATCTTCTCTACATCAAGCCACACTGCTTGCCTTTAACAAAGCCATGTTTTGCTGCTTGGTCTTCTCTGTATCATGTTAGGCTACCGGATCTTGTCTTTATGATGCTAGGCTGCTTGATCTTATCTACTTCATGCTGCGCTGCTTCACCCTGCCTACCTCATGTCAAACTGCTTGATGTCGTGTACATCAGGTTATGAAATTTGATCTGTTCTTCATGATGCTAGGCTGCTTGGTCTTCTCTATGTCCTGTTACGCTGCTGGGCCTTCCCACCTCATGTCAGGCTGCTTGATGTCCCCTAAATCGTGTTATGCTTTTTATTTTTGTTTCACGCTGCACGCTGCTGCATTGTTTGATCTTATCCTCCTCATGCTACGCTGCTTCACCACCCGCCCTACCTCCTGTTGCTTGGTGTTTTCGACATCAGATCTTTGATTTTGATAGTTTGATCTTGCATTGGCGATGCTACACTGCTCGGCCTTGACTACCTCATGTTGCGCTGCCTGATGTCCCCTACATCAGGTTGTGCTTTTTGATCTGGTCTGCATGGTGCTAGGCTGCTTGATCTTCTCCGCCTCATGCTGCCGCTTGATCTCCCCTGCCTATCCCTGCGTCATGTTAAGCTGCTTGATCTTCTCTGAATGATGTTATGCTACTCGATCTGGTCTTCATAACGCCACACTGCTTGATTGTCTCTACCTCATGCTACGCTGCTGAACCTTCCCTACCGCATGTTATGTTTCTTGGTGTTCCCTGTGCCATGTTATGCTGTTTGATCTTGCCATCAAGACGGTACGCTGCTTGATCTTTTATACCTCATGCTACGTTCTTGACCTTCCTTTGTTATGTTGCTTGTGTTCTCTATATAATCTCTATATATATTGTTGAGTTTTTTGTCTGGTCTTCATGCTGCTACGCTGCTTGACCTTCTCTACCTCTTGTTAGGCTTCTTGGGCTTCCCTACCTCATGTGATGCTGCTTAATGTGCTCTGTATCATACTGTGCTATTCGGTCTTGCCCTCACGATGCTACGCTGCATGATTCTCTACGTCAAACTACACTGCTTGACCTTCCCTAACTGATGTTATGCTGCTTAATGTTGTTACATCAGATCGTGTTACGCTGTTTGGTCTTGTCTTCATGATGCTACGCTGCTTGGTCTTCTCTACATCATGCCTTGCTACACAGCGAATGAATTTCATCAGCAAAGGTTTTAGCACCCAAAACTATTCTGGGAGCACAAGTTTTTCGTGTTTGGCATCAGCAGCGTCACTAGTTGCCATTTTCTGGTTTCAGCTAGAAAAAAGCGCTGGCGAGGTGAGGCGCCCAAAATTGCAGATTCTGTGACGGAACTGATGGTCAAAAGACAACAACTCACTTTCATCAAGCAGAAGCCAACTCACTTTCATATATTTTTACCTCCCTGCCAAAGCGTGCACAAGCGTTCTTGGAATGAAGAGACGGGCACGCCCTCAAACCTTTCGCTGTCAAGCAAACGCCGCGCAGCACCTGGTAAGTCTTGAAAAAAACTCTATCCGCCAAATAAACGCTAAGCGTCCATAGCACCCCCTTTCCCCCCTTTTTTAAGGCACCCCTGGAGCACCCTGTAGGATATCCCCACCTTCCGCGGTTCGAAGTAAGTGCCCCGCAGCAGACCAGCATAGCTGCGGCGCACCACCATGGCTGCAGTGGTGAGAAAAAGCAGCTGTTAATGGCAGCAAAATGACTTATAAATCTTATAAGGCACTGGTAAGTCTAAGATTATACCAGGGTTAAGACATATCATTGAATATCTTGGAAACCGAGGGGAGGATTTTCCAACTGCGTGAGGTTTATTTCCTAGCCCCCACCACACGAAAAAGGAGCAAGTAAATGGGCCAAAGCCTAATGATCCTGACGCTTGTGATGCCATGGCTGCACATACTCCCCTTGGGCCACCCGTCAGACCAGCGGACGGTGCGGAGGGTGCGGATGCAAGGGAGTTGAGCTCGATGGTTTTTCACTTGAAACTATGGATCCCCAAGCCAGCCATTCTAGCTGAGTGGAAGCTACATCCTCAACACACAATCTGGAATCCCAAACGATGGGGTTCTGGCAGATGATTTTCCACTTCGATTCCCAGAGGTTTTCAGCTGATGAAGTCAATTCCATAACGTGGACGGGGGCAAGCTGGGGCTGAGTTGAAGCCACCTGAAAAGAGTGTTCTTTCCACATGTGTGAGGCCATCATTCCAGAAGGTTTCCTCTCATGATTCCCCCATGTCTCCGGTTGAATAAAATCAAAGTGGCCAAGCAGCCAACCCATCTGAGGGTACCTCTGACACCTAACATCAACTTTGGTGCCCGCAAAATTTCAAAAACTCAGAAAAAAAAACTAGAAAACCAGTCAAAATCACCTAACCAGAACCATCCCAACTCCCCCAACTCCCCCAACTCCCCCAACATTCCACCAAGGGACGCCAGGAAGTCCGTCATCTCCTTATCTGGGAAATAGGGCGCCTCATGTACCGCCGCCTCGGGCACCGCCACCTTCAACGAGCCGAGGTGTCCATGGAGATGGGTCGTTGGTTACCTATGAAATTACCATAACTTGGGGAATATATAAACATTTTGCCATTTCAGGAACCTAAATTGGAGGTACCTAATATATGTATATATATGATATGATGTGATATGATGTGATATGATATGATATGTATGTATGTATAATGGTCTATTTTTTAGGGCTATGGAAGGGATATATTCCCCAAATATGGCTTTCTATAGTACAGTACCTCCAGTTTAGGTACCTGAAATGGCCATTGAAACATCCACAACTCGACCAGCTATGACTCAGGGTGCCAGGCTTTGGACTGGATGATGCTGAGTGGATGATAGTTTTTAGATCCACTCAGAAAATCAAAGGTGCCCTACACTGTTCTAGATGAAAATTGTAATCATTGAATATATACCCTCTGGTTATTTAACATAGCCACGGAAAATCACCATTTTTAATAGGCAAATCATCTATAAATGGGCCATTTTCCATGGCTATGTCAAATAACCAGAGGGTGTATATATATATACGTATATATCTGTGTATGTATATGTATATATATATCTCTCTCTCTCTCTGAAGTATGGATGACTTGCAGTATCAAGAAGTATCGCTATGTATTGATACTGGGTTTTTTGACGAGGATATATCATGATAAGGCATCACTCAAGTTGTCTAAATCCTGTTGGATTCCTGAGTCCAATATGTCAATGGATTGCGGGCAAGTCTAAAGGGATGGTGTTCACCAAACATAGAGAAACATGTAGAGTTTTACCCTCTGGTAAACATACAAAAAACTATAGAAAATCACCATTTCTAATAGGTAAACTCAGGTAAACCATCTATAAATGGTACATCTTCAATAGCTATGTAACAAATTACCAGAGGTTTCCTCTGAATTTTCTCATCCACTGAACCGGATCCGCACCTTGTCCGCGTTGAACCTGGCCCGATGTGATGAGGTACTTGTCACGCCCCTGGCATGGAGAAAACTGGGGTGCCCGGTGAAATGATTGGTTTCCCCATCCATGACCCATTTACCCTACTAACATGGCCATGGAAAATGACCATAGAAATAGTTGATTTACCCATTAAAAATTGTGATCTTCCATAGTTATGTGACAGTTTACCAGAGGGTAAGGGCTGAGTTTTTTGGGGGGTCCTCAAAACAGCTTTAGAGCTGGTCAAATCATGTCTATGATCGGGATTGGAATCTGAAAATCACTGAAAAATATTCATCACACCTCAAATCAGTGGGATTTTCAGGTCAAATGGAGCTACTGTAGCATATTTGTGGCAATATATTTTCTGGGATTATTCCCCTACATAGCCCTTATAATCCCTGAAATTTAGGCCTTATATATGGTAGGTACCTCCAATGAATCGGTACTGTAGCATATTTTTGGCAGGATCCATTTTAATGGAGGTACGTTAGTATCATTGATTCATATTTTTGGCAGGATCCATTTTAATGGAGCTACGTTAGTATCATTGATTCATATTTTTGGCCATAGATGTTCTGGGTACCGGGTACCATATATTTTCTATATGGGTATGGATCAATACCTATTAATACCATTTTTAGGGGGATGAACATCCATTTACCAGCAATTTTGAATGTTCACCAGGGGTACAATTGATTCATATAGATCACCCTTGGGCGCCGACGTCTGAGAGAAGATGGACGTCACTGGACCCCGGGCATCACCACCTGGTCGCGACGAAAAATGGAAGAAAATGCTGGAAAATGGCCCAGTCGAAATAGTGGATTTACCCATTAAACATGGTGATTTTCCGTAGTAAATGAGAGTTAACCCTGGTTAATTATACTGTTCATGGTGGTTAATATATGGTTATTATATGGTTAATGATGGTTAATAACTATCTGGTTGGTGGTATATGCAAACCCCTCTGAAGAATATATAAGTTCGTCAGTTGGGATGATGACATTCCCAATATATGGAAAGTCAAAAAATTCATGTTCCAAACCACCAACCAGACACTGATTGAAGACTTAGAACTCCCTCTGGCTGTGTCATGCCCATGTGTCCATGTGGAGCTGGACAGGCTTCAAGATCCAATCCATTCCAACGGGAACTCCTAGTCCTAAAAATACCATGATATACCGCTTATAAAATCGGACATGGTCTCCCCACCATCATTGGCATGAGGAATGCCAAAAATACAAAAAAAAACTGGGTATATTTGCCCTCTGGTAATTTAACACGTTCGTTTAATAGCTGAATATACGTAAATCATCGAACTAAACGGGCCATGGCTTCGAGTTCGCAAACTGTTGAATAACCAGAGGGCATGATGAATGTTACATATATATATATATATCCGTGCGTGTGTGTGTGTGCGTGTGTATTAATATTCAAACTAGAGTAGCTAGAGAATTGTTATCATTCTTGATATTATGTCGTTCCCTCTGGTAAACACACATAGCCATGGAGAAATATTGATTTTCCGGTTCGCTAGGTAATTCCCATGAATATCTTGGTTGAATCTCCTATTAACCACCACAGGACCTATAAAATCCCATTAAAACCACTAAAGTAGAAATCCGAATCCTTTCTATTGGGTGACATCCTTATTAAATCACCCTTAAATCCCGTTAAAATCACCACATGAATCACTATCACTTGGATTCTTCGACGAGGCGCGGAATCGACCCATAAGCCGATCGAGAAAGGCGGGACTCTGCAACTCCCGTGGCAGAGGCGTGGACATATCCTGGCTTTCTAGGGTTTTTCATGGTTTTCCACTGGGGGAACCCCACATCGATGTTAGAAGTCGTACCCACATGGGGAAAAAAAAATAACTCATTATATGGGGAATTCCTATAGGATATGGGTACCCCCAAAGTCATTAGACCAGTTTAGTATGGGAACATATTGGAATCTATGGTTTTGATTAGTATTGGGGATCCCACTTTTTAGGAACCTCCATATGTGGGACAACGAAACAACTTTTGAGGAGTTTGAAAGCTTGGGAAAGTGGTGAATCGGAAAAAATTCTGCAGGTCCAATAGCTAAACAACAATGGAGTAAATCGTCAATATGAAGGGAATAGGCTTGATAACCCGGAGATGATACCTGGATGAAAGAGCCAAGTTCACCTTGCGCGTCAAAGATGGTCACACATCATCCCCATTCTTCGGAGTGGAAGACTCCTTTTTGGATGTTAAAAACCCTCAATAATCATCCCAAAAGGTTTGGATTTCTCGGATGTAATGGTGTAAAATACATTTAAAAATCAAGTAATCTTGGGTTTGGTCCAGCGCACAGGATTTGAATGGATTTTATGGAAACAACATGCCGGGCTGGTCACGCCCAATATTTTCCTGATGCCCTTTTGTTCAAAGGATTCCATCCCAAGTGGTAGCATAGCTGGGTTATACCATGGAATAGCAAGATTCATAATAAACATAAACATATGGGCATATCAGCAATTATTTGTACACTGTTTATGTGGTAAACCCATGCCATAAACCATCCCCAAGTCACCATTTTCTATGGCTGCTATACTTCAACCATCCCCAGTATCTCTCTCTCTCTCTCGTTGTTGATGGCGGTTTCGTGATCCGAGAAACCCAACATCCAAAGTCAGTGTCGCTTTCGGCTTGGGCTGCATCATTTGTTCATTGCTCTTGTAAGAAATCACTGTAGTTTTTTTCCTGGTGAAATCCCTGTGTGTTGCTGAACATAGCTACCGAAAATCCTGTTTTTAATGGTGGAAAACAGCGAACTAAATGGGCCATGGCTTCCATATGTATGTTAAATTACCGGCTGGTCTGTGTTGGCGAGATCAAAATCTCGCGGTTTGGAATTGCCATTTTTGTTGGCCAAATCACCATGCATGTTGCTTCTTGGTTGAGACCCATTCTCAGGAATCGTCCCGGGGGGGAGCCATGTGGCAAACCCAAACAATCACAATTTGAGGATGGTTCAAATCCCACCCATTTACTGGCAAGTCATTCACCCAGACATTTGGGTATCCCAACTGATATCCCGATAATAGCCCGCTATAGCAATATATCCCCAAAAACACAGTTATTCCAATAACTAACTCATGATAATTACCCTCCGGAAAATTAACATAGACCCTGAAAACCACCATTTTTGGTGGAAATTAATCTTCGAACCCCTATCTGGCAGGGTCTATGGAATATTACTGGAGGGTATATGCCGATTTCTATCGGGATACTGCATGATCACTTTCTATGCCAATAAATCACTCTACTACCCAATGTTCATACCCACAGAAATTATTGAAACCAAAACTACTTTACATTATTCCACTGATACTATGATTTAAAGATCCAACCATGTGAATATCCAATAATAACTATCAACTATTCCATAACTTTGCTATCCATTAATAATTATCCACTAATACTGGGAAGATCCAATCTCATTGTCCGTCCCCGCTGCGCGCGGACCTCATTGTCCGAGCCCGCACCCGTCAGGCGCGAGGGCAAGGGCCTCGGAGGCTGCGGCGATCAGCGGCTGGGAAAGATACGGGAAATCCAATGATGATTGGATCTTGATTGGTTAATTAATCATTGGATTTACTATATGGATTAACACCTGATGGGATCATTAATAGTTATTGGATTAACCAATTAATAGTTATTGTAACCACCTAATAATTGATAGTTAATTGGTTAACAATAGGTTTACATGGCTATACTATAACAATATTGATATATTTATTGGATCTAAAGGGGGAATCCAATTGATGGTTAATATCCAATCATAATGGATAATTGATTAACATAAGAATACACAATAATAGGTGTCCCATATAATATTAACCAATCATGTGGGATCTTAATGAGGATGATAATGGATAATTGATGGTTAATAATGGTTGTTCCCACAAAATCCATATATATATATATATATTATCTTAAGTTGTTTATATTGATGTTCTTGGATGATTAACCATTAACCATCATACTATGGTTCTCCAGTAATAATATGATGGTATTTTCATGGTGATTATATAATAGCTAATAGGTGTTAATAGCCGAAGGAAGTTTAGAAGTCAAACTTCCGACAATATGGACCGATGAAAAAGCGGAACTGGGAAGAGTCAGAGAAGAGAAGAGAAGAAGAAAGAAGATCAGAGAAGAAAAAAATCAGAAGACAGAATCATAGAATTGGATGATGGGAAAATTTACAGGAAAGCCCTATATTTGATGGTAAAAACCATGGTTTCCTGTAGATTTTCCCTTAAACCAATCCAATGACAGAAGATGCAGGTGCGCGAAAGGGCAGATGTTTCGTCCAGATTTTCTGTTTCGTCCAGCTGATTTCCAGGGTTGTTCGAGTCGAACGACCCAAAAAAACCCAACGGCTACATCAACATGGAAAATTATGATTCGGTTCATTTGATGATTTACCTTCATCAATGGATTGGTTTAAGGGAAAATCTGCAGGAAAGCCCCATATTTAATGGGAAAATCTATGGTTTCCTGTAATTTTTCCCTTAAACCAATCCAATCACTTCAATAAAGACTGCTTGGTGGTTGAGCCTATACCTACCCCTCTGAAAAATATGAGTTCGTCAGTTGAGTCAGTTGGGATGATGACATTCCCAATATATTATGGAAAATAAGTTCGTGTTCCAAACCACCAACCAGTAATTTGATATCACTGGAAATTATGAGAAATGGCCATTGACATACCAATAAAAATAACGTGAGTTGCAGTAACTTGCAGTACACTTCTTGAAAAAGATAAACACTCCCTCACCAACAAAAAAGAAACTTCTCTATATAATTTGATTTCCATTGGATTAGGGTACACCCCCCTGCTTTTTTGCCATCATTTGCCATCAAGGTTTCTCCTTCAACTGGCCACATGGCGCAACGGAAAAGCATCTTGACGCTGGGAGTTTTGGCCATGGAATCCCCGTAAGTAGCACTTTGTTTGTATTGTTCGAATATCTCCAACCACCATTGACCACTCCCGATGCTACTGCTATATACAGGACACCTTCCCAACCGCTTTCTGGGCCATGCCCACTATGTCACTATGGCTATGGATGGCTATGGCTATGACTGTCGACGTGATCGACAACTAAGTCATGGCCATTTGCGAAGATGGCCCACCAAAATGGGCAACACCGGCCCTTGACCAAAAATTTAAAAAGTTTGCATTTGTGTATGCAAACGATTGCAAAAGGGGACATTGAAGAGGCCCCATTTTTGCATTACTTTGAACCAAAGCAATGAAATCAGCAGCAACAATACAACAAATAAAACTGATAAGGGGATGCGTCAAAAAATATGTCAAAACCAATTGTACCATAAATTTGGGGAGCGTAACGCAAAACAAAAAATGCAAATCTGTTGCCTCCACAGCGTCCTACTCTGTCTAAAGATCAAAACCAAAAAAAAACGCCCGGGGGCAAATCACTGCCAGAGGCGTTCGGTCTCTACCTGCCTCTGATCCAGGCTGGTTGGTCGATGTCGATCCCCTGGAGGGACCAGCAAAACATGCAAAACAACTTTGAAAATACCCTCTGGTTATGTCAAAATAGCTATTGAAAATGGCCATTTATAGTGGATTTCCCCATGAAAAATGGTGATTTGCCATAGTTATGTGACAGTTTACCAGAGGGTAAATCAACCAACCAGTAAATTGTTGAATAGCACTGTCGGAATTGTCACATCCGCGACAGCACTCATGAATTTGATGCAAACACCTCGGGCGCAGTCAAGCCATGTCTCACTGCATGGCCTACAAAAACGAACAAAAACATCTGCTTGGTGGGCTCCATATTTGAAGCCACCAATCAGATCCGACCAAGTCCTCACTCCACACTTAGCCTCTGGTAATTTAGCCATGGAAAAGCAAAAAAACACCATTCATGGATATGTGTAGTATCTAGTTCGATGATTTACCTATTGAACATGGTGATTTTCCAGTTCGCAAACTCTTCGTTGCAGGCTAAATAAATCCCATATGGGAAGTCATGAAATTCATCATTTCTTGATGCTTAAACCAGAGGCTGTTTCTTCTACACGTTTGTCACCTGTACCTGGCTCGTGTCAACATGACGGTCCTTGTCGAGGCCCGGAATCGTCAGCTGCTGCTTGCAGGAGGGGCAAGTTGGAGATAAGGGCCCCGCGAGCCATTTGGAGATACAACTTCCTTTTTTGGATTTGCGAAGCCGCTGAAGGGAGACTGTGCAGAGACCCCGGGATTTTTGGAGCTCATGGGATTTCATGGGATATACTGACCTTTAAACATATTCTATATATTTGTTTTGATTGATTTATTTTTGTTTTATCATTATATATCTATTGATTCATCTGTTTACTTATATTCATGTATGATAGACCAACAATAACTATCTAGTTGGATTGAGTGGGATTGAATGGGATTTAATAACGTGGTAACCTGGGTTTTCTTACCCTCCGGTGTCATCAAACATGGCTGCCTAGGACATGCCCAAACTAGCCACGGAGGCTTACTTCGGGAGATCATCGAAACAAACCATGGAGCTGATTTTCCGGAGGGTGAGGAGGCCATGGCTTATTTCATGGAAAAATCCATCTATAAATGGATGATTTAGGGGTACCCCCATTGTTGGAACCCCCCAGATATTCCCAGTAGATTCTCCAGCTCTAAATCTTTTCCGATTGGATTTGAAAATACAAAGAAGAAATTCAGCAACCTCCAGGCTTCGATGGAAACGGTGGCCACAGGGAAGCCGAAGCACTTCTTGTTCCAGGTCATCTAGGCACACCGGACAGGTGTCAGGTGAGGAATCAGATTCTTCACCCATGTCCTGTTGGCTGGTTGTTAGCTGATAAAAAGGGGATCCAAAAAAAAATGATCCCAGAAGCGTCTCCAAAGCAAAATCTGCAGAAACCCTCTAAGGTAAATTGAAGGTAAATTCTGTGGTTTCGATTTCCCCATCAACTAATCCATTGAAGTGCTTTCTGAACGGTTCCTCCAATCTAATGGCAAGCCCAATGGCAAGCGCAAAGCCAAGCTGGCAAGTACCTACAACGAAAGTACAGTACCAAGGACCCAAACGCCATGCAAATGGCCTGTCATATTTAGATTTTTTTTGGTATGTAAGCATTTAACACCATTTAACCACCTTAAATTATGGGACTTGCATTCTACTGAGTCAGTTGGTATTTCCAACCCTCCAATCAGTTGGAGTGTACGTTCTTCTGGGCGTTCATCCACTTCTCGCTGGTCCCCATGGATGATTTCTGGTCGCTTCACCCGCTGAGCTTCACGGCAGCTCCTTGAGGGCGGCGTCGACTTTCCCCAGGCGCTCCCGGAACTTCTCCTTGAATTGCCAATGCCGACGTACCAGCTTTGCCTCCTGGTTTGTGCCCCAGTTTGGAATCGCTAAGTTGGTGAACATAACTCCAATAACTATTGTTTATGGGGGGTAGAACTATATATAGTTAATGGGATTATAAAGCAACTTGTAACTTGCAGGGTACCACCCTGTGGGTATTTGCCCAGGCGAAAAGAAACGCTTGATTGTTCTGAAAAAGGAGGAAGCGTCTGTGCGAACTAGAGTTTTGGCCTCAACTATGATGTGGGGAAACTCAATTTGTAGCTCCTTGCCTCCCCAAGTTTGGGGGAAGACGGATGCCCACAGCTCCTTAGCTCTCTCCCACCGGATAGTTAAATCTTCGAACAAACCATCCCAATGAATTCCAATTCATATACTTGTGGTAACTATAGTATGCTATAGTTATCCCAATGATTGGGATAAGGATATAGACAATCACATAGTTACTATTAGAACTATAACCATATAGTGAAGTTATATAACGGGTCCGGAATTGTTTTGGGAATTATTGTTTCCCGTTTTGGATTTTTGTTTGGATCTGCTGTTCTGTCCGTTTTCCTTGCAATTTGCAGCATTTTGGAGCTGGAAGCTGCCATTTCAACGGAATTACAACATTTTGGAATTCGAACCGTTCATTTTCCATGGAATTTGCAACATTTTGGTGCTCAAACTTTTCATGTTGGATGGTATTTTGCAATGAAGGTTCATTTAAGGTGTGTTTCGGTTTGTGGTAGGGTTTATTTAGGATTGGTTCAGGGTTGGTTTGGTTTTTTAATGGTTTGTTATTTTTACGGGGGGTTGGTTTGGGGCTTATTTTGGGTTGGTTTCGGATCTATGTCGAGCTGGTTTAGGGTTGGTTTAGGGTTTCTTTAGGCGTGGTTTTAGATTGATGTAGGATCTATTTAAAGTGTGCTTTGGTTTAGATAGGGTTGGTTCGGGGTTTATTTAGGCTTGGTTTAAAATGTATTTGGGGTGGGTTTAGGATCTATTCAGGGCTGCTTTACGGTTTATACAGGGTAAGTTTCAGATTTGGGGTTTGTTTAGGGGTTCCGTAGGGTTGCTTTTGCTTTTTTTTGTTAGTTATGTTAGTTTGGGTTTGATTATTTGAAGTAAGTCTCACATTTTAAGTTTTTTTTGGGGGTTTACTTAGAGTTGCTTTATTTTCTGGGGGGTGGTTTGCGGTTGATTTAAAGTTAGTTTAGGGCGTATTTATAGTTTACGTCTTGGGGTCTGTTTGACGTGAGAAGCAACAAAGCAAGAAAAAGCAGAGAAGCAGAAAGGCAGAGAAGCAAAGAAGAAGGGAAAAGAAGAAAAGCAAAAAGCAAAGAAGCAGAGAAGCATAACAGTGGAGAAGCAGAGAAGCAAAGTAGCATAAAAGCAGCAGGTAAAAGCAGAAAAGCAGAAAAGCAATCAAGTAGGGAAACATATTTTTTTAAAAAGAAAGGAAAAAACGAATTCCCCGAAAAACATAGCCCTCCAAACTTTTATAACTCTAGTGTATGATATAGTGACCGCAATGTTAGTCATCCTTCGTCCCTGAAAATCTGCGCTTCAAAACTGGCCCCATTTTTGCCAGGTATTTTCCAGGTACCGATCCACTGGGGCGACGTTAGTAGCAGCAAAAAAACACAGAAGTGGGAAAAAATATAAATACCCTCTGGTGAACTAACATAGCAATGGAAAATCACCATTTTTAATGGTAAAATCCACTATAAATGGCCATTTTCCATTGCTATGTTAGTTTACCAGAGGGTAAATGGTTTTAAATGGTTGATAATAGGTTAATAATAGGTTGATAATAGGTTAATAATAGGTTAATAATGATGGATATACCCTCTGGATCCTCTGGTAATGACTAACAGTTTGCTATTGAAAATGGCCATAGAAATAGTTGATTTACCCATTAATAGCATGGTGATTTTCCATAGTTTTTTGTATGTTTACCAGAGTCCAGAGGGTATCCCTTCAAAACTAGCCCGCGAAAATAGGCCCCCCAACATCTGGTAGGAACCTCCCATGACTCGGTTCCTGTTGCCAAGGACCCTGTCCTGACGGGTCAATCTCAAAGAGACCTCCATCTTCAAGGATGTTGCGTAACGGAGTTCGTCCAACCTGAGCGGCCCCCGGTTGCCAAGTCGACACCGCTGTTTTTTTTTGGGGGGGGATGGTGATTTTATGGACCTGAAAATAGCTGGTAAGACACCTGGTGTTGAGATAGTTATGGTGGCTTTATCCAGGCTTTTTATAGCTTTATCCATCCCATGGCCCCCCATGGCCCCCCTCCAGGCCCCCCAAAAAATCGATCAAATCCAAGGATCTTCTCCTGGATAGTGCTGTGACCATTGATGCTGACAATGGCCTGAGAAGAATTCACCTGATCTTCGAGACTTGTCCTGGCTTTGAGGCATGTCCCGAGGTGAGTTTGCAATGTCATGTTCATCACCCATGTTGATTGATGGTTGGAACCCCACCCATACAATGTGTACATTTAAGGGGATGGTGGATCCTATTGCTTTACCGAGATTAGATGTCCCCCTATCTGGTGGATCTCCCATTGGAAGCCAAAAAGATGCGCTTAATCACTTGATCTAGGGGAAAAATCACAGGAACATCTCATTAATTACTTGCGTGGGGTTCCCGTAAAGTTCCCCTTCAAAACCCAGTGGCCGACTAAGGTGGTAAACCCAATGAACCCATTGCTAGGGGCATACCCAATTTCATAAACCCAAAGTGATGCTTTATTTTTGGGTTTACATGGTTTACCACATCATAGTAGTCCCACAAAAGATGCCGAAAAGTGTGCAACCAGGTTGGTTCGATGATGTTGCCTCCATGTCCAGGTTTCCAGACCATCTTTAGATACCCTTCGGTAATGAAACGTAGCAATGGAACGTGTTTCAGTTATAGGTTATTTTCCAAGAAAACATGTTGATTTTTTTCCATTGCCACGTTTGATTCCCGGAGGGTACATCGGGGGTTGTACCACCTTAAGCAAAGCCAGGTGGTCCAGTTCCACTTGGCTATGGCCCCCGTGTCGACGACCCGCATGATCACCAGCCCATCTGCTTGATCGGAATGCAAGGTCTGTAGGCCCCAAGGCTCATCGCTGCTTTCACGTTTCCTGAGCTTCGTCCAGCTGATTGGTGCTACGGTGCTACTGACTTGGGGTCAGAATCTATCAAAAAAAAACCAGGATTGATGCAAATCAACACAGCTGTGGAGAATCAGCACATAATGGATCATAATGGTAGTGTCGCAAGATTAAAAATATTTTGCCGATGCTTGATACCTCGGGTTGCTCATCGCTGCGGAGATTGGGTTTTCAGACTAATGCCCAGGGGCTAAAAATCCATATTTTGACCATTTGATCATGGCACATGAGCGCACATGTGGTTGGTAGCTCCTTTTTCTCACCATTCAACAGGGAACACGGGAATACGGATACCCATGGGCTCCCAACTATTCCCTCCTGACCCCTGGATGGAGAAAAATCCCCAGCTTTTGGGATGGGCAAAGAATATTGTGAGGTAATCAACCATGGCAAACGAAAATCCTCAAAAAATGGAGGTGTTCGTGGAAACTCAACTATCAACGGGTGTTTGTTCGTCCATTGCCATGTTTGACCACTGGAGGGTAGTCGGGTAGTCCCATTGCCCCCAAAAAAAAATAGGGGAAAAAAAACGCAGGATACCAATTGCCACTGGAGGGTACTCCCATCCCACTCCGCAGGGTGCCAAAAAAAAATGTGAATGAAACCAGCGATGAGTTTCACATGGACCCAAAATCCACCGCACGGCTGAACGCGTTGGTTGAAGAAACCCAGGCATGACATCTGTTCACACAGCGGCAAGCGAGTGAGCTTGAGACACAAAAGCTTTCAAGAGATCGGACCATGGGGGTTCACCACGGAAAATATCATGGGGATTTGATCATGAAGTGGATTTATAATCGAGAATCCAAATCCAGTTTGTCCGAAAATGAGGGATTCATTGGATAGAAGAAATCTTACAGCTGAAGACAGCTGGTTGGTTGCGCCGCAGATCGACCGGCAGCCCAAACCACAAGCAACACTGGGACAGCATGCCATTTTCAGGATATTTGAACTTAGCCCCTGGTAATTTAACATATAGCTATTGAAAAAGGCCCGTTTGTAGTTGATTTACCTATTAAAGATGGTGATTTTCCATAGTTTTTTGTATGTTTACCAGAGGATATGACTTGGCCCCAACAATAGACACAGCTGGACGTGTGGGCTCACTGGTCCTCAATCTTCTCCCAAGATGTCGCAAAGACGGCTCCAAAAATGTTGACCGGGTCACTGCTGATGATTTTATCAAACATTACCCTCCAATTTCACATGGCCCTTGAAAATTGCCATTTACAGTGAATTTACTTACCCTCTGGTAAACTAACATAGCTATTGAAAATGGTCATTTATAGTTGATTTACCCATTGAAAATGGTGATTTTCCATAGTTGTGTAACAGTTTACCATGGGGTATTAAACAACATCAGCCATGATTAGCTGGCAATTTGCAGAGGGTCGACATCCCATTCTTTTGGACCGACAATCAAAAGCATGTCAAACCACCACCAGCTGGCTATGGGGGTCCCCAAAGTTGCAATTGATATACCTTCTAACTGGGAAAATGATGAGTAACCAATGGCTTTTAGGTGTTTCCCCTAGGTTTTCGGACAAAAACCCCATGTGTGTTGTCCACCTCTGTTGAAGTCGGGCTCATTGGCATCCCCCCGGGTGTCCCATGCGCCGCGGTGTAGCGAGAGGACATGAGATCCGCCGGGCGCGAGGCCTAGGATTCACTGCGGGCGCAAAGTAGACACTTTGCGGCGATGAGAACGATCATTACCCTCTGGTAAATTAACAAAAAGCTATTGAAAATGGCCATTTATAGTGGATTTACCCATTAAAACCAGTGATTTTCCATAGTTACGTTAAATTACCAGAGGGTACCCTCTGGTAAATTAACATAGACCCTGCCAGATAGGGGTTGGAAGATTAGTTTCTACTAAAAATGGCTTCTTTTCAGGGTCTAGGTGAATTTACCAGAGGGTAATGACAATAATGATCACGCAATCATTATAGATAATAGTGTAGGATAATGATGAATGGTGTATCATTGTTATAATTAATCCCGATAATATCATTGTAGGATAATAACGATAATGATGATAATGGTGTAATAATTAATGGCAATAATGAAAGCAATAATGATAATACTAATTATGCGACTAATAATGATTATATATATAATATATATAACAATGCTAATGAATAAAAATTGAGTTGTGCCCACAAAGTTTTGGATTGATTCCAAGTAAACTTCGCACAAAGCCATCTGGTAATTGAACATAGCTGTGGAAAATCACCATTCTTCATAGGTAAATCAACGAACTAAATGGCCATGGCTTCCAAACTTAAATTACCAGAAGGTAACGACTGACAATTATACAATAATCAACCATGAAGTGACTGGTGGTGTAGCCACCGCACCAACATGCTGGTCATGGATAGGGTGACCAGAAACATGGCATTCTCAGGGAAACAATGGGGTTCGCTCATCCAGTAGAAGGTGCAAGGTCGCGACATTTGAAATCGGTTTCTTCCAAAAAAGAAGCACAAACCAATAATCGCAGAAGATTCACAGCAGTTCTTCACAGTGATTCCTTCTATATCATTGATGTTGCTGTTTGTGAGGTCATGATGCGTCGTTCTTATCGTTTCTCAGGAAACAAGTTCACCTCTTTTGATGTGTTCAAATCCTTCTGGTAGCTGCACATGGCAGCGGAAACCCAAAATGGTAATCCAAACCCAGACGACATGTATATAATATGTCCAAAATCTGGTTTGGAAAATAAAAATATAAAGATGATCATTTCACCTTCCAAATCCTCAAGAGAGTTCCAACAGTAAACTCACATAGACTCATGCTTCAACATCCATCTTTCAGCAGTGTTCCGTGTGTTTTTTGTTCCCATAATTGGATTGGTGTTTCCAGGAAATATTGAGAATAATTGGAGGGATCATCTGGTCATTGGAGGTATGGTTTTTTCAACCCCACTTCCATTCCCATGTAAAAGTAAGAATTCAATCAATTCAACCATCATCTCATTTCGAAAAATAGGACAAGAACATCTGAAACCACCAAAAGCCCCCATGTTTCACGGTGGTTTTTCCACAGATCCCTGGGAAAATCCTGGGAAAATCTGACCCAGACCCAGGCCACCCGGCGTCTTCTGCTGAGATCAAGGCCTACGATCTACAGGATGGGGGCCCCCGTTCGACAGCGTCAGTTGCCAAACATCACTGGCGGAAAAACTATGGTTGATGCTAGATATTTCACGAACAAACATAGTTTTACAACTGTTGGTTGGTGTTCGCTTACAACTGTTGGTTGTTGGTTTATAACTATATGGTTAATGTTGGTTATGTTCGCCAACTTACATCACAACGGGACGCACTGGATTGGTTCAACTTATGACTTAGCCCATTTTCAGACAAACCCACCATCGCGAAGAAGTGAGGAATAAGATAATGGATAGTGTAGTCACAGTGATACTGATAACAATAAGCTGCTACTATTGACAAAGATGAGAGTAGCAATAGTAGTATACTACTCTCCCTATGTCTATGATAATGATGACAAATACTGACAGTAGTAATGGTGGTGATAATGGCGACGATCATGGAAACCATCTCCCATCACCCCCTATTGATGGTGCCGATTGAGCCATTGTGGGGGTGTTACCACCGGAGGGGCACCCTTCAACTTCCATGATAGTAATAATGTATATGTCATGACAGTGATAATTACAAAGTACTAGAGTAACAGAATCAGTAACAGCAACAACAACAACAATATCATTATGATTATCATGTTTTTAATTATATGATCAAAATCCTGACAATCCTAGTTTCAAAGAAAAAGAAACTATAAGCATCATGGTAAACATGTGACACCATCAGTTAATCAAACTCAGCAGGCATTTCTGAGTGCAACGAATGGATTATTGGATGCGCTTCAGATGGACGCGGACGGAAACAAATTTTCTGACTTTGGAGCCGCAGAAAGCTAAGGGATCTTTAGTATGTGTGTGTGCCCTCTGCCTGTAACACACACACACATTTATATATATATACGTATATATATATGTATAATAACAAAAAATAATAATACATAATAAATAATAATAATAACAATAATAATAGTAATAATAATAATAAATAATAATAATTAATAATAATAATAATATATATAATGTAGATATGAATAAATACTATGCTAAAAGTCAACCCATGAACCTATGCCTTTGTCTGAAAATACTGTACCCATGAATCCACTGATTCATCATTTTCCAGTGTTCAAATGGTCATAAGTTGGGGCCAATCCTGTGTTCACACCTGAAATTCACACCTATTTCAATTGCTGAAATCTAAATCTGAGATGGGATTTCATCCATGGTAAATCCCCAGTTATTCCATGGCAACACCATCTTTGACGATGAACAATTTGATTAAAATACCAAGTTTTGATGATTGAAGCCATTGAAGTTGAATGAATCCTCTGTATGATGAAATCTGCTCGGTGGTTTCAACCCCTCTGAAAAATAAAAAATGTTCCAATATATGGGGAAAATATCATTATTCCATTATTCCCGAAATATGGAAAGTCATAAAATGCATGTTCCCAAACCACCAACCATAAATCATCTTAAAACTACCATCTCTCCATGGGTTTTCACCCTCCCGAGATGCCTCGGTCTCCAGGTCTCCGCGCCTTGTACCCTGCAAAGGCGACACCGCCGAAGACGGCGGTGGCGCGCTGTTCCAGCAACATGCCCAAGAAAAGCACCTGCTGAGATTTAAACATCAACATTTCATGGGATTTTCTAGGGGTGAATGGATATTTATGGATATGAATGGTCTGAAAAATTGTGATGAATAGGGATTTTGACATATTTTAACCATTGAACCTGGTGATTTACTGGGATTTACTGGGGCTCATGGGATTTCATGGGTTCCTTTCCGGGGTTTTTCATGGGACAATCAAACATTGGCGCCGATGTTGCCATCGAAAAACTATGGGGATTTCATGAGACAATGGTGGTTTAACCATGAAGAACTATGACTTGCACGGGATTTATATACCATCTGGTTATGACTAACATAGCCATGGAAAATCCACCCATTTTTGATAGGTAAACCGGTAAACCTTTATAAATGGGCCATTTCCCGTGGCTATGTTAGTCATAGCCAGAGGGTATATCGGAGGGTTATCATCCTCTGGGTCATCATCAAACTCAATGGGCCATGGCATCCATAGCCATCTAAAATCACCGGATATTCCCAAGACAAAATGGGGAATTGGCTTTCCCAAGCACATGATAGTGCCACGATTACCCCCGGGCTTGAGTAGGTACTCAAGCCTGGCAACGGCAAATCCCCTGTATGGAGGTTTTACTGGGAAATTGATCCATAAATGGGGAATTTTTCCAGTGCCAGGTTTGATTTCCGGAGGGTAACTGAGTAGTTAGTAAGCCGGCTATATCCCCAGTTTCTTCAAAAAAATATGGCGAATGCTCGCAACATCGAAGTAGAAGGGTTGAAAACCACTTGGCGCGGCGGAGTTTGGAAACTCTGTGGAACTGGATCGAATGAAACTCGATGGTGAATGATAGTGATAAATGATAAATGTGATAAATAATGTTAATCTTCATAGTGATAAATAATAGTACGAATGATAATGATAGTGAAAATAGTACTAAGACAAGGATGAGGAGGATGATGATGATGATGATATGATAATGATGATAGAAAATAAAACAATTTGGGACTAGGATTTCACAATTTAAAATGGAGTTAACAAGTGAGTGATCAACAAACACAATAAAGATCAATAAAGAAAGTCAAGCCAGTTACCATTCACCAAGCGTAACCCAGTGAAGACCAAGACCCACCAACGGATCTGAGAACCCAGGCGTACAAGCAAACCTCAGGGCACTCTCCGGGTTTTCTGTTACACCCCCTAATGTTAACATGGAACCCCAACAATGGGGGTTTGGAAGATCATTTTCCTATTGAATTGAATGGCCATTTGGTCCCATCTTAAATTGAAAGGGTGTAGCATCGAATCATCGTTGAATTTTACGCATCTGAATGCCCATCAAGTGTAGATGATTTAATTGTTTATTTAAAAAACTTAAAATGGTTTTACAACGATGACTTGGTGTACCTCTGGTCAAAATGATACACTCGTTTTCTCAAGATGTTTGGGAGATTTATGACCATCTTGGTTACATATGGGATTGTTGGTTGTATTATGAATGTCAACCCAGGATTAATAAACACACGTTGATTATATAATTGATGCGGGGTCTTATTCCCAAAAAAAATGTTTTTTTCCGGCCATGACACCCGAAAAACAACTCAGGGGATCCTGGAATCCATGGGATTCTGATCCGGTCAATGAGGTTTGCTCCGATCACCCACTGGGATGACATCGTCACTATTAAGCCATATGGGTATGGGTCAAAATTAGGTACCCCAAAATTATGGATGGTGAATACTAAACTAGACATTCACATCTGTGGTCCCCTAGGTCTTCCATTTTGACCCACATCCATATTAAGCCATCATATCCATCCCCCCAGTGGTGCATGGCACACCACTGCGGTGTTCACCTGAGATGCCGCGCCAGCAGCTCGTGCGTGGTCCAGCTATAGGCCACGTAGGGAGCGGTGCAGTAGGAGATCATCACGAAGCCTCGGCGGCCGACATGGAAGACGATGCGTCTGCCGATGGATTTTTTTTAAAAAAAATCGGAAGAATTTGGGATGGGAAGATATATGATGTATCTGAAAAATGAAATGCATCTGAAATATGAATGACTCTACATATATGTAAAGTATATATAGGGGAGAAACTATTTCGGGGCGCAATATCTTCAAGCATTGATTGATGAGTTTCAAACACATAATGGTAGTTCTGCAGCAAGACAGTATGCCCGTGAGGGAAAACCAGCATGAACTGGAATGAAATTTGCCGTTGACTATTATAACCCAACAGTGGTAATGTGGTAAGTCCATGCCATAAACCGTCCCATTAACCAACCACGCCCGGGGGTCATTTTACCCCATCCCAAACAGGAGCATACCTGTTTGTAAAACCTCTAGTGGGGATGGTTCATGATTCGGGTCCAACCATTTGGTTTGAAGCATCAATGGCTTCCCTGGCCATCTTGATGGCTCTGAGCTCATGGCGAGACATGGCAAGCTGGAAAATCCCATGTTAATCAATGGGGGTTTTCATGGGAATATCATCTATAAAGGGGTGACTTTCCAGCCATTTCCAGCAAGCCATGTTTAGGTGGGTGGTAAATCCAGCTAAATCCTGGGGGAATCATGACTGGCTCACCCTGCTGTGAGTTCAAGTCCCCATTTTGTGGCTTATCGAATTGAAATATTTAAGTAGGTTCCAACCACAAAAGACTAACCACTTACGAATCATCATTGATTCCAGCAACTATACATATACACATATACATATATACACAAATAAAGATATATACATATCATATATGTATATACATATATGTGTGTAGAGAATTGATTACATATAGGTTCATGGAGTTATATATTACATATAGGTTTATATACATATATATATATATACATTCATTTACATAGTGTATCATATATACATATATATGTGTGTGTGTGTGAAACGTCTGGACAGACGTAAAACGCCACTTTTTTTTAATGGCAGGGGATCACCGGGGTTCCGGGGGGGTCGGTGATCAACGAAGACACCTCCCCGGGACCCGTGTAAACGTACCTGCGGGACTTTGGTGCTGGGCGCATTTAAGTCGCAGCTGGTGGCCACCATAGTCCATATATATCTATATATCTATCTCTCTCTCTCTCTCTCCCTCTCTCTCTCTCTCTTTTCTAGCTGCATGTTGATGGGATTCAGTTCCCGACGGATCACTCCAATGATCCAGTTCTTGTCTAGTGTGTGTTTACCATTGTTTACCATCTATTTGTTGGAGATATCAGGGTGAACTAACTATCGCTTCACCACTGGGCCCCCGCACCGAAATTGATCCACGTGTTGATGCCCGCGGTGACCATGGTCTTGGCGGGGCGCGACGGCCAGGTCTCAAGAAATGGTGGTTGCACCAGGAAAAAATGTGATTCAATGGTATATTAGCGGATTCAACAGGGATATACTAGGATACAACTAATCAACTGTATCCATGTTATTCCTTTGGGGTGGTGCCCCATAGCTCGGGGGATGGGGCGGTTATATCGGATTAGTTATATGATGGATTACAAACCAACAAACATAACTGGAGGGGTACCACCCTGCAGGATAAATCGAGAGTGAACAAGGACATTTTGGGGCTGGTGATAGCTGGTGGTTCTACCATTAAGAATGGGTTCTTATGGGATATTAGTGGGTGTATAATGGCTAGGAACTAACCTTAACTGTATGAAATGTGGATGGAAATCGGGACTTCACTAACTTCACTATGGATCACTATGGCAAAAACAGGGGTTTTAGATCCCGGATCTCGGATGATTTACCATCTGGTTATTTAACATAGCCATGGAAAATCACCACTTTTAATAGGTAAACCATCTATAAATGGGTCATTTTCCATGGCTATGTTAAATAACCAGAGGGTAGCTGTCATTTCGGGTTGTTTTTGTGAATTTGAACACCCCAGTCGTCGTCCCATGGTGGTCTCTGCGGGTCATCGAGGTCCGGTCCACTGTTGCCAGAACCTGAGGATGCGGAGGCACCACTGGCACCACCCAAAAAACGGCATGGTTAATATGGGTTAATAATGATTTCAACATAAATTTGATTAGTAGTTAAGTGATGTCTAATGGCTAAGCAATTAATGTGAGTTAGTAGTGATTTGTTTTTTGTGATTAAAATAGCCCGGAGCCCCAATAAAAATTGATGTTTCAACAGAAATGTGACGGAGAGATAGAGATAGAGAGAGAGAGGTATATATATATACATATATATACATATATATACATATATATATATACATATATATATATATATACATATATATATATAGAAAACCTTATCACAAAGTGAACCACCAAAATAGTATGAATACACTGCAATTTCCAGCAGGTTCACATTTTTTAGGGGGGGTATTCCAGGGGGGTACCATAATATGTATATATATATATATGGGATTATATAGGAAATCACGGACCTCGGGGGATCAAAGCCAGCAAAGTATGGTAAAAATCGCCCCTTGCAAAAATGGTGCCATTGGTATCTACCCACCCGGCCTGGTAAACTGTCACATAACTATGGAAAATCCCCAGGTTTAATGGGTAATTCAACTATTTCGACTGGGCCATTTTCAATAGCAAACTGTTAGTTTACCAGAGGGTACCAACAGTGAAGGGAATGTATCCTGTAGCTACCATCTGCTGAAATGATGACCCCCATCCCATACCCATCGTCTACCATCACTTACCCTCTTAAACCACGCACCAAAATGATCCGAAAACCACATCAAACAACTGGTTTCAGGTGGTGACTGGGGAACAACTGCAACAAGATATGTCTTCTTCATCTCCTTCACGGCCCTTCGTCGCCCTTAAAATAAAAAAAGAGCTATAGTTAGTATAGTTGATTGTAGCTGGTTGGACATGTTTTCTCAATGTTTATGACCATTCCATCAACATGGCCCCCCAAAAAAAAACAGAAACTTATGGTTCATCAAAGGTGACCCCATCGGTAACCCCAGGGCGCTCCATCGATGACTTCATGGTCATTCAGAAAGCCCCAAGGGGGGCTGCATCGTAGTAAATGATGCAGCCACTTAGATTCATGGCTCATATCCCAGTTACAGTATATTATATATCTATATCTATATATATATATATAGACAGTATATAGGATTAATTATATGGCTTATGGTATGTGAAGTAATCCATTAATGTCAACCCCGGATTAATAAACCATGGTTTATTAATTAGGGGGGTACTCCTCCAATAGTCATAATCTAATACTTAAATGGTACCCTCCCAATTAACCAGCCTAAGGGTTTATTAATCCAGGGTTGACATTATACCAGGTATATAACAGAATGTCTCACAAGCTCATTGGATCATGGCTAAGATAGAGGCGGGTCCGGAGGCCATTGAGGTGGTCGTGGGCTCAAAGCCGAAGACCTCGGGATGGCTCAAAGCCAAATCTGACCACCGGAAACCATGGGGTTTTTCCACGATTTTCAACTTGTATCATATGTAATGTTATTGTATGTGATGTAACCTAGTGTAGTGCAGTGTAATATTACGGTAATATTATGTTATATTATGAAATGAAATGTTATGTTATGCTATGAAATGTTATGTATATATGTATGTGCGTGTTTGTGTATGTATCTGCATATTAATATATATATAAGGTATGTTTATATTTTTTCACATTGATATTAACATTTCTTTATATCTATATTTACATTTACATTGATATTTATATAATTTTATATCTATAATTATATTATTCTATTTATCTATCCATCCATCCATCTATGTGTGTCTGTTTCCTTCAGATTGTCCCTTAAACCAAGCCATGGTTCACCTCTGCCTGGTGATGAGATCAGATTGATCGAAACTGACCATTTTCAAAAATGATTCGAAGCAACAAAACGAAGGATATGAAGCAAGACTGATGTGGATATGAAGCCGCATGGAAGTCAGGACCCAAATGTATCGGATTGACAATTGTGACAATTGGTTGGCTCATGAGGTTGACCCACATTTGAATCTGACACAAGTGATACAAGTGATGCAAGTGTGACATGAACCAACAGAAATATGGTCCCAAATCAGGATGAACAGCCACTGGGGACCCCAAGGATTGCAGGGTATTCCCGGAGACTCGAAACTTGCACCAGTAGGTAAAAGAAAACACTGCTGGCATGGCTCCCATATGCTCCCATGTTGGGAAAATTCTCTCACAAACGTCATTCTTCAGTTTTTTTCCTTGTTTCCAGCGTATGGGCGCCCCGACACTGTGAAGGGTGATGTACACCCCGAAGACCAGGCAGAAGACAATATCCTGCAGGATTCTCGCAGGGCGAAGTGAAAAATATATCTGGTAAAATACCACTCCATCATTTAGCTATACTTACAGTAAGTGATTTTTTTGTGGCTGAAAAAATGGTTCATTGTCTTTAAAAAAATGTCTCCTGCTAGGTTTCAAACAAACCCAATGATTAAACGTCATTCATCAGCCTCCGGGACTCCACGCTGAAAAGCCCTTTTCACCGCCGGGTTTCCCCACGGACAGGATCCATGCTTGCGGCAAGGATGTCAACATGAAGAGCGTCACCTTTGGTTTCCGCGTTTGAAACGGGAGCATGTGAGGAACAACAAATGTTGATGTAAGGAAAAAATGTTTTTTTTCAGGGATTTTTTGGTGATTTAAAATGGGATTTACTGAGGTTGAATGAAACCCGGGACTTACCCTCTGGTTATTTAACATAGCCATGGTATAGATGGCCTATAGAAATAGATGGTTTACCGTTCTTAATAGCATAGGTGATTTTCGCAAACTGTGAATGTCGTAACCAGAGGGTAAGTGTTGTATTTCTCTGGTGATAGGAAAAATATGGGATTCATGGAGCTCAACTTTTATATTTTTTCTGGTGGTTGAGCCCCATCTGGTTGAGCCAATAAGGATCATCACAGGGAAAACAACAGAAAAATAGCCCAAAGCACCACTTACCCTCTGGTAAACTAACATAGCTATGGAAAATCACCATTTTTAATGGGAAAACCCACTATTAATGGCCATGTTCAATAGCTACGTTAAATTACCAGAGGGTAACCAACAAGACATGGAGAGTCTGGTAAGGGGAAAAAGGGGGAAAAAACACACAACCTGAGCTTCCAGACTGATAACGACGCCTGAGTGGATCAAAAAGATGGCAAAGCTCCAGTGGATTTAAAGAACAGCAAGAAAATATGGAAAATATATGAAAATGTGCCCTATAGATTCCTCAAGTAGTGGATTTCCACTTTTATAGAAAATGAAAAAACTTAAACAAAACCCCAGCCAATGTTTGTCAGATCACTGCATGATCCTCACGAGGCAGCCCCTGAAGCCAATGCGAAGAGCGGCTCGCACCTTTTTCACATCACCGCAAGGCACACCAAGCGTTTGCTTGGGATATTCGGTGAAGGTCACCCTCCGGTGATCAAACGTGGAAAACGAACTTCATGGAGGTTTTACTGGGATAGATCATAGCTGGTTGGTGGTTTTTCGCCCTACTCTGAAAAATATGAGTCAGTTGGGATGATGACATTCCCAAAATATGGAAAGTCATAAAATTCCATGGTTCCAAACATGTCCAAACCACCAACAGTATTAAAATGGTGGCTACGTTTGAATACCCGGAGGTTTTTCCGGGAGTCGAGACCCTATCTGAACGGCCCAACTTTGGGGGCGCAGGCCACTCGGCACCAGTTATGTGTCAAAATAGGCACCAAAAAATTCGATGGCAAATGAGCAAATGTATGTTTACCCTCTGGTAATTTAACATAGCTATTGAAAATCACCATGCTATTAATGGGAAAATCCACTATTAATAATGGTCATTTTCAATAGCTACGTTAAATTACCAGAGGGTACTTTTCTCATGTCTTCCTTTGTATCTGTAGCATGTCATTTTTTAATCTATATAGGATATATGTGTTATCCGGTTTTGTTTGGAAATAGGGTACCCTATAGAAGTTTAGATGGCTTCATCATTTTCCCATGCTGCACTTAGGATCGATCCCCACAGCTACTCCGCCTTCGAGGCTTCCGCGGCTTCCGCGCCTGCCCCGAGCAAACGCTGGAGCTCCTCGTGACTGGCCACTGGAAAGTGCCTGCGGAGGGTCGAAGATTGGTAATTAGAAGTTTGGGTTTTGCCTCTATAGTAAAAATCGTATTTAAAGGATGAATGTATAAAACCTTAAAACCAAAAAATGGAAAAGGCGATTGAAAATGGTGATTCAATCAATGGTTGGTAAGTGGTAAGAGTCACCGGGGTTAGTTTACTCAGCTTCAAATAGCATACGCATGCATACGATATATTAGGAATCGGGCACTTATGATCACCCGGAATATCTTCAGCACTAACTGGAATGATCTTCCATTTGTGGGTTATCCATGGCTATCGTGCCCCACGTGGCCTCACAAAGCTCGCATAGTTGCGATCCCGCAGCAGGGCAAAAACACAAAGCCGGAACCTGGGTGCACATGGGATCATCCCAGTTGGTGACTGGTTGGTGGGCCCCTCTGGTGAACCCCAAAAACAATTGGGTCGAAAATAGACCAAAAATGAAAATCGATCCACCAGCATCAGTTTTTGACCCAGTTACCCAGTTACCGTGGGAAATTCCCGGCCGCCCAAGGCACACGCCCTGAAACTCCGAGCTTAAGAGTTCCTGGAACACCTCGGCGACAGCCTCCGGTGGATTGCCTGGGAGATCACCAGGGCGGGAGATCCATAAGGTAGGAGATTCATAATCTGTACCACCAGAAACCATGGTAAATGATTGGTTAGGACCGGTTAGGATAATTATCAATCATTATCCCAATTATGGTTCATTGTCCCAATTATGTCCATTATCACCAGAAACCATGGTAAATGATTGATAATTGGGACATATTGGGACAATGAACCATAATTGGGACAATGGGACATTGATCCAAAGGTTTCTGTTGTGGCACCACTAGGGTGGAGGCACTTGCAAAATACATCTTGCCGTCATTTTTTAAGCGTTCCCAGTGCAAAACTGTGTCAGCGGGCAGAAGCGGCATATACTCCTGCTAAGTCTGTTTTTCCTTCTGGATTCTTCTGAATACATCTACAATCCTAAGTACTGTACCATACTATATAGATAAGTCAAGCAAGAGTGGAGCAAGCGACAAGTGTCATATGAGAGGTGACCAACGGGAGCATGAGAAGTGAGTTTAAGAATGCACAAGTGACAAGTCAAGTACTTAGACAACAAGTAATGAAAAGTGCAAAATAAATGAAAGGTGAAAGGGTGAAATGGCCACATTCAGATCTTGCCAAGTTTGGGGTATAGGTGGTGTGCTTAGCATTAAGGGAAGGGTTCGTAGAGCCTGGCTGCAGCAACGATGCAAAAGTTTGGGTAGTGTTGGCATCATTTTTTGGAAACAAATGAAGGTAAACCAAATCCGTTGATCCATACAAAGAACGAAGTACCACATCCAAGAGGAAAAAATATTAAAGTACTACTAGGAAGTTACTAAGACCTAAGAAGTATTGAGAATCTGCCCATGCTGCTTGAAGTAAAATCTCCTCCAAAACACGTTGAAATCCCGAAGTCCACAGAAATCACAGAAATCCGAAAATCCAAAATCGAGAATCCAAAAAAAATCGTCCAATAAAAAAAATCAGAAAAACCCACACACAAAAAAAAAAAAAACTCCCAAGATCCAAGGGGCCAAAGTAGCCACACCCAAAGGCACCCAGGACTAGAGCCTCATCACCTGAAGTTCCACCGAGTTTAAGGCGCCTAAAAAATGCGGCTTTTGCCAACCCAAAAACTGGGAATTTATGGTTGGTTTATGGTTGATTTATGGTTGATTTATGGTTGGTTTATAGTTGATTTATAGTTGATTTATAGTTGATTTATGTGGGTTGATTCTATCGTCAATAGATTGATGTAAGGGAAAATAAGAACTGGAAACCACGGGTCTTGCTGGTAATTATAGGGGGTTCTTGCAAATGTTCCCAACATTTATATGATTCCGGGAAAATTGGGAAAATTATAGTCTAACCAAGAGATTTTGAGGGGCTGTATTTTCACATCCATTTTCTGTACTAGCAACCAAGCTGCTTCGATCCATTCATGTGTTTTTTCATCAGCATATGTTGCATGAAATATGCAACTGTAATATGCATATATAATCATATATTACAGTCTATCAAAAACGAGATTTCACCCGTGATGGAATTTTCCTCCTGAAAAACCTAGAGATTTGGATTCCCAACTCCACCTCCCCACTTTCAAAAAAATGTGCTCACAGGTTTGATCCAAGGAGGCATGATTTTTCAACCAGTCCAGCAATCTTTGGGGGCTGAAATCTGTGGGAAAAACAATGTCATTCTTACCGCCCAATTTGGGAATGGTAAATTTATACCACCTATAAAAATGGTGATGACTGGGGGATGGTGCAAATGGCATTGTTTTACCCACATTAGAGGGATATATTGTAATGATGCTATGGATATATTACCTGGTTGGTGGTTTCAACCCTTCGGAAAAATCTTAGTCAGTTGGGATTATTATTCCCAATATATGAGAAAATAAAGAATGTTCCAAACCACCAACCAGAATTATAACTACAATTAGTAGTTTCATTTTCTGGTTTTGGATGAAAAAATCGCAACATCCTCGCTCGGAAGCACCAGGCGACCATGCTCGGCAGCCATCCGCAGGATGCTGCGCAACTTCTGCCGCAGCAAATCCTTGCCTAAGAGAGGTAGAACGACTGGTGTCGGTGGTGGAAGTCTTAAGTGCGACACATATCGATGCATTGATTTATTCAGTGTTTTAGTGGATGATTCATTGGTTTTTCATTCCCCAATGCAGAGATTTACTCCTCTGCAACTATCACAACTCTGGGAGATTAAGGCCCTCTGAACCACCACAAGGTGCTCCATTCGCTAGAAACAAATGCAAATCTTTGGCCCTATGGATCCATAGGGTGGATAACTGCCAGGGAATCCCAAGGCCAATTTGGTGGGCCATCAAAATAATGTGTCGACCCATAGTATAGCTGGCTGTTAATCCAATCAACCATCTTTGAATTTGCATCCCAGTTGGTAAGCAGTTTATACCCTACATGTCTACACTTGGGCTATCATAGGCATCATAGGCTAAGAATTGCTACCCCTTTGAAAGCTTCCCGCGTCCCCAGCTGCACCGCGCCGCAGAAGGGCTTCACACGGGTCAGATCTTGTGCCGCCGCTGTCAGCACCGCCACACGAGGGCCCAGGGAGAAGCCCTCGGCGCCAGTGTCCAGGAGCTGAACCTGGGAGGCCAAGGGAGACCCCTGAATGACTCAAGGGACCCCTGGTGCGGCTGCTGGTTACTGTTAAAATAGAATCCATCCCCCATGATTTATCAATTTTAAGGGATTCCAACCATCAAATTTTATAATCAAAGGAAGTTGGGAAGCAATACTTCCGTGCTACGGACAAATAGAATTGTGAGACTTGACATTGATGAAGGGCGGTGTGAGATTTGACATCACATAACAACACATCACAAAAGAATAATAGGCTATGACAAGGCCGGTGTGAGACGTGACATCACATAACAATACATCACAAAAGAGTAATAGGCTATGACACAGGGTGGTGACGAAGGGCAGTGGTGACCTAGGGAAATGGTAACGAAGGGAAGTGGTGACGAAGGGAGTGCGGTGACTTTGGGTAATGGTGACTAAGGGAAGTGGTGACGAAGGGAAGTGGTGACGAAGAGAAGTGGTGACGAAGGGAGTGTGGTGACTTTGGGAAGTGGTGACGAAGGGAGTGTGGTGACTTTGGGAGTGGTGACGAAGGGAAGTGGTGACGAAGGGAAGTGGTGACGAAGGGAAGTGGTGACGAAGGGAGTGTGGTGACTTTTGGGAAGTGGTGACGAAGGGAGTGTGGCGACTTTGGAAAATGGTGACTAAGGGCAGTGGTGACGAAGGGAAGTGGTGACGAAGGGAAGTGGTGACGACGGGAAGTGGTGACGAAGGGAAGTGGTGACTCTGGGACGTGGTGACGACGGGAAGTGGTGACGAAGGGAAGTGGAGCTCCAACGCATGAGAAAGTTTGAGCTGCGCTCAGATGACATGAAAATAGCCAAGAAGAACATAGCTGACATATGGGAAGACATGAAACCAGATGAAAAGAGCTCAGATGTGAAGTGTGAAGGGTGCAATGTGATGTGTGAGGAAAGTGTTTTCTTGACGTTGCATTGCACCGGGGACGCGCGCAGGTCATGTTCTTGGACAACAACACTGCAACAGCTTCGCACAAAGCACGCACGCACAGGCCTGGCTGGCGCACTGCGCATGCAAGATCATGCAAGTTCCTTTGTAGTAGTACTGGGAAGTGATTCATGAAAGCTTAGATGACATATGAGAAGAGATGAGATGAGAAGAGCTGAGCTGGGATAAGGTGAGAAGAGCTCAGCTGAGATGAAGTGTGGAGTGTGAAGAGTGCAGTGTGAAGTGTTGGGCGTGAAGAGTGCGGTGTGAAGTGTGAAGTGTGAAGTTTGGAGTGTGAAGGAAGCAGTGAGAAGTGTGAAGTGTGGACTGTGAAGTGTGAAGTGTGGACTGTGAAGTGTGAAGTTTGGAGTGCGAAGAGTGCAGTGTGAAGTGTGGACTGTGAAGTGCGGAATGTGAAGTGTGAAGTGTGGAGTCTTAAGAGTACAGTGTGAAGTGAAGTGTTGACTGCGAAGGGTGCAGTGTGAAGAGTGCAGTGTGAAGTGTGTAGTGCGGAGTGTGAAGACTGTCAAGTGTGAAGTGTGAAGTGGAGCTTCAAATGTGACATGTGAAACAAAACACCAGTTTCGCAGAGTGCACGCACGCACGGGCTTGGCTGGCGCACGGCGCATGCAAGTTCTATAGATGAGAAAAGTCTTATATATATATCTCTTTAAGGCAACTTCCGCCCCGCCTCGTGCGGGTACTACTGGTACTGGGAAGTGCTTTGTGCAAGCTTTGTATTACAAAGTAATACTGGGAAGTGCTTTGTGCAAGCTTTGTGGTACAAAGTAGTACTGGGACGTACTTTGTGCAAGGTGTGTAGTACAAAGTAGTTCTGGAACGTGCTTTGTGCAAGCTTTGTAGTACAAAGTAGTACTGGGAAGTGCTTTTTGCAAGCTTTGTAGTACAAAGTAGTACTGGGACGTACTTTGTGCAAGGTGTGTAGTACAAAGTAGTTCTGGAACGTGCTTTGTGCAAGCTTTGTAGTACAAAGTAGTACTGGGAAGTGCTTTTTGCAAGCTTTGTAGTACAAAGTAGTACTGGGACGTACTTTGTGCAAGGTGTGTAGTACAAAGTAGTTCTGGAACGTGCTTTGTGCAAGCTTTGTAGTACAAAGTAGTACTGGGAAGTGCTTTGCGCAAGCTTTGTAATACAAAGTAGTACTGGAAAGGACTTTGTGCAAGCTTTATAGTACAAAGTAGTACTGGGAAGTGCCCTGTGCAAGCTTTGTAGTACACAGTAGTAACTTCAGTAGTACTGGGAAGTACTTTGTGCAAGGTTGGTAGTACAAAGTAGTACTGGGAAGTGCTTTCTTTGTGCAAGCCTTCTAGTACAAAGTAGTACTGGGAATTACTTTTTGCAAGCTTTGTAGTACACAGTAGTACTGGGAACCAAGCAACCAAGCAACCAAGCAACCAAGCAACCAAGCAGCGGCCAAGCAACCACCCAGCCACCCAGTCACCCAGCCACCCAGTCACCCAACCAACCGACCATCCAACCAACCAACGAAGAAACGAACGAACCAACCATCAACCCAACCAAGAAACAAACCAATCAATCAACCAGCCAGCCAACCAACCAACTGACCAACCAACCAACCAATCAACTAACCAAACAACCAACCAAACAACCAACCAACCGTATATTTTGTTCCATATTACAACTTGTTTTTTAAATTATGTCCTTTGATTGATTTGTATTTTTTCGATTTTTTAAACTATCATTATCTTTATTATATAAATTTTATTATGATTATCTTTGATAATTTCACTTTTTAAAATTCTAGTAGTCTGCCAGGCCCCTCTCAGCGGTTACGGCCTAGGCGAGGCCGTGGAGATGGGAGGCTTCCACCATGAATGGTTACCTAGTGAGAAGGGCTCAAAATCATATCTTCTATGGTCATCCATCTATATGTTGATGCGTATGTTGATTTTAATCTAAATGATATGTACATTGTTGATTTCTCATATGTGAGCGGACCCCGATCGGTTATGAAACTTTTCCCACAAATTTGGATACAGGTCCATACCCTATTACTTTATTCTTTAGCTAATGCTGGCCGTTGACTCCCATGTACTAAACGGATGGTCCCCCGACCGACTCAGGTTTAGCTGCACACCCTGGTGAAATTCCTTCAAGAGATGAACCATGTGTAACTATGTAGTCATATATCATCATACGTAGATAGTTGAGTATATGATCCATCATATTCCATCTATTTCTATCTATTCAAGACCTTCTGCCATCCCTTAATAATGGTTATCCCAATCTCCTGGCTCCCGTGCGTGCGGCAGGCGGGGCAGAGGGCCCTGGGGCGAGAGTTTGTAAGGCATCGGAATAAAGGGGGCGCATTTAGCTGCTGAGGGCGCTGCACGTAGGAAGCAAAAGGGCGACCAGGGACCTGACAAGGAAAGGCCAAGGGTGGCGGGTTACGGGTAGTGTTGGGCGAGGTTGGCCGGGCCTTCACCAACCCAGCGTTCGGGTTGAGAAACGACCTGGCAGGACGGGAGGGAGGCAATCTACCTGTTTCCTTGGGGGGGGAACCTCCTTGCCTCTCGCACTTGTCGCAGACACCTCTTTGGCCGATTTGCTCGAACCTGGGCAAGGGATGGGAAGGAAGACGTTTTTACGACAGCGACGCAGACACCGGGCTAAGGTTTCGACCACAGCTCCCGACAAACATCGGGGTTGAAGGCGAACTTCAAGGGAGGGTGGACGAGCAATTCGGCCTGAACGGAAAGGGAAGGGGGGAAAGAAACACGGGACAAGGACCCCTAACCCGACACCTTACCTCTGCGACGAAGGTCACCCGGCGCTTCTGGTGGAGGTCCGCCCCGGGCACTTTGAAGCAACCTTTCAAAGGTACCTGGACGGGGTGCAAGGGGATGAAAGACAGGGGGGGAGGCAGTTACGGCAGCAGCTAGCTGAGGAGCAAACTGGGCCCGGCGGGTGGCAGGGGCGGCGGGGAAGGCAAAGGGTTTGCGGCTGCTGGGCAGCCTTTTGCACCTGGCGGCAAGAGGGGATAGGATCTTAGTTTAAGGATCTTAGTTTAATGCGGGTACCTGGGACACCTTATGCCGCGCCTTTCTCGCAGGGTTTTTTGGCTGAGGCCTCAAAAGACGAGAGCTGCTGGGGCTGGGTAGGGAAGGAGAGGGGCGGTTGCTTGCTAAGGAGCAGACCTTTGCTTGGGGCGACGTGGGCCACGTGGCCGGGAAGGGAGTGCAGGAAGAGGGCCAACCTGAACAGATGGGAAGACGATGACGAAAGACAGAAGATACCACGGACTACCTCCCACAGGACCCCATCCCACCCCATCCCATCCAATCCCGCCTTTCGGTGGCGGCTCGGTCACGTAGAGCCGGTGCACCCCGCGGGTCGGGGCGACCTTTGGGATGCACCACCGGTTCCTGGTCCTCGTTGCGGGGAATCGACAAACCTGGACCAACCTCCCGACGGCGACCGACCCAACCCGACCTACCCAACCCGACCCCGCCTCCGGCCACTTCTTCTTGTGGCACCCCAGGCATAGGGTCCAACGTTTCAGTTGGCCCTGCCTCTGCCACTTCACCCCCTCCGCCTCCGCCCACAACGCGACCAGCCTGCAGGGACAGGGGGAAGGAGGCGACAGGAACACAAGGGGGGTGACACCTGACCGGGCCTTTCCGCACGCAGTTGCGTGAGGCACGCCTTCCTGACGGGGCGGGACGGACCAGCAGCAACCTCCCGCAGCGACCTCCCAGCAACCTCCCACCCAGCACCCCCGCCTGCATTTCGGGCATTTAGGCTCGCCCGAAGGCCGTGCCTTCCCCTTCGCCCGCGCCCGCCCCTTTGCTGCTGGCCGTTTCGCCGCAGCCTTTCCCATACCTACGACCTACCTTCAAAAGACACCTTGAGCAGAACAGCAGCTAAGGACAAGGACTAGCATCGGGACAGGAACAGGAACCACCAGACGACAAACCAACAAGGTAGGGGGAATAGGGGGCATCAATAACGGTGCTATGAAAGTAAACGGGTGCTAACACTTCAGTATTGTTCCGTTGGTTAGTCTGGATTTTTTACGGTGCATCAATGGGGGTTACTATAGCGCGTTATTATGATGTCAAATGGCTCGGTACTATTACGTTATTATTCCATATTATTCCGTTCAATGGTGATTACTTTACGGAATGGTTACGTTACAGGGGTATCCCCATTACATTATGATCAGTTGAAACGGTGGTTCTTCTTACGCTGTGATTAGGTCAAGCGGTGATAACTATTGAGTGTGATTATTACATCATTATTAGGTCAAATAATGGTAAGTTTATTACGTTATTATTATGTCAAATGTGGGATTACTGTTTATTACGTTGTTAGTCCGTTAAATGGTGATTACTTGTTTCATTATTAGGACAAATTGTGGTTATTATAATATGTTATTAATATGTCAAATGTGGGATTACTATTTATTATGTTCTGATTCCGTAAAACGGTGATTATTCCATTGCATATTGACGTAAAAGTTGTACTTCCATCAGATTATTTTTATTGCTACTATTTACTATTAATATTAGTTGAAATGGTGATTGTTGTGTCTTCAGGGTTGTCCTGCCAAACCCTCTCTCCCGCCATCCTTGCCCGAATCCAAAAAATTGATTTCCTGTCATGATTTAAGGGGGGGGGGAGGGGGAGAAGGAGAAAGGATCGCATCTGGAGATGGGATGAAGATGAGGAGAAAGAGACGGGAGATTGGGAGGAAAAAACTTGTAGAAAGAACAGGAAAGCAGGAAGTGCAGGAGGGTATAGGCAAAGTAGGAGTTTGCGCAAGCTTTGCAGTACAAAGTAGTACTGGGAAGTGCTTTGTGCAAGCTTTGTAGTACAAAGTAGTACTGGGGAGTACTTTGTGCAAGCTTTGTAGTACAAAGTAGTACTGGGAAGTGCTTTGTGCAAGTCTTCTAGTACAAAGTCGTACTGGAACGTGCTTTGCGCAAGCTTTGTAATACAAAGTAGTACTGGGAAGAGCTGTGTGCAAGCTTTGTAGTACAAAGTAGTACTGGGAAGTGCTTTGTGCAAGCACAACAAAGAAGTACTGGGAAGTACTCTGTGCAAGGATTGTAGTACAAAGTAGTACTGGGAAGTGCTTTGTGCAAGCTTTGTAGTACAAAGTATTTTGCAATGGCTTTTCTGTGTAAATGCATCTGTGCCTCAAGCTTCTGTGTTCAAAAGTTTCTGCGCCCAATCGTTTTTTGTGCGAGAGACTTTTCTCTGACAGTAAGAGATTTCTGGTGTGCAGAACAGCTGAGATGAGTTGAGACGAGCTTCGAGGAGATGAGAAAGGTTGATCAGTGCTCAGATGAGATGAAAACAGTTGAGAAGAACTTACTTAGATGACATGTGAGAAGAGATGGGATGAGATGAGAAGAGCTGACATGAGGTGAGAAGAGCTCAATGATTTGAGATGAGATAAAGTGTGGAGTGCGAAGTGCAAGTGTGAAGTGTGAAGCGCGGGGTGTGAAGAGTACAGTGTGAAGTGTGAAGAAAGTCTTCGCTTGGCGTTGCATTGCACCGGGGTCGCGCGCAGGTCATGTTCTTGGACAACAACACTGCAACAGCTTCGCACAAAGCACGCACGCACGGGCCTGGCTGGCGCACGGCGCATGCAAGTTCTATAGGTGAGAAAGGTCTTATAGTATATCCCTAAGGCAACTTCCGCCCCGCCTCGTGCGGGTACTACTGGTATGTTATATGGCTGGTTTATGACATTGCTTTATTAACATGCCATTTCTCCCGAAAAAGATGAACGGGAAAATCCGATTCAGCATCATTGGGGCAGCTAGGATCCAACAGCGCTTTCTTGAAACTGCGGAGCCATCTCCCTTCCCCGATGCGCTTCAGTCTTGGCCATTGAAGCCCCATTCCGGGACGGTACATAAGGTCTAAGATCCCGTCACATATCCAAATTGTTGGGCCGTTTTTGTTTTGCGAACCGGCGACGATTCATGTTCCACATGTGAAGAACTGCGACCTATTGCCTGAGACTGGCCATCTGTTGGCTTTGGGCCAAGCGGCTGGAGACGGTCATCAATCAAATTTCCACTTCAATCCATTGTTGTTCGCATTCGGATATGCCCCCCAACAAATGGAACAAAAAAAAGCTGATCCACTGGTTAATGATCGTATTCCCCGTATTTACCGCCCATGTCGGGGAGATGCCCCATTTTCAGACACACGCCGCCACCGTAACCGCTGCACGCAACATGTGGAGAGTAGATTCCACCACACTGGCTGTGCTCGTAGAAGGCTTCCTGCTTCAAACAACATTTTGTTGGAGATCAATGAGGTGTCGTAGGACAATCTATGTTTTTTTGTCCAAAAAAGCCCCCTAATGTATGATATGTATGGCCCTTTTCGTAAAATGATCCACTGGAATTGGGAGGTCACCAGGCCTTCCGCGGAAGCTGCCCATCGAAGTCCCCGATCCACAAGCCGCGCTTCAGAACCCCTGGACCATCGTCCTGGAACGAGATGTTTCACGACTTTGGGAGAAAGGGCTGAGGAAATGTTGATGAAACCCTGTAAAATAGTCATATATAGCTAAAATGTATGTGTATATGATATATATATATGTATGTATGTGTATATATATATATACATTTATGTGTATATATATATATATGTATGTATGTATGCATGCATGCATGTATGTATGTATGTATGTGTATATATATGTGTGTGTGTGCGTATAATCCACATCTTGCAAGCTGTAAAATATGTGTACTATTGTATACTAGGCTATTACCATATTCCCTCCAAACTTGGGGGTTGTGAATTTTCATATTCCCCCCACCCACCATACCAGTGTATGGTGAAGGTTACTTTAATAAGGGCCAATGGTTTCTGATCATAGTGGTGACTAGCAATGTGGGTTGAGGCACAACTGTGGCATACCCCACAAACTCCCAAGATGCATACAGCAGGTAATGTATTGTTTGTTTGATGTTTTTTCCTTCCAAATGTGCGTGTCAAGTATGCAAAGTTTCTCTGCAAGCAATGCTAGGGACCCCAAATAGCCATAGTGACTTGTGCAACGCTTCAGCTTCCCAATGCTTCAGAATATCTTGCAGAATATCTTGGTTCCATCGTGAGGTTTCGGTCCTCGGTGCTTCCCCAAGATATTTTGAGTTCTTGGTGTCTTCGATGGACAGATTTTGAATCTTCACGCGGGTTTGTCTAAAAATAGGGCAACCCCTACTTCCAATGGATTTTCAGACATGATTCCCATTAAAATTGATATTCTTTGAGGGTATGCCGGAACCAACTTGGATATCCATATATATCCCAATAAAACTCCCCATGTCCATGATGAAAATCATTGTGTTGTTAGGAATATCTCATCAAATCATGTTCAATGCTTAGATCAAATTGAATCATCTTAAATCATCTTAAATCCCAATGATGTATATATATATATAATTATATATTATATAATTATATATATATTTTGGCTATTTCCAATATAGCTGTGAAATTACAGCCTAGAAGCTGGGTACGTACCCAGTTGGGAGCAGGTACGCTGTGCAGGTACGATCGTACCATCATTCTAGGTACGACTTCCATTGTGTGTACCATGACTTTAGGTACGATGAAAGATACAATACAATGATACAATGATACAATATAAAATATATATTATATCATGTAACGATACGATACGATACATGATACATGATACATGATACATGTCATGGCATGTGACATTGCGTACAATTTCATGCATGCTGCATGCATATCATTGCCAAACCGAACCAAGCTCAGCTTTCGAAAGTTTAAGCACTGACGGCGGCAACTCAGCAACTGTTGTTTTTTCCACCCAGGCTGAGGTTTGTTTGTTCAGAGTTCAGCGTGCTCTTTGCAAATTCACTGATCGGTCACGTCTATGTCTGTGCATGATCAGTGCCCCCATGAGCACGATTCAGATTCAAAGTCAAAGTTGAAGTTCAGCTGTTCAGCTGTTTCATCCTCTCACCACAGCTGATCACTGATCAGAAGCAATGGCCGCAGCTCAGGCTGCAATCCTGTCGAAGCACAATCGGGCCACGGGCCAGTGAACCGTTAGAAACCTGACGGACCATGCTGGTCAATCCAGACCGAACACAGTTATTATGTCAGTTATGTTATGTCAGTGTTATGTCATAAGGTCTTACATAATGATTCTCATATGACTTCATGATTCATAATCAGTGTGCCTGGGAATGGATGGTGATTGAAACCCAGCAAATGAACCGATCCCAACATCACTCCTCTTCAGCAGGGACTCCACACAGTCCAAGTCTTTCTCATCTTCCGCCGATCGGAACTCCATGGAGCACATCATCGAGGTGATCAGGGCGACCACTATTGTCGAAGGGAACCTAGGCCAGTCAGAGAGCAAAAAAGCGAATAATAAATTGATTCATTCACACACTGCAATGGCAATAGCTCACCCAATTTAAGCTCAATGTTCTTAAATCATGATGTCTGATCGAAAGTTCCTCTCTGAGTATGACCCAACGGTTCGGCTTGTTTTGGACGCCAAACCAAATGACCAAGCAACGAAGCAACAGTCTTTGATAAATGATCAGATTCGACGAACAGACGAACAGATTTGATTTGATGTTCATCCAAGCTTGGCTAAAACAATAGATCAAATTTTATTACCTAGTAGACTATTACTATTACTACTGACTCATCATCATAAATCATAATCGAATCATAAGAAATCATCATAATCATAATCATGAATCATAAATCATAAATTAAAAATATAAAATAAATCATACTGTACATCATTGATCATCATGAATGAATCATAAATCAAAAATCATAAATCAAACTCTGTCGGCTAAGATTGCCACGCATTCCCTGCCATGTCTTGGCTCTGGCTGGTCGAAATGCAATTGGGATCATCGAATTGTATTCCTTGAAGCGCCAGTGCTTCTACGCCAATGACCAACCTTCCCTGACAGAAATCCCAAACTGTCCCGCTCGGTAAGACAGTTGGGACTACCTGAGCCGGTCAAATCACATTGGTCAACAGTTCACTTGGTCAAATTTTCTGCAACTGTGGACTATGTGATGTGACTGAGTTGGATGGTCAGTGAATCGGTGAATCACAAGTTCGAACCTAAGAACCTAAGAGCCTAAGAAAACCAAATCCAAATTCCATCTTATCTTATGCCTTCCAACACATGGTCTCACACGGTTCAGTCCACAGCTACAGCTATAAGCTATAGGCTATAGGCTATAGGCTATAGGCTATAGGCTATAGGGCTATGGCCAGGGCCATGGGCCATGGGCCATGGCTATGCTTCTATTCCTGCCATTCCATTCTATGAATCCTGAATTCGATTCCAAATTCCATTATTAAATTCAGCCAAGTGGCTACGATGTGTGAGACTCTAAGAATCTAATCTAACATGAAAGCGTCGGGGTCGGGTAGTCTTTAATGACCCAACTAGCGGAACGCCAGAGCCACCCACAAGTGGCCGCACAGTGTTGCACTTTTTATTCGCATTGGGTCGGGCCGGACTGTTTTCCAGCTGGTTACCATGCCCAAACAAATGGCAGCTGGCAGCTGGCAGGACACGCCGCCTGCCGCCTATCTATCACCGATGCAAAGTCTCCTAGTTTCCCGAATTTAAATCTCCATGGTCCATGGCATCCATGTCCATGCCGTCCATGCTATCAACCCGATTGGATGCAGTTTCTGCGCTACTCATCAGTAAAGCCTTCATTGCTAAAATCACATCAGACAGCTTCCCAATCTTTGGCAGCATGTTCATCTCAACGCTGCATTTCATGTAGGCAATGGACAAGTCGGTGAGACCATCCACTGTGAAGGATTTGGAAGACTGGATGTAGTCTGTCATGATGTTCTCACAAGATCGAATCCATGTTACTGGGTCAGCATCTCGTGACAGTTTGTGTTTGCTGGCAAACATCTTCAAGGACCTTTCAGTAATGGCTCCGGATGGATTGGCTTTGGCCAACACATTGACCGCCGCACTTGTCACCAACCAAGCTTCAAACATGATGTGAAGGACTGGTTCAAATACCCTTGGCTTTGACGCCAAAGAGCAAGCTTCTGATAGCATTGTCTGACCCATGCGAAGAAATCGAGCAATCTCTCTAGCAAGCTCTTTCCAGTCGCTCTTCGCGGCATCGATGAACATGAAATAGATAACACTCTTCAAAGCAATGACTATATCTTTGGGGTTGATGGTTTGCATGACGGTTTGCAAATCCATGGGTAGTTGTGGTGGCTAAACCGAGCAGCACTGCAACAAAGTTTGAGCTGAAAAAAAACAATGTCTCAAGTGAGTCGTGAGTCTCAAGTTTCAAGTCTCAAGTCTTGAGTCAGAGTCAAAGTCATGTCACTGTAAATCATGGCCCAGAAATTCATGGCCCAATGGCAACCCAATGTAAACACTATTGCTTGCCCAACCCACTACTAAGTCCAGGAACATCTTCAGTGGACACTGGGGTCCTGTGTGCTGAGTGGTAGAGGTCGGCAAAGCGGTAGATCTTCTCTCCGGAAGCGAGTCGCCCAAGGTTTTGCGCATCCACAAACCCGGCAATCTGGCAGTCAAAATACAATCAGAAATCAGAAACCATCAAAAACATTCGAAACCAAACCAAATCCTGATGAGTTTTATATGGCCTGTGTGGCTGAAATCTGTAAAGGCATGCAAACAAATGTCAAATGCGCTTCACTTGATTGACTTGCGACTTGATGATGTTTTTTTTTAATATGTTTAATTCTATTTAATGATCTGAAAATTATATGAAGTAATGAAGCATCTCAAGCTTCTCAAACCTCAAGTAATGCTTGAACGTGAACTGCACTGCACAGGCCTCTTGCTCTCGCTCAGGCAATGTTTTGAACCACTCGTTCTGACGCAGTTCATCTGAAATTTTGATAGGCCATGGCAAATTACCTCATCCGCAAATCTGAACTCTGTCTGAACATACAATTCATACAATAGACTGACTGACAGACAGACAATACAATGTAAGAAGAAAATGCACAAACAATCTGGAACTACGCACAATGGAAAGTTTGCAACTACTGAAGCTGCAGCGACAAAAAATAAACTTGATTCGGAAGTTGGAAGTTGGAAGCTGGAAGTTGGAAGCATGATATTTTGATCTTTTGGTTGATTCTAATTCTATATAAATATAAATTCTATATAATAATAAATAAGAACTATTATTATTAGCCATTATCAAACCTAGAATTAGACTGAGCTACGCCCTTGCGCCAAAGACATATGCAATGACTTCCATTTATCGCCTTTATCATCAACTTGATTCTGCTGTTCATCACGACGTTTGTCTCGATCTGCCTTTCCCTTCTGACGACGGCTCAGTTCTTCAATTACCAGATCAGAGTCATTGCTCAGGAGAAAGTTGTCCTAAGCAAATTGCAACAAGCAGCAAGCAAAACATGTCTCACAAACCCACTGGCACCAGTGGGGAAGCATCCTCAACCCTCGCCCAGCAACAGTCAGTCTACACTCTAATGAGAGTTTGAGTCTACAGCCTGTAGCCTACATGATTCTGCATTGCTGTCACAAAGCAGTATACCAGCCAATTCAAAGGTCCCAACCACCCCTATCATTTCATGACTGTGACCAAGCATAGCCAAACAAACAGTTCCAGTTCCAGTTCAAGAAAGCTTCCACTGGCCCACTCTCCATCTTGAAAGTTGGCAGGTATACAGTCAATGCAGCTGTTAGAACATCCGAAGGAGAGTTTGTCAAAACTGCAGCAGCTGTCTCGCGATGTACACCCAATATAAACAAGCGTTTCCTCCTCTGTGCAAGTCCGAAGTCGGAAGCCATCAGGAGAATCATCCCTGCACAAAACAAATCCTTCAGCTGTACTGAAGGACTAAAGTCTCAAATCTCTCTCAAAAGCAGCTTCAAATTGCTTGCAAGGAGAAACATATCATAATGTCAGCATCGACCACTGATTCAAATTTCAATGAACCTTCATGATTCATGATGCACCATGTGCTGCTCACATGATCATTGACAGGACAGGACACAAGCTTGCAAACAGAACCATTAACAGTACCAGTGGCATAGGCATTAACAAACATATGCAAACAAGTGGCTTGTTTCATAGCCTGCTTCAGAAAGAACTTTGCTGATCACAGCGCCGTTGCTATCCTCTTCACTGCAATCTCCAACGTCCACATTCTCCAGCATAATCCAGAGAGGTTTCATCGTCTCCAAAGCTTTCATGGTCCCAGAGAAAGTGCGGAATGAACTTGACTCCTCTTTAGACAAAGTGTGTGGTTTTATGAGGGTGGTGCTAGCAATCAAGTTGTGAGCGGTGAAACGGTGAAACGTCAAAACATCTGGCCACTGTTAGAAGCCCATTACATCACAGAGAACCATACATTATGACACAATACATCATCGTACTACATCGTACGTCGCGTCCATGTTTTGACGCATGGCTCCTGACACTGACACTGGCTCTATCAAACCTTGTCATACATGATGCACGCACATCATGCACCGTACATGCATGGATGTGATACGTTTACAGTTTACATGACATGACTTTAAAAGGAAATTCTTGTGCATCCGGGTTGCCGAACCTGAGCCAAATTTGGTTCCAACATCGTCTTACATTCCAACAAATGCCCAACATAGCCTCCAAATGGCCCAACATATGCCCATTGATGAGATTAAAAAACCCGTGTAAAAACGGTTGCTTTTACGCGGGGTTTTTTCTGCTGCCAACAGAGCCCCAAATGACCCAACAAAGGCCCAACATAATCCCAAAATGGCCCAACAATGGTCCAACATAGCCTCCAAATGGCCCAGCATAAGCCCGAAACCGACCCAAAATTAACCCTCAACGGAACCATGCTTCCGTTGGGAGTCGGAAGTTAAATCTTAGCCCCGAAAGCCGCCAACAGAGCCCTAAATGAGCCAACAAAGGCCCAACATATGCCCAACATACGGCCAACATGACCCCAAAAAAAAATCCCAGTGGGAAAGCCCCGTGTTTTAAAAAACTCGGTGCTTTCCCGTGCTGTTAGCTCCAACATAGCCACCAAAATCACACACCGGAGACGGCAACCCGGTTCATTTTCGCAACCCGGATGTAAAGAAAACAGTTTAAACTTTACAGCAAATGAATATACAAAACTCACTTTTCAAGTACTTCAAAATTTCAAATACTTCTGCACCTGCACAATCACAAATGTTGAGTTGAGTTGAATGAGCAAAGAGTTATGAGTTCTGGAAGTATCCATGGTCCATGGTGCTTTATGAATAGAAAGCAATTCTCTTGCAACCCAAAACCACTATGGTCCTGGTTCTTGTCATGCATGGCCTTTCTAAAGCTTCCCCCATCGTTCATAAGCTTTGACAAGCTTTTGCAAGAGAAGCCGCTGCCCAACGCCAACATGTTGCCATCGCTCTGACTTGGTAATTCCTGACAGTCACATAAATTCCAAAGTTGTTCAAACAGTGCCACAAACCCAAAAAGTTCACAGTCCTCCATAAGTCATTGTTTCAGTTGTTTCAATGTTTCAAGTTTCAAGTTTCAAACCATTTCAAGTCATTGTAGACTAGACATCGAACGCAAGAATTCCCAGATCAACATTGTTCAAGGCAAGGTTTGGCATGTGAACAAGCTCGACTCTATGATGGAACATTTGATCCGTCCAGTCCAGTCCATTCCATTCCACTGGCTGTGTCTCTGTCTCTGTAGTCTGTATGTGAAGTCAAGATTACAACCTACAGCAGTTACAACAAGTTACAAAAGTTTACAAAGTAATGTATTTTAATTTTGCTCATCAATATTTCATAGTAGCCCACTGACACTAAAGCAAAGCCAGGAGACACATGCGCGGCCATGTGTGACACACATGCGCTCATCATCGTTGTCCAACGCTGTCACATCTGCGAACAAACAGCAAGTTTCTGTAAGAACCTCCTTCCTCAAAAAAAATTGTTTCCATTTCTCATTTTCGCACGCCATTGCGTCTTCTACCTGAGAAGCCACGGCCCGCAGTGGTTTAGGCCAAAGCTTCAGGCTCGACTCAAACCCAAAGACCCAAACTCAAAGTCAAAAGTCATTCTATAGTCTATATGAATCATATATCATATCATCATATAATCATATATCATATATCACATATCACATATCATCATATATCACTAATTAGATTGACAGACATCGCAAGTAGTCAAACTCTGCCCTGCCCAATTATCACGTGTGAGTGAGTGTCAGCTTCATTCTGTGAAACTATGGCACTGCTGAATGTGCAATGTGCAAAATGAATTCAAGCATCTCGCCCTACACATGATATGATTCTTCAGGCAAGGTGCTTCAAAATCACCATATTCTGGACACATAGAACTCAAAGAGTTTGCAACGCAATGGAACGCGGTCTCAAACGTTCCCGTTCCTGTGCATGTGCTTGCTATTCGCCAAGCTTCAGGCATATTGCGCAGTCTAGGGATTGTGCCAGAGATCTTGAGAGCCCGCTGCGCGACAATCTGCAAGGCAGAATGTCTGTCTGCTGACTGTATGTCATTCTGCAAGATTTGCATACAAGTTAGGTTCCATATCTCAAACTCAAACTCAGACTAGAATCTGGACCCTAGACAGCCTAGGCATACCAAAGTGAAGCAACAAAGTTCTTCTTCCTTTTGGAATCAAATTGAAGACACCGCATGCACCAGCCTGTGCATATGAGGCTGTGATCTCTGCGTAGTCAAGCACCTCGTCCGACAGAGTCTCTGAATCCTACAAAGAAACAACGCAATGCTATCCAAAAAAGCGATTGGTTGTCCAGTCCACCTGTTGATATGACTCGAAGGTTGGGAGTTGGAAGTTGGAACCCACAAAGAAACGAAGCTCCAAGACACCAAGTCAAAGACTGCTGCTAACTTCCAACTTGTTATGTGTCTGTGCCTATGTCAATGAGATTCTTTCGGATTCCGTTATTACTTACTGACCTGGCTGCAGTTAGTTCTTCCATCATGCCATCAGTCTTGCATCTTCCCCGATGGTCCTGAATCTCGTCATCAGGATCAGGGCGGCTATAGTGAACAGTTTCGTTATCGCTGAAGTCCTGCACCGGCATGCTTTCAATGGAAGCGAAAACAAAAATCGTTCTGGAGTTTTCCGGGACCGAAAGTAAGATATGATTGATATGTATGATATAGATATAGATATCAGATATATTATATTATATGATCTGATCTGATATAAATTAAATTTTATAAAATATATACTCTATATTATTTATAAATTTATAAACTATATAATATTATATACATATTATATATATATTTATTTGTATATAATATATGATTCATGATATTATGACTATTATTTATTATTATTTATTACTAGTGTAGTATTATTATTATTATAAATTATAATTTATAATTATAAGTTATAACTTATTATTTTTTACTATAAACATATTAAATATTTATATAATTGTATAATTATATATACATTATACATTATTATATTATATATATATATTATATTATATATTATATTATATATTATATATATATAAATATAAATAAACATTTATTTATATTTATATAATTTATATATTATATATATAAATTATATAAATATAAATCTATATATCATGGCATGGTCCGGCATGGTCCTCGTCTTTGTCGCTCAAGACGTTGGTCTTGTCATAAACGTTTGTCTCCTTGAGTTACAAACGGCAAAATGAAGTCAGCATGGTGACCATGGTGCGTGGTTTGAAATGCAAGACTTGCAGGCTAAAATCTCACTGCTTGTAAAGTACAGTACAGTAAAGTCAAGTTGTCAAATCTTTGTGAGTCAGTCAAACAAGTCAAACAACTCTGGTTTCAATTGATTTGGTTCTGTTCTGAACTACATTGAATTTTTGAATCTTTGAAAACAAAATCACTGAAATGTGTCCTGGGTCTGATTCATGTTCTGCTCATTGCCGCTGCCGGACGCCGATGAGAATATCTGTGTTGCGGATGTCTGCTGAGAAGACTTAGGACTTGAAGCAACCTGACACAAGCAAGCGCAATCACCATCATCATATCGAATCATATCAATCATCATTAGTTGAGGTACGGTATGCATGGTTTATAAGTTGACAGATATCTGCATAGTCAGAGTCTGAGTCAGGACAACTAACAGGATAGGTGTCCCTCAGACAACACCTTTCCTTATCTCCTTACTTGACATTTTCTAGATATTGAATTTTGCAGTGTATGGAAGTTTGCTAACAACTTACTAACGTTTGCCATTTGGAGTCATTCAGCTGGCTGACAGTAGTTACTCAAAGCAAAGTTTAGTTGAAAGGCTGCTCAGCTAACAAAGTGCAACTGATATCAGCGATCACTCTTCTTTATGAAAGGTTCGGTTAGGGGTACGTTAGTAAGGAGTAGTATTACAGTATGGCATGGCATGGCATGATATCTCACTCTTTAGTCTTTCAGAATGAAATAAACGCAACGACCGATGACTGATGTTTGATAATGCTGATGCTGAGTCTGGCAGTCTGGGTATCTTGAATTTTCTGTCTGGCCTCTATTGCCTGCGTTTCCAGCGCTCCAAGCGCTAAGGCACCATGAACCTCCTGAGTCTCCTGAACACAAGACAAAATGTGACATGAATAGAAATAGAAATAAAAAAGAAATGACTACTGACTCACTGACTACTACTAAGTGACAAAGTTGATCAGTACTCAACAAAGTAAACACCGTCAATGAAGTAAGAATTGTACAAACTGGCCAGTTTAAATTGATCTGTAGTAATGTTCTGACATGTTTCTCATTTTGTGAGTCTGTGCCTGTGAGTCACTTGGATGAAAAAGTATACTGTATACTACTGTCAGATTATACTGTATAGAGTCGTTGAGTCATAGTAGCTACAAATTGCAAATTACAAATTACAAAGGCTATGCGACTATGTGGCTCCACTCCAATCTGTCCTGTGCAGCAGCTGTCAGTCCATCACAAGCATCCTGCAAGGAAACTGAACACAGCACACAGCACACATGTCATTTTGCAATGTGAATATGACTGAACCTCCACAGTGAACCTTCAAAACATCATATGAAATAAAGTAAAACAGTGGGAAATCAAAACCATCCGGATCTATTCCTAGTTGCGATTTGTCATTGCCATGTCTCTGTGGTCTCTGCGGATGTTTGAAATTGAAATTCACAAAGTCACAAGTCACAAGTCTGAGATTAAAGCAATTTTATTTCAGTTTGCAACGAGTTACAAATTACAAAAGACAAGCTACCTCAGTTCAACTTGGACTGTGACTGTGAATGTGAAGTTCAGATGTTAGTCACACCTGGCCTCAGACTTCTTCTTTGGCAAAGGCATAGTGGGAGCTGAAGTGTTTGTACTTGCCATCAATGTGGTCTTGTTGAGGATCCAACGCAAAAATGCTAGAAACTTGGAACGATCAACATCATCATCCTCCAACACGGTACAGGAAAGACCAGAATCCATGATCCATTCACAGAAACATGGATGGAGCTTGGCTTCTGCCAGCAATTCCTTGAAGTTCTCTCCAGTCACAGACTTCAAACTCTCTGCTGCACCGGCATCATTCTCGATGACTGAAACCATTTGGAGTACATTGCTCAAAGAGACTACATCCTGCTTGGAAATGGATGGCTCACCGTCATCCACTGCAGGAGGCTTAGGCTCCTCAGCCTGTGGCACAGAGGCTGAATTCATAGGCTCAACAGCCTCAGGCATACAGACTGCACCCACAGCCACAGTGGGCTCTGAACCGTCTGAACCCAGAGCCTCAACAGCAGGCAAAGGGGCTGCACTCACAGCTTCAGCAGTCTCAGCAGCTGCAGGCATAGGCGGCATAGGCGATTCCACAGCCTCAACAGCCTCCGGCTGATGGGCTGCACCCACAGCAGCAGGCACAGAGGCTGCACTCACTGCATCATTCTTCAAAGCCAAAAAGGCCGAATGTATGGTCTTCTGGTCTTTGTCAGGAGGGTGATCAAAAGGATTGTCAGACTTTTTCCGAGCACGCTTTGGGGCAGCTCCCGGAACTTCTGCGCTTCGCTTCTTTGCCATGGCCGAAACAAAAAAGGTGAAACAAAAAATGTCAAGTGCTGTGTTCGAATGCACACCTGCATGCACAGGTCAGTCTGAAATCTGAAAGTCACAACTCAGTACCGTACTGAACCACACCATTTGGTTCAAAGTTCAAATATCAAAATATCATAATGTCATGTCATGAATCATGATGCCACATCATCACAGTCATCACATCACAGATCAAACAAAATGATCGGATCCAATCCAGTGACTTCCAAAGTTGAGCCTGGGTATCTAGGCGGTGTCAATGGATGCAGCGCACATTGCAGTTCCCAGATGCACTGCCTTCTTCAAACCCTGAACCCTTCAGACCCTAGTTCAAATCAAAGGTTGTTCAAAAGTGAACAGTTCAAAATTTGAAAGATTCATGATCATGATCAATGATCAAATCAAAGTTGAAGTTCAAAGCCAACGTTCCAAAATCAAATTGCCTTTCTGAAATTCAACCACCCTGACGACTGATGGACTTGAGATTCTTGAGATCGCAAAACCGTTTTCAACTTGCATCGTGCATTTGTGCAATGCGGGTATTTGCAAAACGCAATATTGTACTGTACTGAATGGCCACGTGCCATTCACTGAAGTAGCTTATGCGCAAGAATCCACCTCAGCCAATGTTGGTCATTGGCATTGGACTCAACGCCATGAAGCTACTGCATGCAGACTGAGCGTGGATGTGCGCTGTGGGCCAATTCAACAACTTGCAAAACAAAAAGTTGTTGTAATGACCAGTGCTGAGATTTGCATTTTATGATTCATGATTCATGGCAAGTTCATGATTTCGATGTATTCTGCTGATGATAAGTGTTCATTATTTTCATCAATTGTCAAAAATCACCTTCTGTTCCAGAACATGGCATAACAAAACACAACAACAGCAGTAACAGAACAATCAAGTCAAACCATTGGATGATGGAAGCCTATCTTGCACAGGCTGCGCTATGGCTTGACTTCAGCCCAAGGCACAAACATGAATGTTGGTGAGCCTGATGGCTCATGGCTCAAGGCACTGCACCAGCAATGTCGGAAATTGCTGGGGCACTGATCAGACTGGTAATTTGTGCCTGCAAGGTTGCATTGATGCTCAGGCCCTTGTCAGTGCACGTCTTGTTCAAATTGACCAAGAGCGTCTTGGCGCGACCCTCTGGAAGCTGCTTACCTGACTGTTCAGAAGTCAAAGTTAGTTAGTCAGTGCCGCCAGAATTGGAAAACCATGGTGCAACAAGACAATACAAGTCCAAAGAACTTGAATATTGGCAAATGAACTTTCCCATGATGCAGAAACTTTTTTTCCAACAGCTACTGAGTTTCCATCTGATCAAATGAACTTTTGTCTGGAGTCTAGATGCACATACAAATGTAAAAGATACACATTCAGCCCCATAATCACATATTTGTTATCTGTGTGTTGGTCTTAGTCGAGTATGGCTTTAAGTCTTAGTATTTCGTTCACCAAGTCCAAGCTACATGATTGAATGTGCTGGGCGATTCCTTCCACAGACAAAAGGATAGCTGCTGATTGATCGGCCAAAGTCGTCGTTGCCAACTGATGTGCTGCTTTGCATTCCTGAGATTGAAGTCTCAGAAGAACAACAAACTTTGACTTTGACTGCAGTTTAGTTTTACTATTTGATAAGATTTGACCATAGACTATGCCTATGCCTATATAACCCTATATAATTATGACTTGTGGAGACTTTGCAGTTCAGACCTGACTCTGACTTTGACCGGTAGTTGCAGCCAAGAATCAACCCACAAGCTGCATACGGTCTTCACATCACATCCAAACGCTTCTGAATCTTTTTCCATCGCTGTCATGACTTCGGCTGCACGATCCACCAAATCACAAAATTTCTTCTCAACACGTTTGACTGCGGAAATGAAAGTCCCAAGCTTGGATGGATCAAGATCGGGTATTTTGTCTTGGATTGCTGCCAACCCTTTCACCACCTCATCAACATCTTTCTGGTAGAAAGCTTCCCGTTTGGAAAACAACTTGTCAATCTGATCACTCAATGCATCAAACCCTGTATGGAAAGACTTGTAATCTGGGAAGGATGCCTTGAACTCTTCGCTGTCAGCCTGAAGCAAATCATAGATTGTATTCATGACAAGCCCTGGATGGTCCTTGACATCGCAATCAGTTCCCAAGCCATTCTTGGGAGAGTCGAGCAAACACCTCATAGTGAAGTAGGGCAGGAACACAGCTGCCAAAGGAGATCTTTCGTCTGTGGTCATGTCCAAAGTGGCGAGGCGATGGCCTGACAATATGTGGTATCAAAATAAATCAAAGAGTGGTGGTGTGGGGGCAATGAGTCTCAAAATTGTTGGCAGTGACAATATAATACAACGCCATGCTGCAATGTCAGCTTAGGGTCTTAGATTATTTTTGTTTCCAATCTTGCAGCTTGCTTTCAAGGAATTCTATGCACCCTCACCCCAAAGTAATCATCTCAATATTTCAGACAAGTAACAGCATATGATCCACTGCTTGCACATAACCAGTAGCTTGAAAGCCTTTGGATTCTCGGCTTCCGTGCTGAGCAGCATCACCTTGTCTCTCAAATCATAGATGTCCTTCAGATCCTGATCTGTAATGGTCTTTGGATCAAGTACCTTCGCAAACAGGAGGAAACTAATAACAAGTGAAATCAAATTCCATACTCCAGACTCTAATTACCACAAGCAGCATTGAAGGCTTCAAAGCCAACTGAAGCCACTAGACTGAAACGGAATTGTTTTGCCAAATTCTGACATCTTTGTCTTTGTCATTGTCTTTGATCTGTTTGATTGTTTCTGTTTGAGTACTATTTAGTACAGTTTACAGTTTACTGTGTTTACTGTTTACTGAGTCAGACTAGTTAAGTTCATCATCATGAGTCCACATTTAGTTCACTTCACTGAAATCAATGGACCAAGGACCATAATACTTTGCTTTGCTGTGTGTGCATTGTCATTCTTGTTGCCAGTAATTGTTAACAAGGTGCTTTGGCCATAATCTTCCCAATGCAATTTGTGCAAGAAGAATTCTCGATGACAACCAACTCCCGAACCATCTGATTCAAGATCTTGATGAGCTCACCAAAACTCGACGCCATAGTTTCATCCAGCAGACCCATAGCGTTCAGCTCTTTCCACTGGTTGTCACGAAATTTTTTCATCCTGCTATAGACCTGCACTGCCTCAGAGGCTACCAGCTTCTCCTGCTTGTACGATGCCATCAAATTGTCCAAGTCCGTCATCAACACCATGAGGTCCCCAACCATGACCCATAGAGAATTGGCATCCTTTGAAATGGATCGACATTGCAAGAACACCTTGCCCTTCTCCACAGTGAAGGCAGGCTTCGCAGCAAACTGCTGCTTTTCATTGAAGAGAGACACTGAAGCCTCAAACCAATCCTTCACAGTACCACGGATGAACGCACGGGACAGCGTGGAAATGAAGTCTGAGATGGATTTCTTCGAGTTGTTCAACAGCGTCTTTGAAGCTCCAGTTGTAGAAGTGGTCAAGGCTGCTGAGTATGTTTCAAAAGCTTCTTTGCAAACCTCCAAGCCCTTGTTGAAGTCATAGTCTGACTTCTCGATGGACTCCAAGCTGGCATCCAGCTCTGTGATCTTGTCAGAAACATGTTGCAAATGAGCAGTTTCCTTCTCATCTTCTTGCGCTCTGTCTCTGGTTGCCTTCAAGAGAGTCTTTCCCTGCTTGATCCCTACGACCATCGCCGAAACCCCGCAATCCGCATGATCCTTGGACTTCGAAGAAGTAGTCAATTCATTCACTGCTTCAGACACCTTTGCAGCCACATGCTTTTCTGGACTCAAAGCAATGCAAAGGTATTCCATGGTGTGGACAACAGCCGGCTGCAGGAGTTTTGAAGCTGCAAAGTGAGTCAAAAATCCCTTCAAGGCATCCATTGAATCCGATGGCCATTGATCCACTTCTGCCTTGGCTAAAACCATCCATGGTCGATCATGGCCAATGATGCTCTACAGATGCACAATGAACAATTATGAACTGTATGATTGTATGTATGTATGATTGATATGATTTATGTATGAATGAACATGACAAATGACAAATGGCAAGTCAAGTCACTCAGGTCTAGTGTAGTCTACTCATCATCAGAACATCAAAACAAAACAGCCTTGGGTGATATGGCAATATGTGTAACTGTGCAATTCTCACCAACACTGATCCAAACCAAATGAAACCAAGTTGCTTTTGTAGGCAAAGACCGAAGCAACCGTTGAAGAACTTCTGACACCAGAAGCTGGAAAAAGGCTCCACCCTTCGATTCCCCAAGCCTCTTCACGATGTGATCATTCATGGACTCCAAAGCCTTCCAGTCAGTGAACTTGAGGAAGCCCAAAGCCATAGATTTCCAACCTCGTTTGAAACACATAGTTGAAACCGACCATGTGGTGGCTGCATCTTCGAGGTCGGACATTGCATTCTCATCAAAGGTGAGGTTACGCAACTTCACGCAAATCTGATCAACCTCAGTTGCCTCATCAATCAACTGAAGCAAGGCTTCTATCAAGGAAGCCGCATCGTTTCTGCGTTTGACACTTTTCTTCACTTTGTTCACCTTCGAACGATAGCCTGCCAGATCCTTTGATGCATTCTTCAGATGCTCTACGATCGCAGCCTCTGAGTCCGTCTCAGTGATCTTGGACAACAACTCCTCCTTGAGCTTTGCCAACATGCCCTTCTGCTCTTCAAGAATCTTGTCATCTGCAGCCTTGTTGGCATCGCTGGTCTGAAGTTTCATCTTTTTGGTAGGTGGGAGCTTCAGAATCTCAACCTCAGTGGACTTGGATCGTTTGTTGCCCTTCTCAACCTTTGGCTTTGCGGTTGCCTTGGATTTGCCAGCAGCCTTGGCTGGTGCTTTGACAGAACCAGATTTTGCCTTTGGATCCTTCGGGCCTGATCCAAAAGCCAGCTTCATTGCATCCAAAGCGTTTCCAATGCCAACACCCATGTTTGCTGATGAGGAATGGTTCTCCTTGTCACTTTCACTGTCACTTTGCGCTCCAACGTCAGGATCTTCTTCAACAGTTGATCCACCCACTGCTTCCACTAACATATCAGCAGCAGCAGCAGAACCTGCCGATGATGGCCCCAACAAGGTAAGCGCAGCTTTCTGAGCAGTGTTTCCAAGCCTGAAGAATGGAAGGTCTAGGGCATCAATGGTCTCTGACTTGGTTGCCATAGCCTTTGCAGCGGAATTGAAGATTCTGGTATGCTGCTCAGGATCAGCAATGGGAGCATCATCATTGTTGAAAACTTCCACATTGAGCTCAGTTTCCTTCTCAGTAGCTCGAACCCTTTTGAAATAACCTTCACGGCCCGTTTGAATGTTGACCTAAGATCACCAGTCAATCAATATGAAACGCTTCGTTTGCAGATCTTGCGAATACAAATCTAGACTAGACTATACTATATATAATAAGCATTTATCTTGAGTAATCATGAAAGAAACTAAGTCGTTCAATCATCATCACATCAATCACATCTATGGTCAAACCTCAAACCCAAAGACTTTTGGACTTTGGATGAGTTCGACGTTTCGAAAACCATAAAATAAAGTATATGAAAATTTATTCAAAGTTATGAGTTATGAGTCATGAAGTTATGAGCTATGACAGTTATGAGTCATGAGTTGAAAGTTGATAAGTTTCAGGCCTCACCAGACATCACGATCCTGACCCCTGACAAGCATAGTGGACCTTGGTTTCAACCAAGGAACCCCTTCGATCCAAACGCCATCCAAAAACTCCCACACCTTCTCGGACTCCTTGACGGTTTTACCAGGATTATCACGAAGATATACGTCCAGACGGCAAAAGTACTCTTCTGGACGTTCTAATGATGAACGCTCCCGATTCTTGACGTTCACTGACACTCTGGGGCCAAGATTCACATCAGATCTCATGCGAAGCTGTGGATTCGCTGACCGCAATTCCAAATACTTTGTCCGCTGCGCCTCAGGGATCCGACTCATCAAACGGTTTATGAATGAACAAGCATTCATGATCTGTTCAGTTCTATTTTACAAAAGTTTTATACAATGACTTAGAGAACTCATCAACCTGACTTATTTATGATTTATGAATGTTTAGTTCTGTTTGTAGACCCTTAAGACTTCCACTTCAACTGACTTCACAAACAAAGGTTGCAAGTTGCAACTATTTCTATTGCATGATCTGGTTGTGATAGTTTTTTTCATTCTCTTTTGTTACATTCTAAGAATCGGAAAATCATCATCACATCATTGCACTGTACCATCACACCATATCACCGTACCCTACCATTGTACCACCGTACCGTACCACCGTACCCTACCATCGTACCACCGTACCGTACCACCGTACCTGCCGTCGTACCACCGTACCGTACCACCGTACCTGCCGTCGTACCATCGTACCGTACCACCGTACCGTACCACCGTACCATCGCACCGTACCATCGTACCGTACCCGGTTAGCAGTAGACAGCGATAGACGGTGTTTGATGGTCGAATAGGAAAGTCCTATTCAACCATCAGACACCGTCTATCGCTGTCTACTGCTAACCGGGTACGGTACGATGGTACGGTACGATGGTACGATGGTACGGTACGGTGGTACGGTACGATGGTACGACAGCAGGTACGGTGGTACGGTACGGTGGTACGACGGCAGGTACGGTGGTACGGTACGGTGGTACGATGGTAGGGTACGGTTGTACGGTACAGTGGTACAGTAAGCTAGTACAACTATAAGCTATAGTGGTGTGATGTTATGTTGATACCGCAAAATGTTTCAATGATGCAGTAGTACAGCATGGTTCCTGCAAACACAAATGTATCACATTCCCTGTGCCCATGCATAATTATGATTCAATTATGCAATTACGTATGATGTTGCTGACACTTGATAAATGGCTTTCCCAATCCATGGCAAAAAGCCAAGATTCCAGGAATGGATGTAGCCGGGTTGGGTCAGTTTGCAAGAGCTTGTCAAACCCGGACATATCTGGAGGCTGACAATCCAGGCTCCATCCTCCACTTTGGAACACCTTGCAGTCATGAGATTGTGTCACCACCCATTACCATTACCTTTAATGACCACACTTGCAAACACAGAACATATACGCAAAGGATTTTGAATCCAGATCCCAAATCGTTCATTCATTCAGTCATCATCAAGACTCAAGATTCAAGACATCCTTTTTTTCAGTACTCAGTTTGTTTTAAACATGTCCAGCAAATGGAAACGACGTAAAATTGAGCAAAGGCGCTATGACACAGATCCGGCATACAAGACCGCGTGGGTGTCCTTTCTTACCATCATTCCAAGGCACACATGGGTCCCAGCTGGGAAAGCTGCCATTTGGTAACGGTGAAAGGCTACTTGATGTGGTCCTGCAATACTTGCATGTCTTTACCTTGACAATGGAACCAGGTGCCTCTGACCCAGCAACCGATGAAGGCGGCATTGAGAGCACAGAGGAACTGGCCTACAAGCCACCTGAATCTCAGATGATCAGCAATTTGCCTGAACCAAACGACTATACATGTCAATTCGTTCGTACATTAAATCATTGTATCACTGCATGAGCTTCAGCATGCCACAAAGCTATTTCACCTGCTGACTGACGCAAACATGTTCATATTCATACAGTATCATACATACTTCAATGACTGCTGAACATATTTGTTCAATGCATGCCACTTCAGACTTGAGTCACTATCCGTGTCATCCATGTCTTTCCTGAATGGGAAAAACAATGATCTTCCAATACTGCACACACAATACCCCTTTTGTCCCCAGCGACCCCTGTGCCTGTGCGATTGCAGTCCAAGATAATGGCCGTTTCGAATTTTGTTCTTGTTTGAACGAATTATTTGCTCTTTTAGCAAGTGGCAAATGATATCTTGCATCGGTCAAGTAACATCACTCAGGAGTGAAGAGTTTAAACCATGTCTAGTCTAAACATCAACATTGAAATTGAAATACACCATTCAGTGGACTCATTGAATTCAAGTTCTCATGCTGCCTGACTGAGCAGTGAATTAAATGAAACAAACTGCCGGCGCGCAGTCACTGCAAAGAATGAATGTCAACTGTCAACCCGTTAAATCTTCAACCGTTCAACTGCCATCCCCATCTTCTTGAGATGGACACACAATGGAAGAGAACCTTAATCAGCAAGATACACTAGGTTAGCAAGGTGCACTCTTGACAGTCTTGACATGCAACACAAGACGCAGCATATACATTATATACAATTTTACTAATAACTAAAAACTAATAATACTAATAATTGAAAATATAATATCGTACAAATACTATATGATATTTCATGTACAGTATAAACAAATGTAAATTTATGTAAATCATATCCATATAATATTATATATTTATATGAAATTATATACTTATTTTATATATACAGTTATATACATACATACATACATACATACATACATACATACATACACGCATACACGCATACACGCATTACATACATACATACATACATACATACATACAGGGCACCCGCAGCTTGGGTAAGACATTTCGCGCTGACGCTGACGACGCATTGTGACGACACATTGGCGATGCCCCCGGCCCCCCTGACGACGCATTCTGACGACACATTCCCTGACGACACGTTGCCCCCTGACGACGCATTACCCCCTGACGACGCATTGTGACGACACATTCCCTGACGACGCATTGCCCCCTGACGACACATTACCCCCTGACGACGCATTGTGACGACACATTCCCTGACGACGCATTGCCCTCTGACGACGCATTACCCCCTGACGACGCATTCTGACGACACATTCCCTGACGACGCATTGCCCCCTGACGACGCATTGCCCCCTGACGACGCGTTGTGACGACACATTCCCTGACGACGCATTACTCCCTGACGACGCATTTCCCCCTGACGACGCATTGTGACGACACATTCCCTGACGACGCATTGCCCCCTGACGACGCATTACCCGCTGACGACGCATTCTGACGACGCATTCCCTGACGACGCATTACCCCCTGACGACGCATTGTGACGACACATTCCCTGACGACGCATTGCCCCCTGACGACGCATTACCCCCTGACAACGCATTGTGACGACACAATCCCTGACGACGCATTGCCCCCTGACGACACATTCCCTGACGACGCATTGCCCCTGACGACGCATTACCCCCTGACGACGCATTGTGACGACACATTCCCTGACGACGCATTGCCCCCTGACGACGCATTACCCGCTGACGACGCATTGTGACGACACATTCCCTGACGACGCATTGCCCCCTGACGACGCATTACCCGCTGACGACGCATTGTGACGACACATTCCCTGACGACGCATTATCCCCCTGATGACGCATTGTGTGTATATTATTGCCTGACGACACATTGCCTGTTGACAGGCTAGGCATGACGAGCAAGGGCGCAGGCGTACTGTATTCTTTGTATGTGGGAAGATAAATAGAGGAATGTAGAGAGGAAGAGGAGCCGGAGGGCAGATAGGGATTTGGCCTGACCACCAAGGCTAGGTTATGTCGAAATATAAAGCGTAGAGGTAATTATCAAGATCGTGTGGCGTGCTTTTGCAACCTCAGTTGAAGATCCTTGAGGCAAGGATCAATCATTAAGTTGAAGTAGTAGAACCTTCTTATCTTCTTACCAAACCCAAACGAAGAGAGCGCCGGAGTGTTCCAGGAGAAAGCTCAGGAAGTTCAATGAAAAAGTATTGAGCGTGTAGCATTGAGAACATGCGGGAGTTGAGTGCGTAACATCAAGAGCCTGCTGGAAGTTCCCAGGCTAAAAGCATAGCACAGGAGGCTAGCATCAAGAGAACGCTGGCAGTTCCAAGAGGAAGTCAAGAGCGTAGCACCAAGAGCGTGTTGGAAGTTCCAAGAGAAACCTAAGCGAGCAATACCAAGAGAGCGTGTTGAAGGACCAAGAAAAACCTAAGAGTCTAGCATCCAGAACGTGTTGGAGGTCAGAGCGTAGCATCAAGCGAAGAACAAAAGAGCGTAGCAACTAGAGCGTCCTGGCGTGTTCCAGAACAAAGCTAAGAGCGTAGCAGGAAGAGCGTGACTTTCTCCAGACCGCAGCGTCAAGAGGCGGAGCGTAGCACCAACAAGAGCGCGTTGGAAGTTCCAAGAAAAATTACAAGAGCGTATCATCACGATTGTGGTGGACCGTAGCGTCAACAGCATCTTGGACTGTTCCAAGACGAGGTTCAGCGCGTAGCATCAAGAGAGTGTCAGAGCCGGAGCCAAGAACGTAGCATCAAGAGCGTGTTTTAATTCAATGCGTCACAAAAAGAAGCAAAAATAGCGCGCCATGCTTCAAGAGAAGCCAAGGGCGTAGCGTCAAGAGCGTGCTGGCACGTCCCAGGACAAGGCAAAGAGAAAGTGTTGGAAGATAAAACACACCAAGAGCGTGTTGGAAGTTCCAATAGACAGCTAAGAGCGTAGCATCAAGAGCTTGCCGGACTGGCCCAGGAGAAAGCTAAGAGATGCTCAGAGCGTAGCAGCAAAAGCGTGTCGGAAAACCCAAGATTAAGCCAAGAGCGTAGCACCAAGGGCTTGTTCGAACTTCCAAGAGAAAATTAGCATAGCATTCAAGAGGCGACTGTCTCCAGAGCGTAGCGTCAAGGGCGTGCTGAAACGCCTCAGGTGAAGGCCAAGAGCGTAGCATCAAAAGAATTTTCAAAATCTCAAAGAGCAAGCCCAGAGGCTATAGCATCCAGAGCATTTCGTTTGTTACTCTTCCCTTTCGTTTTGTCTTCCCTTCTGTTCCCTACGTCGCTCCTTTCGTTTTAACTTCTGCTCCGTTCGTTACTTCCTCCCCATTGTTTCATCTTATTCGTTCACCTCTTTCTCTCATTTAAAGGCGTTCATTTCGCGAAGTCCGTCGTTTCGCTCAAATCTTCTGTCCTGTTCTTCCTGCTCTTCCTTTCCTGTCAACTCGTCCTTTTCATTGTGTCCGTCTTTTTGTTGCAACTCGTCCCTTCCATTCGTTGCTTCCTTCCTTTCGTTTCAACTCTTTGTAATCCCGTTCGCTGCTTCTTTCGTTTCAACTCTTCCCTTCTGTTCCCTATACGTCGTTCCTTCCGCTTTAAATCGGTTTAACTCTTCCCTTCCGTTCGCTACTTCCTCCCCCTCGTTTCAACGCTTCCATCCTGTTCATTTACCTCTTCCTTTCATGTCAATGCGTTCATGTCGCTATTTCCTTCCTTTTTTCAAGTCTTACATGCGGTTTGTTTATCTCTTCCTTTTTTCCAAGTCGTTCATTTCGTTACCTCATGTTACCTCCTTCGTTATAGTCATCATGATCGGTGTTGGGGTCCATAAACCAACCCTTCAAACCGTGACCATGGTTCCGCCAGTTCCTGGAACTGGGGGCCCAGTTCCTAACATGACAGGCCCTTGTAGGGAAAATATGCAAGTGAACCAAACAAAGACGTCCGTTATACGGTGAAAACCCACCATGGACAAAAAAAATGTCCCTACGGTTTGCCAAAATAAAAACTAGATGCATATATGACATGCATGTAGGCTTTGAGTGTATGCATGCTTTTCTCTCCCAAGTCGTTGGTGAAAAAGTCGTCTTCGGGGGGCAATTCGTCTTCGGGGAATTCGTCTTCGGGGGGGAATTCGTCTTCGAATTCGTCTTCGGGGAATTCGTCTTCGCAATTCGTCTTCGGGGGGGAATTCGTCTTCGGGGGGCAATTCGTCTTCGGGGAATTCGTCTTCGCAATTCGTCTTCGGGGGGGAATTCGTCCTCGGGGGGCAATTCGTCTTCGGAATTCCTGGGGAGCCATTCGTTCACTTTTTTTAGGTACAAACCGCTCTCGTACACAAAAAAAAACGAAACGAGCCATTTGACATTTCCACGGCCATTTGACATTTCCACGGCCAAATGGGTTTTCACGCCCATGGTGCGGCACTTTTCACGGCCAAATGGGTTTTCACGCCCATGGTGCGGCACTTTTCACGGTTTCACGCTCCAAGAGGTGATTTTCATGGACGCAATGGGTGTTTTCACGATTAAATATAGTTTTCACGCTTTTGTTGCGCTTTTCACGCGGAATTGAACAGTTTCATGGGTTTCATGGGGTCATGTTTTGTAAAATGTTGTATTTTTTTTGTATTTTGGGATTTTCGTGTTTTTCGTGGTTTTTCGTGTATTTATTCGTGTTTTTCGTGCCGTTTTCGCGCTACAAACGTGGAACCCCACGAAAACCCCACGAAAACCCCACGAAAACCCACGAAAAACACGAAAACGGACAAAAGGGCAAGTAGTCAAGCATTTTGGCAGCACAGGGACATGAAAATGTTTTCTTCCTTTAGAATCCAGTTTTGTGCTGGGCCTGGATCAACCGCTGGGCTCGAATGACATGGGCTTGAGCCAATATAGGTGTTTTATATATATATACATACTACATTACATACATATAACTATATATACATATATAATACATATATATTATATATATATATATCCATCCATCAGATTCTATAGAGTTAGGCCAAACTGTTCAGATGAACTTGACAACTTTTGGGGCACCTGCATGTTTCATATACCAAATTTGTTTGAAGGCAGGAACCAACCCAAACAGCAAGCAAATCATTACACATCCAACCCGCTGAATGGGTTGCATGCCATGCATGCCGGCAGCTCGGGCACCCAGAATTCACTTTTCAGCCGCGGGATCGGAACATTTTGGTTAGGTTGGTTGGGATCAACATCAACCATCTCTGCAACACCCGTGTTTGGGATGTCTTGACGGAAGTCAATTTCATAGTGTGGGAGATCTTCTTGAGCCAGTCCTCATCTAACCACGTTGCATATCGGGCTATGTTCACTTGACGGGGAGTGTCAACCAAGTGGCAGAGGATGTGAAACTTGGGGCGCACTTTGAAAATCATTTCATTTTTGTCCAGCCCCTCCCTTGCTAGTCGGAGGAATGTATCCAAGAATATACGGCCTAATATCTGAAATGTGCGTTTTTCAGAGTCATTCAGAAAAAAACTGTTTGATGCATATAGCATCCGCATAGCCTTATTTCCTGTCCACAAAAGTGTCAAGAAATCTCCATAGCGATCATGGTGTCTTTCCAAGACACTTTCCAGCCATGATGCCACAATGTTGCAGTCGCTACCGCTCCCCTGAAATTCGGGAAAGGTTTTGCCGCCCCAGCAAATCTTTGTCTTTGTAAGTCGCTTCAACTTGAGTGATTGTCCTTTCGATTTTGCATAGGCCTTCAACTGGTTTGTAGCTGTTTGGAATCTGGTGTCTATGTCACGGCCATCAAAAACAAATGTTTCTCGCACCAGAACTTTCAAGACTCCACCAACAACGTCCCGTAGCACACCAAGATTCCAAATATGTAAGAGGTCTCCTGTGACCATGCCCAGCTCAAACCCAAACAGATTGGTGTAATGTGGCCGTATAGTCCAGGGCTCCTGTTGAAAGATTGTACTTCTCCATTCTGCAGTTGGATTGAGGTCGGTGTAGCACAAATTCATATTTGTTGATCCCTTGGTTGCCTTGCAAATCCAACATACCTGCAGGGGTCATGCCCTATCATTTTTCCTTCAAATTGGGATGGGCCTGAATGTTGTTATACTCCCCATATTTATAGGTTGGAAACCGTTTGTTGAAATCCGTACCACATATATTCAGAAAATCCCAAAATAGAAATTAGACGAGGTGTTAAATCCAATCCTCCTCTGCATTGTAGTGGCGGACAAGGTTGAACACCTGGCGATACGCCTTCCAGTCGCCTCTGAACCCCATCACGAAAAAGTTCAGGTTCGCAACCTGGGCGGCAGTGGTTGAAGTTGGGTACATAAATTTATTCGATGGTTTATTCGAGGACCAAAAATGGATTTAAGGGAACCCATCAAACGTGTCTATAGATGGGCTAGCCACAGTAGCACCTCCCAAGGATGGAAAATCTCGCACAGTAACACCATCACGCGAAAGCTTGTTGAATGAGGCTACAATTTCAGCTGTTGCAGCGGCCAGGGTTGCATTGATTCCATTGGTGTCCATGAAATACAAACTTTTGGGAATCACAGCAATGGGCCATCGAGAGGCCACTGAGTTTGTTCGGTACGGGCAATGATCCGTCGTCCATATCAAGAACATCCAACTGTCGTTCAAAACATCGATCTCATCACCTGCGATAAAACCCGAATGAAAAGAAAACTATTATTTGCCCATGGGTTGTTTTTCGGGGGTTCGAAATTAAAATAATCAAATAAGAATCGTCCGATTCCAACCTAGTGACAGTAAAGGGTGCATCCGATTGAGCTATGCCAAAGTCTGCTGTCAGATGCAATGGGATGTGATGGGAAATCCTTTTGCATGCCAGTCCAATAAGATTGTAATCCTGAAAAATCATCCACCAAGCAATGCAGGTGTCCATCGTCCAAAAGGGCTGTTGCCTGGGCACCCAGGCCAAATTAGGATGGAAAGTGAAGGGCATGTGTGGCCACACCAGGAAACATGATTCGTCAACAACAAAATTTCTTTGAAATCAATCCTTGGTGCGAAATCTTGAGGCAGTAGGAATGGCCAGTCGATGAACTCCACAGTGTTGTCTTCTGGGGATTTTCGTACAGGGATAGTCCGATATGAAATCTTGCATGGTAAGGAAACACCCATCCTTTGCGCACGTTCGTGGAGACCACGCTCCCTTTCACTCCTCAACAAATTGAGGACACAATCGAAAGATGAAATGCCTACCAGTAAGCTGTCCCAGGAACAGATTTGGGGGCAATTGTATTGATGAAACATTCAAGTATACTGTGGTTTACCCGTTTACCCCATACATGTATGTGCATATATATATATATATATTAAATACAATTCACATCACATCATTGGAGAAAGCAACCTATTTTCTCGTTGTAGGTGAGGATCGGAAAAAGATCGGAATCAAATGCCTCCGCCATATGCCTCGAATGCCTCACTGTCGAGTATCCAGACCCGATTCCATAGGCCAACCTTGGGAGTAAGGAGACCAATTCAGATAAGGGAGAAGTTCGGTGATCGATGAATGTGTAAAATATATTTTCTCATGCCTTCTTCCCTAATGGGATGTTCAAGTCACCACTTGGGACGTTCGATCAAAACCAAGGAACGCTTCATCCAAACGATGGCGAAGGAGATTTGCCGAGGTTTCAGTCCAAGTACCTGGTCAGGAAAATTTGGCACAAATAAATTTCATGAATCAATGTTAATACAGATCTCCCTTTTAAATTCGAAACGGTTTTCTCCCCGGGCGAGATCTCAGACTCAAAAGTGTCCATGTATTGCGATCACAGGCATGTGATCCACCAGCCGATCCAGTGGCTTGAAAAGAGGGTCAAGCTTTGCACAAATGCACATGGGGAGGGTCCACGGAAAAACAAAATAGTGTCCAAGTATGGAGCAGTTGAACTTTGACAGGGACCAATTACCCCCTTGTGTCTCCCAAGGCTTTAAGCCCGACCATGGCCATTACGCAAAATCTGTGACCAGATTTGATCACTCATGGCTCCAAAAGCGCCAAGGTATCCTAGGCTTTCTTGTTCAGCTCGTTCACCACAGCTCGCGCTTGTGCACGAAGAAGGCGACATTTGCTCACCTGGTTGCGGTGGGGATACAAGTATATAGCAGGTCTGAATAAGATTTCAAGAGTATGATTCATGTGACTCTGGGCATTTGCTGCTACTTTCAAGATTTTGCTGGATACCATTTTTGAGGGGAACTGCTGGTAAACAAACCCCAACCACACCTCTGTCGAACCCATCTGGCAAATCGATTCCACCTCCTCATCAGTGCAAGTCTTCAGCCTTGGCACGGAGATGTCAAGTTACAATTAAAGGGATGGGGAAGTTTGATGAAAGCTACAAAATCCTCAACGTAGCTCACAAGGTTTTGGCACCACAAACTGGTGACTTCACAAACTAAAAACATCGAAATTGAGCTAAGAAACGATTCCAGTACTTGTTCGAAAATCACTTTCATGTCGCTCAATTCCTTCCGCAATGGGTGCTCTGAAGGCAGATCCATCGCCACCGAGCAGGCCTGGAACTCCCTCTTGACATGGGCACCTCAAAGGGGCTGTCATTTTTGGAAACGGGGCCACCATGTAAGTTTGAAGGGTTAACGTAGATAATATACAGATATATCATATGTCATATGTGTATAGATGTATTTGTATGTGTATAGATGCATGTGTACATGTATATGTTTACATGTGCATATATGTATTTGTATATGTGCATTTATGTTTCAAAAAATATGCATGTATGCATGCATGTTTGTATTTTTCTATGTATGCATGTATGTATGTATGTATGTATGTATGTGTGTATGTATGCGTGTTGTATGTATGTAGGTATGTAGGTATGTAGGTATGTAGGTATGTAGGTATGTATGTATGCATGCATGCATGTATGTATGTATGCATGTATGTATGTATGTATGTATTAAAGTAAAAAAATATGTAAATGTATGTACATATGTATGTATATATGCATATATGTAAATATGATATATGTATATATATATATATATGTAAATATATGTATGTATTATGTAGAGCCTTTCTTTGAATGAGCAATTTTTGGTGATATGGAAGCCCATTCAAACAAATGCCAATGGGTTACAGCCAAAGAACGGATGGCATCTCTCATCTCTGCAGGGGTTTTGGCTTCCTCCAACGTCGCTGCCTTTTTTGACTTGGGCTTAGCCTTTGCCTTTGATTTAGAAGAGGGGACAACACCACCTTGGCCATTACGAATCACATCCACCAAGGATTCCAAGCTGGGGCCAGATCCACTGGGGGCAGCCGTAGTCGAACCACCTATTTCCATGTTGTTTGGCAACAAGGTCCCCAATACCTCAGGGGTAGCAGCCACACTGGCGCTGGAAGTCATTCTAACAGCACAAGTCTCCTTGTCAGTGTATTTGGCACCTGTTGTGCACCAAAAACGGGTGCTTGCTGCATCCTGTGGGGCATCCTCGTCAGGGACTCCTCCACCACGCTGTACGATGGACTCGATCTTCTGCCTTGGATCCCAGTAGCAGTCTGGAATGGGCAGGTTTGGGCGATATAGGGGGCCAACTTTTTCAGAAGGAAATTCAGATTTGACCCACCAATGTAATTAAGATAAGGGACTGGGAAAAGCCACGTTGTTGCATTTCCGAGATTGTCAGGCATTCACGGCCCCTTTCCAACTCACCAGACTGTTCCCGATGAACCTGTAAAATGGTCTCGATCTTGTCACAGTTCTCACCGTTGGCCACCCATTGTTGCAGCAACTGCTGCTTCTCCTGGTGCAATGGGAATTAAATGGATATAATAATACAATATAAGCAGATAAGATCAGATGTGTAGTGTATATTGTATATATTCCAAACGAAAATATATACAATAATCTCTACATATCCTATCTATTTATCTGTCTAACTACCTATCTATCTTAAATATATATATATATATTTATATATACAACACATTATATACTTATACATGTTCCGAAACTTCCACCCCTGGCTCACGAAACTTCCACCCCTGGCTGACGAAACTTCCGCCACTGGCTCAGAAAACTTCCATAGTTGTCATGTATACTATATGTGGTTTGACACCTTATCCGAAAAGCAACAGCAAAAAGCAAAGTTGAGCACCCTCACACAATGGGAAACCACCACCCCTGGTTTCTGTCCTTCCGCGACCCACTCCACAGTTTCTGCATTTGCGGACACTCCGCTGTGTCCATAGAGGCCATCTTTCTCGCAAGCCGCGCGTGCGCGGCTCTATGTGTCGAGCTGTTCACGACCTCTCCAGTGGCTGGCGGGGTATCTGCAGGTGGTGCCAAGGCCTTGTCTGCAGGTTCGGTCGAGGTCGGAGGTGTTGGGGTTGCAGGTGGTGTCGGGGTGGCCTGTGGTGGCGGCGTAGATGCGTTCGAGGTTGGTGAATCCGAAGTTGTCGCAGCAGGGCTTGGTGCAGGCTTGGCTTTCTCTGGGGCAAGTGGAAAGGCTTCTGTCGAGGGAGGTCGGGATGCTGCAGGTTCTCCACGTGAAGCAGCTGCATACTCCGAACTTGGTGGGGCCAGGTTTGAAACCAACTGCTGGGCCCACGGCTGGGACATCACGGACTGGAGCAAGCTCAATGCTTTCACAACATCAGCAAGCTGTTCTTGATTGGGAGCTGCAGGTGGCACTTGGGAGGCTGAAGGACCCACCCTGGGATGTTTTCACTGTTGTAAGTTAAAAGGTGTGAAAAGCTTAGTATCATCCCATTTTCATACACTATAGGAATCCCCAAATCACAGCAAACAAGACTACAAATGACAAAACCAAGTTACGAAGATGTCTCCCAAGATTTATCCACAGGTGGATCATGTGCATCTTCCCGAGAAGCTTGGCGCGACAAAGAAGTAGCACCAAGTTGGAGAGTAGTGCACGACCTCAGGTTCACATGTTCAGGCAATAGTTCAAGGTTTTAAATATCGGGCAGCAAACAAAGGTGGGAAGGAAACAACACAAAGAATTACAAACTCACCAAAAAAATGCAACCATGCACATCGCAGTCACAGCATAGACTCAAACTTCGGCTTTGGTTCACCCGCAGCAGGTGCACTTCGAGGTGCCTATATAGGGAATCAAAACTAGCATCCACAAATTACTTGAACAGTAGCACATGTACACACACACACACATACTTGAAGGCATGACCGGTTTTGATACGTGAAAACCCATATGTTTCCATCACCCAACCTTCGACTTCATGGGAGAAGCCGCTTTTTTGATCTCTTCCTCCAATTCCTTGATAGCATTGGCCGATAGGTCGTCCTTTGGGTTATGCACAGGTTGGAGGACAGGCTCAGGTGCAGTCTCGGGCTGGGTCTCAAGCTGGTCGATCACAGCCCCCGTTGGTACTGTGGCAGCAGCAGGTGGAGGGGGAGGCGGTGAATCCGAAGACGTCGTTGACTCAGCCTTAAGATCATCAAGCTCATCTTCACTCATTGAATCATCATCCAACTCACCACCAAACTGCAAATCAGGGTTGAACGTACCATCATCATCTTCCTCCTCCTCACTAGTATCATGCTCTGGACGTGGCTGGGAATCCAAAGTCATTTCCCACTGGGCCCGGGTGAGCTTCTTGGGAGGAGCATTTGATGCGGGAGCTGCAGAAGCTGGGGCGGAGGGTGCTGGCTTAGCACAAGTGCTGGTAGGGGGAGGTCCTGCGGTTTCCATCATCTTCCCACCCTTCTTCTCCTTGTCCGTCTTTTCCTTATCCTTACCAGTTTTCTCCTTACCACTCGTCTCCTTCTCCTTGCCGGCCGTCTCCTTCTTTTTTCCGGTCTTCTCCTTCTCCTTTGTGGTCTTTTCCTTTTCAGTCTTCTCATCCTTGCCAGCTTTGAACTTACACCAAAACTCTTGGGCAGCCTGGTTGGGCCCACACACCTGCAAAAGGATTGCAGAGGCTTCTGCTTCGCTGATCTTGTAGAAGTCCATCAGTTTCTCGATGTTGTTCCAGGTGATGGTGAATTCCGGGGCAGTAGGCCAACCAGTGATGTCTGGGACAGGGCTGGCAGTCCTCCTCTTCTTTCCCTTTGCTTTGGGCACGGGCGGTGGGGCCATGCTTGCTGCAGCACGCTTGGGCTCTGGGTCTCTGGGAGGTGAAGGGGATCGCCTGCTTCGAGTTCGCCTTGGCGGCGTGACAGGAGCTGGAGGTTCTTCCGCCTTTTCAGCCACTGCAGCTTCAGCCATTTTCCTTCGAATGCGCTTGTTCTTCACGGTTCTTTCCACTGGGGCGGTAGGTTCCGAAGGAACACTTGTGGCAACAGGTGGGGCGGATCCTGAAGAACTTGGGGCATCGGGCTCGGCTGGTGCGGGGGCGACAGGTTCGGATCCTTCTTCGCGTTTTCGCTTCAGGGTGGCAAGAAGCAACTCAAGCTGCTCCTTCTTTGTTTTCGCCATGGTTGGCAAAAACTTGGGTCACTACACGAGCAAAATGCCTATAAATTAGCATGGGTTCCACCCAAATTCACAACTTTTTGTTTCACGTTTTTCACGGCATTTCCGCGGCCAATGGCGGTTTTTCCACGGCCAAATGCACGGTTTTTCACGCTAGCTTTTTTCATGCATGTTGGAGAATCCCTCCATTATCAGAAAACCAGGTATGTATTTTCATGGGATGTGGAAAAATCCGCGATTGGCCATGAAAAGGCACAGCGTGCACAAAACGCGTTCTCAAATTATATTTTGCAAACATACCATGTGGAACCCAGTGGCATGACACATCACGCAGCAAGTTGTAGCAGAACAGTATTTTTTGGCATCACCCCAAGGTTCACACCCCAGCGAGTGGCAAGTGCCACTATATCACAGCTAGGGCAGCATATCATCGAATTGCAAATTATTGTGTCATTTTGTGACACTCTACATTGCCAAAAATGGTACAGCAAACTCAATATCTCATGTGGGAGTTCGACAACTGTTTCCCCATTGGGAGCTATCGGAAAGACAGCTCACGAAGAAGGTCTTCCTCAGCCCAAGCTGATGGCATGAACAAAATTACACAGGTCTTTCCCGTATTTTTTAAGCATTTGAAAAAAAAAACTTCGCCCCAAACCACAACACCAAGGAACCCAGGCACCAGGTGCTGACACATACTTGCAGTGGCCAATATACTGAAGCACGTCCATCAACTTAGCCTCACAGGGCAGGGAAAAATATAGCGTGACAACTTGGTGGGGGATGTAGAAGGGACAGGTGTGGAAGGGACAGGTGTGAAAGGAATTGTGGGAAACTGTTGCAGTAAATCTTCACAGAATCAGGTGGGTCTTAATAAGAAGCTCCTCCCCGCGAACTTCCAAAGTAATCATGCAGTTTGATCACATCACTGGAAGTACGTGAAAATATCATTCACCACCCACATGCGCGCATAAATACACGCGTGAAAAAAGTTACTGCTTTTAGCTTCAACCCCGCAAGGCAAGTGTTGCGTAATTTGCATGTACATACTTGCAGTCAAACCACTTCATGCCAGAGATCCGTGTCCCGAAGTGGCATGCAGAAGCGTCGAAAAAGCTCCAAGTCAGAGAGGCCAGCAGGCAATTCCACCAACACTGGAGGGCTTGGCACTGGAACCTCATCCGCACCACGTGTAATATATCATAATATATGTATATATATGTAAATATACATATTTTATATATATATATATATCTATCTATCTGTCTGTCTATCTATCTATCTTTCTTTCTATCTATCTATTGAGAGTCTGTCAATGGAGGTGTTGGCAAGACCCAACATGGCTTGTGGCGCAACCAGTTTTGCATTGTATAATAAATACGGTGTTGTCAAACTGTCAAACCAAATATATTTCTTTTGGAATGGTACAACTTGGAAACTTAAAAATGTCTGGTTTGGGGAATTGTTTAGTACCAAGGTAACCACATTTGTATGGGGATATGATATATATATATATATACGGTGAACTTTTTCCAAGGGGCGTGCATACGCTCCACAATCGTTTCTGCAATGAAGCTCCCGAACTCCTTCGTGAAGGCCCTCAGATGGCAAGGATTGACTCGTGTGTTTTTTTGAAGGTGGAAGTTAAGTACAAAGGTTTCTTACCGTGATACCACCAACACACCTACACATATTGTAGCACCTTTTTGGTTGTAATTACTTGGTAACTCTAGCCAATACATTCTGAAATACCAGGGAAAGCTTGGATGTAAAAACAAAAACGAAAGTTTGAAAATTAACTCCTGTGAGATTCTGTGACTCTTTCAATGCACGTTTATTCCCCACATGACGCTTCACACCAGCACGGTCAACATACTTGGTTGCAGTCTTCACGGTGCAAGCTGCCTGTTCCTCTCGGGACATAAACCCAGCCCTGGCGGCAATCCTACTTAGTAAGTGCTCATCGTTCGAAAAGAGCTTGTGCCTCTTTGGCGTAGGACCGGAGAATTTCCCCATGTAGAAGACACACGAATACACCTTTTCAGGGATTCATAGGCCCAACTGAAGGGAATATGGAATCGATCTGGTATGGATGTTGGATATATTGCTGAAAATATGTCTTTATTTGAATTAAAAGATTTGGCAATTTTTCATGCCAAACAATCTGAACCTTCATTTCGTCACCATTAAGTATTGAGGGAATTCTAATTTGCAATGGCCCCCAACCTGATAGCATCTCAGGAGTTCTTGGAACCGTGGCAACTCAGGCATGAAAGAGTTTCAGGGTTGCTCCAGCACCCACCGTACTTTTCTGAAACAGGCCACCATGATCAAAAGCAGGCATCGACATGCTAGAACATTTCCTAGCTCCACGAAATCGTAGCCACGATTTCCCCACGGCGTGAAGACACTCCGGCCCGACGTGTGCCGGGACCTAATCTAAGGAAATCAGAGCATGCGTGCAAGACCACAAAAAATCTTTAGTGGGAAACACTAGGGCATGAAAAAAACATCACGCCTTGTTAAAGGCAAACCTTTCTCAGCGAAGATACATTATGCTAAACGATCGGCAGTCAGGAGCCATCAGTAGGAGCCCACCCTCCTCAATCCGTAGGACTTCGTTCAATGCCAATCTTAGTGTGACCAAACTCGCAATGGCCAATAGGGTTGAACATAGAGAACAAGGGGTAACATAATTGCCATATTAGAACTTTGGGGGTGCAGGGTTGTCATACATATATTGGGCCAAGAAACACAAAGCCTGCTGGTGAGGCCAAATCAAACACCCGTGGGTCGTCCAGGATATCAAAGTTCGTGCCTCTGAGGTCAGCCTCGGTGAGAAACAATCTGCAAAGAGGTGCTGGATGTGGGGAAAATTTGGAGTTCCTGGGTGCACTCACCCACGTAACATATGACTTGGGGAGTTTGATGCCAATAAGAAACTCTCCGCAGGGCTGCGGATACTTCTCCTTGTCCCGAAAAGAGTTCACAGAAACTACGGTCCTTAGGTTGCAAAAAGTCTCACTCAGTACATGTTTGTACCCTGAATGGCACGAAAGTATGTCAGCACCCCAAATGCCAAAAAACATGCTTTATGTCAATACCCCAGATGCCACAAAATATGTTTTATGTTTTGAAGGGCATCCTGCTATTTTAAAGTAAACCTTGTGTTAAACAGAAACACCAGTACTAGTTGCAATCAAAAATCGACATGATGGGGCATATTCCCCGCCCAGAGGGTCATAAGGCAGACAAGTATAAGCACCGGGGGCGCACGCATAGACAACATCCCTTTGACCACCATGGTGAGGTATGGACAACGAGATTAAGCCGGGGGTTCCTCTGTATATGGTGTGTCCCGTCCACTTTGAGCAAACATTTATGCAAAGGGTTGCAGTACAACCTCGTTTAATCCATGTTCGATCCCACAGCATGTGAAAGAAATTGTCACGCAGTGGCATGTCACCATTGTTTCAATTCATTTTCGATTTCAATGCATGTGAAAAAATATCGTGCAATAGCATGTTGCCTTGTTCAATTCATTTTCGATCCCGGCGTGTAGAGGCCTCCCCAGCCAAACATCAGGTTGCTAAAGGTTCCAACTCAGTTGGTTGGAGCATTGTTTGCAAGGCGTTCCCGCCAAGGATTTGTCTGACTCCCCTTCTCCAGGAACCGTCTCTTTCGAAGTTCCGGGACACTAACAGGAGCCAAAAACTTTGCCTTTTCCAAACTACAATCCCAACATTTAACAGCTTGAGCATGGGATGCCCCTTGTGATCGCATAGCCTGGATGAACTGATTTCGGATAGAACTGTAGTTCCATTCCGGCTTGATATCATCAGGGTTCTTCTTGACACATTTCGGTTTCCCTTTGGTTTTCTTGGTTGAACGCGGCTTCTTACCCCTTGGTTTTGGTTTCGGCGTGTTCTGATTTTCTTTGTCATCATCCTCATCTCCGTCCGAACCCCTGGCAGCCAAGATTGACTTGACATATTGGGCTTCAACTGGAAATGGTTTTGTAGCGCTGGGCACCGCATTCTTCTCCAAAGTGTTCAGAACCTGGGTTGAGTGGAATAGTGAAAACATCGTTGAACAACAGGAAGATATCATTTTTGACTTGTGGAGATCCTACTACTAAAGCAACATCGTACATATCACGTACAGTATATTTTCATGCGTTAATTTGATGGAATTATATATGTTTAGGACCCAAACATTGTGAAACACCACGTAACTTGCGGGGACAAATTGAAAGTTAAAAATAACTTGATGTTTGCGATTTACCTGTGTAGGCAGGAAACATGTTCTGGAAGCACGTGTTCATTCGATACCACATCTGTTTTTTCAGCAGGAGGGGGCACCTGTTCCTTCATTTGCAAAACACGTGCGATATCCCCAAGTTTACCATTCAAGGGTGGCTTGGTATCTGGCTCCACTGGAACAAGAATCTCTTCTTTGGCCACATGGTTCGCATCGTTCATAAGGGCATTTTTCAACATCGTGATTTGGTCACCAAACCGCCTAATCTTTTCCTCTTGGGAAGATGCCAAACTGGAAGAGAGATCCGACTTTGACACATCGCTGGAAGGTGCTCCTGCTGCACCTCGTCCACAAAGCGCTTGGAGGCCGGAATCTGGGCTGGCATGCCGGTCTCGAGGGGCAGCGTCTCCGCTCTCCTAAGCTAGCTAGTACGTCAAACAGGTGGGACCAACTGAGACCAAGACTTGATATCAATATCCCATCAAAAACGGTTACAGACTCAATATACAAACAGGGGATAACAGATAGAGGCATGAAAATAAATCAGGTATATCAACAGCTAAAGTCTAGCTTCATCATCCTTGGATTTCTTTTCCGTAGAATTCATGGGGACAATGCTCCATCCAGCTTTCCGGGCATCTTCTTTTAACGAGGTCAATCTCTTGGATTTGGCATTTTTGGATCGCTTCATCAAACGACGTAACCGAGAGGCCTAGGTTGAGACAAAACTTAAAGGGGTTGAAACATGGAGGATAATCAACCTACTTGATTTATGGTGGTTTACCAACAGAAAAAAAATCATGAAAATTGGCCAGAACCTGAAACTGGGATTCACCAAAGATTTTTCATTTGATTCAATTTGCAAACCCAACACATATAACACCCACATAGTAAAGTTGGATCTTGTCTACTCGATGGTACTAAACGCTTCAAGGCTTTCGCATGTTTCTCAGCCCATTCTTGGACTGCCGGCAATTCGGCCACGACCCCTGACGGGAAGAGACGGTACTGGCTATAGTAGTGAAGGATAGCACGTTTGAGAACTCTCTGAGATAGACGTGGTTGACCTTGAGATCCTTTGACCACAGCCAGTAGAACCTACCGTATGCGAATGGGATTCACAAATGTCTCAAACTTCAAAATTGGTTTCTTACATTCAGACGACATATGTGAATAGATCCATATCTCATATCTCCCACTTAGGCTTTATGTATTCGAGAATTGGACGGCACCAACAAAAACTTGCATATCTATCCATGCATGTAGACCCCCATAGTGCCTCCCGGTTCACAGTGATGTCCTTGATCGTGGGCTTCTTATGAACACGTCCAGAATGATCGACAATCAGCGTCATGCCAACCTGGGATAGAAGATTTACGGATATGTTTTGCATGCCCTTATAGGACATGTAATATATACAGATCACTCCCGAGAAAATGGGTTCATCATGCAAATCAAATTTGAACACCCTAATGAAAGTAAGTTTTTTTGGCAAGTACCAAGAAACTTCCCGTAGTGCCTTCTGTTCACCAAACGCTCTGGTGAAAGGGAGGTGGGCATCAGGAGAATCCCGGCAATCCGATTCATCACTGGAGTCATCAGCCATGGCACCCCTAGAGGTTTGGAATTGGCTACTGCAAATCCTGTGTGTTTCAGCCAAAGCAAATGGGAATAATTAGTCCAATAGGCCCCATATCAACTTGAACAATAATCCCAGAGACGTCCCAAAACTGCTGCAGAAACCCTAGCCATGGTCGGCGCAGGCAGCGGGGCACTGGAGAATGAGCGTTTTCTCGCCGCCTGGCATGTGGCGATGGCAATGAAATCAACCGTGATAGCTCAGGAAGATACAGGCACAATTGCACATATATAGTATTACAATTCGTGGGGCCCAACATATGGCTTTTGAAACCATGTTCCATTGTAGTTGTATGATTTTCCAAGCATTCCACGTAAACTACAACTTGTTACAACTACTTAAAAGGTGGAATGTCGAATCAAATCATAAATTTCACTGTAAGTGGATTGTTGAGTCAGTTCATTGCTGCATATTGCAATGTGTTGCATGGCCTGAAGCTGGGTATTTACGGAATGTGCTTTTTGTTTTTTCGCAAAACACCTCTATTCCCAACGTATTTTTTTCATGCAAGAATCAACCAAGTGAGAATCCAGATGAACCCAGTTTCACGACACCCCGGCGACTTGCGAGCATGGCGGAAAACACATGTCAGGTCCACCATTCTTCATAGGTCCAGGCTGCAGAAAGGGCTATGGCCACACCTGCACACAAGTTGGATGGTTTACTGGCACCTTCTACACTGAGAATCCAATTATGGCAGGTGTTCATCCAAGAAAGGAAATCGGAAATAGGTTTTGCGTGATTTGCAACGGTTTTAAAGAACCTCAAGAAAACCCACCTCAAAGAATGGAATGGTGGATCATTCGACATGGCTCGTTGCATGCGCAGCGGCGAACGCGGTGACAAAGATCACCAGGTGCATGAGTGGTAAGGTTTGAATAAAACCGAAGTGAAAGGCTTGACCCCTCGACATGAACCCCTGGAAAAGTCACTTCATGGAAACCTAGACTACCATATTTCGAAAATCTTTTGGGCTCATATAGGCTCACCTGGTTTAACTGTTTTTCGGTCACACGGCCTGAAACAAACCTGTAGCAAAAGGTGTGATTGTTTAGTTGGCCCAGTAATATGCTTCCCACCATGCCCTTGCTTGGCGCAGCACTCCGGCGAGTGAAGTGACATGTGCAGTGGTGATGGTGGAAAAAAACAACCTTAGACATATATACATACTCCACTTCTTAAATATGATTTATGGGTCTGAACTTGTTACTTTATTATATATTGTGGTTTCTTGTTGTGGGAAAATGATAGTTACACATCAATTACATATCTGTTACAACCAGACCATATGCACCATATATATATATATATAGATTTGGATTGAAAATGTGTGCTGTGTTCTTTGAAGAAGGAATATGTTGACATTCTGATAATTTCCACCATCACCACAAAAGGCCACCAAAACCTGGGCACCCAAAAAATGTGACCCACAGACCTTTCCACAAATCCAGCGGGTGAAAAAGCAGAAGCCAAAACCAACCAGTTGGGACAGATTTTTAATGCACGAATTCCCATACAGCGTTTGTTTTCACAATGGCATTTCTTTGCGTTTTACTGGTCCACCACACGTACAATACGAAATTATCAGCCCATGTTTTGTGATTTGGGGGATTTGAAATTCCACCGCATCTTTGGCCAGGAATTTGATCCAAACAGGTCAGGTGTGCACTTCGCGTGCATTGCTAAATTTGTAGATGTAATTAGATAAACAGAAATAGAGGTGAAATGTTTTTATGGATGGGTAATGGGCCCCCACAACTAACACAATATAAATGCCACGGGTTCCTTATATATAAATACAATTTTATAAATATAGGAATACACACACGTACACACACACATTCATATATATATATATATGAGGTATATATTTATATATATATGGATCTAGACACTTGCATGATATTTCTTTATATATATATAAAAACACACACATAGATAGAATCCATGTTCAAAACATGGATTCTATATATATAATCCTTTTCCATTTTTTCGCAAGGGCTTTGGGCAAGACACACGCCCAAGAGATCTAAAGTCCAAAGTTAAGCTTGCCAAGCCTTCAAAGTTCACAGTTTTCTCAGCTTCATCAGGAGCTTATTATGCCAAAGTGTCACAGTGTCAGTTTTCATGTCACATTCACCGGTTGGTGACTTTCACCGTTTTCACGGCCATTGTTTTCACAGTGTTTACCAATTTGCACGGTTTTCACGGTTTTCACGGTTTTCACGGCTTCACTGGTTTCGCGGATTTGTCTATTTTCACGGTCTTCGGCAGTTTCACGGTTTTCACGGTTTTCACGCACACCGTGTTCAGTTGGAAACCTAAAGCCCGTTTTCACGCATGAAATGGGGACTTTCCACCTATTTTCATGGCCAAATGAATTTCCACGGCCATTTGGTATTTCCACGGCCAAATGGCTTTTCCACGGCCATTTGGCCAAATGATCATTGGCCACCGTTTTTGCGATCAAATGGTTCCCCAGGTTCGTCTTCGGGGGGGAATTCGTCTTCGGGGGCAATTCGTCTTCGGGGAATTCGTCTTCGGAATTCGTCTTCGGGGGGGAATTCGTCTTCGGGGGGCAATTCGTCTTCGGGGAATTCGTCTTCGGAATTCGTCTTCGGGGGGGAATTCGTCTTCGGGGGGCAATTCGTCTTCGGGGAATTCGTCTTCGCAGTTCGTCTTCGGGGGGGAATTCGTCTTCGGGGGGCAATTCGTCTTCGGGGAATTCGTCTTCGCAATTCGTCTTCAGGGGGGAATTCGTCTTCGGGGGGCAATTCGTTTTCGGGGAATTCGTCTTCGCAATTCGTCTTCGGGGGGGAATTCGTCTTCGGGTGGCAATTCGTCTTCGGGGAATTCGTCTTCGGAATCCGTCTTCGGGTGGGAATTCGTCTTCGGGGGGCAATTCGTCTTCGGGGAATTCGTCTTCGTAATTCGTCTTCGGGTGGGAATTCGTCTTCGGGGGGGAATTCGTCTTCGGGTAATTCGTCTTCGGAATTCGTCTTCGTCTGCGGGTGGAAATGTCTTACCCGCACAGCGGGCGCAATGCATACATACATACATACATACATACATACATACATACATACATACATACATCCATACATCCATACATCCATACATCCATACATCCATACATCCATACATCCATACATCCATACATCCATACATACATCCATCCATACATCCATACATAATCCATACATCCATACATAATCCATACATCCATACATTATCCATACATCCATACATAATCCATACATAATTCATCCATCCATCCATCCATCCATCCATACATCCATACATCCATACATCCATCCATCCTTCCATCCATCCATACATCCATCTATCCATCCATCCATCCATACATACATCATACATCATACATACATAATCACACATACATAATACATAATACATATTTCCATTGGCTGCCTTGGTTTTTGAGCTGCCTGCATGATTGAAACAACCTCTACTATTGTTGATCTTGATTTGAACCTCCTGAAACCCACTGATTCCGCCACGTCGCATCTTAATATGTTCATCCCGTTGATCTCTTCGAGATAATCGGCGACCAGCCCACAGGTAGTTCATGCAGAGCTGTGTTGAACTGGCTGGCAACTGCTTTGCCAACCGCACAACACTGCAATTGGAATGATTATAGCATGAGATCGATATCGAATGCCCTGGAGTGCCGACCTTGAACTCTGTGATCCTACCTGCAGCAACACAAGCACAAATGATTGCAACTGGAAGGTGCGCTGACCAATCATCAATATTTTATCAATCCATCATCCGGTGTCCCTGGACCTCAACCCCTTATTGTTGATGAGCTCTCACTTCAAGAAGTGATATTCAGCAAGTGTTGATTGATATGCCATTCATGCCCTATGCTCATTCATACCTGATCTATGGTCATAGACATGACAGAGATCTGATCTAATGATCTATGATCTATGATCTGATCTATCTATTGATCTTGTCATGTCTCACGTGCTTCCAGGTTACCCACTGCAATGCGTTTGCCAGAAGCAAGGTCAGCCAACACTCGTTTGTTGGATGGATCTATGAACATGTGTACTGGTTCTTCTTCAGATCGAGCAGCAGCGGCAGCAGAAGACACAGGCTCTGGCCCTGGCTTCGAAGATGAAGCGGCGTCACCCCTTGCTGACTTTGAAGTCTTCGATTTCGATGTTGAGCCGTGGCATTCAGATTTGCCATATCTTTGCTGAATAGCTGCATTCCATTCATCTTCAACTTCATCAGTCGCAGCAGTTGGGTTTGCCAGTCCTGACTCCAGATTTGCTTCTGCTTGGGCGTCAAATGATGGAACCAGCTGAGCAACCAGCAAGTCACCCAACGATACTTCCTGAACTTCGTTCTGATCATCCAATGGATCAAGATTCTCAGGCTTTTTACCTTGGGTGTTGCATGTGTGCAGCAACTGTACAGTACAGTATGTGTCGATTGAAAACCACTCAGGTCAAGTCATCATCAGAGTCTGTAATTTGTAATAAGTAAGTAAGTAAGTATTGTTTAATATGCCATTGCCATGGTATCTGAATTTGACACAATTAAATCACAAACTGACATAATGACACACAGGCATAGTCACATGGTTTTCTTGGAACATTTACTTTTTTGAGGTTGAAATGACCCAAGTCAGACTGCATAGTTACTGAACCTGCAGACAAGATACTCTGGTGTGTCCCACGCTGCTTTTTGGAAACTGCTGGCAGAAATGATACACTGGCATTGGCGCTCTTGTCCTTGGAATTGCGCTTCCTCTTGCTGCCGCTGTTCAGCCTGGAAACAATGTTGCCCGCCGAAAGCAAAGCTGCTTCTTCTGGATCTTGATTTTGACCAGCTTTACTTGCGCAATCAGAATCCAAAAGAGATTGAAAGCTGTTGTGTCCAATGGCTTCTTCTACATACGTCTTGTGGTGATGCTTGACCAGGATCACATGGTCACTGATTGGGTCCAGCTCATAATCCATAACCAGTTCGCATTTGCTGGTGTCATCCCAAATATGACTGAACCAAATAGCGCATTCAGTCATGCTATCAACCAATGGGCAAAGCAGCGATGAACCCATAAAGCACTGAAATTGAAGGACCACCTTGTACTTGTACGATGCATCAGCGATTTGGTGCACACTGCAATGTTGCAAATCCACTTCGAGCGGGTTCAGAGAAACTCTGCAAACCAAGCGAGCGTGAACACCCCGAGCATTCTTGACCAATATCACTGGGAGTTTGCAGGATGGGCTGAGATACTTCAAACGTCCAGTTCGAATGTCACGTTGAGCAGCCATGATTCTGCATATGCTCTTCATCATGTCAATGGCTCTGTGCAGCAGGGAAGCATTCTTGATATCATCCCTGCAGTAACGTCCACATACCAGCTGACAGCAGTGAATGTTTTCGAGTTCATCTTGGGGTGCAAGCTCAAATGGAGTCTGCTTGATAACTTGATTGTGCTCGGATTGAAAACATGCATTTGTTTTCGACACAAAGCCTGGAACTTCTGCTAATGCCTTTTCCACAAGTTTCTCAGATATTGCAAACTCTCCATCTCCAAGCCCATGAAGAGCATGATCATGATCTTTCTTGGACAAAAATGAAGCAGCTTGGCTGCATCCAGCAGCATTGGTGACCAAGTCAGTTGGTCGTTGAACTCCTTCATGCGGAACCAAGTCTAGACCAGTGTCCTGACCAAAAGAATTCGCATCGTCCAGCAAGCAATTCCTGTTTGCAAACGCAACCAGTTCTTTCGGTTTGACAACAGAAGGCATCTGTGGAGACGATGTTCCAAGCAAATTGCTTTCGATGGCTGCATCTAGCAAACAAAACTGATGTTGAACTGCTTTCGCTGCTTTGGTGGCTGCAGCATCTTCACTGCGTATTGACCTGGTTGCACATTCAAATCTCACTGAAACATGACATGTAAAATACGCAACTTGACTTGCCTTAACATAAGTAGTAAATAAGATATTATATAATATAATATTATATAATTATAATATAAAAATAACACACCATCATCTGCCATCTGGAGCATGCAGCCTGCCTTCCCCTAGGTCTACTTTGCAATGGATTGTGAACCGAATTCAACTGTGACTGTAATTCAAACCTGAACCAACCAAAGCTGCACCACCGCTGAGTTGATTACTATTCAGACTATTCAACTTCTTCTCAATTCCCCAGATTGATCAGTCTTCTGCATGTTGATGATAGCTGCTGATGTTTGTTGACAATTTACAGTAGCACCAGCGGCCAGCCGCAAAATCCAATAAGATAAAAAGGCTGTCACTGCCATTATCAATGTTTACTGCCGAGGCACAGTTGGCGGTTCAGCTTTGTAGTCTGATTGGCTTCTTTTGCTTTCTGCGAGTATGAACGTCTCAGCCGCCTCATCTCAAAAGACTGTTCATTCCATTTGGCAGTTGCCCGTTTGGAAATGAACGTGCGCTTCTCATTCCAGCTGGCTTCCTCCAAATCAGGTGGAAGCTGTGCAGTGGAATACTCATCTTTCAGAAACAAGTTATAGCCATTGGTGCGCGCCAAACCTGGTCATACAGCGCACTTCCGAAATATGAATGTTTGTTGTCCCTTGACCCTTGATTATCTCCAAATGATATGGCATGCTTTCTGTATCAGATGGCTTGGGCATTGGCCATAGACTGCAATTACAATCGGTAAACACAATCATGAACTATTCTTCATGTCATGCTGCATTCTGCCTATCAAACGACTGAGTCCGTGAAGAACCTGAATCTGAATTTTGAATGCTAATGAATAATGAATAATGTGTCGTCTTTGAGTCAGTGACAATGAGTCAAAACTGTAAATGAACCTGAACCGTACTGGTGGCTCACTCCATGTTCAACCCTGCCTTGCTTGGACGATTTCAAGTTGGATGACGCAGTCTCACCAGCATCGATGCTCCTCCTCTGATGTCACGTGCTTCGACACCATTGATGATATCAAACAACTTTTGCCATGAGTGGTTGATCTTGTATGAGTGGCTCTTGCGAAATTGAGTTCGATTTCCACATTGCTAACTTTGGCCCTGAACGCCAGTTGAAGATCCACATTGACATTTCCTTGTGTCAATGCCTTGACCACTGAGAGATCAGCATGGTCCGCAGATTCATCTCTAGCAGCCTGGACAACTGGCTGAGCAAACAACTTTTCCAAGCAGCATGGTTTCAACCTGCAAAGAAACATGGCCACCTTCTTCTTGTGATCATCGGACAGAGAACTGTCCACCAATTGCGCCATAATGGAAGGGGTCCGTCTATAAGGTCGCACGAGACGATGGAAAAGCTGACCCATTGTCATGATAGTGTACCAAAACCTTTGCATTCTGGAATCTGACGGTGCACGCCCTGGCAAACCTAGGCTGAATTGAACATCGGCTTAGTCAGCTGTCATCCACAATCTACCAATGCAGTCACACAATCAAACAGTTTCTCAGATGATTAGGAATTAGGAACTACACGGTTCCACCTTCTCCCAGCCCTGCTTACAAACAATTCTTAGATGTTTTCCGGTCGACGGTCTACTGACAACTGCTACAGTTGACGAAACTTAAGCCAAATCAGTGCAAAGTCATGAAGCAGAAACAAACCCAAGCCGACCCTGTTTGGGGCGCGACTGTCAGATCACGGAATGCAGTGGATGGTTCCCACAGACTATTCATTGCAATCAACAATAATGACTAGTGACTAATGACACCATTCCATTTTTCTGCCATAAGTTACCTGTATTGTAAACTGTAAACCATTGTTACATACACTTAATAGTCTTCTCCTGGTCCCCAAACAAGGCACTGTTCAGACATCCAAGAAAACAGTAATCAGTAATTAGATTGAAAACAGAGTAGCTGCAGTCACAAACAATACAGCGATGGCTCTATTGCTATCGCTTAACCTGAGGGTCGCCCATCACGGCTCCAAACCACTTGCATAATGACTGGACTAGGAATAGTGAGTTGCCTGGCCCACCATGAAAAACTAGCAGTGGAATTTGGAATCATTGGAACAAGCAAAAAAACATGACTTCTGTTTGCTGCTGACTGCTGGCAATACATCCAAGCTACTCCTGGGCAAATGGTCAAATGTCTTGAGAATTGTATTGGACACCTCATCCTGCTCCCCCAACGGATTGCAACCCATCAAGCACCGGGCCAGGTGATGAATCGACCGCATGGCTGGTGAGTTCTGCATATTCGCCATCTTGACAAATGGCACTTCTGCCAAGTCTGGAGAAAGCCATGCAGAACTGCTCTGCCATTCAAACTGCTGGTGCAGAATGCGTTCAACTGGTGTTAGCACAGCAACTGCGATATACAATTTGAAAATGGTGTGGTCATCAGAAAGAAGCCGCCAAGCTTTCTCTGATCCTGATGCGCATGCTTGGCCCTCACCATGCCATATCATATGTCATTGGCATGAATCAGAACAATGGGTGGCAGGCGGCGGAAAGAAAAAACACAAATGACTAGCTTCTGGAGAAACTACCTAGTCTATCTAGCGACACTCACAACAGCCCACAAAGGGAAACAACAATAAGTGAGTGAGCAAGTGGTGGTGCAAAGTTCATCCTGCAATATGAACGTGAGTCCGTGAGTCTGTATGTACTGGACTGTACATGAGTCACCAGTCGCAAACATGGTACTTGAATAAGCAGCTTCTCATATGGTAAAATGGACATCTTGGGAAGAACACACGCACACACCCTGAGACCTTGACAAGTGAGGTCCTCAACATGCATCACGCCCTGAAAATTTAGCCCTGGACTCAAACAATGTCAAGATACTAGCCCCCTTCATCTTGTAGTGCAAGTCTTTGGAACTTTCACATTGGCCCATCAACTGGTCCATCAAGATTTCTGGCCGATCAGAAAGGTCTTGCTCCCCATCACCATGTGGCTTGTCTGTGTAAGAATACAGCCGCGCAAAGCCACGTTGAAGAAGACGATGTAGGCCCAGCTGGAGCCTAAGAACCCAATCAGCAAGTGCATTCATAGGCGGTCATAGGTTTCAGACTCCCGGTCACCCGACACATGTTTGCGCAATCAGTTGCTGCTAAGACTGCCCAAACTGAGCTGATAATTGGCATTACTATTGGTTGATAGTATTTGATGGTTTTTCCTCATCAATGCACTGCACTGGTCTTGCAGTAAGCTTAATATAATTTAATTTAATTTAGTTTTTCATATATATATATATAATAATTATATAATATATACTTATAATATAATATTATTATCATATAGTAATTTAGTAATATATAATATAATTATATAATTATATAATTATATAATATATATATATATACTGGACATGGAGCAAAGTGCACAATTGCATACGAGATTCAGCAAAACACGGGCTGTCTTCACACAACTTGTCCACCGTGAAATGACTGGTATCGGAGGTCGGGTTCGGAACGCGACCGCCTGCGAAATCATAAACATGCAAGCAAACCATACAATTGAAGCATGGTCAAGTCAAGCCCTGCAGCTACCCTAGATCACATCTGTCTGCCTGCCTGACAGTTCGACTTATGATTTAACATAACTTATGACTCATGACTTGTCTAATCATCTAATCTAAGCACCTCCACCTACTGTTGTTTGAAGAAACCATTACCTTGCCATGCGGCTGACCATGCTTAATGGATAGCCAACCATCTGAGGCTAACAACAAACAAACATGTCTCTCACCCAGTGGCATATCTGGCCTGGACTGCCACCCAAAATTTCAGCTTGGCCTCTTTGACGGAAGTACAACACCCCAGCTGGCAGGTATGACACATCCTGTCTGATTTCCATGGTCCGTTGTCGATATCCAGCAGAAAGTCCGCTGCTTCCAACCGCCGCCTCCTTGAAAGACAAGGTCCTTCAAGGTTGTCATCTGGATCACCCTCATCAAACATAGTCAAAAAGGTTGCTTGCAGAAGAAGAAAATTTTCCTCCCGCACCGTAGCATCTGGCCTCAAGTATGAGAGTGGCAAAACAATGAGAAAAACCGAACTCAAAAATTGTTGAAGCTTGTGCATAGTCAGATCCAACATCGCATGTCGGAGAGTCTATGAGAATGAATGTTGCCATCAGCCTCACATCGTGTTTTGATTTTGACATGTTACTTAAGCTTTGGTGAACCAAAGCAAACACACACAGCCTTTTTAAAAATGAATTCTGAAAAAAAAAACTTTAAAATATTTTATAATTTTAAATATATATTATATATATTATATTATATATATAATTATATATATTTATATTTATATTTATTTTTATATATATGATTTCGATTTCGATTCTGAATTATATTATATTATATATTTATGAAATATGAATTTTGACCCAGGATTGGATTTTGTTAGGTGTCATTGATTTGGCCCTGTATCAGTGTCATTTAGTCATACTGTGACGAAAACCTAATTGCTAGTTGATCAACTCAAGAATTGGTCACTATTCGCGAACCCAAAAAAACATTGCCATGCGGCATTGTATAATCTGTTCAGCCAAGCCTGTTGATGGTTGAAAAAGCACTCGGTCATGGAACAAATGCCATGCATTACGCAAAAACATGCAACCAAAACGACATTTTTTCCATCAGCAAACCAATTTCACACCAGAGCAAGCCAAACCATACTCTTGTAATTTTCTTGCAGACATGTTATTTCTGTTTCGGTCAGGTTGTAGTTGCCCAGCTGTCGAAAAGAAACTGCCAAGGAACTCTCCATAGTCCACCACCATGGTTTCATCGATGATATTCCAAATGTGAACCAGCAAGTCAAACCAAGTTGAACCATTGCACAACGTGTTTGCCAAGCAGAACCTCAGCCGATGACCAATAGTCCATGAACAGTTGTAAGTTGTAAACCACCATGAATCATCAGACTCATGACTCATGACTCTCATACTCCTCTCATAATTCATAATTTTCAAAAAAACCTTCTACTTCTACTAGCGAAAGCATGTAACACTTGTCGGATTGATTCTGTAGTCGCTGTGTCCCACGGTTTACTGCAGGCCATATGCAGTGAGTAGGCCAATCCCAAAACACAAAAAAAAACAAAACCCGCAATGCCAAGACCAGTAACATACCTGACAGGATGTTCAGCCCTCGCCAAACAGGTTCAGACACATGGTTCGCTCCATGCCTTGGCCATTGAATAGAGCATCTGTGAACAAAGCAACATGTTTCTTGCATCCAGGGCAAGGGTGGAATGCACAACAACTAGCGAAGCAGCACGAACTGTCCCTACGAACTCCAGAAACATTGGCTACACTGCGCTGATTGCAGTCTACCTGGAAAGTATTAGCTGCAGCAAGAATGGGAGTAGCAGTCAGTAGGAAATTCTGTATGTGTATGGGCAAGAATGTGATTAGTAGAAGTAATGGTACCATGCGGTAGCCATGGTAGTAGTGGCAGCGGCAGTAGTAGCAGTAGCACTTCTAGCCCATAGCAAGCATGGTTTCAGCTAGTAGCAGCAGTAGTAGTTCCAGTAACGGTAGCAATAGCAATACTAGTCTAGTAACACAATAGTACTAGTAGCAGTGGGTAGTCCTAGGTAGCAGTAATGATATCAGCTGTAGCAAAGCAATAAGGACAAAGTATTTTGTTTTTGTTGTAGCAGTAGCAATGGTGAAAGTAGAAGTAGTAGAAGCAAAAGTGCAGGTTGTAAAACTGAAAATAATTGAATTACAAAAGTACAGAATAATAATGATGCAATATTAGTCGACAGTTATTATGAACTAATTACAGTACTACTAATGGTGTTGGTGGCAGTAGGCATAGTAGTAGCAGTAGTAGCAGCAGTACCAGTAGTAGCAGTAGTAGCAGTGGCAGCAGTAGTAGCAAGGGTGGGAGGAGTAGCAGTAGCAGTATCAGCAGAAGTAGCAGTAGTAGTAGCAATGGCACGATAGTACTAGCGGCAGTAGTGATGGCAATAATGCTTCAAGTCGTAGTAGCAGTAGAAGTAGAAGTAGAAGTAGAAGTAGAAGTAGTAGTAGTAGTAGTAGTAGTGGTAGTAGTAGTAGTAACAGTGGTAGTAGCGCTTACATAGGGGCAGCAGAAGCAGCAGCGCTATTAGTGGCAGCAATAGGAGTAGTGGTATTAGGAGACAGTGCTGACGCAAGTGGTAGTGGCAATCGTCAATTCAACTGTACCTGATTTGGTTGACACCGTTTTGAAAATATCTTTCATATTTGTTTCGTAGATGGTGTAAAGACTGTGTCAGTGAAGTGTATCAGTATCAGTATCTGAATCTGATCTAAGTGCTGGCTTACTTGCGAATCACACTTTAAAAACAAAACTGTACTGTAAATTATAGCAGTCTATCAGTATAGTCTGTGGTACAAAACAACCTCGCAATTTGCGGAACCAATCCTGACCAGACTACTTGTACTATCTTGTATATTTGTTCTGTTCCAAAAGTACCATGGCTATGAGTAGTCACATTCCGCACCCATTGCCAGAGACTGGAAGTTCACATTCACCGCATCATACCAAGCCACGTCTCACAAGAGGTCCACATGAGCCAAGGTGTAGGTGCATCAGTCTGCTCACGCATAGATTTGAAGAGGAAAGATGCGAGCCGGATATTTGCTCCTGCGACGACGGTGTGACTGGTAACATGGGCAGTGGCTGTCATGAGTCATAATGCAGTTTCATTCTAATCGGAATGATAGGAGGTCATTGGTCATGATCTTTCAAAGAGAGTTAGGCTGTGACAGCCTAAGTTAGGCTGTCAGAAACTACCCTGGCTGCAAACGTAGGAGTCAAAAGCTTTGAGATTTCAAAAAACCCCGGCTGTAAGCGTAAATGTCCTGCAGCATCTGATAGCAAATGCAAGCAAAAGCGTTTGGATCGCATTTGCACGTCTGTCAGGGTGGAACGCAAGGCAAGGCAACATAAACATAACCATCTCTACGTCATCAGCTGTTGCCAAAACACTAATACTGACTCCGCTTCACAGAGACACAGGAAAATCACACATTGCAAATGACACTAAGAGCAACAAGATCGATAATAATTAATAAGTGTTTCTTGTGTGTCTCAGGATTGCCCAAAGCATGTCAGCGTCCACTACACCGCCTAAACACTTGCACCTCTCCAAACAATTCACTTTCCAGCCAAAAACTCACAAGTTAGTAATAGTAAAGAAGACGATAGTGAAGTTTTGTCAATTTATAACTTATAAATCATTAATTCCATGTCCATATTTGACATGTATCATCATGTATCTGTAATCTGTATTTAATATAATAATTAATAATTAATTAATCTAATAATGATAATATTAATATTATAAATTATACAGTACAATATATGGTGTGATGACTCAGTTGAACTGCTTCCCCGCTGCGTAGCAGTGTGGTCTTTTTGTCTAATTGCTTTCACATGTGCCCTTGCTGGTATGTGTCTGAACTGAATGAAACCCACTTGTGCTCCCCAACGCCAAAGCCTGGAATGCTGATGGGAATCTTTGCCTGTATTCCAGACAAAATGGACTCTGCAGTTCCATCTTGGATCACACAAGGCGGCACGATCATTGTGTGGTGCCTCGCTGGCGAACAGAACCAACTTCATGAACCAACTTCATTGACCAACAGAACATGCCAGTTGCCAATCTCAAACTTAGGTTGAAATGGAAACTAATAAACAGTTAAACAGAATGCAAAAGTAAAGTCAATCTGGGAACTGAGCCAAGATCTCAAAAGAAATTCAGCGCCGCCACTCCCCTCCAAACACATTTCAAGCCGAGCTGCTTCCATGGAGAATCTGGCTGCTGCGGTCTCATAAGGACTTCCATCCTTTGCACCTAAGCTGGCAAGATGAACTGGCACCGTGATTTGAGCATGCGCGCGTACACAGAGCCACTGAAACATCACCATTTCAAAAAAATCCTTCCAGAAACCAGCTCTTGAAGCAAGGCCTAACCCTACACCCTAACACAAACCACCAACGAACGATAATTCATCAACCAGCAAATTACAAGCAAGCAAACCACCATTGACATTGACTCAAAAATCATGGATCAAATCAAACCCGATCAAAGAACAGAGCCAAACAGATGTCAAAATCTTGATGTCACTGCAGGCAGGTTTGAAATAAACATCTCAACATTGCCGTTCGATTGCAAGACCGCATGATCTTTTTGCATTCATGGAACTAAGACCGGCATGACGCCATCAACAGCAATGATACCACGTCGTAGTCTCAGTTTCTGGGATGATTCATCCCATTCCAGGGCTACCTTCACAAAGCTTGGCCTTGACTCCAGAAATAAGCAGTGAACGAAGATTTGCTGCAGCACCAGGAACAAGTGCGTCAAAGCGTTCCGAACCTCAAGCAAGCAAGATCAGCCAAATGCGTTACTTGGCTTGGCAACTGTACCATATTCCCTGAAACATGGAGCAAACGGTGTAACTGCATGGACATTATGGTCATGAGGTCATGCAACCTGCTTGCAACTGCCTGAATATATGGGTCTTCCCAACCAAAACATATTGGTTTATTTGCATAAGTTACACACATACATTCATATCATATATGACATCATATATGATGTAATATAATTAAAAATATATGTGTGTAATAGTTCCAACATTATGAATTATAAACATGTTTGATATGATCTACTCATGTTTATATAATAATATATTATTATTAATAATTTAATAATTATTATATTAAATTATATAAACATTATGGGATACAGGGTTTTTTGAACACACACACAAAACATACATGCATGAAACCATTCCCCCACTGCATGCACATCAAATAAAACACATGAAATGCAACCAGGCATGCCTCACATAATGCATGCATGATGTATGTATAATACATGCTGCATACATGACATACTAGTACAGGTGCGTACGTACATGCATACATACATACATACATACACACATACACACATACATACATGCAAGCATACATACATACATACACATACATACACATACATGCATGCATGCATGCATGTATGCATACATACATACACACACATACATAATGATGCATTCATACATACATCATACATAATACATACATGAATGCAAAATACAGACTGACTCATATATCATACGTCATGCATTATACCTACACTGCCTACGCATACATAAACAGATACAGAAAGATGCAGACTGTGATGCAGGTTCAAATACATCAAACAGATTCATATACACACAGGACAGTACGTACATACATACCCATTCTGTACACAGTACACAGTACACAGCACACAAGCACATATTTTCCAGAACATAACTAATGCTTCCTGTGCGGACATGGCATGGCAAACCATGGTATCTTCACACTCCTTGGTCCTTGCCCGACCATGAACAAAGCCCGCCCCGTTTCTTCCTCACTCTGAAAAAAAAACAAGTCAATGTCATCTGTCATCAGCCATAACTTCAATGCACCACCATTGGCAACTATCACGCTGCATACTGGAACGAAAACTTCTTGGCCAAGGCTCGCTCCCAATGTACTTTGATGTGGAGTTCAACCAAAAGGCAGTGGAGGACAGTGAGAACATTGCCTGGGGTTGTTTAGATTCAGGTTCAAATCATATGGACTAACCGTGTGACCACTGAGTTGTCACCCCAAAATCATGAATGTGTTGGGTCTTGGGTCTTGGGACATCACTCAGACTCTTCCAAATGAAGGGCAACTGTTTCCGAGTTGCAACCCAGGCGCTGGAACCTGTTCCCTGAGCGACCGAGACTTGTGACGGATACCAGAGATAGGTGCATTTCCAAACCTGGGCTAACATCACTGCGATCCGACCGCCACATGGGGCCTGTGCACTTTCCAACCATATTGCGATCCCAATCCATGCATCAGCTTCCAGTATCAGACGGCAGCTACTGACAAAGTGACTGCAAATCTGCAAACTTAAACATAAATTTTACTTGATAAGCGCAGTGCATGTCTGAAAAGGAAAGCTGCAGCTGCACATGCATACAGGCACCACACACAGAGATGTGATATATGATTCATGATTATATGAACTATATGATTGTGACACAACAGACCAAGCTCCATATGGCTTGAGGTGTCATCAAAGCATCCCTTCCCAAGTTAAGAAGGAAATATGAACATACACTGAGACACTCATACACGGTTACATCAACTGCACCATGATCTGTATGACTCTGTGATACACAAGATACAAAACAAGAGATATGATATGACCGACATGAATGCGACACCGTCCCAATCAAACTGACCCTGCGGAAAGCCAAGAGACGTGGCCCGAAGCATTGCCCGGCCAGTAAAAGACTTATATTTTCCTCTTCCAGTTGGCCGGTGCCGCAGAGGAACGCCGCACTTCATGTTGAACTTATCCGACTGTCGAATGGCGTGTTGGTTGACTTTCTTGACCAATGTCCTCAGACACGTCAATTGTCAATATGTAGCTTGGGTCTGAGTGCGGGGCATTGCTCTTAGCTTTATTTAGTTATTTAGTTGGGAAATCAGTCTTAGTTTTGATATGTGTTGATCATCATTACTGCAGCACTGATGCAATCCAGCCAGCCAAGTAAAGAACAGAAGAGATGCGACAATAACTAGTAACTAGTTGCAAATCAAAAAGGTATCCAAAGTCAAAAGTCAAAGGTTTCAGGAGAGAACATCCTTACTACCACTTACCACCAACATTGAACCAACCACAAATATGAACAGCGACCAAAAAATGTACCTTCACACTTCACACTCAGTGTTAGCAGGGTCAACCCTGCATTGACCCACCACATGGTTTTAGATTAAATAGATTGACATTTGCAATGGCTGGAACCACAAGCAATCAGTTGGTCAACGATGTAACAAATATTTGCTGATGTCCTGTGGAATGCTGCTCTGAACTTCACAGCTTATATATAGTGGCTTGATTAATTGTTCAATGTTTCTAATGTTTCTATATCCAAGAAACTCCACCCTTGAAGTCCTCTTGCGGCGTCGCATCAATCCGCGTCCTCAGCAAGCAAGCTATTCTTTCATAAATGTGATTCGCGTTGTGCGGTGGCTAAGCCTCTGTAATGTTATACCGATGTTGCCAACAATGGCAAGAAAAGGATTCACGCAATAATATCTAAGTTAATTCAAATCGAACATGTATCACGACTCATGACTAGACTAAACAAGTCATGTGTTGCGGTTGCAGTTCAAGTCATTCCGGACTCTATGATGAAATGATTAAACATATCAGTATCAGATAAGATATAATCATATTAAATATTAAAAATATATTAAATCATAATAATGATATGTACTGACTGTATATTATGTACTGTAACTGTATATGATATCATGTGAATCTGAATATGATATATTGATTATATGAACTGAGCTGAACATCCATACATGGCAAAGGGCTTCGTCGAAGTCCACCGCCAACAAGAGCAGAAGCAGCATGCAGTATCAGTCGGAAGCTGCTGTCCATTGCTCAAGTAACCGTATGCGGCAAGCACTTGCCACTGTTTGTTTGTTTTTTCAGCCTACTATGCCATTGTTGCAGAGGGTGTGTGTCCGCACAATAGCTATATTTCTAAGTTGATTGGTTGGATTGAATGTAGACAATAGACAATAGACGATATCTTATTTGCTTAACGAACATAGGCCATGACCATGACATCAGCACATCATTGGTGGATTATAAGCGACTTGCAGAACCCAACAAGTAGTCTGAGCGCCCATGGCTGTTCGGCTGCCGGCTTTTGCACAGCGTACCAAAGCAAATCATGACAAATTGTGTTTTTGGATGTTGGTTCCACTACATTCCCAGCATGTAAACTTAACACATCCAACTGCACCACCCTATCATCATACCGTACCAGCGTACCACCGTACCGTACCACCGTACCATCGTACCGTACCATGTGCCGTACCTCAATCAGAATAGTACCGCCCTATCGTACCATCGTACCGTACCACGTACCGTGCCTATCAAACCACCTCATCGTACCATACGTGGAGGTACGGCTGTCTTTTGGCACCACAGCTATCTTGAATAATGTCAATATATATTATATAATTATATATATAATTATATATATATATATATCATCCCATTCTATCCCCATATCAATCGGTTTTTTCCCCACGACTGCAGATCTCCCCGAGATCTGAAATCTGCATGGAAATCTCCGACCCAAACTGCCCAAAATTTCCTCGCGGCGGTGGGGCCAGAGGCTCAGGAAGACCGAGCTGGCGCGGAAGATGGCCTCCTCCTGGCAGGTGGAAAATGTCTGCAAGGTGGTGCCCCCAAGATAGCTAAGTTGGTTTATAACTCTAATAACTATGGTTTATGGTACTTATAACTATACTTACTGGGGTTTATAAACCAACTTATAACTGGGGGAAAAACAATCCGGAGATTTTTTTGTTCTCTAAGTATGAAAGAGTAAGGTTTTGGCTCCGTGTCGCGGTTAGAGGAAGAACTACCCCCCTCTTCCGTGACTAGACTTAACCTTAGCGGGTTCACCCGCGGGCTTTGCAATAGCCTTGTTGCGCGGTCGCTTTGCTAGCTGCTGCCGTGCATTGTGCTTCTCATCTACCTGGACAAGGTCGGGCTTGCTGGTTGCTGTGCACTGCGCTTCTGTTCTACTTGGACAAGCTCGGGCATTGCAGCGCTTCTGACCTTTGTGTACCTTGTCCTCGAGGTCTTCAGCATCCCATCTTGACTGAGTTCCTCTATGCGCTTCTGGTGGCTCTTTGTGGCATCCTTCGTTGTCAATCATTGCACCTTCGACCAACACAGTTCGGAGCCGGCTGAGAAGGGCGAGAGCAGCGGCAAGAGCGCGCTGGCATCTGTTCAAGCAGGCGACCATCCACTTGGACAAGATCGAGTTGGAACGCATCAGAAGGGTGACCTCAAGTCACCATTCAAGGGACAGTGGCTTTGTGCGAGCCCTCAACCTTGCAATGGCAGCCAAGATGGAATCTTTCCCCTGGCGCTGTTGGTGCGGACGACTGAACCGCAAGACACACGAGTGGTGTCCGAAGTGCCGCAAGCACTGGACGTCAGGAGAGCGTCACTACACCAACGAAGAGGAGGAGGACTACCAGGACAAGAACGACTGGGAGCAGGGAGACAGCGTGGGTCGACCCCCAGGGGACGCAAACCGAGTGCCAGCCCGCGCAACAAGAAAGGCAAGGGAAAGAAGGGGAAAAAGGAGGCACAGACTACATCCTTTGCACCTCTGGCGACACCCTGGCCTACAACCGAGACCACGATGACAGAAACTTCAAAGCCAGTGCAAGTTCCGCTGCCGCCCCACAAGGAGCAATCGTCTTCAAGCATTGCTGCAAGCGCAGGAGCCGGGCTGCTGGGAGCGGTCCGGAAGCACTATCCAGACTTGGCAGATGCACCACCCGACATCAAGGAGGCGGTGCAGAAGGCCGAGGCTCTCAATTCCAAACAGATTGCAGCCGAGCTCACAAAGTCATCCAAGCGAGTGGGGGAGATTGCACAACAATTGGCAGAGCTCAAGGAGATGCAGCAGCGCCACAGAGCTGCGTGGGTGAAGCATCTCAAAGAGGCGCTGCAGTCTTGGGAAAGTCAGATCAATGCCTACGTCACCCAGCAGAAGACCTACCACGAACTCATGACCAAAGCTCAGTCAGAGCTAGAGGCAGCCAGAGTCGAGACGCAAAGACTCAACTATCGGGCTGGCAAGGCAACCAAAGTGGAGGAGAGCATCGACCTCACCAATGTGGAAGACGTGCTGGGCAAGGACGACGAGGCAGCGAATTTGGTGGGACAAGTTCAAGATTTACTGGACCGCTGTGCCAAGATGACCAAACAGGAAATCAAGGACGACGAGAAAGACGAGGAGGATATGATCAGCTCAGAGGGGGAAGAGACTATGCCCAAGAAGCGGCAAAGGTCCCTAGAACCCTTTGGAGGAAAACCAGCTGGTGGTGGATCATCTGCACCAGCTACATCGTGAAGCAAGGCGACGGTTTGCGGTGTCCGAGGAACTACATCCGTGCGCCTGGAGATTTTGGACCTAGAGGAGGTGCTTATGCCGAGGCCTATGCCACTCTTGAGGACTGGCGTGCAGCAAGCATTCAGCAACCTCTAGGTTCACTACCAGACTTCTGGTATGCCACCCACTCAATTCGATATGAAGACAACTTCATGGACATCTTCAACGCCCTGCACAAAGCAAATGTGCTGCATGGCGAGAACATCCTCTTCGATGATCTTCCGACCATGAATTGCAGATATAAGGGTTCTGACAGGTCGACCTCATGCCTCTTGAGAGAAGGGAGGAAAGGCACTGCGAAGACGGTGCGCTTTGGTGTCCTCAAGGAGGCTGTTCCCTATGAAGTCGATATGAAAGGCCCAGCACTGCGTTATCCCAACTATGAAGCTGATGACGTGACAAGCTTTATGGCAACGGTCCACAATCACCCACATGTACAGGACCACAACATCATGGCTGATCATGGCATTGCTCGCCAAGATGGAGATCCTGACCAACAACTACCAGAGCAACAGGATGAAGAGGAGGAGCATTCTCCGTCCTTTGAAACCGAGAGGTCCTTCTCGCCTGACTCAATCCACGACTATCCGCTTCCATGGCATTCAGTTGCAATCTATGACACAAGGGCGAACTCTGCTAGAGGCCGTGTGCCCTTTCACCCATATGAGGCGTTCTTTGGCCATGTGAGAAGGCTGATTGGTATGATGCACCACGATGTTGCACGCATCGTCCAGATCGAACCCTCGCCTGAAGATCTCTTGAGGATTGCTGTGACGCCTCTATTGGTATTACGGCATGATGACTTTGATGACGGTGATCATCGCCATGCAGTCATGGTCGACATCGAATACCATGGCTCTACATTTGATGCACCAGTGGTGACCGACCGGTTTGTAGCCAAGGTCCCAAGCCCGATCCACCGGAAACAATTCCTGGAATGGATCAGGATTGATCGCTACTGTGCAGGCAGCAGAGATCGCTGCCTTGTATGGCACCAAGGGATGTTGATACCACTGAGAGCACCAGCGTCTATGCATTTGTCGCATGGGAACTACATCCGAGTGGCTATACCACCTTTTCAATTCAAGGAGGTTCCCACACGACTTGCAGTACGTTGTGGACAAGCAGGTATGACCCCACGGCAAATTCGACAACGACATCGACAACGAGGGGAAGATACAGATAGCCTGTATTCCGATATTGATGCGGCGCAAACACATGATGCTGCTTCTCTCATTCAGTTACAGGCATCCACACCTTCTTTTGTGTCATTGCGCAGTGATGGCAGCGCACCAATACCAAGATTTACATGCGTAGCACCAGGAGCTTTCAGAGAAAGGCCGGCTGACCATCCAGAAGCTCCCCACGCATCGTGGCATGCAGCACTTTTGGAAGCTTTCAGTCAATCCGCATGCACAGAATGTGAGGAAGAAGGACCAGTGGCCTATCTCGAGACCTGGTATGTACGGGGAATTGCTGCATATGCAACAGAGCATTCACGTACGATGAGACTGACACAGGAGCAGCAGTGGTGGCAAGAAGACATCACTGACCTCTGGAATGACAAAGTCGTCAGGACTCTGCCACTACGCCTTCTTTGGGTGCATCCAACTCCGGAGTCCATTGCCACTCGAGCTCGCATTGGCCACCTTATCCTCTGGCAAGAACCAAGAATTGACCTGGTGCCTGCGCTTCTCACAATCAAATTTCTGCAGGAAACAGTACGCAGAGTGGCATTTGCAGCTGCCTTGCTACCAACCCCTGTGGCAGTTACTCAAGTACGTGATCTTCTACGGCTTGCACGATTATGTGTCGACAGAAGATGCACACTGAGCCAACTGGGCGATGAATGGGGGCCATTTGAAACAAGGCCCATACAGCCTGGCACAGGGCTGATTTTCTCTGCGCACCCACTTCCACGGGAACTTCACATCATGGACGAGCACATGGTAGCCTCGCAGTTAGTGCAACCAACTGCTGATGCAGTCCCCGTTGAAGAGCATTTGGCACAACCACCTCTTGCAGGAGAATCCCCATTCACTCGTCAACTGCATGGCCTATGGGATCAACAAGCTGTTATTGGCCCTGCCCACATTGAGCGACTGCTGACAGTGTACACATGGTACTTGGAGGGACGATATGTCCCCTTCCATGATGAATGCCGCGAGGTTGTGCTAGGCAACGACTTCTGGTTGTGGGAAGGAGCCATCATTCACCGATGGAGAGACTACATCCTGGATGGCGTGGATGTCGACTTCGTTGTGGTGACCCCTGCGCCCCCCAGCGGGACTGAGATTGCAGAGGTGCACATTATCGTCTACCAGAACATTGCGGCCTTCGAGCACCCCAGCCTCATCACCTCATTTGACAATGGAGTGCTACGCGGTGCCCCTTATACAACAGCAGCTCTACTGCCTGCGGCGGTGACAAAGTTTGACATTCTCCGCTGTATGGGTAAGGACAGGGTCTGTCCCCCGGAACGCCCAGACTCGGCATGTAGTTGCTGGTATGGTGATCGAGAAATTCGAGATGGTGAACGCTTCGCCAACCGCCATGGGTACTCATTTTGTCTCTTCATCCAGCGAAGTTTGCCCGACAACTTTTGGGAGGACGATATGAGCATCATTGAGGGTGAGATAGATGCAACCGACTTCCTTCAACGCTCTGCGCGGAAGCAGTTCAAGCAGAACATTGACTTCGAACCTGTGGTGAAGGCATTTGACTGGCTTGACTCTCATTTATTCTTACCTTGCTTTGATCTCCTACATCTACATGATACCCACCCGCGTGGCCTTGGGCTTCCACATGGTGGGACTATGAGACGCCCTGCACTGAGATTCATATCTACACCGATGGCTCCTTTGGATCGAACAGTGCTGCGGCAGCTGTAGCTGCTTTCGTGAGAACTGAGCAAGGATGGTGTTTTGCGGGAGCTATGAGCAGCCCGCTTCAGTCGGCCCGCAATGCTTACGTAGCAGAGCTCTTAGGAATCACAGTTGCAGCAAAGATGGCATATGACATCATCAAGATCAACACGGCACATACTGCATGGGTTCCGGCAGTGACGCTCTGCTATGATGCTTTGACGGCAGGGCACCAGGCGTCTGGAGATTGGCGTTGTGCTGCGCAACCCCTTATTGGACGAGCTCTCCGAGGGATCATTCTTTTGCTGGAGACAAGATTCAAAACCAAATTGAACTATGTGCATGCTCCCGGACACGCAGGAGAACCTGGCAACGAGCTCGTGGATACACTTGCAAGTGATGCAAGGGAAGGCAAACAAGTTGCGCCTTTTGATGACTGGATCCAGTCAGTCACACGAAGCGAATTTGTCGACGCCCTGGACTGGATGTGGGCCCTTTTCGCCAGAGAATTTGAAGGAATGTGGAATGGCAACGTGCTACAACATCCTGGGCCAGCGACAATGCCAACGAAACATCTCCTTCCAGTTCATGCACCACAACAAGGATCTGGGGAGGCTGAGATGCAGGTAGCGGAGATCTCGCTGAGAATGGCTACATGCAACGTGCTATCATTAAAGGGCAGCAGTGAAGAAGGTACGGCTATGGCTGGCCTCTCAAGGCAGCGTGCTCTGCTTTCCCAATTCAAGGAAGAAAAGATCATTATTTTTGGATTGCAGGAGACCCGTTTGAGGAAGCTGCACAACAGCCAGGATGATGATTATCTTCTGTTCAAGGCTGCAGCCTCTGCACAGGGACACTACGGCATCGTGGTTGGTTTGTCCAAGAACATCCCCTATGGTGCTGTTTGGTGCCCGCGGACGAGACGCAGACGGTCAGTCTTTTTCAAAAAGGAGCACATCAAGATCTTAGCCTTCGACCCAAGGTTCCTCGTCCTGAAGATTGACACGCCGCACTTGCGTGCTATTCTGATCGCAGGCCATGCACCACACACGGGTAACGAGCCGGGCATCATTGAGACTTGGTGGGAGCAACTCCATGAGGCTGTCCCACAAGCCTATGCCAAGTGGCCTTTAATACTTCTGTGTGATGCAAATGCCACCATTGGCTATGATACTTCCCAGCACATCGGAGGGCATCAGGCTTCTCGACAAGACGACAAAGCAGCTACCTTTGAGAGCTTTGTCGCAAAGAATGAGCTTTGGATCCCCTCAACTTTTGAAGAGTATCAAAAAGGAGAAGGCATGACGTGGGAACACACTTCAGGAAAAAAGAAGCGGTTGGACTACGTCTGCATACCCTTGAGCTGGCGTGCTCAGTCCTGCACATCTTGGATCAGTGATGTCATCGATCCAACACTGGTCCGTAATGATCACGCAGCGGCATGCGTTGACATCAAGTTCACAGCGGCATACCCTTTGAATCCTGCAAAGAAGCATCAGGAAAGGAAATGGGATCTGGGTGCCAACGAAGTGGATTGGGATGGACTCACAGCAAGCTTTCCCGCTGCCCTGGACGTTCATACCCATCTCCATCACCTACAAGGATGCCTGGAGAAGCACCTACAACCATGCCAACGACGCCATCGAGTCTCCAAGCCAGTGAAGGAAACTATGTCAGCCTCTACTTGGACATTGGTATGCGAGAAGAGGACATGGAGGAGAACACTGGCGGAGTACAATAAGATCCAACGCAGCACCATCTTGGAATATGTGTTTGGGCGCTGGAAACGGAGCAGAGCGCAGATGAACTTGGAGGTCAACAAGCTGCTGGCTATGCAAGACAAGCTTATTGCAGGAGCTCTCTGGCAATTCCGGCAGCTTGGAAGAAAGGTCACCAGCTCTATGAGATCGGATGACACCAAATTTTTTGCAGGGCTACTACGTGATGGAGCTGAATTCATTGCACCATCACAAGTCAAGCAACTTTGGGCAGTCATCAGGCGCTCCATACCAAAATTTCAAATCAGGCGCATGGGATATGATCCTCATGTGTTGGGCTTCCTCGATCGACCATGTGCCGAGTATTTTCGTCAACTTGAACTGGGGGTTGCCGATACACCGGATGACCTGGTTACGCAATGTTTAGCCCATCAACATGCCGAACAACGTGGAGTACCTCAACAAGTCGGCCTACACAGTTTGCCAACAAGATTTGAGTTTGAGGCAGTCTTGCGCGACACGCGCAGTGATCGAGCCACGGGGTTTGACTGTGTGCCGTCTGCCATCTACCACAAGAATGCAGCATTCCTTGCGGAATATTTTTACCAAGTGCTTATCAAGACTTTCCTTTGGGGAATGGAGCCAGTCCAAAACAAGGGTGGGATCTTGAAAATGATTCCAAAAAAGCCAGGAGCACTGGAACCGCAAAGCTTTCGAGGGATATTGCTGCTCCCAACCATGGCAAAGCGTGTGCACGCGCTGGTGCGAGAGCGTTTGATGAAACAGGTTGCCCTGAAGCGAGATCCTGGACAAATGGGAGGATATCCTGGCCAGCAAGTAGCCTTTGGAGCGCAGACCATCAGAACGCTCACAAAGGTCTTTGCTGCCCAAGGCTGGTCATCGGCAGTTCTCTATGTGGACTTGTCGACAGAATTCCATCGTCTGGTTCGAGAACTGGTCACCGGGGCAACATCTGAGGAAGCTTTTCGGGATGTCCTACAAGCTTTGCACCAATCTGGTACGCCATTGGATGCGGGTCTCTATGGGAACGCTCTGATTGGACTCCTGGCTGAGCACGGCGTTGACCCGCTTCTCCTCCGCCTTTTGCGTGATATTCACGCACATACATGGTTCGTGCTTGCCGGCAGCGAACAGCAGATGGTATGGACGAGGAGGGGAACCCGCCCGGGATCACCCTTAGCCGACGCCATCTTCCATGTGCTGATGGCTTCTATAGCGGGAGATCTCCGTGCATGGCTTTCACAACAGGAGGACATTGTGTGCCTCATGGCTAGCTTATGCCTACAGCCGGTGATGGTGATCTGGTCAGATGACCTTGCAATTCCTATCGCGACTGCAACCGCACAGGGTTTGCTGCCCCGACTGGCTGAGCTAGCAGCTGAAGTTACTAGACAGTTCAAACGTAGAGGCTTCACTGTCAACTTCACACCGGGCAAGACGAGCGCAGTCGTCTCCTTTGTTGGGAAAGATGCTCCGGAGTTGCGCAGACAACACCTGCTGGGATCCAACCCGGGCATCCCCATCACCGTCGATGCCGACCAAATTTCTTGGCTTAGCTTCACCAATGTCTACAAGCACTTGGGGGCCCAGTTCGCAGCCAGTCACTCCAGCGAGCCTGAACTACGCCAACGCATAGGCATGTCAAAGGCTGCATTTAGCAAGCTGTCACGCATGGTGCTCACAAATCGCCATTTGCCAGTCAAGCTGCGGATCCAGCTCCTGCAGTCGTTGGTTTTCTCCAAGCTCTTCTATGGTCTGGGATCTTGGGATACACCTTCATGCCGCCAGTTGCAGCGACTTCGCACGGCATATCATGGGATGCTTCGGAAGACCCTGCGGCTGGCAGTTGATGAACAAGTCACGACACAACAGCTGCTCGACCGAGCACGAGTAGTTGATGTGCGGGTGAGAATTGCAATTGATCGTTTGGCATATGCGAGAAGGGTGTTCCAGGTAGGTCCTGCAGAGCTGCAACAAATCCTACACATTGAACAACAATGTTGTGCTTCATCATGGCTGAATGCTTTGCGTGCCGACCTTGACTGGCTTGAAGCACACGTACCAGGAGTGCTACCAGCCAGACCTAAGGGCGACCTTTCTGACATGATCGACTTGTGGCAGCGAGACGCACTCCCATGGAAGAGTTTGCTGAAGCGAGGGCTGAACCGACATCGATTGCAGGAGGAGCTCATGACAGAGGTGCACGCTGCCCACCATAGCTCTCTCGCAATTCTTCGCTCAGGGGGGGCGACCTTCTCACCGGATGAGTCGCAGGTCTTTGGAGGAGACCGCATCGAAATTGCCCACCTGTGCCACTGTGGTCGTGCGTTTACAACGCCCCAAGGGCTAGCGCTTCATCGCCGAGTTCGACACGGTGAACATGCGCCGGAGTTCCCATATGTCAACGGTGCCACATGTCCGGCATGCTTAAAATTCCTGTGGACGAGCAACAGACTAGCTATGCACTTGGCGTATGTGCCCAGAAATGGAGGAGTGAACGCCTGCTTTGCCAAATTGTCGAAGGCTGGCATCACTTGTTCGCATGAAGCACAGGCAGCACCGGCGGGATTTGGACAAACCATCCGGATGGATTGTATCCAGGCGGCCGGGCCATTACAGCCTTTGCGAGCACAACATGAGATTGCCTTGGAGAAAGTTTTGGAGGAGCTCTTCAATACTGAGCAAGAACTGCAATCTTACAGCAGACCTGACGATGAGATCGCTCTCGGCATGAAGATTGGCGAGACCCTGACGCAGGGAACACAAGCTTGGATGAGGAAGTTTTGTGGCAAACAACTCGGTCCAGAACCTGATCTCATTGATTGGTGGTTGAATGTGCTCCACACAGCAGGTGAGGAGTATGCCGATTGGGCAGCTTTGGTTTTCCAGGAATGGGGCACCCATTTACTTCCTGAGCTGGTTGCGGAAGCGATGGATGGCGAGGTTGAGTATGTCCTGGACGAGCTCTATGCTGAGGCGGTGAACCTGCTACCGCGTGAAGCTTTGCTGGCACGGAGACGCCAGTTGCTACAGCTTCGGCAGAGATATGAGGATGAGGCAGCGGCACCGGAGGTGCCACATCGTGCAGTGAAGAAGGGCACTGCCAACGTCAAGGAGCGACTGAGCACAAAGCAACAGGTGCCATCAACGTTCCTGGATCAAGGGCATTGGCACATGACTTTCCGAGAGATACAATGGAGAGATCTCCCGAGGGAAGCCTATGTCCCTTATATCGTGGAGCAGAACGGCAAGCCATGCTTCATCATTGCCCACCTCTTCTCTGGCAGGAGACGCAAGGAGGATTTTCACTGGTGGTTGCAGCACTATGCGACTGAGTATGACATCGACCTTTGCATCTTGTCATTGGACACTGCGATCTCCCAGAGCTCTGGTGACCTTCACCGATCAGCACCGTCTTGGCGCCGATTGGAACAGTGTTACAGCTTGGGCCTCATCGCGGCTTCCCTCCTTGGCACACCGTGCGAAACGTTTTCACAGGCCAGGTATACACCTGCCCCTGCTGATTGCCAGAGGAGATGGCCGCGACCATTGCGGTCTGCTGAATTCTTGTTTGGGTTGCCAGGCCTTAGCATCCGCGAGCTCTTGCAGACGCAGCTCGGCACGGGGTTTGCTTTACAGGGCTTGGAGGTGATTTGCCACCATCTCGCGCGAGGTGGACTTGTCGTGTCGGAGCACCCGGCTGCCCCAGCAGATTTGGAACGCCCCACTATTTGGAGGGCAGGTCTTACCGAGCTGCTCCTTCGTCATCCCGACGTCAGGCTGCAGACGATCTGCCAATATGAGTGGGGAGCACATTCAGTGAAGCCAACTGGCCTTTTGGGGCTTCGTGTTCCTGGCCTGATCGGAGCACTACGCACTGCGGTCATCCCGCATGTGAGGAAGCCGCAGCAAGCAGCAATCGGTTGCGATGAAGCTGGGGCATTCCGTACGGCATTGCTGAAGGAGTACCCACCGAGACTTTGCCAAGGCCTTGCCTGGGCATTTATCAAGCACCTCCGAGCGGCGCAACGTGGTGGGCGGACGCGCGCTGTGAGTAGGGAGGCCATTTTGATGGAGGCAGGTGAGATTTTTGGCTGGATGGTGGAAGTGGCTGAAGCAGGAATGACCATTAGGTCGGATGCCAGCTTCCTTCCAGATCATCAGCCACGCACTACAGGAATATGAACCGCCGCTCCATTTTTGTTTTGACCGACAGCTATTACGCTGACACCATCTTTTTCCCAATTCGGAATGTGCAATCGCTGCAAGGTAGGATTACCTTTCGAGCCAGCAAATGAGCAAAAAATGAGTATGAAAGAGTGGGTTTTACTGTGAAAATTGGATTTTAACTACGAAGACATGTGGCTTTGACTATGAAAACAGCATATTTTTAGTATGGAAAATTGGGAAAAAACTAGCAAGAATCAACAAAAAGAAGTTTAAGCACTGGTTGCTTGTTCGGGCTAGCCCCGCAAATTAATCAACTGAGGTTTATTAATCTGGAGTTGGCATGAATGAAGTTTTAACCACGAAAAATTGGCGATGTAATTGAAAACTTGGGACTTTTTTCTGTGGTCAAAACATGTCAAAACTACCCGCTCTCGTGGGGGAATGAACTTCTCCTCCAGTACATTCACATATCTTGAGGAAAACCTAGCACAAAAGTAGAGCCATGGTTGGAGCGTAGATGCCTTGGCGGCGTGGTGAGCCGGTGCATCCTGGCCATGTCCCAGCTTCCCGATCTTCCCGATCTTCCCGGCTCCTGACTCCCAGCTGCATGTTCGAAACCTGTTTCGGTTTCGCAGGTGACAGGTTCAGGCCAGGCTGGCCAGGGGCACGTGGATAGTTTCCAGGTCTGGGGGGTCAAGATCGGTCCAAATGTGGGGGCAGCGGCGCTGCAGTTGCCTATCGCTGGGACAGATCTTACCTCCCCATATGTCCTTTGGAAATGGACCATCATCAGACCCTCTAAGTTTTTTTGAAAAGGGTCAAACTGGTTATGGCTGTGTCGGGAAAATGATCGCATCCAGTGGAATTGGCAAGTTCCCCTATTAAAGTTGGCCAAAAGATGAAAACACGAGAATCCATGAAGACCCCAATAGTACAAAAATTGGAGAGCTTTACCATTTCCACGTTCCTACATGGGAATTTCCAGCGGCCAATGTACCGAACCTATCTTGCCCTTAGCCTTATCCCCTCCCACTTTACCGGTTGTAAATATCCCTATTATGACTTAGTTCATAATCCCCCAATCAGCCAGTTAGTTTAAGCTCCCAATTTATTCACCCATCACCACAGGCAATCCATTCCCCCAAGCATTAAACACCCCCAATATCAACCGTGGGTTAAAAGAGGATAAAAACACTTCTTTCACTCAAAAACGTAGATCGAGATCACATTGGAAGCCGAACTGGCAACTCGTTTGAAAGGAAATTATCGCTGCTTATGCATGCAAATGCCAGCAAGGCACAAGACATTTTGGAAAAAAAAACATAAAACCAATTCTTTGGGACCATTCACCATGGGAAATGCTATGATTTTTCGAGTTTCCGGATCCCCAAAAATGCTAGTTTTTCCATATTTCAAGCCATAGAACTTGGGAATATATCATGAATTATCCTGATATCTCGGGATATATCACCATAGATGCCATAGATCCCCTGAATCATCGCCTAAATCATAGGCCTCCCCCACAGTTGTAGCCATGGGCAAAGTTCAGCATGGCCACCCGCACACCGAGACCTCCACGACCCGAGATGGAAATGATGATCCAACGGTGCTTTTTATACAAAAAGTGCCCCAAAAAATGCTGGAAAAAGTCCCAAATTCAAAGGTTCAACTTATCATGATTTTACTGGGAAATGAGTTTCTCCTCTCTCTCTCTATATATATATTCTGTGCGTGTGTGTTACAGATTTATTTTATGTAGAAGACAAATGGAGTGATCAAAGATCGGTGGTTCTCTGGGCCGATTTACCCATGGCATCCATAAAAAAGAGAGATCAACGACCCTTTTTCATGGTACCTGCCCGGTCGATCAACGGTTCTTCTTAAACCTTCAGCACGCAGAATTTTCGCGGACTCATTCCAATCTTTCATACCCGCCAAGAGATTCACATGATTTCTCGAGTTTGTTTGCTGTTTCCCATCCAAGTTGGCAAACAAAGACAAATGAACCTGAAAATCCAGCAGGAGAGCCAGAGGGTAATGGGAATCCAAATGGAAATCCAAACGTAATGTGGGTAGAAAAACCCTTTTTAAATGGATTGATGACTATCCCCCAACATGGGCATATGGTATATCAATGTATATCATCCAATTTCTGATTGTAGTTGGTTACATATTGCATATTTTCATTTATGTCAAATTATCATCCCATATATTCTGGTTAGAAAACAGTAGCCAAAATTAATTCATGTTCATGGCTTTTCATAAATGCAAAACATCCTGAGGGTATAAATCCCATTGTCCCATTCTATCCTTCTCTGTTGATGGTTTAAGGACACCTTAACAAAAAGCCATTAGTTCCTCCCATTAAACCCATGAAAATTCATGAAAATTCCCACAACCCCACTAAATCCCATTGAATCACCTGTATCTCGATGATTTTCCCATCAGATTTTCGTATTTCTCCACCGTTGACACCGCGTCACGCCAGGGCACCTGCCAGCATCCGCGCGCACGCCACGGTGTCCCCTTCCCAGGTGCAGCTGGGCGTGGCCCCTTTCCGCGCGGCCACTGAGGGCCAAGGCGCCGCCGGACGCCTCGAGAGTCAGATTTCGGGTGGAAAAGTTGGGAATTTCCCAGGGAAAAAGTGGGAATTTCCCAAGGGCTTTGGGAAAAAGTGAGAAGTTCCCAAGGGTTTTGAAGGGGAAAATCAGTGGGAAGTTATCGGATTTTGAGGGGAAACCATGGTAAATTCTATCGGATTTTCGGGGGGAAAACGATCTTGGGTGAATAAAATGCCGATTTCTAAGGGCTTCTGAAGCAAAAATTGGTGGAAGATGAAGTTCTAAGGCAAATGTGTGGGCAATTTAGTGAAAAAATGATCTAAAATTCTGGATTCTGAGGTCTGAAATCAGGGTTGGATCCTGGTATATCGATCGATCGATCTATCAATCTATCTGTCTGTCTATCTGTCTACCTTTCCATCTACTGTATCTAATCTAATCTGATCTTATCTTATCTTATATCACCTCGTCTCATCTCATATCATCTCATCTATCTACCTATCTACACTGACATGGAGTTCTGCACCAAAAGTCGCCACCTGGCAACGACAGCCCGCACCATGGACTTCGGGAACAAAAATTCCACCGCTGCCTTCATGACTAGGTCTGCAAGGTGCCCATTTATTGATGTTTACCCTCTGGTGAACTAACATAACTATGGAAAATCACCATTTTAAATGGGTAAATCCACTATAAATGGCCATTTTCAATAGCCATGTTTGTTTACCAGAGGGTAGGTAACATCAGGTGTAGAGTCGAATCACTATTTTGTTGCTGACTTTCCCACTTTCCACACAACTACACTCTCCGTGTGTAGTCTGCCCGGCCACTTGGATAATGTGGGGTCCCCCGCCCCCATTTTGATTGGGGAAAAATCCTCAATCCCAAGTTTTTTGGCCGATTAAAACGAAGCGGCACCCCTTTTTTGTTGCTGGTGAAACTCCGACCCCTTCCATAAAGTCACAACTTAACATTGGTACCCTCTGGTTATTTAACATAGCCATGGAAAATCACCAGTTTTAATAGGTGAACCATCTATAAATGGGTAATTTTCCATGGCTATGTTAAATAACCAGATGGTATATCATGCCCATTTTTTTCATATCAAAAGTATATGCCTTAAACCCTAATCATCTCATCCCTGGGCGAAGTCGCCAAAAAACGCCATGGTAAAGCCATAGTTCTCCGCCAGTTCCAGCACTTCCCGCTGCTCCAAAGGCAAGCTCAAGAGGAAGCGAATCACCTCCCGCCTCGCAGCTCGGCCGATTTCTTGGGTTACCCTCTGGTAAACATACAAAAAACGATGGAAAATCACCATGTTTAATGGGAAAACTCACTATAAATTGTCATTTTCAATAGCTATGTTGGTGAAGTAAAGGAAGTTAAATAAGTTGGATGGTGTTACCCACATCTGACTACAGATTTTGATTTAGTGGACATCTTGGGAAACTGCAGGTTTCTGGTGGTAAATTTTTGGACATTGGAATGGATTCCTGGTAACCGGGTCCCATTTCCCCCGTCCAGTAGTCAAACATTGCAATGTAAAACCCTGATGAATCGAAATGCATACATATCAAGTTTGGGGCACCCCTGATTCACCATAGGATTCAAAGTAAAAAACAGAAGCATTCAAAATCAAAAGCTGATTTACCGAGATTGTTTGATGGTGCTTTGCTGGAGTCGGAACATTTTGGAAGTGGAACTTCCCCGTTTTGCCGATAGGAAAGCAAATAAATCAACCATGTTCCTCTGAAACAGCACCAAACCGTGCTTGTTCGAGCTGTTGCGCTTGCAGCCACTCGGGCTGCACATGGAATCAAAAGGTGCTGCCAACCCACATGAAATCACCTGCGGAACTCCCAAAACAAGGCGGTTCTGGGAAGTGGTCTGATGTTCATCCATTTTCCGTATTTTCCTTGTCAATTTTGAGGTGCTAAAAGGCTTCTTTCATGGCCCTGCTTCCCCCCCACAACTCTCACAGGGGTTGAGCCACCCCCTGACAAAACATCTGAAAATATAAAGATTAGACCAGTGACATGTGCACTTCCGGCTTTGAAAGCTCTTTCCCTTTCATGGCGCAACCGCCCATTTCGCCCTTTTCAGGCATCGGATGCGCGAACCCAGAGGCCCGGCTGAGAGTGGAAAGGATCCCCAAAAGATAGAGGTGAAAGACCATCACAATACCAGGGAATGGGTAGTATAGATGGTATTTTTTCTGTATGTTTCACACTATCATTTTGGTGGAGCCTGATGGTATCAAAATGTATCAAACCTCACCCAAATATCTGGAACCTTTGATATTCTGATTGGATGCGGTCGTCAGCCAAGGAGCAGCGCGACACGGGCGCGGTCCGATGAGAAACTTGGGTTGAAGTGACACAAACCCTGATAGAAACTGAAACATCTGCCGAAAGACACGCAAACTGCAGCCTCTCCGTGTCAACAATGCTGCATTTTTGGATGGTTTGAAAGAGCAAGTTAGCTACAACGAGGTAGCAATCCCTTGGAACCACCAGCTGGAAGAAAAGCAAGGAGGCAGCGACGAATTCCCGGCAAACGAGTCAACCAACAAAAATTGACTCATCGAACTGGAAATGCCAGGTAAAAGCAGAGATAAAGGGTGTCTTGCCCAGCTTTAGCTGTTTTTCTTGGAATTCTTCCTTATACCACAGGGAATTCTTCGCATTTCTGGGTGGGTGCCTAGGTCCAAATCTTTTAAATCCTTATTCTGGCTCTCTGATTTTCATCATCGATAGTCAGTGATGGATCCTTTTTGGCACCCAAAAAGGGGCACAAGGAGATCGCACCCCATGGAACACATGGAACACCAAGGTCCCGGGCGTCCATGAACATCAGCTCGTGATTGCCGCGATCCGCGATCAGAGAAAAGAGGCCCGGCAAGGGCCTCGGGACGGAGCCAGGCAGAAATAGATGGTTTATTTGAGGTAAAATTGCGTGGGCGAGTCTGGCTTGAGAAAAAAGATGCAACGGGTAAAATTCACATTGCCTCATTCCAAAATTGATAAAGATGTCGAAGAGTCGAATATGTCGTGTGCAAAAGTTACATTACCAGACCGATGACCCAGGTGGTGGCCCTGGTGGCAAAGCGTTTCATGGGATGATCATGTGTTGCTCCGGTTTGGAGGTTCTTGGCAAGAGCTGTGCCTAGCCTCGGAAGTTATGAGTAATGGGTATCTGTGTGTATATAATATATATATATATATATCTCTCTCTCCCACAGTGTGTGTATGTGTATATACAGATGTATATATATATATATGTATACAGAGAGAGAGAGAGAGAGAGAGATATATATATATATGCATATAACATGATAGAACATCACTTTCACTGGCGAAACTCCCAAAGTTGCTTCACACCGGATGTTGCTGTTGCCGAATCTCCCAAGGTTTCCGGCATGGTGAGTTGAAACACCATGGTGTTCACGGTGTTTTTGCATGTCTCTGCACATGTTTAGGTGAAATCACCATAAGTTTTGGTCAGCATTTTCCTGGTGAAATTCCCATGGTTTGCTGGTTTTCCTTGAAAAAAATCACCGTTTCCGTTGATCTCTCCATGGGGTCCACGGCCGGCCCCTTCCAACGAGTGACAGCAACATCCGCCAGAGATCGCGGCGACTCGGGGGCGATGCCAAGAAGTCACGGTCGAAGCACAACGCGAAGTACCTGCCATGGTGCCATGGTGCCATGGTGCCGCGAGTTCGTGCTGATTTCGGGAAGTGAAATCTGGTGACATCCGGAAATCTGGGTGGGTTTTTTGATGCTGAAATCGGGATCTGGAAGATGAGATAGTGAAAATATCTGGAGATTGTTGGGATTTCATGTGACAAGATTTTTTTGGTGAACCAACCAAATTAGGGACTTAATGGCAATTTATCCAAACATAATGGGTGTTTTTCAAGGTGTTTACTGCAAATGGCTAAAGTTGGTGAAATTAGCTTCATGATGGCGGATTAAACTGATAAAACCAACCATAAGCGGATTTTTTTTTTCGGGGGAGATAAAAGTGATATAACTATGTAACATATGCCAGAATTTCATGAGAATTGGGATTTCAGCAACCAAACTAGGGATTAAATATGGATCTATATCTATATCTGTATCTATATTATATATATTTATTTACTTTAATTGATGTTTATTTATTTATATCACACATATATATATATAATCAATCAATCTATCTATCCGTGCGTGTGGGGGGGGTCCTTCAATATGCCATTTCTCGGGATGAGGATCATCCCTTGCCATACCCGGCCTGGTAAACATAGAAAAAACGATGGAAAATCCCCATTTTTCATGGGAAATAATGGGAAAACTCCACTATTTCTATGACAATGTGACCAATAGCTATGTTAGTATGTTTACCAGAGGGTAAGTTAATCCATTGGGATATGGATCCAATCTCCAACATATCACTAAATTCTACTAAATTCACTCAATGTATCCAGCATTTAGTGGGAATATATCCAGTTTCTATCCTTCTGTTTTCTTGTGGACGTTGGCCCCAATGCTAAACCCCCGGCGGTTTCATATTTCATTGAGATGGTCCATTGTGATAGCAAAAATACGTTAACTTTTCGATGGTTACGCATCACTTTTATGGGGTTGTATAGCGCCAGCAAGACATTCAAGCAAGACAGTAGAAAAAAAGAAACGGCCCATTGCTCATGAAGAAATGTTTGCCTAAAACCATAGCATATCTGAATGCCATGCGTCCCCTTGAAATTCAATTGTTTGCTGGTCGAATCCCGTTTAACGTGGGAAACCCAACAATGAATCTTCCCTAGTATGTCCATAAATGGGTGCTGAAATCAACCGAAAGTGGTAAGTTTATGGCATTGGGTTTGCCACAGTATTCTAGTTATCCATTCTTCATCTATTATTGTTGGTTATACAGTTAGACCAATTATTGCCCATCATTTTTCATTACTATCATCCCCAAATGGTAGGTTCATTTTTAAGGGTGTCCCATATGTGTTAACTCGTTTTAACCATTACTAACCATTATTAACATGTATTAACCAATGTTAACCATTATTATATACCCTCTGGTTATTTAACATAGCCATGGAAAATGGCCCATTGAAATAGATGGTTTACCTATTAAAAATGGTGGATCTTTCCATGGCTATGTTAAATACCCAGGTGGTAACCATTAACCATGATTTGTTCACCATTGGATTCCTGTCTGGTGAAATCGCGACTCATCTTGCCGCACAGCCTTCGGATTTCGAAGCACAGCATCTTGCAATCGCTGACGGAGGCCCGCATGAAATCCTCAGCCACGCTGAGATCTGAAATGCCCCAATCGAAAAAGATTGGTTGAGTAGAAAATTCGTTGGAAACCATGGTTTTTACCACATCTTTGGAAAATTAGTTGGAAAACTGTTTGGAAATTCTCTCGATTTGTGATCTAGCTATTTTACCACATGTTAGCCTTTCGATTCAAGGCTAAGCATCTCCAGGAACAACATGATAATTTAATACCATCCCCCGTTCATATTAAAAACAGCCATTCTATGGTCTCAGTCATGTGGTTTCATCCCCTACTAAACCACGGTTTCTGGGGGCGTGTTTGAAACTGTGAATAGCCACCAGGCTCACCATTATTCGCCATGAAATATTAGCCACTATTAACCACTATTAACCACTATTAACCACTATTAACCACTATTAACCACTATTAACCACTATTAACCACTATTAACCACTATTACAGTAACGACTACTACCATCGATTAATGGAGTGATCTAAGGAACCCCTGGAAACCTGAGCCCAGACACCGTGACGTTGTGCGTCGGCCCCGAAGAAGTGATCTCCATGGTTTCCTGGCGAAAATGCCATTGGTTGCGATTCTTATTGTTCGTTATTGTCATTAATGCTGTTACTATTACTAATACAATATTGTTAGATCATCATTATGATATTTTTGTATTTTAGTGTCTCTGGTTGTTATTGCAATGAAATGTGTCGCGGTTACCATTACTATCCAACACAACAATCTATTATCATTACAATAGTGTTGTGATCTTTTACTATTATCTATTACAGCCTATTATCGTCACATTGAGTCATATTGTTATTTGGCATTGCTGTAAATATATCTTTTTTGCCACCATGACAATATGGTTTGTTCTTGTACAATTGTTGTTTTTAGCATTGTTGTTCAAAAATTAAGATGAAAACCCATTACTATTACTACTGTCGTCACTGCCGTTGTTGTTAATCATTGCTGTTGTTATTGTTATCATGCCAGCCCGTTATTTTCATGAATTAAATTCCCATAAGCTGCCGATCTTGAATATAACCGGGCGCTACTGGTTGTCATTATTAGTCAGTGTTCTCATGATTGTTAGTACATGTTCCTACTAGGTGTGTGATTGGTCGGTTGCCGACTATATCATACACTATATAGGACATCATGATCAGGTCCAGCCGCAAAAAAGGGAAGTTTCGCGTAGAATATAGAATTACCACATATTGGAAACGTCAAATCATCATTTTCAAATGGGCCCTTTTTGGCTTCGCCCAGTTGAAGAATTGGATGATTGGCCTACAGATTTCGTCTGCCATGGGCGTAAGATGCGGCTTGGAAGAATACCGCACCAGTCGAAAGCCAAGACGAACCCCATAGACACCAATAGTCAGTTTGGGAATGTTTGGGACATCGTTTTCTGATGAAAAACCAATTTCATGCCCTGTGGTGCGGTGAAAATACCAAATTTCATGGGTACAAAATTTAAAGTTCCAAAGATGCCAGGATGTTTATGACTAGATTCCCCCTTTAAAAACTGAAACATCTTACCCTCTGGTAATTTAAGAGTTTGCTATTGGTCAGATGACCCATTTAGTTCGTTGATTTACCGAACTTCAAGATGGTGATTTTCCATTGTTTTTTCTATGTTTACCAGAGGGTAAAGTTCCATCGCTCAAGTCGTGGGATGCCCAACGTTGGGCGTGTAGTAGCCAGGAAAGGCGTCGATCATGCCGCCTTAGGCACTGGGCCATGATGGGCGGAGAAAAAGCCTCGAGTTTTTCTTTTGAAAATGTGATGAAATGAAAATGTCAGATAAAAATCAGCATCATGGAATCACAACGAGGCACTGAGGTTTTTAGTATCTTTTCAGCTCGGGACCCAATAGACCAACCAATGGCAACATGGCAACCAGTCATGGCCGACGATCAAGACTTAAATCCTGGGACCCAAATTTTGGTACCCCAAATGACAGCTGGTGGATGCCCATTTTTCCCCCAAACAAAATATGGTAAGTCAATGGGTTGGTTTTCGAAAATTGAAACCGGTTTAAGCCCCATGTTATTTGATGGGAAAATCGATGGTTTCCGGTGTAGATTTTGCCCAACAAACCAATCCATTGAGTAAAAGTTGGTGTTTTTTTGTGGTTTTGAATGGTTTGACCCACCAGATCATCCCGATGTGATCGTGAAAATATGTAAAAATCCCACAAATCCATCTACCGCACCGGCTCTTTGGCATTTATCCGTCACATTGGGAAACGAACGTTGGCCCACAGTATGGGTTAAAACGGTTCAAACCTTGTATCCCTGGGGAAGCCTTTTTAAGTCAAATAGGTGATATGTTTTTATTCATCCACCAAAATATCTGGCTTTTAATATTTCACATTATTTCACCAACCTGAAGTAAGGCCATGTTGTCCCTGTTATTTGCCAGGCCGCACCCCCGCCAACCTGAAATAAGGCCATTCGGGGATGCTTCCCCTTACTAAGCATGGTTCCAGGGTTCGGTCACAGTGAGGTCACCATAAGTTGCCCAATCTGATCTTCTGCCCCGAAGACGGCCGAGCCACGCTCGGCCCCCGAAACGAACTCGCGCGCTCTTCGCGCACTTCGCGCTTCGCTCCCCGCCCGTTCACCCCGGGGCTGGAAGCTCGGGCAGGTGACACATGGTAAGCATAGTAATCTCAGCCGCCTACCCCCCCTTCAGATTCCAGTGATACATGCTATTAAGCAACAGAAATGGGATATAACTTGAGATACGCAAGAAAAATTATAAAAATGGTGTTTTACTGGAACTAATGATGATTTGTAACGTATCGGTGATCAGACATAGCCGGGAAAGCCCAGCCTGAATGGAGGTTTAGTGCGCTAGGAAAATCATCGGACTTTTTGGGGAAGGCATTGCAAGCGACTCAGGAAGAATAGAACATTCAAAAACAGTTCATTGGTATTTGGGTGTGAGGCAAAATCAGGAGAACAAAATCAAGCGATTCTAAACGGATTGAATTGTCAATGAAGAATTTAGCCAACGAGAAGGGGGGGTATAAATGCAACCGTTTCATAAGAATACAATGGGATAAATTACCAGCCATTGAATATAACTGGAATTCTCGCTACTTTGGGGAACAAACTCGGGGTTATTCATCCTATAGGTTGATATGATAAACGACCTATGCAATGATATGAGACTTGAAGAACTGGTGTGCTCGGTGGTTTGGGAGTTCTCCAAGTTTGACCCCTGCTCCAAGGCACTTACAAACGTCTGGACCTCTGTGGCCTCTCTCTTTGGAAAAAGGACGAGAAAACAACTGCTCCAAGAGAAAACAACCAGGCGAGGCAAACCCCAGAAGGTCAACTGCTGGGAGAAAGCAGGGGCAAGATGATGTGAGCATGTCTCAACTTCAAGCTATCGTAGCGTTCTGCTTCCGCATGAAATCTAGATATTCAGTTTTTAAGCCTCTACCCAGAAACAGTCCCCAAAAAGGTGCCTGCCTTTTTTTTCCGAAAGTTTCGCCGCCCCAACTTCAACGCCTTCTCCGAGCTTTCAGCTCTTGAAGTCTCATGGGCTCATCGCATGGCATCCATCGCGTTCGGGTCCTCCATCCAGCTGTCCACCGTGGAGATCTCCGCATTTTGTCCACGTCTGGGACGCTGCGGGCTGACAGCCTTTCAGCGGGTCAGAAGGAAATCAGCAGGGACTCCAACACGGCCGCAATCCTGCGCGGCCAGGACAAGTGCACAATTTTTCCCCCTGAAACTTGAAGATGATGGATGAAACATTCATGAAAACCCTGGCATTTCAGACTGCACAACTCGAACCGTGGCCATTTTTGAAGTTTCCAGCTGCATTCACAGCCCAGATCTTTAAAAACCTTGAGATTTCATGTTTTTCTAACATCTACCCTCTGGTAATTTAACATAGCTATTGAAAATGGCCATTTATAGTGTTTTCCCATTAAAAATGGTGATGTTCCATGGCTATGTTAGTTTACCAGAGGGTATCCGGAAAAAAAAAACACGCATGTTTCATCATCTTTCTTTCCAACTGCCAACTTTCATTCAAGGGAACCCCCCTTTTTGGGCCCTGGGACCCCCTGTCTTCCCTGGCCGCCTCTGTCGTCCCTCAGCACTTTTACACTGCACAAAGGTCTCCAAATGGCCGCCGTGGGGCTGATTCAACTGAATCCGTGCATCCAATGCCGGCACCTGAAAGTCATTGGCAGATCCTGGCTGCTGGGAGTGCTGCTTGGTGCAGGAAAACACGGGTGTTTTGAACGTGGGCTTTTGGGGAAGGCAATTCAATCACAAAGATCATATCAATGTACAGCTTACTTGGGTTTTCCTTTGCATGTTCCATTATGTTCCATTCATCCAGCTCTGCGAAGCTTCGAAAGTCTACAACTGCCGCAAAAAAATGAGAGACTTCCATGCTGCGCCACGCGTTTCACGACGGAAAATGCATTGATATAATGATGGGCCTCGCCCATTTGCAGTACTGTTCGTAAAGCAAAGTCACAAACCACGGATTGACGGTTTATACTGTATACATTATATACATCTATATACCCATTTATGGGAGGTCACACAGTGACAGGCCCATTCCGCAACTGAATGTTGTGGCTTTTTTGCCCAGGATCCTCCAGGAATCCCGCCGTCATTGGAAAATCCATGAAAATCTCATAGGTAAATCATCTAGAAATGATACTTAAATGTGGTAAATATATGTAAATATCGAATTGTCCAATGGAAAATCATGGAAATGTTGGCAAAAACATGGAACATCTCAATGTCTGATGGAGACAAACATCGGATTTTCCAGTGCCATGGCTGCCATCGAAGCAATCCCAATGGGCCTTGGACGGGCAAACCCACTTTCTTCATGGCTTCGCGGAAGGCCTGCGCAGTTTTATTAAAGGAACCCCCAAATCTCATGGTTTGTATGTGGTATGGGTAAATGGATGGCTGATATATATATATATATATATATTTGTTTTATTTATGTATTGCTTGATTTATTTATTTATTCACTTATTTATCTAGTTATTCATTTATTTATTTGTTTATGTATTTATCTAGTTATGTATCTATTTAGATCATGATTTTCCGGGTAATCAGACATGGCTTGCAGGAGAATCTGGAGAATCCCTCATTTAGGTCGATGATGTTCCCAGCGCACTGCACATCCATTTAGTTCGGGAAATTCCCAGCACCACGATGAATTACTAGGGGGGCATGTGTATGTATATATATATATATATGTGTGTGTGTAAATGTTTATATGTATATGTGTATATATATATGTGTGTGTATGTGTGTGTGGTTTATCATCCGCCAAATAAATACCGATTCTTTGCTGTCTTCGGCATCTCCCATGTTCGCCATGCAATTTTTTGTGTCTCGCACGAGTTCCATCTGGCCACATGGAACACCAATTGGTCAGCGCACCCAACGGATACGCTGCATCCTGTTGATCTCAAAGCTGGGTAGTCTACACCATCCATATCATCAAAATGGTAAGAGATCACATCCTCATACCAACTTAAGTCATCTTAAATCTAAAAGGGAGAAGGTGAGAAGGAGAAGAGGAGGAGAAAAAAAAAACGTGTCTTGATGTATCCTCATTGTATCAAGTAAAATCACAATTACCATCTGGTTATTTAACATAGCCATGGGAAATGGCCCATAGAAATAGAGGTTTACCGTTCTTAAAAATGGGTGGATTTTCGCAAACTGTTAGTCATAACCAGAGGGTATAGAGGTTTTATAGGGCAACTACCAAACGTATGGGGGGTGTGATTGAAAATACCTCCAAACAATAGGAAACCTCCAGATCATATTAATAGGTCCTCATTAGGGTATATCCCCATTAGATCCTATTTCCAATCACCATTTTCAATGGTCAAATCGAGTCCTCCGACCTCGGCATCCACCTGCCCTGCCAAGAGCTCTGGCCCCTCTGCACTGCGCAAGGCTAAGCGTGGCCTTTTTTTTTGGCACGGTTCAGTCACCAGGACATGGACATGTGACAGTAAGAATAATGGGTTAATAATGGTTCATAGTGATTAATAATAGTTGATAATGGTGATGAATGGGTATAATTATGGCACTTAAACCTCCATAAGATGGGATATACCCCTACAACTATGGCATGTTATGGCTATATTTATCCAGAACATTAACCGTTGGACCCTGAAAATAGCCTCAATTCATTGGAAGCTAATCTTCGAAGCCCTATTGGACTGGGTCTATCTTAATATACTGGGGGGGGAACATGTTTTTTCAAAGGCAAAGACTGGTATAGTTACCATGACTTCACCAATTTTATCAATTGTAGAAGGCTGGGGTGTCCTCATATCTATCAATCTTCAGGGCGTAAACGTCAATTGAAATGACGGTGAAAGAGTAGTCAGACTCCAAATGTGTCAAATGATATCTTTGAATCAAAAAAGCAATAGTATACTCCGGTTTTTCAATCTCTATCACAACAAATTTTCCCAAAACTACGAAACCCAATGTGAAAACATGCCCAATTTGATTGAGTTTACCACATCAGTGACTGTCGTCAACCAGGGCCCCTCCGTGATCAATCACCAACCCATCCGACCAGTGAACCATGGGTTGAAATCAAAAGATTGAAAAAAAAAAATCCTGGGTCACGGACCAGGTCACGTCGAACAAAAACCCTTCAATCTTTGGAAACCCAACATCTTTCCTGTCGGTTTGCCCAGTTTCTGGTCCATCTTTTCAACCTTTTGCGCCCTGTCAGACCCACAAAAACCGCCTGGTTCTGCCAATGATTGTACCGTGGAAGGGCAGCACATCCGCGGGGCGCTTTCCTCGTCCCGCAAGGGTCCGGTCCAGAACAGCCGCGTTTGTGGCTGGAATCGCTGGGATCGCTTATGGTTGGGTCTACCACCTGATGATCATAACTGTGGGGTCCCTCCAATCACTATGGTTTATGATACTTATAACATCTACAGTACTTATAACTCATGACCTGGTTGGTGGTGCAATTTCACCATCTTGAAAAATGATGGAGTTCGTCAATGGGAAGGATGACATCCCATATATGAAATGGAAAATAAAATTCATGTTCCAAAGCACCAGCCAGATAAATAGTAAGGGGTTTTCAAGAACATGGTTTCACATGGTTGACTGACTCAAGGTCTACCACATGGTTTCATCATAAACCCCATTTTTTGAAACCAACTTCACCAAATTCTGGTGTGAGCATCGCACGTAGCCAGTGGTTCGGAAGCATGCGAAACCTGAATCCTAAAACCCTAAACCATCCTAAACCCCTATAACATCCTATAACTGTAGATCCCGAAAGCCTAAGGTCAAAATTGCTGTCTATAGCCAGTGTTTTCGTTCATCATCTGGCAACAAATATTTTTGGGGGAGATGATGAGCACGGGCAACTGTGGGGTTTGAAGGGAACATGATTTAACCCAGCCATCTATCCAAAATATACCTATATACTATAAATAAGTACTATACTACATTATTTTACATCTAAGCCTTAAGCTAGTTACGCTAGACAAACCCACAAAAATCACATAAAATCCACTGACCAATTGGTAAGTTCTTACAATGTTTCATACATGTTCATCGATTTTCCCCATGCGAAAAAAAATCCAGCTCCCCATGAAAAATCCCCGTTTTCCAAGTCTCGCGCACCGGTTGGCTGCTGCCGCGCCGACACCAAGAGCTCGCGCGGCAGCCAGCACTTCAAGCGGGGTCGGTGCCTTGGCAGTTTGGGAAAGTGAAGGGATGGAAACGATGGGAATGATGATTTAATGGAAGTTGACTGGGAATAACTACGGAATTCTATGGTAGGGATTTAACCATTGAAAATAAGGATTGAATTGCATGTGAATGGGAATAGCTATGGGAATATAACTTATACGCATGGACTATCAATGGGATATACCATTGGGAACACTGAAATCATTGACTCAGCACATCCAGGGAAGAATCGAGGGATGGAATTGGATATCAACTTGGGGAGTTTGCTGAGTTTTTATCTTCCTATTGATCATCCTATTGATCATAAAATCCAGGGATTTTTAACATGGCATGTTTTATTTTCCAAATAAGATATGTTTTTAAAACCTGTGAGTGTAACATGCGTAACTGGTAAACAATCTTTATTGATATGGCGATGGTTACCTACGAAACTTCTGGTGATAGTAGGTTAAAGTAATTAACTGTCAAATCTTGGAATATAGATGTCAAGGCAATGTCGCCATATGTTTGCTTTTTCTGAAAGTCCGGGCCTGCATTTGCTTGTTTGCTCGTTTGCTTGTTTATTCATTTATTCTATCGCTACCCCTCCCAAATGACCCAACTTACCCTCTGCCAATTTAACATAGCTATAGAACATCACAATCTTGAAGAGGTAAATCATCGACCTAGATGACGTAGCTTCCATAGCTACGTTAAACTACTGGAGGTACCCCATTCTATTCCCATTATGCCACCATTTTTGTTGGTTAAGTCACCACGTGCGATGGTGAACTTTTCTTAACATTTGAGTAAAATTGGCTATTCCCCCAGCTGATTCCCCATTTGTTGTTGGATGATTTTCCCCAGCTATAAACCTCTATTTATAGCATTTCCCATATTTTTCGATGATTTTCCCATAGTTTCCCCTTGGTTTTTTCGAGGATTTCACACCTTTGAAGCTCAGCCCCAGCTGGTACCGACGCGCGGCAAGTCCAACGCAACCTCCACGCTCTGCCCTGGAGCCGCAATCAGCACCTCCATGGACGAGGGAAGCTCAGCTGCCATCCTTGGCAGCCAAAAATCCATGGAGTTTGAAAGGAGTTTATCCATCGGAAAAACCCATGGTTTTTACCATCATCTGTAGCGCAAATAAAGGAGTGTCCTGTGACAGTTTTCACGAAAACCAATCCATGGAAAAACTAAGATGGGTTTGACGATAAGGCACTTCTTTTTTGTCGAAAATCATTGGAAATCAACTTCCCAGACGACCCGCCAAGCATCGGCAGCACCACTTTCGTTGAAGCCGAGGTCAGCTGAACCAGCTCCTTGCGCAATGGCGCGAGGGAACCCACGGGGGGTTGATCTTAGATTCTTAGATACCCTGTCCAGTCCCCACACAAACAAAACGTTTCTTGCTGTTGTTTCTTCTATATGCTCCTGTTTGTGGGGAGAAATTGTCCACTAATTTAGCAATCAACCTGAAACCAGCTGTGTCTTGACCATAAAAGACCAGGTTCAAAGGGACTCAAGCCAAAACCATAGGGGTTCACCATTGAAATATAGGAATGTCATGACTTGCCTCTAAGTTTGGGCCTTCATCAAACTCTTAAGTGGCGTGTTTTTCGGCTGCTTTTTCTTGCACAAGGTGCAGCAGCACCACTATGATTCTCTCTATGCATTTGGGTTTGCATCGTGACTGATGGTCACAACCATACCCAAGTCCGAATGATTTTGACAGGCAGTGTACTCTTCATGCGCCATTCTCATCCCTAGCGCAGAAAAAACTTCACCCCAGGGTAAGTCCCCAATTTTCAGCCATAAACGCAGGTTCAATCCCAACCAGGGTCCCCTGCCTTGGCGGTCAGATAAGGCAACCGAACGGAGCCAATGCTCTCTAGCCTTGCTTCACCTAGCGGGACGATGAATGAACCGTGATCATCCCAACTTCAGAAACATAAAATCGAACAGGTCTCACCGTATCACCGGTAGCACCGGTATCACCATCAGTTTCATCACCCTTCATTATACCAGTAGTGATTCATGTTGGTAACTGGGTATTATGGCTTATCACACTCCACTTTATAAACCAGTTTTAAGTTAATAACCGCCCAACAAATGAGCAAATCTAGGATCAAATAATACCATTTTCTGCGCCTGCCTGTTTGATTACTTTTTGAGCAAAGTGACCAATGCTTTTCCGCATAATTCGACTTCAAAGTTTCAGATGTCATATGATGTCATCTTAAAATTCCGGAAATATTCCAGAGGCATTACCCTCTGGTAAACTAACATAGCTATTAAAAATGGCCACTTATAGCTGATTTTCCCATTAAAAATTGTGATTTTCCATAGTTTTTTGTATGTTTACCAGAGGGTAATCCCACATTAAGAACCATCAACCCGTTGCCTTCGGCTCCGGGGGTGTCCAGGCGTCTGGCTGGAGCTCGCTGCGCCGTCTCCGGCGACTCAGCGGTGAGGTGCAGATGTAACGGATATAGAATGAAAATATCATGAGGGTACACGGATCGTATGTATGTATTTTAATATAATTATGTGTGTGTATGTATATATATATGTGTGTGTGTATCTGTATGTATGTATGTATGTATGTATGTATGTATGTATGTTTTGGACCTAACCTACAACCCCCCACTCAACAGCAAGAACGCACTTTTGCGCGCGTAGGCACTGAAAAGGTCTTTGCCCTCCGGGCTCAAGGGGGAGGGGGGGTGGGCTACCTTGAGCCCAAGCTACACCGGGTTGTTACAGATCAGTCAAAACCTAGAGCACGCTACACTAAGCTCCAACAGTTTGGACCTAACCTACAACCCCCCACTCAACAGCAAGAACGCACTTTTGCGCGCGTAGGCACTGAAAAGGTCTTTGCCCTCCGGGCTCGCACCCCTCCCTTGCCACTGTATAGCTGGAGTGGTTGCCTTTCTACCGGGCGTGAAACACGCCTCGGTTGGCAGATGTATCAAAACTGGAGTGGTTGCCTTTCTACCGGGCGTGAAACACGCCTCGGTTGGCAGATGTATCAAAACTGCGTGGACGGGCATAGCTACGTAGGCGTGAGGCTTGTCTTGATCATGGACTCCGACATACCGCGCGAGTATTCGCGGTCCTCCCACAAATAAGTGTGGAAGGCGTCGGAAGCCCAACGCCCGTAGCGCCTGACCACTGAGGCGTCTTTATAGGCGGCCCAGAGAGCCGAAGCGCCCCCAAAACGAAGAGAGTGCGAGCCTAGATGGCCCGCCACACCACAGGCTTCGGCCGCACGGCGCAGGAGCATCTGCACGGCCTCGCGTGGGATATCCCAGCCTTCCGGTGTTCGGAATAGTGGCTCATCTGCCTCCACGCCGCCCAGGTATCGATTCGGGTATTTCTGGAAGAACTGTCTGACCGCCAAGACAGGGCAGACGGCCTCACCGGTCTTGTAGTGGTTGCGGTGAGTCTCCAGATTATAGTTGGTTTTGCTACCGTTCAGCTGGAGCCGGATCTCATCGGCTTCCCCCAGGTTGCGGAGGTCGCATTGCTCCCCTTTGCTGAAAAGGAGTACTTGTCTTCCCTTTAATTGACGGGAAAATGGGATGTACCCCAAGGGTAAAAATTCTGAGGCCCTGAGCAAAAAGAAGAACCCCAGGCACAAGGCAGCCCAGAGGATAGGACCCTCCGGGCCCGAAACAGGGCCTCGGAGATGTTCCTCCAGCCAACGCAACATACGGGGGGTCACGGCAGCGCGCCGAACCGGCGTCTTGTACCGCCTTCTCAGGCCTGCCAGGGCCATCGCTACCCGGTTTCTTCCTTCTAAGGGATCTGGCAGCCCCAGCGTCACATGGATGCTTCGGACGGCAGCGAGACGCAGTTTCAAAGTTCCCGGGGCACGCTGTTCGTTGACGGCACAGTGAAGCAAATAGTCAATGATGAGATCTTCGTCCGCCGGCACCCCAGTCAGGAGCCAGTGCACCTGGCGCCGAGCACAAAACAGGCGCCACCATTTCAACTGCGCGGCATACGTCCGACGAGTCGTCAGGGCTAGCCTGTCCAAAGCAACATTGACAGCTTCCTGTTGATAGTCTTGCCGATTCTTCAGGGGTAAGCCAAGCTGTGGGGTCTTGTGCCCAAGGAGATCTCTGACTGCCTTCGGGCTGCGACAGGGTCTGTTCTTCACCCCCTGCTGAATGGTCGGCGCCTCCTTCGGGTGGATGTCTTCTTCCAAGCTTTCCAAATAAGGCGAGAAGCGTACCCGCCTGGTAGTGGAGCCTCCCACGCGTCTCTCGTCTTTTTGCTCCCGTGAAATCTCTTCGCTCCCGGCCCGCAAACAAGCATGCAGGACTCCGAAGAGGTATAACAAGGCCAGGATGAGGAGCCCAAATTCTCCACAGAAGAGGTGGGCGATGGCATGGTTGGTGTCCCGATTGGCGTCGTCGACTCGCCGCTGTCGAACACCTTGTCGGGGATTTCGCCGGGCCACCGTTGTGCTAGCCTCACCCGGGGGACACAGACACCGTTCGTAGCGGATCTGTCTGCGGCCCCGGATGTGACCGCACCCTTCCTGATGCCACCTCTCGCCGCTCAGAGTCACGTGGGCGGCTCCGGAAGGCTGCACATACCCCGGTTGGCCGGCACAATCTTTGCACGGCTCCACCCATCGACTGGGTCCTGGCCTAAGACACTCGGAACGATGCCACCGCGGGATTCCTTCCGGATCAACGGTCCCGGCTTCTAGCCGGATGCGACGCCCGTAGGTTGGCTCCGCCGCAGGGGGCGGGGCGGGGGTCACCGGGCTCGAAACCAAGCCTCGGCTGGCGTCGGGCAGAATTTCGGTATGAGTGCGCTCAGACGATATTTGACCCGACGTTGGGCCTTGGAGCGGATTCGGCATCTTGTTGTTCTTTCCCGGGCCCGAAACAGGGCCTCGGGAATTTGCTTGCCCCATGGAAGGGCGGGCGTGTACCCATCGCCGGATAGCAAGGCAGGCTCCCACGGCAAGGAACAAGGAAGCTGCTACCAAGATTCCAAACAGTTCGATTGGTAGACTCGGCCTGACACCTTGCCCTGCAGGCCACAGCGTAGTCTGCCTCACCACCACTTCTCCACCTAATGGGTAGGCGTGCGCGATGGCGTGGTTGGTGTCTCTACTAGCGTCGTCATTTCGACGAGTTTGGCGCCTCAGTCTCTTCGCTTCCTTTCGTCTTTGCGAGTCTGGGGCTCTTCGAAATTTCCTTGGTTGGCCATCGGCCTGCAGCAGTGAGGCTCGGAAGTCTTGAATTTCCTTTCGCGCGGCTTCCTTTCGTGCGGCTGCTGCTGCCTCAGGGGACTCGAGAGGTTCAGCGGAGGGATTAGCTTCGCCTCCCTGAGTTCTCTCACGGTGCATACGTGCCCTCTGTCTGCCTTTCTCCCGGCGCCTAGCCACCCAAACGCTGATGCCTGCTTCAATCTCGAGGTCGAGCCGGGCAGACTTGAGGACTTTGACGGCTTTAGAAGGCCGCACCGGATTTCTCCTTTCCACTTCTCGCATGTAACTTCCCTGAGCGTCCAAGGCTTCGAGATAACTTTTGTCTTCATCCTCTGCATCTTTGATGCGTTGGATCTCGGTTTCCAAACTTTGCTGTATCCCTTCGGCAGCTTCTTTTCGCTGCGCAGTAAGCCTTGACAGGTCGTCTATCAAATCTTGTTTGGTCGACACATCCTCTTCCGCTTTGGCGAGGGATTCTTGGAGGTTCTGCCAGTTCGCTTCGTCAGCCCGAGCGATTTCCTGCAGCAACCTGAGCTTCCCGGATCCCAACTTCAACCCTCCCTTGGGGATCAGGGCCCGGTCCCTAGCAGGAGCGGGGTCATCCCTGGCTCGGGAAGGTCCTGCGCCCTCTCCGCCATCTGCTTCCTCCTTACAGCGATCTGTCTCCCACTTCGGCCCGCTCGGCCTGTCGGACATCTTGGATGGAATGCAGGCATCGGAACTCTTCGGGCTCACCGGCGCTTCTGCACGGGCATCGGGTTCCCCTTTAACACTCCCAGCAGCGGGCGTGGGCTGCGGGTCAGCAGCCGGGGCTTCCCCAGGACCGACCGCCTGAGCTGGATTAGGGGCAGATGGGCGAAGTTCTTCTTCGGCTTTGACGCCGGGGGCAGCCTCCTGCAGGGCCTCACCGGGCTCGAATCGAGCCTCGGCTTTGGCAACAGGCAATTCTTCGAACTTAATCACAAAAGCAGCGGGGCCAGCTTCCTGTAAGGTCTCCCCGGGCTCGGACCGAGCCTCGGTTTTGACCTCGAGGGATTCCTCCAGCTTTGTCATTGGTACGAGCGCCTCCTGGATTTCCGGGTCGGAGGCGCCCCAGTCAGGCTCCGAGATAACAACGACGTCCGCCTTCAGAGTATCCGGATCAACGTTGACCTCCTCTTCGCCTTCTTGGCAGGCCAAGCCAGCTACCGCCGCCGCCAGGTCGGACGCAGTTCGGGCGAGCTCTTCCCTGGGGTCTTTCTCCTGAGCTTTGGACGGGGGCCAGGCTATCGAGCGGTAGGCAGCGAGGTTGAGCTTTGCAGAATTGCGTGGCTCTTCTTCCTCCACCCACTCGTCCCGACGCCGACCTCTCTTGCCTTGATTGCTGGAGCTGGGCTCCCCCCGGTGCTGCGGCACGGGCCCCACCTGACTGCTGGCGGACGCCCCTTTCAGGCTCTTTTTGGGTCCCTCTGCAGCGTACCAAAACTCGGTTGTGTCCCAGTCCGAGACATCGCCCAAGGCTGCCGGCGGGATTGTTCCGCTGGCAAGCCACACAGAATTCCCCGTGACGTAAAAGACGACCCCGGACTCCATCGCAGCCTTAGTAGAGACGGGAATCTTCACCTCCAAGTCCGACCTCCACTTGCCCGACGCCTGATCTGGATTGACCAGATGAGCCATCCGTCTGTCGCCCCGGAGCCCATTTTCCTGGATCGACTTCACATGGCGACGGTACGTTCCATGCACCAGTGTCGGGGGGACGTCTTCGGGAGCTACCCTTGCCCCCGGCCCATAGACACCGTCGATGGTGTGGCCCGACCATGCCGCCACGTATGGGCGGCCGTCACTTTCTCTGACAACAAACCGCTGCTTAAAGTTCTCCTCCACGGCGTCCCGGATGACCTGCTCCGTGAAATACTTCTCCTGCCAGTTCAGGCGCTTACGGAGGTATTCCAGGAGGTCGGGCAGTTCCACCCAGCCGTCTTCTGTTATACATTCTGCTTCGTGCCTGAGGCATCGAGACATGGCTTTTGACAGCTCCTCCTGCCATTCCATCTTTTTGCCACCCTTCCTCTGCTTTTTGTGCTTCCCTCCAACCTTGGAATCTCCCCAACCACGTTCTTGGAGCCAAGACATGAGCGCCTCCCGCGCTGCGGATTCCCAAGGCAATTCGCAAATCCCGACCTTTCTGTCGGTTGGGAGTTGACCGGGCTCGGAGCGAGCCTCGGCCCCCGCAGCCGGTCCGGGTTCGTCTTGAACCTCGGATTGGGTCGAGTTTGCCAAGCTCGGTTCGGTCAGCACTTGATTGGTTGCGGCGGGGTCGCGCGGCCCGGTCGTGCCCAGCGAACTAGCCCACTTCCCAGCCGTTAGAGCCAAACTACGAGGGGTAGCCAAAATGGACAGCAGGGGTAAACTTTCAGCCAACACATTGGGGGGTAACAACTCAACCCTCCCACCCAACAATTTAAAAATTTCCCCGGGCGTGATATACCTCGCCGCAGGTCCCTCGGGTCCCTTCCCTAGCAACAAAAGCGAATCCTTACTTTGGGGATTGCCGGAGTTGTGATGGAGTTGGGGAAGTGGTTTATAGGGGTCCCAAACGTGCCTACGAACACTACCCTCCACATACACCGAGCCCCTGGGCTTAGGGGTTGCCTGTCCTAGATACGGGATAGAGGTATCAAGTTTTAGTCTTCCCCTGACCCAGAGGTCACCCGGGACTTTTTGATCCTCCAGAAGCCACTCCGTGGGGTATGTGTGCAGCGGGGCAGTGTCGGGCTCGTCATCCGCGGTCAAACACGGAAGGTCTGGCATCTGCGCGCCCCTAGGGACGGCAAGGAGAATCCATCGCTTCCACCAACACTGATCTTGGAGTGTCCGGCCGCTGACGAGTACCACCCGGGTTTGCCATCCATTCTCTTGTAACCTAGCCTGAGCGCTTTTCAGGCCAAGAGAGGAGATGGAGTCGGCCCATATCCCCTTGGGCTGGAGACCTTGGGCTTGTTGGGCAAGGCTGGACGCGGTGGCAACCTCGTCCCTTCCGACACAATAGAAAACGCAGACCGCCTCTTCGTCAGCCAATAGGCCGGGCTCCTGCATTTTCAAACCTCTGGACAGCAACTCCAAGTGGTACACGCGGGGCTCCGGGCCAAGCTCACAGCAGACAATGCCTGGCCGCAATGGGAATCGAAGCCCCTGCGGGCCTTCCGGATGTCGTCTCAACCCCAACTGCAGGGCGGAGGCTTGGTCCTCATGGTCCATTCCATCCCATAGCAGGGCCCGACGGGTCCACCCCCTGTCCAGCGTGGCAAGGAGGACTTCGGAGAAATCCTTTCGTTCCAGGTTCCAAGCTGATAGAACCGGCCCTTCTTCTTCCCGCGTGAGAGCGTCCGCGACTTGATTGTGATAGGTCCGGATATATTCGGCGTGCAAGCGGAAGCCTCCAACTGTCTCAAGTGCCGCCAGAAGTTGTAGAAGGAACCGAGCTGCTGGTGGTCCTGCGTGTCTTTTGGCTAGCCATGAGATAACATTACTGTTGTCTCCGGCGTAGATGACAATTTTTCCCTTCCAGGACTTCCATCTCAGACACGCCAACGACACGACGGCCAAAAGCTCAGCAAGCGAAATCATCAACCCGTCTCCGGGCTCAGAACGAGCCTCGGTGACGGTCGACGTCTCCTCCTCCGCAGCTGCAAGCTCCGGGTCGTGCTCGGCGCAAAACCGCCGGAGGCGTTCCCACACGGATTCCGCCGGCTCCACTACCGCCACGTTGGCTTCCCAATCCACGGCCGCCAACTTGTGGGGGGTTGCATCTCCTGACGCCCAGACAACTTTTTGACTCATTCCTGGGAAGGAAAGGAGCTCCCGGACAGTGAGGGCTGAAGTCAGAGGGTGGGTAAATCGGACTTCCCATTGTGAAGTGGCATCCACGAGCAGTCTTTGGAGCTCGATTGATTCCCAAAAACGTGCCCAAATGGCCTTCTGCTGTGCCACTGTGCCTCTAGGTTTCGCGAACCCCCTTTCGTCAGCCGGGCCCAGGAGGTCATTCGTCGCCCCTAAGTAGGGACTGAGCCCTGGAAGCACCGCCAGCCAAAACTGCTGGTTTCCCCTCAGCTCCTGGACAAGACGAAGAGGCACATGGGTACACCCACTATCGAAATCAGGGAGGTGCAAAAGATGGTACGCCTTCTCCAGCTTTGCCGCAGGGAGGCTGCGAGTGTAGGACTGGGTGTCATACACCAGCCCCCATATCAATTTCCGACATTCAAGCCTACCTTCGAGAGCGTCCTTCGCAGCATTGATACTGCCCTCCCCAAGGGTGGCCTTTGTGACATATTCGGATAGGGCGACAGAGAGCTGCGGCCTGAAGCCCAACTCCGGCTCGATCAGAACGGTGTCGTCCATGAGAACGAAGGAATGGAAGGGAACGTCATCTTCCCACCGGTGATTGTCCGGAGCGAACGACCCGTGCGCTGACTTGATAACCCAGGCGAAGTGCATGTACTCACCCGGAGCACCACACCAGCCAAACGTCAAAAAACTATAAATCAACGTGGTCCCCTCCGAAGTCTGAGTGAATTCAGCAGGGACATCAGCTGCGAAGAGCTTGGCGTCTTCCAATTTGAGGGGGATCCATTTGAAGGCCTCCGCCACGTCCTTTTTGCTGAGCAGGATCCTGATTCGGGGAAACCGAAGCCTCCACCAAAGGATCGCGCGAGCCACTTCCTGGTGACGTGGTTGCAACGCAGGTGGGTGGCGTGTTTTGTGGCAGTACTTGTTTATCGGGGTGGCGTCCCATATAATGCGGCCCTTTTCGGAGATACTCCGGTCTGGGTTCATCTTTGGTACACGGGCCATAGGGACGGAAATCACCCCTTCCAGTCCTTCTCCTTTGTCGTAACAAAGAAGGCACCGCCCCTTGGCGGCGTCCTCCCAAAGCTGCTTGGCGGCTTCTTCGATGTGCTCCTTCAGGCTAGGATGGGGGGCGCTTTGCACCCTTTGGGTCTCTTCCAAATCTGCTTCTGCGGAGACTCCCCAAACGGCCACGTGCCTGGCCCTCTCCAAGATAGCTGGGTGAACCAATCCTTCGAAAAAGTCGCTGTGAAGTCCTGCGAGGTGATCCCCGTGTGTCCGGACCCAATGCCGTCGAATGGCCCTCAGCGCCTCCTTCCATCCTCCTGCGACCTCCAGGAGTCTGCTCCCCTGTTGGGCCGCCTCGGCAAAGTTTTCCTTCGTAAAATCCTTGCCTTGGAAAAAATCAAGGTAGGCGCCCGCCGCTTCCTCCGTTTGCTTTGGAGGAGGGTCCTGCAGTGGCCCTCGAAGCCCATAGACATCGCTTTTGCTGAGCGAGGAGAGCAGCGAAGCCCCCGCCCCCCCCCCGCCCCAGGTGCGCCCCGGAGGCGTCCCCAAAGGGGAGGCGAAGGGCAGCGTGACCGGCTCGCCGCAAGCCGGCCCCGGGCGCGAAACGCGCCTCGGGGAGCAGGGCCTTGGCGACGGACGTGGAGAGATCGGTCCCAGAGGGGAGGGTTGTGAGAGGGAGTAAAGACGGCAGAGTCGTTTTAAGGCAAAAAGGAAGGCCAGGGGTCGGGCCGAGCAGGAGCCGCGCCCGTGGGACAGAAGCCAAAAGAGCGACAGCTGCCGGTTCCCGCCACGCGGTGCTGGTAAGATGGTGGAGCACGCTGAAGGTGCCCCCGGACAGGGATTGAAGGCGGCCTAGGTCCAAGAGGAAGTCCAGGTGGCGGCGGCCACATCCAGAGCCGGGGGAAGCATCCTTGCCGCGAGACGATTCAAAACGGCCCCAGCCTCCAAAGGGGTGGAGGGGCAGGGTAAGCCAAAGGTGTCGTGGGCGAAGGAGAGTGATAACGGCTCGAAGCTTAGAGCGGGTCGCTCCACACCGGAGGGCTAGGTCGTCTTCAAGCGGGAAACGAAGAGCGAGGCCTCCGGCCTGCGTAACCCCGGTAGATACCGAGAAAGGGGGCGGTGCCAGATCAAAGAGATCAGGGGGAGTCCCATCAGGAAGATCGGCGCCAAGCCAGGAAGCCAAGTCCTGCCTAGACCATTGCGACGGGGAGGGCTCGGTGTCTTCCCAAGCAGGTGCCCCCGTGCGAGTGCCTACGGGTGGCGGGGACGGAAAGGGATATAAGCCAAAAACGCCGGCAGCACGACCGGTGCGACGGTGTGGATCCGAATAGCACCGAGGGCAGGGTTTGGCGGCACGGGCGCGAAGGCGCGCCCCGTGCGTCAGAGCCGCTTCTAGGTGAAGTTCCCAACCGGCAGCCGAGACTACGCGGGCTCCGGTAGGCAAAGCCCGGTCCATGGGCGGAACGAGCAGGCGCATGTGACCTTGGTGGACCAGAAGCCAAACGAGGCTCCGAGGTGTGGCGCAGGAACTAACCCCTTGAATGACCTCACAAGTGACCCGGCGCCAGTCGTCCATGCGGACGAGACAAAAGGTGCGCTCATCGGCGGCCGACAGGGGAAGAGCAGCCAAACATCGATAATCCTTATCATGGCCGTAATAGAGAGCGTCATGCGCGAAAGTGCGCAGGTCGTCCTCCGCTTGGGTGCACTGATCAGGCTCGGGCCCTAGGGCTTGAAGGCATTCTTCCGCGGAGTGGTGCATTTCGCGCTGAAGGGCCAGAGCCTGCACACACGTCTCCTCGTAAGTAGGCGGGGTTCCGGACTTTCTAGTGAGCAGGCCAGCCGCCACGTGGAGGAAAAACATTGCCTGGGTTCCTGCGATGGGTGTGGCTCGTCACACGGCAGCAGCCCTGAATGGGCTGGGCTCAACTGGTCACCATAATCATAGACGTGATAAGTGGTATCGAGCCAGGTGAAGGTCCCGGTAGCGGCCCCCAAATTGCTGTCTGCAGACAGGACACTGAGCTCCCCGCGGTGCGAGACAGACCCTACCCGCAAGTCCGGATAGGTTTGTAAGAACTCGGTGGCTTCTGCGGCCAGTTCTGCGCTTCCTTCCTGAACCGCTTCTTCCAGATACCTTTGGATATCAGCAGCCTGAGGCTGGGCAGCGGCGTCAGTGAGCACCCGATTCCGAAGATACACGCCCAGATGCGGGGGCATTTCGGGGAGCTGCAAGGTGTCGTCAATGACCTGCATACGTCTCAGCCTCTCCCCCGCCTCCGGCTGATCGTGCGGGACGACCAGTTGGGCCGTGCGTGCGGCAGGGCTTGCATGATCGGCAGTCCAACTGGTTTCTGCCTGCCCTCCCATCAGTGAGGCAAGTGGCGCCTCCATGTCGGTGGGTGCGAAGTTGTTCAGCCCTCCGGGGGCAGAGACCCAACCAGCCCTCGTATCGTTACGATATTGTGTGTGGCTTTCAGGGGGGTCTTCTGGTGGTCCGGCTGCCCTCTTAGAGGTTTCTCGCTCTTTGGCCCTTTTTCCTTCCTGTACGTTCGTAGCCAGCTTCGCTGCCTGCTCCTTGCGAATAGTTTCAACTGCAGCGTCGACCTGACCTGCTTTCAGCTTCGCCCGGGCGGGATGCCCGCCTCGGCGCAATAGCTGCATCTGAATGCTCCAATCGAGGGTGTCCCACTTCGGGGCTCCCCCGACATGTGAATGGGGGCAGTCTTTGCCTTTTGCGCATTTGCGGTGGGAAAAATGGTCCCAACACAGGTATTTGCCTGTTCGATCCTTGGGTCGATGGTCCATGGATCGGCTGACTTCTTTGGGCGTCAGCGGAGACCCGAGCAGCTGACCAACTTCCTTTGGGGCATTGGGTTTTGGAGTGTGTTGGTTTCCGGCTTTAGCGCCATCTCCCAAATTTCCCGCTGCGTTATCCGCGTTTTCACCTGCCCTTCCCCCTGCTAGGGACGGGCGTTTGAATGCCATGTTCCAGCAGGCTCGATCAAGAAGCCGCCTTTGACGGGGGACAATGTCGGTTTGGAAGTACTCTCCCAAGGCCTGCAAGTCAAAGGTCTGTGGCAACCTGAGCCAAGGCGTCCCGTCGGCCCCAGGTGAAGTGGCAAAGAAGCGCAGTCTGTCGAAACTGGGACTCTCATCTTGCATTTCCCGTCGCGCGCTGCGGTCGATGGCCCTGAGCTCTTCCACGAAGCGGCCCCAGAGTTCCTCCCAAGTGCTGAGGACGGCTTGTAAGGGCCAAGCGTGGGTGTATTCTTCACCAAGCTTAAGGAGCTGCGCAGCAGCGCTCTCCCAGCTTGCGTAAAATTCAGCCCCGAAAGCGCACGCGAGGGCCCAGGCCTGTCGCAAAGCATTCCTGTACCAACCGGTGAGTGTGGTAGGGTTTCTTCCCCTTTTTTCTAGTTTGTTATCCCCCGGAGGAGAGAAAAGGTCAAACTCTTCTTCTGATGTTTGAGGAAAATCTGCCACGCTGAGACAGTAGTCCAGAACGGACCCCTTGCCCCCGATGTTGAGGGACGAAATTCCAAAGGCAATCCGGTTGCTGATGTTGACCGGATACCCAATCTCGCGGAGAAGAGGTCTGTTCTGCGAAGCCATAGACCTTAGGGCATGATATAGGTCTTTGCCTACCGTCGCCTCCCCGATGTGCACGGTAAGGGTGTCACACCCCCGGGCCAAGAAGACCAAGCGCTCTTCAGTTTTGCCAATAGAAGAAAGCTTGCCCCGTTCTTGACCAGAGGGTTCGTCCTTGGAGGATATGGCTTTAGCAATAGTCTGCAGGGCCTTAGATGCCTCATCAAGGGCGGGCGGTCCCGGGTCAGTATAAGCCCCGGCATGATAGGGCCTGAAGGCTCCCAAGCCTTGGCCTGACAGAGGGGGCAACGCATGGGCCGTTCCGGGAAAGAGGTCAACCGCTCCCGGGCTCGGTACGAGCCTCGAGGCGAGGCCACCATGTCCCGGGCCGGATACCGGCCCCGGGAAGCTTGTGGTCCCTGGCTCCTTTGGTCGGAAGAGGGCTTGTGCCATAGTCACCTGGGGCTCCGGCATGTCGCCCACAGTGCGTCGCGGCTCTGATCCTGAGTATTGGTTCGTAGATCTTCTACGGTCTCTCTGGCTTCTAGGAGCGTAACGACGGGGTCACTGTCTTGGCTGTGTTGCCCAAGGGGGGTGGGTGCCACAAAGTGTTTAAGGGCTCTCAACGCTTTGGAGGGCTCCCCCCCTTTTTCTTCTTGTCGAGCAATATATTCTTTCGCCATTCGGCTAAGATCTGCACGGAATTCGGGCTCATGCCATTTTTCACGAGAGCTTGCCAAAGAACGGAAGGCTGACTCTGAGTCCTTCCCTTGGAGAAGTTCCACCATCAGCTCGGCTAGGTCAGCTGGTTCTGCCCTCGAGCTTGGTGCTGCTTGGCTGTCTACTGCCAAAGGCGAAGCGGCCTTGAGTGTGCTAGGAACCGCTTCTGATCCATTCCCTGCCCTGGGCTGTCTCCTAGTGGTAGCTTGTGGGGTAGTCTTGCTTCCAAGTGGTTTTTCTTCCTTGGCGTTGTGTAACCTGCACAGGAGGACGCCTTCCTTTCTCTTGGTGGCTGAATTAAGGCAGCCTTGCACCGCGCACGCCCTGTTAACTAACGAGCCCTGGTACATCGATCGGTGATATTCACAGGCGTGGAATCCTGAGGTGCCGTCTGCAAGACTAGGCAGCCCATCAAGGCAGCTGCTCGCCCTATCTGCACTGAGGAGGCAAACCGGTTGACCCCTCGCAATGTCTCGACACGGTTCCATGGCCAGCGAGGTCACTTTGCCACTGGAATCAATAGCGATTTGATCCGCCTGGCAAGGTTGGTCCGTGGGTCCGACTTCCGCTTCAGACTCGGTTTCGGAGTCGTCATGCCGGTCGCTCGGGCCATGTTCCGGCCCTTCGCCCGGGCGGGAAACCCGCCTCGGGCGCCTCCTGCAGGAAACACACCAACACCAGATTTTGGCACACCGGGATATGCTCTTGCGGCAACATCCGCACCACAAGGCCCCGCAAAAGCTGGTAAGGACCGCGCACCTACCCCAAGGCCCCCTTCCAGCAAGGTCTTGCAGATCGATCTCCCGGTCCTGGGGTATGACCGAACTGGCCTTGATGTGCACTTGCGACGCTTCAGGTGCTGTGCATGGGTCTTGCGAACACAAATGGATGGTGCAACTAGCAGTTTCCAGATGGTGCCTAAAGTACCGGTGAGAGGAGGCACGTACCTCATTGCAAGCGCAGACAAACCCATGCCTGTTCGTGCGGCCTCTGATTGTCGTGTCGGAGGCGAGCTACTGCTACCCCGTCCGCAACCAAGAGATCTAGAGGTCGTTGGTTCAACCCCCTCCCTCGCACCTCCCTCTGGACATACTGTGCTGTCCAGGGGTTGCTGGTAGTAGGCCCTCTCCACGTTGGGATGTAGGGCCTTTGGCCTTGTAGGCGAGTGACGTCACTCCAGGTCCCAGTGCCCTGGCAATATCGCCAGAGGGCCCTTGAGTGGACCCAGGCTGGATGGACAACCCAAGTGTATGTCCAAACTAGCAGCTGTAACAGGAACACGATCACAACCCCTGTAAGCAACCAGTAACTCCATTTGGCAGCTAAACCGATCGATGCGCAGAGTGTCCCGCAGTAGTGTAACCCATTCTCTGCTACTTGCAGGATCAAGTCTACCCAGATGCGCACCCACCAATATCTGCCAATGGATTCAAAGGTCGCTCTCCAGGATCGGTGCCGTCTCCTGGGAGGTTTCAGGGCCAGTTTGCGCCGGGCGGGATCTCCCGCCCCGGTCGGCCCTGAACCAGCGAAAGCTGCTTGGTTCGTTTACTGTTTCCTGAGCCGTTTGGGGAGTGGCATTTGACTGCAGTCCCCACTGCAGCAAGTCCCAACCATTTGCCGTGGCGGAAGCCAGGAGGTACAAGACCCCTAGCGCTGCCTTGACCATGGCCCCCCCCTACCTTGAGCCCAAGCTACACCGGGTTGTTACAGATCAGTCAAAACCTAGAGCACGCTACACTAAGCTCCAACAGTTCTTCCAGGGCAGCAATCATCGGCGGTTCAACTGCAACTGCCTGTTCAGGATTTGCCTTCTTGGGTGGATTCTTCTTTGAGGGCACTGGCACATCACTGAAGTCCCACTGCAAGCGACCATGTTTCGAAAACTATTTCAAAGAGTGATATGCCCTGTAGGGTCCATTTGTGCCGTTTTGCAGAAAACCATAAAGATCCAAAGTGTCAGGCGGAAACAACCGATCCTTCTGTTCCATGTATGCCCTCAATTCTGCCCAGGACTTGAGAGCATTCACAACTGTGGCGCCCTCGGCCTCCGTGACCTTCTTCTTGGCCAGGGTATCCAAGGCATCCTGCCATTGTGAATACCTCTCAGGGGTCAGCTCCCCTTGAGGGCGCATCACTTTGGCCTGGGAGAATGCCTTCCGCAAAGCTTCAGCTCTCAGCAGCACTTCTTCTGGTTGATCTGGACCTGGACGGATTCGAAGTGCCTGGATCATCCTGCTCTTCTTCAACATCGAAGCCTTGGGTGCAGGCCAACTCGCCGGCCTATCCCGAGATCCAGAGCTCTCTGCCACTGCTGCAGCCTGCGGAATGAGGTCATCTTCAATGATATTGGAACATGCCTGAAGCCACGCATCGGCAACATGGTGTCCTCCATGTGCCACTGCGCTGTCATATGATGCGAAGGCATAGGCGAAGTCCGTGTTGTCATGCAATCCCCATTGAGATCGCCACTGCTCCACCCTCGTCGAGGCCACCCGTTCCATTGCAGTCTCAGCACAATGCGGCGCATCACCTGCGGCTTGAACTGCATAGGCACCTGGGTGGTATGCCATGGCGACCCCCGACACCACCGCTGCCAATGTTTGGAGCGTTCGTGCTGGGCCTGAAACTGCAGAATATACCTCAGTATCATCAGGTACGAAACATGCATCACTAGGCCGCAGCTGCTGCAGTTGGGTCTCTATGCAAGCTGGGGTGACAGCCCGGACATTGGGAGGGTGGACAGGTACTGCACACTGAGGAGAAACAGCGCTCACAAAGTTCTGGGGTCGGTATGCCACAGGCCCGACATGGAGGCAAGGGTTCCTCCCCAGCCTCCATGGCACCGAGCCATCCCCAGAGCGACCGGACTGCTCTGGCCCGTGGTGCCCTCCACGCAACCAGGTCAGCCGGGATGGGCACCATGGACGGGTCCCTCCATCCTCGACGCGGGGACTGCCACGTCCTCCAGACATCCCACAGCTCGGCAAGGTCGACCATACTCTCGGCATTGTGCTCGATGAAGGCCACCAAGCCGAAGATGTTGTCCGGCGCAAAGTCCCTAGCTGTCCAATGGGTCCGCAGCGGTTCAATGAGCAGCAAGTCCAGCTTCGCCTCGCCCAGGCGATCATAGTAGGACTGCCACGCCAGCCGCGGGTCACTCCCGGGCAGAGCCAAGACAGCTGAGCTGTTCCACGTACCAAGCCAGGGGAACTTGAATCCTCCCAAAAATTCGGTGCACCTCCTACAGTTTTCCTCCATGCAGGGTGACCGTCTGAAAGGGGGAAGTCCCTCCACCCCCAAACCAATTGGATGAGGGGGGAAATGGTCGATCTGACACACTGAGGACCATAACCTGGTGGCTTGAGAAACAAGGCCCCGCTGAAGCAGGCCTTCCACGTGTGTCTTGAACTCGTAGTAGGCCGCCGCATGAAGGATCTCGGCATCGGTGTGGGCAGCCTCATTCCAGCCAGGCCGGACGACAACGGTGGCCCTGGGCATCAGGGGGGTATCTCCCACCTCCGTAACCTCTGTACTCTAGGGTGACGCCCTAGTAGAGGAACGAATAACCACTTACCCTAGGGTCACTCCCTAGTAGTGGTGTGGGTACCCCGAACAAAAGAAAGAATGATGAAGCCAGTTTGGCTCAGGCTTGAGCCAAAATGGATTCATCAACTTACACACTCACCCTGATGATAATGCACACCCAGTGCCTGCCAAACACGATGCATACATATATAATTATATACATACCCTAGGGTTCCAAAGACTATAAAAACAATGGTCGTTTATGGAAGGACTATTTCCCCCTTGAACGAAATAGTCTTTTGGTGTCTCTGGTAAATATGGTAGATTTCAGGTATCCAGCAGCAAACATGGAATGCACTGAAACCAGTTCTTTTTCCCAATCTGTAGAGCTCATCTCTGCACTGCAACCTCTTCATCCTTCATCTCTTGTCCTGCAAATCATAAAAAAAGTGAAAACATTCACAGGCAGGCCAGTAGCTACAAAATACTTAGTTGGCAGGCAGGGAAGCAAACCAACCAAGCCTCTTTCTGGTGGCACAATGACGCATTGACAGGAGCCTGGCACACACACACACAAAAACAGACAAACAAACAAACAAACAAACAAAGTATGCCAAGAGCACAAACTGCCCACTAACACAACCAGATCTGATAATATTGATTAACAAAGCCAGGCTGGCCTTAGTTTTGTGCATCGCAATACCCACCGTGATCTCTTTTTAGGATTAGCCCTTGACGCAACACCTGGGCTGGTTTTTACCAATATGAAAGTTGTATACTTAGCCTGACATCTTATCGGTTGGCCATTAGCACATACACAAGGTCCAACAAACATTTCCCAGCTGCACATAAAACTGAAACGCAGTGTCTTGACAGGATACCTAGCACAACGTGCGCCAGATTGGAACAGAATAAAGTGCAGCTAGGCTTCGCTTCATCCATTTTTGGCAGTCTTCGTCACAGAACGTGTGAAAAAACCGTGGGTTCACTCCTCAGACCAAAGTAGTTGCACACACCCCACCACACCAACCTCCACATGAATGAAAAATGGTTTCAATTCCCCAAGTTGCCTTTGTAATTTCTAGGCTCCCTCACTTTATTTGGCACCAAGAACCCCTCAGATGTTACAGATTGGGCAGTAGTAACAAACCAAGGATCGGTAGCGCAAAGCATTGATACAAAAATGCCCCAGCACCTTAGGTGGTGCAGAAAGCAGCCTAAATCCAAATCTCAGAATTGCCCAAGAGAAAGACACTCAGAAAATGCAGCTAAGCCACATGAATTTTGGGTTTCATTAACCACAAGCTGCGGCCCAGCCTGTGAAATTCAAGATTGAAAGGCCGACAACTTTTGAAACCAGGACGTTTTACTCCAGGAAAACTTTGATGTGTATGATCCAAAAAGGGGATCACCTGTACTGTCATATATTTGTGTACCCTTGTGTGCCCCTTGCCTTACATGCTCTGCAGTCAGAACCCGGTGGAATTTGATGAACTCAGTGCCAGAATCATAGATGGATCGAGCTGCAGCAGCACTCCTTGGGGCCCAATGTTGAGCATGTCAGGAGTTGGGCTAGAACAAAACATAGAACTAGAACACAAATAATATAATGGTTGGTGAAGCTGGAACAATACATTAGTGATCTTGAAAACGGGATTGAAATCTCACCATCATGTTTGGAGACACTACCATCACAAGTTCCATCCGCTTGAGATAGAGGCTAGACAACCCTTTTTTGGGGGGAGAGACAGCCAAACGCACTAATTATTATAAAGTTATGACCCAATTTTCATAGCCTTAACCCACTCATTGCAATGGATTGGCCATGCATCAATTTCCTTCCGTTGCTCTCCATAGCGAGCATGAACTTTGCCATCGCGTTCCTGAGGAGCTGGGAGACTCAATGGCCAATCTTAAGGAATGGCTTACCCCCAAAGAACATTTGTAGAAATGGTTCAACCATACAGTTTTCAGGAATCGTAAGCTAACATTATAACTACAATATCTGGTTGGTGGTTTGGAACAGTTTTCTTTTCCCATATATTTGGGACGATGAAAATGGTTTGGAACATGTTTGTTTTCACATATCTTCGGGATCCAATCTGAGTAATATATTTTCAGGGGTGTTGAAACCACCAACCAGTTATATAATAGAATATGATCGTTGCTGGAAAGTTGGCACTAACTATATCAACATCATTTTTTGTCATTCATTTGTTTTTACCCTCTGGTAATTTAACGTAGCTATTGAAAATGGCCATTAATAGTGGATTTTCCCATTAAAAATGGTGATTTTCCATAGCTACGTTAAATTACCAGAGTGTAACTGATCGGCCACAACCATGGCTCCACCAATCCCAGATAACTTTAGTTGAAGAGTCATCGCACCACTGGTAAGGATCAGGATCTCATGGTTTGGGTAGTAACCCAAGGCAGTTAACAGGCAATCTGCTAGCCAGCTCAAGATGCAACGGCCATTGTACGCTTTTGCTGTGAACAGGTTGTTGCCATCCGGTTTCTTCACCTGGGGAAAAAAGTCCCTTAGCACTTATCGGGTATGAAGGTAACACCAAAAGAACCATATAAACCAATTCTGTGTTTTGGCATGTTTGGGCCCCTAAACGCCCCTAATCTTGAGCTACCTTGTTTGAATGGAACCAACACCAAAAACTAAGAAACCGGTTTTGGCCAAAACACCATCTTGGGCAAGAATGGTGGTTGTGAATGCTGGATCTTGTGACGTATGCAATACGCCAAAAAATCTTTGTACGCTCTATCCAGTTGCTGCTCAAAAGTTCCCCCACCAAAGTAGCCAAGGTCTTCACACAAAAGGATCCTTAGCTGCCACTCCCCTTCCAGGACATTTGCTTTGGAGCTGGATTTGTTGCAGCATTGCAACAACACCAGGCTTGGGAACAACACAGACAGAGTCAAAGTAGCTGGTAATTGTTTGCCAAGTCGCACTGACGCTGCATTGCATGTGTATAAAATACCCAGGTTGATAGTGTGCATCGAACACCACTTTAGAAGCTGTGGATGAAACCCTTTTGCTCTGAGAAGTGGGCCTTATGTTGATTTGACCCTGCAACTCCTCGAAACAGTGTTTCTAACCTTTGAAAAGGATATCATCAACCAAAAAGTAAGAAAATAACAGTTAGATCAATTCGTACTAGGCACACAAGTGTGAATCCTTTAGCCGTTTGGCAACAAACTCATCCAGCCCAAATTCTTCTTTGTCCCAAGCAGAGTTGTCTTCCGGGGTATTGTAGTAGAGGTAGGGATCAGGCCCACTGGCCAAAGCCGGACAATGTATACATACATTTGTGGCATTCCATGCTGCTGTGGGTCTCCAACAATCACGGTGGAACTCCCAGTCTCCTCGAATTTCTGTCAAACAAAACTTCAGGCCTTTGGCAGTCATTGGGGTCCCTGCTCGGAGGGCGTCGGGACCTGTCAAAGCAACCCCACCAACACCCACTGTAGGGTTTAGCCCGTCGAAGCAAGCATTGATGCTCCACACCAGCCGCCTCCATACTGCATTCAGGGTTCTATTCTTGTAGAGCTTGTTGGAGGGGCATGTGAAGACAACAAACCGACTAAAACGTGTTGACCGTGGTCGGAACAAAGGGAGATTGAGGCTGATGGACATTTGTTTTTCTACCTGGTACACCGTCCACAACCGAGCAGAGTCTCCATGCACACCTAGGGGGATGTGCTCACGTGTGGCAGGGCTCGAAACAGCCCACGGTTCCCCCACTGATCTCGCATGGTCCCAAAAGTTGTGCAGTTTCACCATGTCTATCTCAATCTTCACGACATCAAACAAATAGGATAGAACTCGGTGGGGATGAAGAATAGGATATTTCTCCACACTCAAACCCGTTGGGCTCTTCTTGTCCACCACTGGAATCTTTATGGTGTCCATTTCCTGAACAAGGGATCCTGTGTCAAAATCGGATTTTAGAGACCCATGGTAAACAGTCTCAATCAGGTTTTGGAGGTATCACCACATATCACCGGATAAATCAAATAATTTGTACTATACATGTTTTTGACAAGTTACTGTTCCTGTTGGCACTTGTGTTCATCCAAGGCACCACTGGAATGTTGACAAACTTCCAGAAATCACGGTTGTCGTTTTTTCCAGATCTTGAACCCAGCCGGTAGGTCTCTCGATGGCTAGCAGTACCAGTTTCCTAAGTACCAGTACCCGAGTTTTACCCTGGTATTTTTGTTTGTTTGTTTGTAATAATAATGTTAACCCTGGATTAATTAATAGACCATGGGTTTATCAATTTTGGTGGTACCATTTTAGTAGGAAACCATCACTTGGGGGATACACCCTATCAATCAACCAGGGGTTTGCTAATCCTAGGATTACATTAGTGCAAGTGACTAACACCTTGTTGGTTTCCATCGATATAATAAACAATAGAAACATTGAAAAAAGCAATCGCTATTATGTTAAAATAGATCATAGATTTGTTTGTAACATCGATCATCATTATTTGGTGAAACTGCTGCACCTGGTGTTGTAACAATAACGGGTTTGAAATAAGATCGATGTATGACAACCCTTGTGACAGCAGTGCTGCGAAGGCTCAGCAACCTGATTTCGCACTCGCTGCATTGCTGCGCCCACAGAAGTTGCCTCAAGCAACAGGCAAGGCCAGTGTGGTACCTCCAATGCTTACAAAGGGGGGCAATGTTTTCAAGACATAGTATCAAAAATCGGGTCACTCAGGTTACAGCATGCTACAGCTGGGCCCAGTACTTATCATAATTGCCACACACAAGCAGTTCTGGTTTGGGATCAATTTTCGATTTAATTTTCTAGTTCAGCTAATCTGAGAGAGGTACAGTGCAAGGTTTTTCCGGGCACATGCGTTCTGAATCTAGCCAAGCTTCCCCTGCTGAAACATCGTCAAAATGACCATGCAAGCTGTGAGGCAATCGGTCATCGCTACAGCCTGCGTGGAGGCAGACAGCATGACCACAGGAAGGGCTTTAGTTTGGGAAGATATTCAACCCAAGGAATCACACTATATATGTGGTGGTCACGTACCAGTTGTTTCCAAGTCCAACAGCCAACTTTGGCAGCTGGGTACATTTTTCCAACACATATCACCCAAGTATTGAAGCCAAGATTTATGGCTCACCTCGCCCAGCCAGTGAACATATCACATGACAGGCTAGGATCATTCAATTTAATGTCAAATTGTTCTTTGGATCGCGTTCAAAATCAACCGAAATCCCTGTTCCTACCAGTGGCATGGCTTGAGGCACCCCAAGTGTGCAGTGGCAAAAAGGAACGCAAAGCACATACAGTTTTAATTAGGTAGGTGGTCGAAATGTTTATACCAATGAGTGTAGTTTTGCAAAAAGTTTTGAAATGTTTGCCACTGCCCACCCCAAAATCAAGGTCATTCAACCATCACAAATAATCCAAGAACCATTGCAGTCGAACACATTGTAACAACACAGTTCCAAGATCAATTTTCATTTGCCTCACTAGGTCATGCATGTGTAGGAACATAGGCTTGCATATCCTCCTAGTGAACACACGTTCCAAGACCAAATGGGCAATCCCTCATTTTGGGATGTTGTAAGCACTGCAAAAGCCATTGAACTCATCAATGGCACAGTTCGCTTGGGCCGTTTCGGCAGACATTGTGCCGAGATCATCCACCTCCAGTGTGCAGCTGATCAATGCAGGCTGGTTGGCCTGGGGCCCTTTCTACTGGGATGCAATCAATAACGAATCAATCTAACAACATCTAATAACCATCAGAATCCATATTAGACAAATTTCAACCAATCATTGTAAAAGCCGGAATCTACATGCAATAGATATTTTAAAAAGTATCTCAGTATCTCCCAAAAAACATCTTGAAAATGGTAGAATCCAACTTACAATACAGCTTTGTGATCATGACAATCTCTTCGAATTGGGTCTAAATGTTTCATCCCAGCATCTCCCACCACAATTCAATGCGTATTGCAGGCCTGTATGTTGTATAGTGATTACGATAATTGAAATAGTATTGATCAATAGATGCTAATGGTATCAACGATTCCGCCTTGGAATGTTCAATCGCTTTCTGGAGAGCCGCTCGTCGTTCCCTCAAATTATTCATGTGAGGCCGGACTTCAGTCAGGATCGCCTGCTTCACTGTCCCACTCCTGGGCCGACGATTGCAGTCAGGTTGCCAAGGAATAGGGGCATAGGGGTTGCTTGGATTGGGAAGTTGGATGAAGTGGGCATTCAGAATTTCAAAACTACCCAATGCATTATCGGTGTTCTTGGGATTGCAGTAACTACTGTAGGGGTTTCGTTTGAGGATCCCATCCAAACCCTTACAACTTGTGGATGTTGTTGGAAAGATCTTAACATGTCAGACATCGAAAACACAAACTTCTTGATCTACAAATTAATTTAACTTGAAGCAATTGGAATTGAAATGGTTTCAGATGCCAACAGCTCTTATGAAACCATGTTGAACGAAGAACTACTGAAAACTCTGCAAACTTCACTGCCATGTTCTTGATCGCCAATCTCAATTCCAAGGCTGCGGCATTGTGGCAAGCTTGCTTTCGACATTGCTGCCCCTCAAGATGCAGGCTCCGATCTTGGCAATCACCTGGAAGGTTTTGCCCCCCCAAAGGTATTTTTCGATTGAAGGTGATGGAGTTATATGGGGTTGGAGTTTTCGAATTAAAATGGTCAAATCATGAATCCATATATTGCTATATTGATGGTGACTAAATCATACTTGAAAGTCAGATTCGCACTGACTTGACAGTGCAACATACTAGACCAAGATACAAAATGTACAATTGATTTGGTCACAGATAGACACAGCATATGCCATGCCTGGTTGCTCTTTCGCTGTTCTTTCTTCAAGTTATCATTCTTTTCTTTTTCATGTTTCTTTTCGGCTTTCTGCTTCTCCTGTGCTTCCTTTCTCTCCTGGGCCTTTTCAAGTTTTTTCTGTTCAGCTGCCTGTTTCTTTTTCTCAGCTGCCTCGTTCTTCTTCGATTCATCCTCCATTTTCCTTCTCTTCTGATCGCAACCATCCTTGGACTTCGACTTTCGCTTACGAACCTGTAGTGCCAGAGCACAGAGATATGCAGTGAAACCTGGAAACCAAACAAAAAACATGTTTGCTACTCGGGTGACAACATCATGCCTGACCTTGATTCTGATTTATAAAATAACATATGCAAAAGCTGAGCTGGATTGTTTTGCAGAAAATGAAAGGTCATTTTGCCTACGTGATAAGCCTACAAATGATCAGAGTTGGATATCCTGCCTCCTTGGGACCCTGAGATTCCTCGGAAGACGTTGACCCTGACGATGACGACGAACTGCGAGATGGCGATGACGACATGGAAGAAACACCTGAAGAAGAGGACACATTTCTACTCTTCTTCTTTGAAACCTTCTTTCCTTTCTTTACTGCCTTCTTCTTCTTCTTCGTGTCTTTCCTGGACTTGCCATTCTTCAAACTCTTCTGACCAGCACCTTTGTTGTCACCATCATGCTCATCATCGCAATCTGCCGCTTGGAAAAGCTGATGGCAGACAGTGTCACTTGTGTCCTCTTCTCCTTCCTTGTCCCAAACCAAGTACTGCTTTGTGTCCTGCAGCACATGTAGTGGTGGCAGAAGCCTTTGACACACGTTCACACTTTCAAACTCCAAGGATTGAGAAATAGTTTTGATAAGGCAAACAAAAATTGATGGAACAAAGCACCATGAGCATATCATGTGTGTGTGCATGTGCACATGTCATATCTGTTTCATTATGTGTTATGGATGATGATGTGGCTTGTCTGGCCTCTGTCATCACCCCATGCATATCTCGATGCGCACGAATCTGGTTCACTGACGCATCGGCGTCATGCTCCTTTGCTTCTATGATTTGAGTGGCAATTGCGACTGACCCATACTTTGCAACGAGTTCACTCTTTGTCATCCACCGACGTGATCCAAACTGGCGGTGCCTGTTCTTCTGCCTGATCTGCAGAAAGAATTCTGAGTGCCTCCAAGCACCCTCACATGAAGCCCACTGCTCCATGAGAATCTGAAGCTTTGCACTGTCTCTGTGTGCACTTCGACCAGCACGTTGAATTTCCACAGGTGTGTTTGGGCCTCAAGTCCAACAACCCCTAATCTAGCCAAAATTTGCCATGATGCGCAACGACGGCATTCCAAAATTGCGTGAATTGGTACCATAGTTTGTAAAGTAAAATGTCTTTCAGATTATAATAGGTAATTCCCACATGTCGAGGTCAGTAGTAATGTTTGGTAACACGAATAACATACATAGCTTATTGTGATACGACAGATTTGCTAGACTTGTTGCCACTCAAAGTTCAGGTAGGACCCACCAGGCTGAAAACTTAAACAATGTCGCAACCACTATGGCCAAGGGACTTGAGAGGCTCCTGGAAAAGCGCATGTATCGTGCATGGGCTTGTTTTTTGATTCTCACTTGTTCTTCCTTTCTGGCCAGCTCTGCAGGATCTTCCAAGGATTCATCTGCCGGGACGCTGGCTGAGGGTTCTGTTGTTGCATCTGCTGGGACGCTGGCTGATGGTTCTGCTGTGGGCATAGGATTGGCTCCGTCCCCTGGAAGGGCTCCTGTGTTGGCAGCTCCTGGCACAGACTGGGCTGGAACAGCTGGAGGTGAGGGTGCCAATGTTGGGACACGTGGTAAGATCTTCTGGAGTTGAAACACGTGAGGTGAGGGTGCATTCTTGAGCTCTGGGGGTGGGGATCCTAAGTCTGCCGTTGAAGGTCTTCGCAAACATTCCTGAACAGCTCTGGCTGTTTGACTTGTCTGCGGTGTCTCTGGTTCAGACTTCACATGCTCAGCTTTCACATCTTCAGTTTTGACAGGTGTAGCCAACTCTGCGGGAGGAGCAGCTTTGGCTTTCACTGCTGTGGTAATGTGTCTGCCGGATGCCTGACTGTCTTTGGGCTTCTCATCAGGCTTTGTCTCAAGGATTTGCTTGCTTTGGATACGTCGGTCCAGTTTAGGACCAGAAGGTTGGTCCAAGTTGGCGCTGGGTTCAGCTCTGATCTTCGGTGAAGGGGTCTGCAGGTCCTTTGATTGAACCTTTAGCTTTGCTATCTCCTCTTCTGTGCCCGGCACTGTAGAGGCATCAGAGTCTGGCAGCTGATAGGCATAAAGCTGAAGTAGGATAATAATAAATAATTACTGTAATGCTATTTATATAAATAAGATCATAGCGATATTTCGTAAAATAAAGGCTGACTTCCAAATTACAGGCTGGGAGAAGGAAACAGGAATGAGGACTGCAAACTTCAAATGAAAATAGCCCGGAGAATGGATAAAGCCACATTTGACTAGAGTTGTGGAAGATGAAAAGGTGGCAAAGCAGCAGAAACCCAGTGCATGCATACCTGCATGTAAATAGTATGATCTATCATATATTATATATGATATGTGCCAGTGATATCATGATGGTATCATACACTAGGCATATTGTTGAGTATTGTATTGTCAAATCACTGGTACCGCCAGGCCAGTTGTGGCTGCAATGGAATCCAGCTGATGCAATTGCCGGAAACCCAGAGAGACAATTGGCCGAACAGAATCCAGCCTGCTTCTGGTGGAACCTGCATTTTCTTTGTTTTCCCTTTGACTTTGGGATCGTCGGCCGACTTCTGTGGCTTCCTGGGATGTTTTGGGTTTATACATACAGCTAGGCCTCAACCATGTTCAAATATCTTTACTTAGGAGCTTAGGAACACTTAGGATACCACTTTTTTTAAACACTCAGAAAGGCGATCCTCATTGATCATCTAAGCAGTATGTGTGATTGAGAACTAACGTGATTTAATGTGCAACCCCCATTTTGACTGATATTTCAGATGTATAGACCTGGTGTTGGATGATACCATGAACAAATTGCACAGCCGGTCCTGTCACAGGCAGAGCCTTCCATCGTGGTGTCATCCATGTTCACTGTGTCCATCACCGCAGCACGAGCAGCCCTTTTGGCTGCACGTTCAAGAATGGCATCCAAATCACCACCCAACATGGTGTAGGAGGTACTAAGGTGGGTCAACCCTCTGCACTAACCCAAGAAAGTGAGCCGAGATGAACAATATGCACGTTAAGGTTTGAAATCAAGAATTGTCAAAAAAACATGGTTTTTAGGGTATTTTGGGGTAATAGTCTTTCACGCCCAAAAATGGTCTTTCACGCCCAAAAATAGTCGTTCACGCTCCATTCACGGTCATTCACGGTTCATTCACGGTCAGCATATTCTCATGAAAAGCCGATTTTTTAGGGAATTAACTGCAAAGAACAGTTTTCACATATGTTTTGTCTTGAGGTGATGTTGGAGTCTATCTTTGAGCATTCATGTTGTTTTTTTGGGTCATGTTCTTCAGCTTGTATACTGTACGAATTTTCCCAACCCTGGACCCTGAAAGCCCATCAGAATCATACATTTGGAATTCAGACCCTGTTTTTTTTGGGGGCCGGGTCACCAACATGAACATACCCACGATTAGTCGGACTTCCAGGGCTTGAGGGTAATTAGTCTGCAGCACTTCATACTTGTGGCAGCAGTTCTAGTGGAAACTACAACCAGCTTGTAAATTACAGCGGTCGTGAGCACATCACAAGACCATAGCATGACATGACCTTAGGTCAGTCCAGGCCCTCAGAAAGAATTGGATGGTATCGGCCACACCTCCTTTCTTCCAACAGAAAGTCTCTCAATTCACTGAGACAAGCATGTCGCCACTTGTATGGTGCCTCCCGGTGTGAAATAAAAAAGACATATCACCATGACATGAGAGTCAATAGCATCGAATTGCTTTGCGATGACCCCTAAACCCAGGGTCTACTAGCTACATGTACTATAAACTAAATCTGTTGGGTTTGGGGCCCATGTACTTCAGTTCAATCAGATTCACCCCAGCCTGGCACATCTTCCTCAGATTGTCGGTTGCCAAGCCAGCTTGAGGTGGATACAACGCTTCTCGAAGCACCTGGATGTTTCCCGGAGTCTCCTGGAGTCGACAAGGACAAGATCTGCGGGGAAGTAGATAGACAGGCTAAAAATGTATCCTGGACAAAATCGTAAATTGAAGATCAACATTCTCTCACCAAAGGTCCTTCCATTTTTGGTGCAAAGCACAAATAGCTTTGCCATAGTTCTTGGGATACACTTGTGATCTTTTCAGAGCTTTTGAATTTCCACACCTCATCAAATGATCTAGTCCAGTGACCACACATCTTATAAATGAAATAGGTAGGGTCAACATTTGACAGAAACATTGCGGTCACCAAATTGGATCTACTGAGTTTGGCACACCCTTCTGCGCCCGTTGGCATCAATGTACCTTTTCACTAGTGCGGCAGATCTCTTCGCCCGCTGCCTTACCCTTTGAGTCAACTTTTTCTTCAAGCGGTAGGCCCAAGGACTTAGGAAGGCGCAGGTATCAGAGAACCCAGTTGGACATATTGTCATCATGGTGTTCCTCTCATTTATCAAATATGTTTAAGATCCAAACCAGTTTCCAAACGTCACGGTTGGCTTGAGGTTCTTGTGCCCATAGCTTCCCATGTAACTCAGATCAGGTCAACAGTGACACTTTATAGAGATTGTTGCGGTGTATCATGACAGCATGACAAGAGTTTCATTTGCACTTTGAGGATGTTTGTGGTATATTGATTGTGGTATAGTGTATCCAAGGATAGTGGATCCCCAAACCCCCTAGCCCCAAGAATTTTTCTTTTTTTCAATGAACTTTGGTGTGTAATATTTGGCATATATATCATATCTCCCAACCATCAGACATGGTATTATTTCACTGTTTTTAATCCAAGTGGCAACCTGGTCACCAGCCAGGGCAGGAACTGGGACACAATTTTCGACAACCAAACCACATAGGGGAAATGCAACATTATGGTTGACTGCGGCTGTTCACATAGACTTAGTACACATCGCACAAATCCCAGGAGAAGAAGCAGACACAATCTCGCTGTGATCCTTGGCACCGTGTGGGATGCAGGTTATCTAGTAAAGGACCTACAACCCAACTAAAGATCCAATGTGTTCATGATTCATGAAATCAACACATATATTCTTGAAATGTTGTGAGAGTGAATCTTCAATCGAGTTTCGTGTTGGCATCTCGGACGTAGTTGCGCTTTGGGTTTCCAAGAGGTTTTGTTCTTGATCTCCCACTAGTTGCAACATTCAAATAAGCGAAACTGCCGCAGGGGGGGCCGGCTGTAGCCAGCCCCCCCTCCCGAACCCTGAGCATAATTTGTATACTCTTCAGAAATCCAGGCCTTGGAAAGGAACAGCTAGCCATCTCGAAACTGTGGATGAATCTGGAACTTCGAATTGATGTTAAAAATCTAATTGACATAAAACGTATGATCAAACAAACCACTCTGATACAAATGGCAGTTGACCAGAATGATTTGCATTGAGTACCTGACACACTTGTTATATCTCCATTGATGCCACCAGTCTCCTTGTCAAAACCCTTCCTCAGACCCGGTTCGAGGTAGCAGGAAAGAGGTCTAAACCCCAAAACCACAACATCACTGGTGATCATGATATCCACCAATCAGGTCAGCTTCAGGCTGAGTATGACACGACTTCAAAGAATTTTCATCTTAGTGCGAGCTGAAAGACTAATTTGTTCTAGTGAAATTGCACTATTTGTACTGCTCTAAATATTGGTTTGCACTGCCCACCACACACCAATGAGGGCTGCACTGAAAGCCTTGTTGATAGCTCCCTCACCACTGAATAAGTCAACATTCCACAGATCCTGGGCCAAGACAAAAAATGGGATCACTATTGTACAACACATGGGATTACATGGGGCATCAATTTTCACATATTCACAGATACAAATGTCTTTACCGATGGTATATTGACAAATCCACCTAAGACTGGAACACGGTGACTGTTGGCCATCGGTGTTTGCTCCACGACATAGTCGATGCAATGCAAACTCAGTCACCATGAATGAAGAAGGGTATGTTCGATTGTTTTTTGGGGACGTAAAAGCAACACATACAACCTGATGGACAGATCATTATCTTAGCTATTGCAGCCACACTACAACACCAGTGGTGCTCCCAGGTAAAGAAGGAGCTGCGAAGCTCTGGCACTCAACGACAAAGGAGACGACCGGGTCATGGTGGTGCGGTCAAGTGGGTCAAGATCCAAAAGGGCTACGTTTGTTTTGCGACATCTGGAATTTGAGAAACAAAGAAGGAGACTTCCACCATTACATAAGGGGTTTCAACAGTGCCCATTTTCACTTGTGCGCCACAAATCCCCTTAAAGCGCAGCATCAAAATGTGTGCAGTGTTTGCACAAATATTTGGGATTTTGACATAGCTAGCTGGAGGTTTAGGCCCATTGCTACAAAAGTTGATAATCTATGTTTGCTTATCAGAATTTTGATCATGATTAGTGGGCCATTGCCCCTTATGCCAGCCAGTCACGGGCCATAGGACCGCAGCCAGGGTTTAACCTACCCCTACTACTCACACATCACCTCTCATTCGGCTCGGGATGACCAGCAATTCGCTCCCATCCAGCCAACAGCTTTGCCAGGGTCCACCTTAAAGGCTCACAGGGGCTGATAGAAATCAACATATTGATTTTCCACACAAGTAGCACCCCAACAACTTACAACAATGTGTTGTTATTTTTTACTTAGGTCCCAACGCTTTGTCAATCCCATGTTTGGCCCAAGCCAAGCTCACCCCCTTCCGGCTGTTCACCTAAGATGGGTAATTTGGACTTGTAGGGGAGGTGATCAAAATGCATGTATACCACACAAAACAGTGTTGGTTGCTGTGACATGATTTGTTGCAAAACAAGGCTCGTTCAGCACTAGGCCCATAGATTTGTTGATCTTTTCAATCCGCTCTTTGGGAACATTCACAGGGAAGAAGGTGCGGCTATTCAGCCTTAAAGACTAAATCAGAAAGCCAAGCAAAACAGTAGCTCCTACTTTCGAACCAAAACAGTACAATGAACTTAGCCCAAGACAGAACTCCAATGGATCCAGGGTCAGAGCAGGCTGGTTTTTGGTCAGCCGGCATTCTCACAGTGAAGGTCCTTAATCCCCATTGATTGAACTCTAACCAAACTTTCAAAATTCAAAAGTCTTCAAACCTGGGTGTCTAACTTGAAAGAAAGTGCCACTTCTTGCTTCGCTTTGATCTGGGACAATGTATGCTCAACTTCAGCAGGGTATTCAAACATTAGACACTTAGCCGACGTGATCACAGTGTCCAGCTCTTTCAACGCACTCTCCTGGGCGATGAATCATGGTGAATGTTATTCCTAATTCCGAACGAAACAAAAAGCCTAGTGATATAACAGTAATGGAAAATATGCAACAATAGTGGAACCCAATACATTCCCAAATTATGTGGATTGATATTATTTGAATTTATTTGAAATAAATTATTGATAAATGTACTGGTCAGAAGTTTTGTAAGACGCCAAACGCTACAAAGTATCGATCTCAGCAGCGGTCTTGGTTCTCACAGGTTTTTTCTTTGGGCTAGTTGGTTCTTTGTTGGGCTTGCCGATGCTGTCAAAGTCCAGCTTTCTCTTCGCTGCGTCGTGCTCATGCGAGCCACCTGCTCTTTGTTGCTCCACTGCTCTTCGGGAAGCTGCTGCTGCTATCTTCATGGGGCTCCTCAGATCCTGGGCCTTTGCCTTCGGCTTTTCCTTTGCTTTCTTCTGTTCTTTCTCCTTGTCATCGACACCTTTGGGTGATGTCGTTCCTTCTGCTTCCTCGGGATCTTTGGCTGCCTTTCTGTTGCTTTCTTTTCTCTTGGCCTTGCCATTCCCACTCTCATCTTTGCGTGACGCTGACGCAGCATCAGCTGCATCTGCATCTTCATTTGACTGGCAGCTCTTCTTTGCAGCTCATTTGCCTCGCCCTCTCCCTCGTCCTTGTCCTCGCCCGCGGCCTCGTCCTTTTCTTTCATTGTCTGATTCTTCTTCGGCTAGGCGAAGAATCTTGTCCTCATCGTCCCCCTCATCCTCCTCTTCCCTCAAAGTTTTCATCATCTTTCGTTGGGCCTTGATGATGTCATCATTGGAAGTATTGGACAATGCCTTATGTGTCTTTCGCATTTCCTCCATGATCAATGCAGCTCGGTTGTTTTGCTCTTTGGTCAAAAACCTTTCGTTTTTGACAAGGGGTCCCTTGGTGTCTTTGAAAGTCCCACCCACTTCACCCTGTGCATCCGCTTCCTCCTCCTCTTCATCGCTGTCTAGGATGGTAGCTACTGTCTCCTCTCGTTCAACTTCTTCATCCTCAGACTTCTCAGCTTCCTTCTGCTTTCTTTTGGGCTTCTTCTCATCTTTGGGTGGTGGGGCAGCCTTCTTCGGGGGTTCTTCCTCTGCTTCGGCTTCTTCATCTTCATTTTCCTTGTTTGCATCGACTGCCTTCTTGCGGGATGCTTTCACCTTTGGCTTCTCATCCTCTTCATCCTCAGACTTCTCAGCTTCCTTCTGCTTTCTTTTGTGCTTCTTCTCATCTTTGGGCGGTGGGGCAGCCTTCTTTGGGGGTTCTTCTTCTTCGTCTTCATCTTCCTTGTTTGCTTCGACTGCCTTCTTGCGGGGTGCTTTCACCTTTGGCTTCTCATCCTCTTCGTCCTCAGACTTCTCAGCTTCCTTCTGCTTTCTTTTCAGCTTCTTCTCATCTTTGGGCGGTGGGGCAGCCTTCTTCGGGGTTTCTTCCTCTTCTTCATCTTCATCTTCCTTGTTTGCTTCGACTGCCTTCTTGCGGGGTGCTTTCACCTTTGGCTTCTCATCCTCTTCATCCTCAGGCTTCTCAGCTTCCTTCTGCTTTCTTTTGGGCTTCTTCTCATCTTTGGGTGGTGGGGCAGCCTTCTTCGGGGGTTCTTCCTCTGCTTCGGCTTCTTCATCTTCATCTTCCTTGTTTGCATCGACTGCCTTCTTGCGGGGTGCTTTCACCTTTGGCTTCTCATCCTCTTCATCCTCAGGCTTCTCAGCTTCCTTCTGCTTTCTTTTGGGCTTCTCATCTTTGGGCGGTGGGGCAGCCTTCTTCGGGGGTTCTTCCTCTGCTTCGGCTTCTTCGTCTTCATCTTCCTTGTTTGCTTCGACTGCCTTCTTGCGGGGTGCTTTCACCTTTGGCTTCTCATCCTCTTCGTCCTCAGACTTCTCAGCTTCCTTCTGCTTTCTTTTGGGCTTCTTCTCATCTTTGGGCGGTGGGGCAGCCTTCTTTGGGGGTTCTTCCTCTGCTTCGGCTTCTTCATCTTCATCTTCCTTGTTTGCATCGACTGCCTTCTTGCGGGGTGCTTTCACCTTCGGCTTCTCATCCTCTTCATCCTCGGACTTCTCAGCTTCCTTCTGCTTTCTTTTGGGCTTCTTCTCATCTTTGGGCGGTGGGGCAGCCTTCTTCGGGGGTTCTTCCTCTGCTTCGGCTTCTTCATCTTCATCTTCCTTGTTTGCTTCGACTGCCTTCTTGCGGGGTGCTTTCACCTTTGGCTTCTCATCCTCTTCATCCTCAGACTTCTCAGCTTCCTTCTGCTTTCTTTTCGGCTTCTTCTCATCTTGGGGCGGTGGGGCAGCCTTCTTCGGTGCTTTCACCTTAGGCTTCTCGTTTTCTCCATCCTCAGACTTCTCAGCTTCCTTCTGCTTTCTTTTGGGCTTCTCCTCATCTTTGGGTGGTGGGGCAGCCTTCTTCGGGGGTTCTTCCTCTTCTTCATCTTCATCTTCCTTGTTTGCACGACTGCCTTCTTGCGGGGTGCTTTCACCTTTGGCTTCTCATCCTCTTCATCCTCAGCTTCTCAGCTTCCTTCTGCTTTCTTTTGTGCTTCTTCTCATCTTTGGGTGGTGGGGCAGCCTTCTTCGGGGGTTCTTCCTCTGCTTCGGCTTCTTCATCTTCATCTTCCTTGTTTGCTTCGACTGCCTTCTTGCGGGGTGCTTTCACCTTTGGCTTCTCATCCTCTTCATCCTCAGGCTTCTCAGCTTCCTTCTGCTTTCTTTTGGGCTTCTCATCTTTGGGCGGTGGGGCAGCCTTCTTCGGGGGTTCTTCCTCTGCTTCGGCTTCTTCATCTTCATCTTCCTTGTTTGCTTCGACTGCCTTCTTGCGGGGTGCTTTCACCTTTGGCTTCTCATCCTCTTCATCCTCAGGCTTCTCAGCTTCCTTCTGCTTTCTTTTCGGCTTCTTCTCATCTTGGGGGGGTGGGGCAGCCTTCTTCGGGGGTTCTTCCTCTGCTTCGGCTTCTTCATCTTCATCTTCCTTGTTTGCATCGACTGCCTTCTTGCGGGATGCTTTCACCTTCGGCTTCTCATCCTCTTCATCCTCGGACTTCTCAGCTTCCTTCTGCTTTCTTTTCGGCTTCTTCTCATCTTGGGGGGGTGGGGCAGCCTTCTTCGGGGGTTCTTCCTCTTCATCTTCCTTCGATCTTTCCTTTGTCTTCTTAACTTCCCCGGTGTTTTTCTTGCCCTCTTCAGCTTTAACATCATGGTCATCATCATCATGAGGAATTTCCTGGGCATCTTGTCGCCATAGGTGAGGGGGTGGTGGTCGGTCGACCTGGCTCTCGCAGATGTCCTGTGAATCTAGAATGACCTGGCTTTCGGCTTCTTCCAAGGTACCTGGGATCACGTCTTGGATCGGCTGGGAGTCCTGCCAAAAGAGCCAGGCCTCATAGTCCAGGGTCTCTGCTTGGTCCGGGTTTTCAAGTTCCTTTGGTTGGCTTTCCAAATCTCCCTCTGCATTGTCATCTTTGTCTTCAACTTCATCTTCATCATCTTCCTCACTTTCTTCCTCAACCTCATCTTTGTCTTTGTTTGCGTCATCTTTCTTTTCCAGGTCCTGGGCTGAACGCGTGGCTGGTGTGGGAACTTTATCAATGGAAGTAGCCTAGCTGGTGATGCCACATGCCAACATATGCTAAATAAATTTAATGGATCGATAAAAAGTTTTTTCTTTTTTTATGTGGGATACCCATTTTAAAATACACATCTCCCACACCAACCCCCAAGTTTCCTGTTTCGAGGCGGTTCGGCCCCTTGTTGCCTTCTTTTTGCCCTCTGGGGTCAACTGGCCAAAAGCCTGCACATGGACTAGGCACCAATGTGCAAAATATAAGGCACACATATCAGTATCAATCCTTACATTCTTTCGGGTTCACCATGAATGTACCACCGAAAAAAAGTTTCTGAAAGATAGTCTTGTAGTTTAAATAATGTTTCCAATAAAGCCACATACCTGGCCTGCAGCTTCAAGGCAATAATTTGCTTGATTTTTGTCATCCCTTCTCGGCCACCCCTAGGCTAGATTTTAACCACATTTTACCAACGGTCAAAGCTTGGAAGTAAATCAGGGACCAAAATTTGAACAAACCAAAGTGGACAAAAACATTTGAGGTCAGTGCCGGGTCTTTGGTGTTCGTTGGAATCTGTTCATGCAGTATGCGCAGTATGCCCTTTGCACTCCACTTTCGATGGATGCCCAAGCCTCATTGTGCGTGGGATTTTCTGATATGATGATAAAAAAAAACTACCAAAACCTCATGAGGGCAATCTGTGAAGTATGCGAGCTATATAGGCAAGACACTCGATGTTCTGCATCCGAAACTCCAAACTGAGGGTTGAGGCCATAGGTCAGACTGGCCCATGAGAGGGCATCCTTGTGGAGCTACAAAGCCAGATTTCAACTCACTGGGGATTAATAAGACTCAACTTTTACCGGTCCTCCATTTCGGTGTCCGAGGGGATCTTGTCAGCAAATTGCGCCAGAAACTCCACAAGGTAAGCACAGTTTTCAGATACCTCCACCTGGAGAGAGTGACCAACCCCAAGTTATATATGTCATATCATGTAGGATATCTAGGATATAACTGTACCAGTACCATTTCATTGCAATTCAAAAACGCCATAATATGTCATAATCATTTTGCGTGCTAGTCACTTCGTGCTCTTTGATATCCCCAGTGGCAAACCGGCTCACAAAGGAAAAAGGCGGCACCTTGGCCAGATAATTCAACACTCGACCAAAAAAACTGAAAGGCCTAGAAAATGGATGGAAACTGAAAACAGTGCAAACTCTTGGAAGGTCAAACTGTGGCACACATCCAGGTTGACAATCACAAATGTTTTTGAACGCCAGGCTACGCCAGAATCCTTACTTCTAAGCCCTGCCCGCTGTTTCAATGTCCTCCTCCGTTCTGGGATGTAATCCTTCTGGTCGAGGATCTCTTTGAAAAACTCCTGGGCAGTGACAAAGTTGGTTGGGAACTATTGTGGGTTTACCAGTTCTCATCTGGGTGGGAAAACACACCTCAAAAAAACACATAATAAATTATAAGGGTTCACCAAATTTTAGTCTATCAGATCATCATGAACCTGGCTTGGTCAATAGATATGTCACTCCCAAGTACCTGCATGCAGATTAAACTCCTTCAGGAGCTCTATGCGATCAACAGCCGTTGCTGCCATGGGATCGGATGGCGCTGGAAAAGTGAGAACGGAGCAGGGCAGTGTCAGGGCCCCCTACCAATGTGTGAATTAATCTATTAATTAATTAAGATCATGGTTGTGGAATGACTTGTCGTGAATTGATATCTTTTCTGAGCCCAAACCTGGCTTGGACAACTATAAAAATCATGCCATTAGTCATAAGGACGAAGGTTCATGTTTGAAACCCAGCACCCCTCACAGAATACCACAAGAGGCATGCAAGGGTGGTAGGCACCTGTATGTATCACCGGCCTTGCTTCTTCAACTGCAACATCGGCCGCCAATCCTGAAAGGCTGATGATATGTACACTACACCCTATGTTGGTTTTGGTGTCCAGCCCAAAATGACAATTTTGAAAAATCGATCACCTTCTATGAAGATGGTATCAGAGGATGCTGAGTCTCACACTCCTCAGCAAAGCTTTTTTGATTCGCATTGTCCATCAAAGTTGAGGAAACACCTAAGTCATATCATGGCATATCATACCCAGCCACTACTGACTAGATTTTGCCAAAGTAACTAGTATCGTATAGCTGCAGCCTGCAGCCCACGGCACTGCAGATGCCGATAGCACCCAGCATCCAAACATGCGAGCACACCATGACCAGGGCGTGGAATCCAGAATTACGGGAAGGTGACAAAATGAATATGCTGACACTACATGTTGGATCATGTTTGGTATATATGTTAGAATGTTGTTATATAATATCCGCCGACCCCTGCCGACAGCAGGGGGAGCGCGTCAGAGGAGGAATTACCAGCAGCAAGGGCCAAGAAGTCATTACAAGCAGCAAGGGCAAGAAGCAAGAAAACATGAAAGAAGAAGCAAGAAGCAAGAAGCAATTACAGGCAACAAGCGGCAAGAAGCAAGAAACAAGAAGCCAGGAAGCAACAAGCGGCTGGAAGACAGGTCAGAGAAGTCATTACAAACAGCAAGGGCAAGAAGGAAGAAAACAAGAAAGAAGAAGCAAGAAGCAAGAAGCAATTACAGGCAACAAGCGGCAAGAAGCAAGAAACAAGAAGCCAGGAAGCAACAAGCGGCTGGAAGACAGGTCAGAGAAGCAAGAAACAACAAGCCAGGAAGCAACAAGCGGCTGGAAGACAGGTCAGAGAAGCAAGAAACAAGAAGCCAGGAAGCAACAAGCGGCTGGAAGACAGGTCAGAGAGCTAGTTTTCTTGTCGATTCAGAAAGCAACGTTAGGCAGGCGGCTGGAAGACAGGTCAGAGAAGCAAGAAACAAGAAGCCAGGAAGCAACAAGCGGCTGGAAGACAGGTCAGAGAGCTAGTTTTCTTGTCGATTCAGAAAGCAACGTTAGGCAGGCGGCTGGAAGACAGCTCAGAGAGCTAGTTTTCTTGTAGGTTGAGAAAGCAACGTTAGGCAGTGGGAGCCGTTGCCCGGAGGCTCGGTCCGTCCTTCAGGGCCCTGCTGTTTTGCTGTGGCGGAGGCGCCGTTTGTGAGCCTTGACGGCTGGAAGAGAGCTAGTTTGGGAGCCGTTGCCCGGAGGCTCGGTCCGTCCTTCAGGGCCCTGCTGTTTTGCTGTGGCGAGGGCGCCGTTTGTGAGCCTTGACGGCTGGAAGAGAGCTAGTTTTCTTGTAGGTTCAGAAAGCAACGTTAGGCAGTGGGAGCCGTTGCCCGGAGGCTCGGTCCGTCCTTCAGGGCCCTGCTGTTTGGGCTGTGGCGGAGGCGCCGTTTGTGAGCCTTGACGGCTGGAAGAGAGCTAGTTTGGGAGCCGTTGCCCGGAGGCTCGGTCCGTCCTTCAGGGCCCTGCTGTTTTGCTGTGGCGAGGGCGCCGTTTGTGAGCCTTGACGGCTGGAAGAGAGCTAGTTTTCTTGTAGGTTCAGAAAGCAACGTTAGGCAGTGGGAGCCGTTGCCCGGAGGCTCGGTCCGTCCTTCAGGGCCCTGCTGTTTGGGCGTGGCGGAGGCGCCGTTTGTGAGCCTTGACGGCTGGAAGAGAGCTAGTTTGGGAGCCGTTGCCCGGAGGCTCGGTCCGTCCTTCAGGGCCCTGCTGTTTTGCTGTGGCGAGGGCGCCGTTTGTGAGCCTTGACGGCTGGAAGAGAGCTAGTTTTCTTGTAGGTTCAGAAAGCAACGTTAGGCACTGGGAGCCGTTGCCCGGAGGCTCGGTCCGTCCTTCAGGGCCCTGCTGTTTTGCTGTGGGGGAGGCGCCGT